TGAGATATCATCCACTGCTTCCTGGCTCAGTTCAGCGCAGAGCTTATTTGCTTTTTAATTTTTTAATTTTTTAATTTTTCAGGTATTACTGGGATACTTTGCAGTAAATTCTGCCGCGAGGTTGTATTAACTGACCACAATGATGAAGTTCTTGAGGCAAGTTTCCTAAGAAGGGCCCACCTTTTTTGGTTATTCAGCTACTCCGTTTATTAAAGAGATTTTAATCATGGGTTGATTCAATTAATAATTTTTATTTTTATTACGGTATTTATGTTAATAGATGAATTATGCAAAATAAGTTGCGGAGACCGTAATGTTATATATGTGAAGACTGGTCTCTTTAAGGGAAACACTCTTTTTGAAGAGGTGAGAACCATGGCCTCGTCTAATTTACCTTTTATTTTCTCTTCTGTATACCTTGTTTGTTTCAATCCATACAATGCCCCACACCCATTTTAAAAAATAAATAATAATAGCAATAATAATAATGATGATGATGATAATAAAAATAATAAAAAGAATGGTCATTGGGGATGTGCAACAGCGAGGTGCCCTCAGGCTAAGAAGAAAAATGAAAGTGGGCAGATTTAATGAGCTAGCCTATGTGATTGGTCATTTTCCTTATTTGCGCCTTTGAATTAATTTCTGAACTGGTTCCTAATTTTATTTTTTTATTGAATTACAGATCTTGAAGAAAAATATAGAGCTTCAGGCATCCTCAGGATCTCCATCCACAGCTGGTGAGAACCTTTTATGGAGATCCTGAGAATATGATGTCACCTTTCTCCGTTTTTATTACCAGTGACTACATACCTGGTTCCCCTAGAAAGTTTGAACTTATGGAAAGGGCAGTTACCTTCCTAACCCATTGTTCTCTCACAGCATTAAAGGCCAAGAAGTTGGAGTGGGGAGACGCAGAGCATATGACCCGGATCCTTGAGGAATTCCCAGCTGGTTTTGATATCGTTCTAGGAGCCGACATTTATATCCTTTTATTCTCTCTCTCTCTTCATTGGGTGTTTATATATCCAAAAAATAAGCCCTATAGTTCTCGTTGACTGCTAATAAGCTTTCAGCAATCCAACATTCCTCCACTTTTTTCCACTGTGAAGAAGCTACTCGGACTCCATGGACCGCAGTGCCGGTTCATCCTCTCATACATATCTCGAATTAAGATGTGGGTACTGCTTTTCTTGACCACAATCCATATTAGTACGAAGCTCACCAAAAACTATGGTTGGCTAAAACATTATTCACATTCTATCTTTAGAGAAAAAGGATTGCCGTTGGTTTGAACTCCGTATGAACACTGATTAATCCACAGTATATGGGTATATGAGTCTCCAAGTTACTAACTTGGGCCACTGACTTTAGAATGAATATGTGCCCTTTGTACCATTTTCCATAATCCACATTTACAGGAACATCACCAAATGCATTATTGTTCACCTTTTATCGTAGACGATTGATGATTGTTGGTGGTGGAAGCACTAGATCTCAATTGATATTTTTTCTATAAATAGTGATTGATGTGGCTTCTATGGGGTCTATGACCTTCCAAGATACCACCGTAAGCCAGGTGACTTATGACTGAATATGTTCTGTGTTCCAATTATGCAGCATGGATGAGATGGTGATCAGTGAAGCTACCAAGCAAGGAATGAAGGTGAAGGAAGTACCTGAGACGAGAGCAGTGATCAGTAATCTTGAAGGCGTCATTTTTGAGATCTCCCTCGCCTGAAACGGCATTCTGCAAGCATGAAGAAGGCCACGAGGTGTGGGGGTTGACTTGTTATCTCTGGACATCTGGATTTTAATGCGTTTAGACTCTATTGTTCCGAGATCATCTCCACATTGGTTCCAGAAAGGGAAAGAGATGAAGATTAGAAAGTGTCAGTGGGGAAAGCTTTAAGAAGCCTGTTGTTCAGGGTCCAGCTTGCTTTCCTTAAAAAAGAAGCGCAGACGTGAGAAAAACTTAGAGAATGAGCCCAAGTTGTCATCAAATCAAAGAACAACAAGGGATGAGTGAATTGATAGACCCATGTGGGCCCCAAAAAAAAAAAAAGCATTACAAGATCTTGAGCATGTTCCTTGAAAGCTCCTGTGGGGAGGAGCAAATCGAGTGGCTTAGAATCACAGTCTGTCTCCGATGGGTCACTCAAAAAATGGTGCAATCCGCCGTCTGTCATTCCCCATCCCTCTGAGAACAGGGAAGCCTTTCAGAGCCCTGGATATTTTGTCATTCCCCATCACTTCTTTCCACCTAGACCCTTTCCATAAGCGGCAATAAGGAGAGCCTCTGCTCGGCCTGCAGCAGACAGCAGCGGCCATTCACACAAGAAGACTCGTATCATGACATAAATAAGCTTCCACGGAAAAACAAAATTAAAGAAAAAAAAAAATCCATCGAAATATATCGAACCATGATCCTTCTTCCTCCTCAGTTGAGATTCCAGGGATGGAAACAGTGCAATCGCTGCCTCCCTGCTGCCATCCTAAGAAAAGTAAGGAAGATGGATAAGTAGTAGATTCTGGTAGGGTTGACTTTGCAATGCTGTTCTGTGTCAAAAAATGGGAGCCCTATGATACGGCACTCGAAGGAGCGCGATAGAAAGAATCAATGTATATATATCTGGGATAAGATAAATCTAGACAAATATAGTACACCAGCAGCTGACAAGCATGGGCTGATGGGCCTGATTCTCTTAATAAAACCATGTTCCTAGTATGCCCATCTGGATCACAACCAAAGAACCTCATTTCATTTTGTTTCCATTTTCTGCCAGAATTAAAATTATTGTTCAAATCTCGCAAAAGTTTTCGACACTAGCAAATATTCTATTCATGATATGATCCTATGTCTCACGCATGTCATCATTGGTATCAGAGATTCTGGCCACACGTCAGCTCATACCATACCACCTTCCCCCCCTCCAGAAAGCAGTTTACCTCATAGATATTCCTTCGGAAAATAATGTAAAGATAATAGAAAAATAAAAAAGACATGATCTCTGGTGAGCTAGGCAGAAAGTAATCAGAGAATCCAGGCTCAGCCAGTCTGAGTCACTGGAAAATAATGTATAAATGCAGCAGCAAAAGTATTAAAAAATATCTAACCTTAGATGAGGACCTCCCAAAGAGTTCAAAATGATCCTTCCAAGAACGAGATGAAACAGGAACAACAGAGAATCCTGATGCAACTAGAATCCCAATCCAAAGCCCATATGTGTAACCTCCACTCCACCAACCCTTCAGTCAAATATAACAGTAATTACCATCACATTCTGCACTGAGACGAGCCCCCATGGTTAGCATGCAACGGTAATTGTCACTTAACCGAAACGGATATCTACATGATAGACCAATGGGATATAAGACAGTTTATGGCGCACAGAGAATGATTCATCAATCTATATCCATCTAAAACATAAGAAACCCTTCACATCATTCTCAGCTTTAGAACATCACGGCCTTTCCCCTTCAGACATTCAATTCATCTTCTGTTTAGATATCCAGAAAACAAAAACATCAAAGGAAATACTTTCCGTGATGGGATTACAAGAAACCTGTTTTCCATCCTGAGGGAAAGGCATCGACTGCTCAATGTATGCTGTGGTTCCTGAAAAGGGTCAAAGTTATCAGTAATTGAATTATATGGCATGTCAGGTATTGAAACCTTTCATCAGGCTGATTTCATTGAATATGACTAGAAATTCATAATCATAGCTTGGATCAACACATATAATCATCATTGTGGAACGCCAAATGGTTGTATTACAACATGAATTGGACAGAGATGCGAAAATTAAGCAGCAGAAGGAAATCACATATCACGATTTTTTTCTGGTTCGAAGAAAGCGTTTTTGGGTACATTGCACCGAAAGTAATTTACTGGACTTTGAGTTGGTCATTCTTTTGACTCCGTCTCTGCGACTGTCTTTATATAAAAGTCACTTGACGCGGATATGAGGAATCACCATAAATGAAGGCAAAATTCGGCACATTGGAAAAGGATTATCAAGCGAATCTGGACCACTCCTGGGGAACCAAAAGAAATAAAGCTTGAAATAATCATTGCACAAGAAATACAATGATGAGGATCTTGAGGAATAGGCGCACTAATAAAACATTCTAGAACACTAAATGTAAACAACTTAAAGAGGTAGCATTATCAAGGAGCATGTGTGAGCCCCTTTTCCACTTATCATTTTATTTCTTTAGTTCATTGTCATGCAAGTCATCCTCCAAGCCTACACATCCTGGAACTTTATACAGTTTTTATCATCACAATTATGCGACTTATATTCAAAAAATGATCCTAGAAGTCTTCTGCGTGAGCAAAATACAGACTTAATTTCCGAGAGCCTTGACATGGGGCTAAGTAACTTGAAGGCCGAATGAATTTCAGATACTCACGTGATTTAATATCATCCTGTTAAACATATCAAAATGGAGAAAGCATGAAAAAAATAAGATAGAGACAAGGATCGAGATTGGAATGTTATGTCCTCGAATGTTAAACATAATCCAACACACGAAAAAATTTAAAAGAGATAATCTAGCATTCTCTCCCGATGAAGCATAAAAAGGAGTACCCTTTACCACGCGGTGCTCCAAAACTCTGAAGCAAATGAACAATAGACCTTGGATCCAGCCTTTTTCGAAGAGTTTTTCCGACCAGTACTTTCAAGTGAGGAGAGTCGAAGACCTAAAGGATATATGTGAACAAAAACTTATGAAAAACGCAAAGGAATTTGACTTCAATCCTGAAAATGCATATATAAACATATAGATTAATGGATACACCGTGAAACAAAAGAACAACGACCATCCTGGAGAAAATTAAACGCGTTTCATGTCATTTTATTATGTGAAGGGACAAGCTGACAACAGAAGATAAATACAAAATGAATCAAACAAACTGGAAGCAATGCGTCGATGATAACTTTAGAAGAATGGCTATCATTTGGACTTGCCTCTTTACCCGGGCAATTCCAAAACTACATGACTCCTGACAATGCTTCTTTCTACTGATGATATTGTTGGATAAACTAAAACAGCGATAACAATAATTACCTGTGCCGTATCACCTTTCAAAACAGCCAGACCTCCAGAGACGTCAGGATCAATCCCGATAACGCACTGGACACCCGAGCAGCCCTCAGATTCCTCACCATCTTCACAGCCCGGTGGCCTCCCTTCCTTCTCGGGAAAAGGGCAAGACATGGAACGCAACCAGTCCTCCTTAAGCTGAACCGACGAGAGAACGACCCCGGCTGCAGAACTCCTGCCTCCCAGCCTCCTCACACCTCGGACCAGGGGACGAACCGCGTCCCTCGATGTTTCGGCCGAAGGGCCGCAGAAGCTCCGGCGAAATATGGAGGACGCTCTGTTCACGAGGTACGTCCCCGGGTGACGAGGGACAATCTCAGGCATCACACGGAGATTGGCCATTCGACTAGCAAACCCGAGGGAAAAGCTAGGTACGAGAAGGAACTACTGCGTGTGGACCTTCTGAGTGAGATACACAGTGACGAAGACGAAGAAGAAGACGTTGCCCAGAGAGGGCGGGGTGAGAGGTCTCTGAAAAACGGAGAGAGAGAGAGAGAGCATCTTTATGGGCCCACTAACCCATTTGTAACACATGGTTTTGTGGCCCACATTCGTCAGCCCAATAAGTGTCCCCTTAGTGCCCAGGAAGCAAGCAGGCTTGGGCCATCACGTATTCCTGGGAGAGCCCACTCTGAGGACCATCAAGGCTTAGAAAGTAGCGCGGCCCTCCTTCCATCGGCCCAATAGGACTCCGACAAATGCGTAAGTAGCCTATGGCCACGTCGCCAATTAACTTAGTGAGAGGCTAATTTCGGAAAAAGCCCTCCGTAGGAAGAAAATTACTTTTATGTACGTTGGAACGGATCCGCCCTTCGAGATTGCAACCTTCAAGTCGTGTTCATTCTCCAGTTGTTATTTTTTTATCGTCCATGTTAAAAAAATGTGACAAAAAGGTATTATTTGTAATAAATAATAAAAATAATAATGATGACATAATTTCGCCAGAAGGCTCCGAGGGAGGAACAGGAGCCGTCGTGTCAGAGGAATGATTGTGGGCACCGTACGATGGCGGGCATCTCGAGACAGATGGGACCCGAGAAGGAAACCCGAAAAAATAAAGACGAATGTGACTGTTCGCCTACACAAAAAAAAAGGTATTAACCGATTTATGAAACATCAAATTAATCGGGAAATTAAAAAGCAAAGCTTCTGGGTATATTCTTGGGGATTTAAAATATATATATATATATATATATTGATATTATTTTTTCAGACCCTCGAAGCCTCATTTTAATTGATATCATTTTTTTAATAAAACCCGCGTCATGATAATAAGATAAAAACTCTACCCGGGAAATAGTAAAAAAAATTGCGGCTGGATAGGGGTTGATCGTAGAATATTTCTCTCTCTCTCTCTCTCTCTCTCTCTCTCTCTCTAGAACATCTGGAGATGAACGCACCAATTCGTGGTTGAGTAGCCCGGTGTGGATGACCAAAGGCTCTTAATAAATCAACTCGACTTTTTCAGACCGTCATCAAGAGGGGATGGCGTTGACTAGCCGTGCCATTGGGAAATGGAGATTCGGGGTGAAACCCTCCAAAGCCCCATAAAAGGCCCATTAGTTATCATAAACTGTCCCATGTTCTAGAGCGAGAGAGGAAGTTGATTGGGTTATTTTATGTATGAACGATGTGGCGTTGACTTTTGTTAGAGCCGGGATGGGAATCAGGACATGACTGGGCCGAGCCCATCTAGAACCGTCTGTGTGGAAATTAAAACAATAAAAATTGTGAAAGTTAAAAGTCAAAGTGAGCTCATCCCACTACCCAAAGCGTTAAAAAAAAAGGTTTTTTTTTTTTTTGAAGCGATTAATATCGACCACCGGAGCCATTGGTCGGGCTGATCTCACAATCTCACATACTTCTAGGCGCCGTCGAATTAATAAAACAGTGCAGCCCCAAATGGCCCCAATTAAATAACCCAAAACAGAGTAAGCTTCTAGAGAGCCATTTGACTTTTAATATGTTTTTTGTTATATGGGCAAGAGGGCTCACGCCACGTGTGAGGACGACGGACGAAGATCCGCCGGGGGGCTTCCCGGGTCGGATCCCTGTGGCGGTCTAGTTGACGGCGACATTCCACAAGGATAATGTGGATGTGACACGTGGTTAACGGGCAACTGGGTATCGGATGCGTTCCGCCGGAGGAGTGGGGTCTACATTTTGGCGGCGGCGGCTGACGGCGGTTGCCACTTCAACGTCTGAAGAAGTTTTCTTCTGTGGATGAGTAATGGGTCGGCGAATGGGGGTGGTGCTTCTCGCAGATGCTTCTCTTCGACTTCGTCGATTGGGGGGGGAGGTTGGGAGGATCGAGGAGGGAAAATGGAAGAAATGGAGAAATTTGACGAGGTTTTTTCGGAACAGTGTGGTCTCTGTCTGAATCTCGCAGTCGCTGCAATCTATGCATATCTCTCTCTCTCTCTCTCTCTCTCGACCTTTCTCTCTCTACCTTCTGATCTGCGGTTGTCGGGGGGCCACCTCCATTGAAAGCGGGTGCAACTCCGTGGCAGGGTCTAGGCACTGAGAGATTCGTGGAATTGATTATCCACGGAGGCCCGCACAGTGAGAAGCTGGCGAGACGCCTGGGAAGAAGGGAGCCCCTCTCTCCCTCTTCTCTCTCTCTCTCTTCAGAGGGGGGGTAGTTAAATGTAGTTGCAGATCGCTGTCACCGGGGAGGAAGGAGGGGACGCAGCCGGTCAACTCTCTCCTTCCTCATACGGGAAACTCATAAACGCGTGAACAGAAGCGCATGGAACTTCGAAGAGAAGGGAAGAAGAGAGAGAGAGAGAGAGAGAGGAGAGCGTGAACAGAAGCTAGGGGCATGGGTCTCCTCTCTCTCTCTCTCTCTCTCTCTCTCTCTCATTTTTAATTTGGGTAGATGATTAAAGGGACAGCCTGTTGGCGATCAAACACCCAGCGGGCGATTCCCCCACAGAAGAGAAGCAAGACCATTTCCTCTCTCTCTCGTCATCAGCCGATGGTACCGTAAAGAGAGAGAGGAGAACATATGCCCTCACAGAGACGAACCCCAAGAAAAGGTGGAAAGGGGCAAAGGGAGTTTCCTTTTCTTTTCCTTTTCTGTCTTCCTTGCGATCCCTGTGGACCGTCTCCGAGCTTGGGGACGTGGGCATCTCCGCGTTCTTCGTGGGGAGTTTTAAGATAGCTGTCCCTGATCTCTTTGTCCGGCAGTCTCTCTCTCTCTCTGCCCTCCCCCCCCCCCCTTTCTCTCTCTACTGGTACCGTTCAGTTTTGTCCTTGGCTCTTCTGATCAGTATTACCGCACCCGTGCTGATGTCTTCTCACTTCCCCTGCTCTGAGCTCCCAATATCTTGCTCTGATCTTCGAAATTATTCCGTCTAGACTCCCGATCATAAGAACTCCTCCTCTCCAGGCTTCTTGCCCCTCCACTTTCTGGCCTCTTAGATTCTGATTTCCATGGGGCTCTGCCATGGAAAGCCAGTCGGAAGCCCCCCACCGAGCGTCTCCTCCCCCAGAGAGAAAGATCCTGTAAACCCTAGCGCCGAGGAGCCCCCTCCAATTCCGCGTACCCCAAAGTACTCCAAGTTCCCCTTTTACAGCCCGAGCCCTCTGTGGAGCTCCCTCAAGGGTTCCCCCGCCAATTCCGGCCATAACTCGACCCCGCTGCGGATTTTCAAGCGCCCCTTTCCCCCTCCCTCCCCCGCGAAGCACATCAAGGCCCTCCTCGCTCGCCGCCATGGCTCGGTGAAGCCGAACGGGGCCTCGATTCCTGAAGGATCGGAAGCCGAATTGGGCTTGGACAAGAGCTTCGGGTTCTCGAAGAACTTCTTCGCCAAGTACGAGCTCGGAGAAGAGGTCGGCCGGGGGCATTTCGGGTATACCTCCTCCGCCACGGCCAAGAAGGGAGAGTTGAAAGGGCAGGAGGTCGCAGTCAAAGTGATCCCCAAATCCAAGGTCAGTCCCCGCAACTGTTGCATAGCTTAGGTTTTTGCCTCTGGATCTTCCTGCTCCTCGAGATCCTTTGACCGCAAGTTAGAGCATTTACTTTTTTTTATATACTAATTTAATCAGAAAAATCCTCTTTCTTCTCGGTGAAAAAAAAAACCGAATTTTCCCATTGTTTCTGATCGTATATCACGTATTATACGGAAACCGGATCTCTGCTTTGATGGGTAATCCTCAGATGAACAGCCGGATCTAACCAGCGTTGTGCTTTGGCAGATGACGACGGCAATCGCCATTGAGGATGTGCGGAGAGAAGTCAAGATATTGAGAGCTCTCACGGGACACAAGAATCTGGTGGAGTTTTACGATGCCTGTGAGGACGAGGACAACGTTTATATTGTAATGGAGTAAGTAAGCTAGTCTCTGTGTTATTAGCATCTCTGGCATCTTTTTTTTTTTTTTCCTTTCCTGGAATATTTTACTTCCTAAATCTGGTATGGGAAGCATTGCATAGGCCCTCCTCCTCTCAAGATATTCATTTATTTTCATATGTAATATTTTTTTTCCGTTTCTGATCTGGCATTCTGGATAGAAGGTTTGAGTGAAGATAAGAACATCCCCTTTTTTTTTTAAAATAATGCTGGTCTGGATCTGCTCATCAGCTCTGCTAAATATGGTTCCAAATGTGAGGCCAAAAAGTCCACCATAAATGATTTTCTATCTAAAAGTCAACTTATGTATTTCCCTCTTGGTTTAAATTTTCATGGGTTTTAATCGTTTTCATTTATAAAGAGGTTGTAAACGTCAATAAAGTTCTTCGATTTATATATATATATTCTGACATGGCTGAATGTCTTCATGTTCATCAGGTTATGTAAAGGAGGCGAACTTTTGGATAGGATTATCTCAAGGTAAAACCACCCCACCCCCCCTCTTTTTTTTCCTTGCATTGTATTCAAATACATCATCTCTGATCATTGGGATATTCAATTGTGCGGTCATGATTCTGCCAACTGTGTTGGCGTCTTTCAGGGGAGGGAAGTACTCAGAGGAAGATGCCAAGACCGTCATCGTCCAGATCCTGAATGTGGTTTCTTTCTGCCATCTCCAGGGAGTCGTGCACCGAGATCTGAAGCCCGAGGTAAATTCTATGTCCCAGAATCAGATTTCCGTTGACTTTCTTCGATCCAAGATTCTCAAATCTTCTGAGCACCCCAAACATTTTCTGCAGAATTTTCTTTTCACCACAAAGGATGAAAGGGCTCCCTTGAAGGCCATTGACTTTGGTCTGTCGGATTATGTGAGGCCGGGTCAGTCCCCATGAATCATTGGGATCTCAGAAAGAATAAATCTTTACTCTTGTTATTGCTTTCAAGTTCTTCTGGTTTGAAAAATATTCGAACCCATTTGACCGTTGTTCTTGGGGGACTTGCTGCAGATGAGAGACTGAACGACATCGTGGGAAGCGCGTACTATGTGGCTCCCGAGGTCCTCCACAGATCGTACGGCACAGAAGCTGACATGTGGAGCATTGGGGTGATCGCATACATTCTCCTCTGTGGGAGCCGGCCTTTCTGGGCCCGCACCGAGTCAGCCATATTCCGCGTCGTTCTCAAGGCGGACCCCAACTTTGAGGATGAGCCCTGGCCATCCCTCTCAGCCGAAGCCAAAGATTTTATCAAGAGGTTACTGAATAAGGACTATCGCAAGAGAATGACCGCAGCCCAGTCCCTAAGTAGGTTTTATTTATTTATTAATTATTATTTTCTAAAATAAATCGACCCAGTTTCTATTTTTGGTGTTTTATTAATCCTATTTTTCTGTCTAATGTAGGCCATCCCTGGATATGTGGCTCCCAAGATGCGAAGATCCCCCTGGATATATCCATTTATAGGCGTGTGAAGGGTTATGTATGCACAACTGCCTTGCGGAAAGCCGCCATGGGGGTATGATCCTTCTCTTCCCACAAACTCCCTCCTGGTATCCCTTCAAGATATTCATGCTTTCTTGGAGTGGGAATCGTATCTACTGGCAGAATTTAATTATTTAAGTCTTTTTTTTTCTTCTTCTTGGGTTTCCTCCATTCCCCTCCATCGATTTATTTATTTGCTTGCTTACTTAATTATGAATATATATATTAATTTATGGCAGGCTCTTGCAAAAACTCTGATGCCAAATGAGATCTCTTACATGCGCGAGCAATTCACAATGTTGGGGCCGAACAAGAACGGCTACATTTCCATGCAAAGCTTTAAAACAGTGAGTTTTTTCACTTTTTAATCTTTTATTTATCTGTTTATTTCTCTTCTTCTTCTTCTTCTTTTTCTGGAGTTCATTCTTCGGCATCTCATCGCCGCAGGCTGTGGCGAAGTATTCGACGGATGCGATGAAGGAATCGAGGGTCTTCGATTTTGTGAATACGGTACACAGTCTTGAGAGAGGATATTTTCTAGTCAACGTCTTCTTGTCTTGCATCCTTCGTGGTGCCAGAATACGGGACGATATGGATGCTCATTCGGTATAGTCAACGTCTTTTTATCTTGCAGGTCAGCTCACTCCAGTACAGGAAGTTAGATTTTGAGGAGTTTGCCGCCGCCGCGATCAGCGTTCATCTGCTGGAGGGATCGGAGGGCTGGGATCAGCGTGCCCACCACGCATACGAGCTGTTTGAGAAAGATGGGAACAGGCCCATCATGATCGAAGAACTGGCCTCCGTAAGATTCAGCAAGAACCTTCCTTTTTCTTCTGCCTTTTCTGGGCAATATCTTGACGCCAAAATCCCATAAAAAAACTTTCTATTTCGGGTTTATTTCGAGACCGATTTTTTTTTTAAAAAAAAGGGAAAAAAGTTTCATTTATTAGCAGGAGCCAGAGGATGAGCTCTAAAGGGGTTGGTTTTACTTGCAGGAGCTGGGGCTCAGTCCGTCAGTCCCCGTCCACGTTGTTCTCCAAGACTGGATCCGGCATTCTGATGGGAAGCTGAGCTTCCTGGGATTTGTGCGGCTCGTTCATGGGCTGTCGTCCCGCCCCAAGGTCTAACTGCCACCAGCCGCCCATTGATTCTCGTTGAGGACTCCTCATGGCGTCGGTGACGGCGGTGGCGGCGGCAGCCCGGAGAGGTGTGGCGGCGATGTGGTCACCGACGTCTGAGAATCGGGGGGGGGCTCGGTTGGGCATGAGACTGTTCGGCTTCAGGCACCGCTCTTATCGTTAGTTTCCATTTTCATCATTCTGTGGGTGTGTCAAGTGTTCTTCAGGGGGAATGTACAGAAGAGGGTTAGAGAGGACGGTGATGACGATGATTATGATGATGATACTACACAGGGAACAAGGAATCGATTGAAGCCTGGCCGAGTTGAATGCCCGCTGTAATACTGACTCCTTACGTTGTCAATAACGCAGCTGATTTGGGTTGATGCTATCTTAGTACTATGAAGCCCATATACTGTAGAGAGAGTGAGCACTGTAGAACCCAACACTGTTCTATCCGTCAGGAAGGCGCTTCTACCTTTCAGTGCTATGAAGCCCATGTACTGTAGCGAGAGAGAGAGAGAGAAGAGAGCACTGTAGAACCCAACACTGTGCTATACGTCAGGAAGACGCTTTCCCTTCTTGCCGCAGACAATCCCAGAAAGGTGAACCCCCCCAGCTTCAGCAAGATTCTACCTTTCAGTGCTATGAAGCCCATAACTGTAGAGAGAGAGAGAGCACTGTAGAACCCAACACTGTTCTATCCGTCAGGAAGGCGCTTCCCCTTCTTGCCGCAAACAACCCAGGAAGGTGAACCCTCAGCTTCAGCAAAACCCTACCTTTCAGTTTACGACAGGGGAGGACAGCAAGATGCAGTGTTTCAATCGTTCATCCGAGCCCATTTAAATGGGTAGGGGTTCTTCTACATTTCGCCGCACTCGGCTATGACGCAGGCCAGCTTTGGCCGATTGTTCGGCCCGGTGGCTACGTTCTCGATCTTCCGGACGACCAGCAACCCATCTCCCAGCACCCTCTGCAAGAATTTATGAACGTGAATTTCACGGGGAAAAACGCTCATTTGATCTAAAAAAGAAAAGCTCATGATCCTTCGACCAGGCTGAGCTTAAGAGGCTTGATTAATGGCTACCGGCGGTCATAATCCCGGCTGCATATTAGGAGAGATTAGTTCATGGATGTGAGCTAGAGCTTACCCCGAAGACCACGTGCTTGTTGTCTAGCCAGTCACATTTGGCGCAGGTAATGAAGAACTGCGGAATTAAAAAAAAAGAAAAAAGAAAAAGGGAACGACTTGCTGGTTAAGACATTAATTACTCAGCATGTTTTCGCTTGATCTCAGACATGTTCTCCGATCTAATAAATTCATGGCAGAAAACAAGTGATGATCGATTGTACCTGGCATCCGTTGGTATTCGGCCCACTGTTAGCCTGCAAAAAGTAGGAAGATCAACAGATTCAGGCAAAAAAAAAAGTTGATACGAGCGATTACATCAAGAGAATATAATTCTAATATTTTTTACTTTAAATGCAAATGTAGCTAGTTCTCGATGGTTTTTGATGTTCAGAGAGAAGCGGTCATGATGACATGCGAAAGAGGAAGAAGAGGAGGCATGCCATCGTGCACTGAAGATCAGTAATCCTGATCAAAATTTGGAAGAACAAGTGTTCTGAATTTTTCTATAAAAAGATAATTCATGGGTGATCCCAACCTACCTGTTTTGATGCAAGGGTTTTGAGAACACTAGAGAGGGGTTTTGAGAATAAAAACATTATCTGAACGTGCTCAACGGGAGTTACTCTCTCCACTGCGGTTCTCCAATATTTTACAATGGAATCATTTCAAACCAAGAAAGACTAGGGGAGATTATGCAGGCTGAGGTACCCTTTGCCTCTCCGCCATTCTTACTGTGTTGTTTCGTATTCAACTAAACTCTTGGCTGGGCTCTGGTTTACTACCACAAACTATCCGCCATGAAGATCGAGCTTACATCAACAAGCTTCGGTCCATAGTTCGGAGGAAATGGTAGAGAGATCAATACTCATGCCATGATATAAGATGGGATTGTGATAAATTCCACTGGGCCCTGATCCAGTTCAATCTGGGCTCAAGTTCAATTTCAGGCTTACCAAATGGGGCCAGGTTAGGAGAAGCTGCATACCATAGATAGCAATCCAGGGCCGGTATGTTTGGCGATGAAGTTTTCATCGTCAAACTTGCTTCCATAAATGCACACGCATCCACTGCCATCTCCCTGCAAATCGGGGTGCAGTTAGTTTGAGAGCGGATGGAATTTGCACGACGAGAACTTGATTCAGGGTAATGAAGAACGTAAAGAGAGAGAAACTACATCATTTCAGAATCACGGGTAGATAGTGAGACAGACCTTGAGGAAGTCCCCACCCTGAATCATAAATTCCTTGATCACCCGATGGAAGTGGCAATTTTTGAAGCCGACTGGCACCCCTGCTTTTCTGTCAAAAGAATTATAGATTGAGAATAGAAGAAGTCCATCACGAGGCTGAGGATGGCCAAAGAATGCTAGCCATTTTTGGTATGTAGGAAAAGAATGTCACGTGGGTACCAGGAATATGAGCTTGGTGCATAAGTGAGGTTTGTGATATGCTATTTGACACCCAATGAGTACAGGTGTAAATTAATGGGTCTCGTGTGTTCTACCATGAGGTGTAGAATTTGTATACAGAATGAGGTTCGGCCAACAGGTTATACTCATATTCTGTGAAAAAATTCTAGAAAATAAAATACTTGACGGGTTCTCAGATGCCTAGTCAAAAAATTCTAAGAGACAAACCAAGGTAGCTCATGAAGATTTGTTCCGAACGTCTTAGCATGGCCCTAGTATTTTACTTTACCCAGATGTCTACAAAATATTAATGACTATGAACGCTTAGTTATAACAATCTCACTGCATCAGATGTTATATAATTAGTTGGACTCATCTAAGCTTTAAATGAAAAGGTAGGGAAATAAAATTACAAAAATATTGAGAAAAATTTTAACTTGCCCTGGATAGTTGCTACCCCAGTTGCCTGCCACTTACGATGCTAGGTCATCTTCTTGGTTATGCAAGCAACCTCCCAGAAGGCATGTTCCCCCCATAAATACTAGGGCCTTGAGAAGTAGGTATCCACTCAAGTATAACTAATGGCAAACCACCCAGTGGAGAGCCTTGAGAAGACAACGCGGAGAGCGTAGGTTGATGAATCGAGTATGGGACAAGCCATCTTAATACAGAAACTGTTCTCACCAAGCGATTTGTCATCGTAATACAGAAGTTGCACTAAGTTGTTTACAAACAGAATGCATCGGGTATTCCCACAGAGATCTAAAGTTTTACGCAACTACATTCCACAGACGTGCAGAAAGATAAGTTCAATGACATAAGATTCGTGCATCACTGAATAAAATTGAGTACAGTTGGAAGAATAACTCTGAAGAGCAAGTCAACTGATAGATATAAAATTGAGCATTTATCCAGAGAATGCACAAATCTTCTGAAAAATGAATCAAATAATAAAATTGATGATTAGTAGTTCACTCACCTGTATTCACCAGTGCAAAGTTGCCTGCCCAATAAATAACAAAACTGATGTCATATAGTACTCTCAATATCATAAAGTACTTTCATGATAGTATTCGTAAAAACAGGTTTATTAAAATCAAAATAAGACATAAAATCGGTTTATTAAAAACCTTTGGAGAAGAAGAATCCCAGAGATATTTGAAAGACCTAAAGCTTTGCAAGTTTTTGACATTTTATTAATGCACATCCGTACATTAATAATTCAGTTTTTTTTTCTTTATTTTTGGTTCTCTACAGCCAACCAACCACAGACTGAACAAAATTGATAAGAATCCCCGTTGACTGATATAACTGATAAGTTATTTGTGTTGCGAGCAAATCAGCATCTGAAGAAAAACACATCTAGGGTACAGTTTATCTAATGACACCAGGGAAGGAAAAGGCATAGCGAAGGAAAATCAACTGAGACATCGTAACCTGGCCAAAGCAACCGAGAAAAACCCCGTATCCTTTATCTTGCGGTAGTGTCATCGAAACACCACAAAAACATGGACCCAAGCTTCATTGAACTGAGATGAGGCAAAAGGTTGGTTGCGAGAAACCATCACAAGAAATACCAGAAATCAAATCATGATCCTATACTCTATATATCTTCCAACAACCCCAGGATCATCCATCACTGATAGCCATGAAGAGCTATAGCAACTACGCAACCGCAAACTCCCACTGTGTTGTAACTCCCTTCAACAAAAAAAATTCCACTGAAGGCGCGAAAGGGCTGTCACGCATTTCCCGACCACACAGAGGAGAAACCATGCCCCCGCATCAAGGCAGATGCAGCATTCACAGAAACACAGGCAATATAGATAATGGCACCTGAAATTCTCGGCGGTCTTGGGGATGATGTCTGCGAACAGCTCCATCTTGATCCTCCCAGCCGGTATCGACCCGATGGTGACGTCGAAAAAGACGATCGGGTTCTTAGGGTTCGGAGGTCTCAGGTGCCAATCTACCGTCGCTGTGGCGGCGGCACTGACACTGTTCGCTCCGGCCATGAGCAAGAGCCCGCTGTGGAGAAGGAAGAGGAAGGACGACTCCCAGAGAAGCGCCGCTACCCACCGAGTTGCAGGCCCGAAACCGCTTTGTTGGCCTCGTGGAGAGGAGGTCTGATGAAGGTTTTACTCCTGGAGTGTACAAACACAATAAATAAGAATTTATAGTTTCTAAAATAAGTTAAAAAGTTGAAAGGGTTTCATTGAAAAATCAGCGTGATAGATAGATGGAGAGGTAAGGCAACAATTGGAAGCTTATTTATTTCGATAATTAGAATTTTACACTTTATTAATCTAAACGTAAAATAGAACCGAAATTGTTTTTTCTATTTTTTAATATAACGTAATAAAACGTTGACGCATCTTATATTCAAATGGCCCACCTCAGTTTGCAAAGATTTTCTTACCATTAATTTGTCAACATAATGACTATAGCGAGCCGGGCCGGGCCGGCCGCTTTTTTTGGGCCGAAGCTACAGACTGGTCCAGCTTTTTTAATAAAACGTTAACGCATCTTATATTCAAATGGCCCACTTAAGTTTTTCTTATCATTAAATTAGTCAGCATAATAACAATGGCGGGCCGGAACGGGCCAGCTGCCTTTTTTGGGGGGCTGAAGCTACAGACTAGTCCAGCCTCATGTTGGGCCCAGGCTTTTGTTGGGCTTCGAGTGGTTCAAGAAGCCCATATGCCCATAATGGCCCATTAAGGTTTACCGCACCCTGCTGGAGCTTCGCAGGAGTGTTTTCAGAAGGATCCCCACAAGATCTGGATGAACATAGATTATATATGCTAAGTAAATAGAAAAAAGGATGCCATCACCACCGAGGATTGAAGCGAACATAAGATCTGATCATCATCTTAATCTGTCAAGGGTGGTCTGAAGAAAATCTGAGAAGCTCAATTTGATGGGCAAAACAAGAAAAGGAAAGAGTTGACCCAGAACAAATATTTTAATAAAACCATATAAATCATCATCATCATCATCTTAATCTGTCACGGGTAATCTGAAGAAAATCTGAGAAGCTCAATCTGATGGGCAAAGCAAGAAAAGGAAAGAGTTGACCCAGCACAAATATTCTAATAAAACCATATATATCATCATCATCATCGTCATCATCTTAACCTGTCAAGGGTGATCTGAAGAAAACCTGAGAAGCTCGATCTGATGAGCAAAACAAGAAAAATAAAGAGTGGACCCAGCATAAATATTCTAATAAAACCATAGAAATCATCATCATCATTATCCTCCCGGGGTTCTAAATTCGAGAATGAGAGGAGCCCAGTGGGCACAATATCATCATCGGCTCCGCAAGATATTACACAAATCTGTCAGGTGACCAGAAGAAAGATGGAGGGGATTAAGTTGATGAACAAGAACAAAAGAGGAAAGAGCAGGAACCATTACAGCTATCCTTACAAAAGCATGGGCATCACAAACACTACTAATCCTGGGGGATGCTATTAATATTTGAAAATGTTACATGAGCCCGAAGAACATATGATACAAGCTTTGGGGGGGAGGGGACGGTCCACAGCGAAGTCTCTCCTTGTGAAGGAAGGCGTGCACCTCCTGCATCTGCCATATCCTTCCATATGATGGGGAAATGAATAAGAAAAGCCCAGAGACCTCACTCGCGCGGTCGGGCAAGCCAGAGAGAACTAAGAGCTCTGAGTCGTGAGAAGTAGTCACTGATAGCCAGGAGGGCACGGGCTGATTGACGGGTAGTTAATATACGATGCATTTGTTGCATAGTTTGCTGTCTCAAATTGTCAGCCTGGCAGAAACAGAAAGGAGTAATAATTCAGCAGTAGTTCACAGCCCATAAGAGGAACAAACGCAGGTGCAATCAAGGCAGCCATCAAAATTCCATTCTTCTTCTTTCACACGGGTTGGTTTGGGGCGGATTAAAATCCAGAATTCCTGGGGCAAAATCCTTAGTACTCCAATAAATGATATAATCGCATGAAGCCTGTGGTTCCCATCGATTGGTCGGATGGAATTGTCTCTGGTTTGTGGGAATTCTCGCGGAAACAAATATTCCAACAAAAAGGCATTGGCTCCTGTCCTAAGGGTAGGAATGAGCTCAGGGGTCCCGAGAGATTGGGTCTTTTCCCTGGGGAGAGGGAGGCTATAAAAGGAAGAGCTGGAATGAAAATCTTGCCCACGATTAGGAGAAGACGCCGGCCCGAGCACTGGGACTCAATAAAAGCAACACATGCCCAAATGACATTAAAGAAATATCGTAATAACAAACTTTCACCAAAATCAGAATATGACCAAAAATAAATAAATCTGGGGGGGGGATTGGAGCGAGAGAGAAAGATAGGGAGAAAGTCAGCATTAACCACTAACTTTGCAAAGGAATGGAGTGTAAATAAATTTTCCAACATTGAGGTGCAGGTATTGTCAAGATCCAAGCCTGGTTTAAGAATATTATAGGAGATTTGTGTACTAGATGCACTCATTGAGAACTAGTGAAGTTTAAATTTGTTCAATGGCCTGGCCCTGACTATGTTGCTCGCTTACACAGTGCTAGAATGCAGTTTATATATATATATATTCCCTCTATACCCTGGATGTCACTAACAATCATTTAACTCAAGCATGTCAAGACTAACCAAGTGATTGAATAATAGTAAAGAAAATCTAAGTATTTCTTATAAGTATGTATCAGGTTCCTACATAGTATACGGAATATTAAAAGCAAAATCAAGGGTCGCTAAAAACTGTAGCGATATAGCAGCTGATTATTTAAAATAATTGGAAAATATATATACGATAATCTAACAGCAATCACATGTTGAGGATTACATAAAGATAAAAAAATTGCCTTTTCTATGTGCTACTTTTCTTGCAAGGATGCTCTTTTTAGAATTTAAATGAATAAATGCTTTTTCTCGAATAAATAGTCCATACAAACGTAAAGCAGGAATCCTAAATCTCTAGCATAGGAGCACGTAATCTACGCAGGAAAAAGTGCCAGAAACTTTATTTCAATAGTGGTACCATTTGTACAAAAATTGATGCCAGAAAATAAGACGTTTCGATGTTCTCCAAACCCCCCCCTTCCTTCCCCCCTCCCCCCCCCCCCAACCCCCAACCCGCCCAGCATCTGAAAAGTCATAGGAAGGGGTACCTGGCGAAGAAAGTTCTCCAGTGTTCCCAGCTTCCCCATGGCCATTGCCATCTGTCCCATGTAATTAGCAACATCTCCTGATGATCCAGTGGGACCAAAGGATCCAGATGCCAAAGTCTCAGCCAAGGACTGCTGCAATGCCTCCTTCCCTTGGGAAAGAGCATCCTCTGCCTGCTGCGAGTTTTCTTGCAGATTACATATGCCAACCATCTGCTGCTCAGTCAGAGGCTCCAAATGATTCATAAGTAGCTGTCGAATAGCACACATTCCAGTTTGACAGAATGCAACTTTGTTAGAGCTTGACAAAAGAAATCAAGTCATCCAATTACTAAACATAATATAAATTCAATGAAAACCTAAATTTTCAACCCGACATGAATTCAGTATTTTAAAGGCCGAATTCTTCGTGGATTTTAAAATTGGTAATTGCATAATGGAGATTCCTAAGAAACAACAGATGTAGAATTCAAGAAAGAAGAAAACAACATGAACATTACTGGCTGTTCTACAAGTGCACTCCATCTGGGGGCAAGGCTTGGAGAAAATTGTGTGAATGGTGTATGCAGAAACCCAAAAGTCGAATGTTTGTAAACCACATGCATTAAGCCTTCATTCGTCCTCAAGGCACAGGACGATTATTAGTGTTTAAAAAAAAATCAGCAATCAAATTTTAAAACATACAATAAATAGATCTACCAGAGTATCCAGTATACAATCAGTGTCAATCGTGAACTAACCAAACCAGGATAACCAGGAACTGCCATTTGTATAATGGATCTTCTTCGGAAATATTTCATATAGATTTCCGGAAACAGCAAAACAATGTGCAAATCACTTGCTGTTCTAAAACGACTCCAACTAACTAGGAGAAAGAACCAAGAGAAAATTGCGTGAACACTTTTATTCATGTCATAAACGAAATCCTTTGCTTAGAGCAAAATAAGGCTTCCTTCATTCTTAAGACACATGTAAAAGGGTTTTTGATTTAACAAATTTGATCACTTCCTTTTTCAACCGAATGATTGCTTAGGGGCCTTAATATTTTGCAAGTTCCAAAAATTCTATAAGAAATACAATATTGCACACAGATAAGCACATTTTAAAGACCTTGAGAAGTTCAGATGGACGGAATCCTCCCAGCCATAAGAAACACCTTTCTGCGGGAGTCTTCCACATGCCTGACAAAATGTGGAAAACATCAGCTTTAGCAGCAACACCCTTCATCCTAAAAACGTCATCGTAGTGTGCCATGATGCTATCAACAATGCCACGAAGGTCATTATCACTTGCATGGGAATTCACTGCTGCTCTCAGCTCATTGGTCTTCTTATTATGTTCCTCTAGCCACCGTGCATATTCTACATCAAATGCCAGGGCTCCTGAAAATTCATAAACGTTTCCCTTGATCCATGAGAAAAGAGAACAGCAATCTCTGGTAAATGTCTGATCAAGCAACTCAGTCCGATTCAAATAAAACAGGTATAAGAGAAGATTAAAATATTTTTCAGTAATTTAATAAATCTATGCACACGAGATGGAGCAAGCATATAGGAAGAAAGTTAAAGGTTTCAGTCCCCATTTACAGAGATTTTTTCAATAACATAGAATACTGGATATTCATGTGTCCTAGGCCAAAAATCAACATAGACACACAGAATCCTCTCGAAAAAATGCTGTGACCCTGCGTACACTAGTTTCACATTGTTGAGAGGGTACATTTTCAATTCCTTTGAAGAACCAAATCCTTGTCCAGCCAAATGAATGCGCTTGTGGATATTTAAGCGGGGCCAATGTGCATTGAATAAAAAATGATTGATAGACGAGGTCAGTGCGAATGACGAGAGATACAAACATTTAGCACTAAACATGAGATATCAGATATCGTTGTTAATTGCATCGTTCATATGAAAGATGACCTACATATAATTGCCATGGTCTGAGTGGTAAAATGGTAATGTCCATTAACAGCGCATGTTTGGATTCCATCATGATTGCTCAGTATCCTTTATTTCATCCGTTTCGTCTCAGTGGACTGATCAATTCATTTTACACAGATTAGAACCCGTTGCATAACTGCAATCCCATTACATGTTAAAGACTGACGCCCTAGTATCCAACAGACGCAGTAAGAAATTGGCATAGTTGGCGGAAGTGGGAAAATCAAGTTTCGGGTGAAGTCTATACAGGTTTTGACCTTATCCGTAATACTGACGTTTTTTTGGGCTGTTTCCTGATTTTGGAGAGCCACTGGACGTTATTTATTGTACTGATTATTACCCACAATTAGAACATATCCATATAAGGAAGATTATGGCATGGACGAAGAACAAGAACTCTGGGTAAATGATTCGCCGTGTAAAAAATAAATATACGATGGATAATCATTTATTTCATTGTTTCCTATTATTATCTTTAAGTAGAAGGAACCTGTTCAACTGGGAAAAATTCCCTTGCTATCAAGCATAGGAAACATGCGTTACACACAACTTAGCGGAAGAAGGCCGTACAACACAAATACATCAATAGTGAGAAACATACTAAAAAAATGTATCCATCATAAAGTACCAATAAATCAAACTGAAAATGGGAATAGGAGCCCAAAGACAAAAAACTGTGCGTCGAGGATGGTAACATCAGTTTAGTTTCTCTTCATTGTGCATTAAACGACCGTGAGGTGTGCAGAATAGTTCTAGATGGAGATGAGAAGAAAAAAGAGTACTGTTGAGAACAAGTTGCCAAGACTGTGTAGGGTGCTTCAAGAGAAGAAAAGGAATAATAAGACTGAGTTGCGAAAATAGAGGAGAAGGCTAGAACTAAAGCTATCCTCCCTTCGCTCTCATTCCCTGTAGGGCTCTGCTAGAATGGAGAGTGATATAGTTCTCCTTCAATAAGACTAAAAATGAATTAGAGCATTAAGGTTAAACTGTAGAAAAATTTCATATTACATGAATATTTTAAGATCAGAAGGACCATAAAAAAATGAAGCATGATTTTAGAGGCATAAGAAACGGAATATTTATATTTCCGAAAACCGAGTTATCTCGAAAATGCCCTTTCAAAATCTAGGTTAATCTAACCATGAGAAAAGGGAGGGTATAAATAAAGATCTAATTAAGAAGATTTCAGCGTCATGGCTAAAAAAACACTTCAAGAATCCCTTTATCGTCATATTCCTGTTTAAAATGCAGGGGATATCTTTTAGTTCTTTAATGTGGAATAATCAGCTATTATAGACCTCAAGCAGAAGAGTTCACCACGTAGCTGAAACAGAGAAAGAAATAAGGAAAAGCATCCCTCAGAAAACTTCTCTACTCGTCTAACAATATGATAAGTGTGAGAAGGGATTAACATAAAAGTTATCCTTAATCCCCACCAATTTCATTGGACCATTAATCTGTGTATGATTAACTGCAGAACAACTGCTATATGGCAGTTCGGATAACTATGTTTTATGAGGCTGATGAGAAAATTCACATAGACAAGCTTCAATCAAACGAACATCCTTACAAATGTAATTTGGCAATGTACAAAAAAATTATCTAACATTTGAACTATTTTAAAGTAAGACCATCAACACTTTAGTGAGAAGAAGTAAAGGCAAGAAAAAGAACAAGAGAACTCGGTAGTAAAGATACGTATTAAACTGACATAGTCAATAAAAAATATATATAGAGTAAAATGGAACACAGAACAGGCTCCATGATCGCACATAAGTTGGAATAACGAAATTCATGACAGTTACACGTCATAGGTAAGTACTTATCCTGACAGAAAAAAAACATAAAATAAAGAAACTGGGAAAACTCCTAGGAGTCTGAATAGATCAGAAGTTACTTTGTGCTTAGTAAACTCTGACAATGAAAGAAAGTGACGAGGTAATAGGCAGTGGATATACCATTTCCACTCATCGAATGGGCTTGGTCACCTGTGCTAGAAATGAAGATACCCTGTGGAAAAAAGTGTCGAGTTAAAGATAGTGATACAAGGAAAGTAGCCTCTAAAGGGGGAGGGAGATTGGATTATAAATAATACCTGTTGTCGAGCCCGTTGAAGCTCCTGCTCAAGTTGTGTGAGTTTCAGGCGGCTGCTTTCCAGTTGTTGGACATATGCCTTCATAAACAAAGTGACATGGAGAAATATTAAGTAAAATTTGCAATCTGTCTATAATCGAAGCTTCCTAAGTGAAATTCCACAACCCACTGATTAGAATAGGAAGAAAATACAACTAAGATAAAGTTCAGCAAATAGAAGAAAGAAAGTTGAAGGCATAACATCCCAGCATATAATCACCTAAGTCGTCATTTGGGTAGCATAAATACTTCTTAAGGCCTTTATAGGAAAGGAGGATGTCATGTGTCACATTTTTAGGATGCCTCTTCTCGTGTTAGAACTTCCAGAAACTATCCAGAGCAACAGGAATTAGGAGCTACGTTCCACCAGCAATGAAAGAGATATGAAGAGGTCAGGAGCAAAGTAGATGCTTAAAATAATAAACTGTCCCATCCTTTGTGCCTCTCTTTGGATAATCTCCAGTGACCGGAACCAATCACATACTTAGAAATGGAGTGGTTTGACTGAGAGAGTGTTGTAGAAAAAAAATGTATTATTTATTTTTCCTTTATTGTAATATTTTCTTTATTACTTAAGTGTCAAACCAGACTGGACCGTCCGGTTCAACCCCTGTGCAATGGGCCTCATATAAATACCAGGCCCAGACGTTAATCAAGTTAAGCGCATCTTATTTTCCACATTCGTGTTCGGGATTAGGGTTTTGGGGGTTTCGCTGCCAGTGACACAGATATCAACAGGAGTTTTCGTTACTTTTTCTGTTTCTGAAAATGTAAGGGAGTAGCATAAGAGTATTCAGTAAAAGGTCACTAAAGGATTTCTGCCCATGGGTTGCTTCACTTGCAAGATCTCCAAGGGGCTTTCTTCCCAGTGGGCTGTTAATTCTTAAAGAGATTAAGATACACCAGGTATCTGATTGTGCCATTGGACCGGAACTTTCCTCTTGGTGGGCTAGAATTTTGTCTGGGTTCGTAATCTTGATGGTCTCAAACTTATTGTAACTTGTATTTCTTTCAAAGGGAAATAAACGTTACAATAAGTAACTTTTAGGGTTTCGTAACTTATTGTAACTTTTGGGGGTTTCGTAATTTCTGAAAATGTCAACTTTTATTTCTTTCGCTCTCTTTTCTCTGACCTTTTCGCCACCGAACCTTCTTCAACTCTTGGAAGCCCCCTTGGAATAGAGAGCCCATCCCCTCTACTAAGTATATAACATCTAAAGAAATGCTTATTCATAAACTCAAACATCAAAGGGACTATTTAGCACCTTTTTCCGCAATCGACTCTTCCTTGCAGCTTCTCGATTCTGAGCAAGCCTACGAAGAATCTGAGAAACCATAGACAAGAGAAGAATTATTGGTCTGTAATATGCACATAAAATTTAAAATGAGCCACCAGTGAACCAGGGGAGCAAATTCAATATTTATTCATTACCTTTTGATCCCCTGTTTTTTCTTTGGATCTGTCACTCGAATCAGAAGCCGCTACTATCGCATTTCGAAGCCCAGATTCGTACTAAGCAGCCAAGAAAAATAAGCATCAATCAGAAGCGGCTTCTAAATCATTACCATATGTAAACTTCCGCTATCTCTCTACTGCACACAGAGGAGGCTTCACATCCGGAGAACTATCTAAATACCAATGGGACATCTAAGGCACTGGTAGAAGAAACATTGTGCCATCATGAAATCTAAACAACTTTGGAATGGATAAAAATAGGTAATGTTGTCCAGTTTAACATGTTTCACCCTCTCCTCAACTTACACCCAGGATTGAAACAGATCATTAGTGGGGAATATGATGTGCATTTTTTAACTGAAATAAATACATTCACACAACTGTAAGTAAGCCCTACCAAGTATTTATTCTTTCTTTCACCATAGGAAAATAAATTAAGCTAGCAGAAACCAAAACAGAATACGCTAGGGCTCACTAAAATATTTTCCTCTTCTTTCTTCTACAACAAAAAGACTGAGGAATCATTAACTGTTATAACTTTTAAATTTATATACGACCCAATATGAACGAATGTTAGAGCCAGTCTCAACTCAACCTTCTCTACATAGTTTTAAAAAACTAACCTTTAAAACTTTAAGAGAACAAGAACACCTAAAGGTTTATCCATTCAGCACATGATAAAAACCAAACACAAGCTAAGACACAAAAAAGCACATATTCGTCATTTTTCATAGATTCAGCCTCATCTCCCCTTCAATTGGAGGAATGAAAAAAATTGAGCACGATTTTAATGAATGTCAAGGATCTCCTCAATAAATCTGTGCCAAATCAAAGTATGAAAAAGACCCGATAACAATATAAGAGGTTGGATGAATTCATGGCACAGGAACATGATTTATTGGAAGAAGAAGATGACCCACAAAATGATCAAACATTTCATCAGAAGTATTATCATGTTCAAGGATACAATGACACATTGAAGACAAATCGGTCCATAAGTTTCCCATTTAAGTAAAACAGGTATATAATTCATAATTAACAGCCCAATGACACGGTTCTTCCCCATCAGTTCTAAATGAAGCATTAAACCCTATTTCCTCAAGGAATCAACGGTCAAATAGCATGTGGATTTAAGAAAATCACAGAAGCCTCACTTTCTGATTATGGGCATCAGTGTCAACATCTGTCGAGGTATCTGTCCTCGGACTTGTATCTGCCATAATGAATACTTTCAGGTTCTCAAAGAGATGGCCAACTGCAGTGATTCCAAATTTGAAGATATTCCTTTGGTCGGTACAACACCAGGGAAAGAATTCTGTCAGCCAATGTAGCTATGCCAGTCACAACAAGTACCTGAATTTCGAAAATTCCAATCAGAAAAGGGAAGGTTCATGCATCAAATAGAGCAGTTAGACCATTATTACAGAAAACACACACCAGGAAATAAGGCTACCGCTAGAATAAATTTACTTCTTCACGATAAGCTTCAAATAGGTGAAAAACAGAAAAAACGGTTTCTTCAATAAGTTTCGATTATAATGCTATCTGTACAACAAAATAACAAAAAGGAACCATAAGCACGAGCCTCTTACATCACATAACCCATGAAGAGTAGAGTTAAAAATAAACTGTATCCTTCAGACTTGAAAAATCAAATAGTTTCATCATTCATCAACAAACACATTGCCAACACAGGAGAATGTCACTATTCTAGTAAGAAACTAAAATGCCAAGCGTGTTTGGGTTCCTTCTACGCACAATTCTCTAAGCTAACACCAGTCAATATCCACCGAGGTTAAAAACATTTTTCAAACAGAAAGCAACACATTGCCCAAGCATTTTTCAAACATTTTTCAAACAGAAAGAAACTCTATTTCACTTTATGCCACTAACATGAAAATGAAACGATGGAATAAAGCTTGCAAAAACACTGGCATAGTCGGGCATATGTCAATAAAAAAACATATTATGTTGTGTAAAAAAATTAAAATAGAAATAAATTTCTAGTTCTATGCCATTCTTGTTTAAGGTAGCTTCATCCTGATACTAGAATCTTCTCACAAAATGTTTTTTAGGTGAAATTTGGAAGGTTAATGTGTTGCCGTGCAGACACACCTCAGTAAATAATATCACATGTTCCAACCCTGTTGACCACAAGCCCATGAACATCATGAATATGATCCACAGGTGAAAGAACTTTGGCGCCCAACTTCGCCAGTTGTGGAACACGCATGAAGGCTTCTTCTCAACCAACACCCATGTATCTGAAAGACTACGTAGACTAAAACTACGTAGACTATCTGAAAGACTACGTAGACTACCCAGGATATCCTGGAAGATTGCAGGGGTAGGGAAGCTATTACTAGGGCAAGACAACAGGTTCTAGGAAGGTAAACCAACTATAAAATCAGGTTCTCAATTTTCTTCCAATTCATTTTTAGATTTATATATCTCCGGTGGCAAGAAGCTGCCAGTGCATTTGGCTCTGCTCAGGAGCTGCGGGCGGGGAAAATTTATGAAAGATTTTTCTTCTATATTCAAGGAACAGTGGAAGAGAAAAATGAATGTTTTCTTATGACTTTGGCACACATTTTGATACTCAGAGCTAAAGGGAAAATCATCAGCGTGCTTAAGTACTGAGGTGGTAAAACACAAAACTTCCATCCCAAAATTGAAGATGTGATGGAACCTCTGCCCGCTAAGAGGAATCTTTATTTGTGAGGACTTCATAAAATTCTCATTCTTAATACCTATTCTCGATTTTGGTTCTGAAAGTGAATGGCACCAACACTATTTACTAATAAATATCCAACAGATACCATATATCACCTTCTTTGCTCAAATGCATACACAAGGGATATCGAAAACATATCATTATCCGAATTCCAAACATTTGATTAATTGATACCAAAAGAGAATCAAAATCTCATATATGTTTTTTCCCCACGGCAGTGACAACAAGAATAAAAAAATCATATTTTAATTGAACCGTCATACTGATTAATATTGCCTCTGGATGTCATAAAAATGTACAGAAAGATGAATTGTCCCAAACATATTGGCAACCTTGCAAAAAGGGGAAAAAATGGCATTCTCAAAGGTATGCTCCAAGAAAACTAGGTCAACATCTTTATTGTGTCTTCTCCAGAGATGAGTGTAATCTCCCCGTGAGCCTGGCCAGGAGACCTGAACTACCAATGCAGCACAGCATGGCAACATAAAGGCATGACGAGTTTCAAGAAATTCCTAGCTGCATCCAAAAGCAGTGTGGATGAGATTCATGCTTGGATTTTTAATGTGCCACGTTGAGAAACAATCTATCAAACCCAAGCATCGAGCTATAGCTTATCCCAGATCATCCCTGTCCCCAGATTATTCTAGCATGATTGGGAAAGTATTGTCTTATCTTGTATTGAGTCGTGATGTGAAAAGTGGTTGCAGCGTAAACCATTTCTACAAGTATGCATGGCTCATGGAAAGTATCCCTGTTGTATTTCAATGCAGATGGGCTCAAAATGCTTCTCTTCGGATGTGTATCTTTACAAAACCAAAACCTTCCACCGAGATTTACTTCCCCGGGAAAAAAAAGGTTTTTTCCCCACTAACGTGAATTCAGACTTCCCACTTCACATCTAGGGGTATGAACATCAGTAATCAGCCACTTCAGTTGAGATCTTCTAATGATTAACTATTCCCAAATATCCAGCGCCTAAAACCCTAACCCTGAAACAGATTTCGCAGTCCCGATTTGTTCTTCTCACCTTAAAACAGAAAAAGGGCAAGCTACGAATGAACCGGGTACAAAAAATGGGTATAATGACAGAACGTGAAAATTTGCGAGATTGAAAAGAAATAACACCAACTACTTCGAAAGATAGAACATGGCTAGCGAAGATGAATGGATGATTGATGAACTAAAGGATCATCATCAGCGAGTCTACCCTTGAACAGAGATGGGGGTAGAAAATGAGTACATGTAAGGAGACAGAGTCACTTGAGCAGCCAATCCCGGCATCCGGAAAGCCTGTCCTTTCACATCTTCAAAACCAAAACCAGGTTTTCAATTTCCATTCAGCAACATCGCCACCAATACCTCGGGCACTGCAGAGCCGACGCGTACCGGATCTACAAACAAGAAAGCGTTCGAAAAGAAAACAGCCTTTCCTCTCAGCTTCAACTATGTGGGATAAGAATAAAACTCTCACAATAAAAAGGGCACACAGTATCCGAGAAATACGATGTGAAAGCAAGACACCAGCACCTGCGCGGGGAGATAAAACGAGAGCGTTGATCGACAACCGCAACCCCTCCGCAGACCGAACAAACCTAAGAACACCGGAAGCCTCCAACGACAAACTTTTGAGGGCCCTTCACCCCAACGGTAGTATCCAAGAAGAGCTGAAGGAGACAAGAAACTAGGTGAACCACCGGATCGAAGCGAGGGCTACCAGCCTCGCCCGGGCTACCAGAAGGAGGGGCCGGACGGACCTCAGCAGCGACCGTGCGCCCTGGCCCCCCGAGTTCACGACAGCCAAAAGCACCAAATGGGAGAGAGAGAGAGAGAGACTCTCCCCACACACTTATTCACTGTTTCTCTCACCTCCTGCTCCTGCCCCTGTCAAGTACTCGTTCCATAATTACACTAATCTTTTCCAACCGTTGGACCAGGCTCTTCTAACGGCGGTGCCGTAGAGGTGACGTTACCGCCAACAACAACAGCTGCAAGCCAAACGGAGTTAGGATGCTGCCGTCACTGGGGAAGTGGTACGTTCTGATTTGTACCATTAGCGGTATGCGACGACAAAAAGATTATCTGGACAGTGCGTCATCTGGCGTGTGCGAACAGGACCTCCGAGGTCCGGGCCCGGCCCCCCCCGGCCCGTGCTCTGTAAAAAAAGCCCGAAAAATCGGCTGAAGCCCGGACGCCTGCGAATGGAGAGAAACTGAGGGGCACTTTGACGTGGCTAAAAGGGAAGGCCACGTGGATTGATCTGTTTACTTGCGCAGATATTTCCAAAAAAAATAAATTAAGACACCGATATTAGAAAAAATAGCCATAAATGGCTATTCAGCTCGTTGGATACGCGTAATTTTTATACGCGTAATTTCAGAGGTCATAAAAATGATATATTTTTTTACTTGGTTATAATGTCTACGGGGTTTATTCGACGGGATTAATAAAATTAAAATATTAAATCTCATTATTGAGTGACATTTAAGACGACGAAAATACCATCCTATCATAGTCCAGCTCAATCCGAAAAATCCCAGCAGCAGATGACAGTGATTACGTGGTTTTAATTATTATATATTATTTATGACTCATAAATTGATAAAATTATTTTCCACATACAGCGAGAATCCAAAACTTTTTTAGTTGTCAGGAATAATTGCACACAAAATAGAAATCTATTAGATTAAGTCAACTACTAACTAGCTCACATTATCTCACATGTTTTGTGGGTACTTTAAGGGTTGACCTTCTATTTGTGGGAATAACATTATGAGACAAATATTCACGATTAATTTTTTTTAAAAGGTGAGATTATAGACGCGAAATGCGTCATTAATAGGCTTAATAATGTTGGATCTGCAATCAATAGACTATGCATTTAAAATTGCTTGATTATATCAAAAACTTTGGCCATAATGCATGAAAATTGACGATCAACAGATTTCATGGTGCATATAGATTTTAATGGGTTTAATACTTTTGGATAATCCTAATAAATTATTTTTGGAATATTTTTAGTTTTCAATGTAACAGCTCTCAAAGGAGAATGGTAATAGAGTAAGAAACTAAACGAGGATGATGCAAAGATGTGGACATGAAAATATTGGTAGGAATCGTGTTGGTATCACTGTGAAGGGTGTGGTGAATTTGGGTATTACAAGAATAATATGTAATGATCATCAAATATAGGTATATTGTCCAGTGTATTTTATAATTATCAAAAAAATATAGTAGAGAGATGGAGAGGGAGGGAGCTTAGGTGCAGTGTATTTTTTACTTGTGAAAAAATAGTGTAGAGAGAGAGAGAGAGAGAGAGAGAGAGATTCACAGTCCTGGATAACCGTAGCTTCTTCCAAGCCAGTCTCTTCGTCTTCCCAGATTACGATGGTTCACCCAGAGGAAGCTTTCAATTCTCGGCCGCCGGCGGCAAGGCAGAAACCGTGGACAAGTCTCTCCGAGCACGAGCAACGACCTCAACGGCAGGCTGAAAACTTGTTCTTCCGCCGGAGACCGCGGGTCCCTCTTCTTCTTCTTACCGGGTCCGCCGCCGTCCCCACCAGATCTCTTCCGTCTCCTGCGCAGAGGGTTTCTGATGGCTCCGATAGTAAGGAATGAGGCCCTGTTTCTTCCTGATGTTGACTACACTACTCTCTGGTCACAGAGAGAGAGAGAGAGAGAGAGAGAGAGAGAGAGAGAGAGAGAGAGAGAGAGTGCGACAACGTGGGAAAGAAGGACCCAGTGGTCGTGAGAGTGAAAAGAAGCGGTCGACTTCTCCCACGAAACAGTCGTGCCGCCAACATGGCCTTGTTCTTCGCCTCCGTCACTGTCGAGCATCCTTTTTCTTGCATCACCGCCGTTGTGTCACCTTCGCCGCTGGCATCATCATCGTCTCTCTCGACGATTCCAGGTTCCGTGAAAATCACGGCATAGGTAATCGCTCGATCAGCTCTAACCCAGATGAATCTGAGAAGATAATGAAAAATTGATCTGCCGCTACCACGCTGACCAGCTGCTGGCCGTTATACATCCCCTCCGACCGCTCCTCGTTGCGGTGGCTGGCCGCCAGTTCTTCATAAGAAATCCAAAAAACGTGCCTTTCGATTATTTGAAGGATCAAATACTTACATTTATTTATTACTTTCTCTCTATCTCTACTGGCCTTCCGAGAAGCTACAGAGCTCGACCCTTGCCATGTCTACAAAAGCCCCCTGCTGCTGCAGTGAGAAACGACGAGGAGAAGAGCACTTCGTGCCGGCATTCCCTACCGAGCAGATATCCCCCGGGAAGACGATGAAGCTCAAGAGGAAGCAGATGAAGGTGGTGTACATCTCCAATCCGGTGAGGTTCATAGCCTCGGCATCAGAGTTCACGGCCCTCGTCCAGCGCTTCACCGGTCGGGATTCCGTCGTCGCCGACCTCTGCGAGTTCGCCGGCGAGGAGCAGCGCCTCCGCGGCACCGCCGGGGCGCCTGCCTGGGAATCCTATTCCGATGGTGTCGTCACCGTGCCGGCGCCGGAGAAGTTCACGGCGTCGGTGCCCTTCTCTGACTCTGTCGTCACCGTGCCGGCGCCAGATAAGCTCACGGCGTTAGTACCCTCCTCCTCCTCTCCTTGCCATGACCTCTCTCCTTTCTCTCTCTCTCCCTCTCTCTCTCTCTCGAGGATAGCAGCATCTCGGCTCCGCTCGAACACGCCGTCCCGCCGTCCCCCCGACCACATCTCTCAGATCAACAACCTGATCAATTTCTTCACCGCCAATGAACTCCGAGCCAGACGGCATGATAATTTTTCATGACATATTGAGCTTTCTGATGCGTGTTCCTGTACTGCGCCCCTGTATATACGTAGAAGAGAGAGAGAGAGATAGAGAGTTTGCTGAGGAATTTTAATGCGGACGACTCGAATAATTTTTCAAGATATCTTGGGCTTTCAGATGCGTGTTCCTGTACTACGCCCGTGTATATACGCAGAAGAGAGAGAAATGGTAGATTGATAGAGAGAGGAGAGAGAGAGAGTTTGCTGAAGAACTTTAATGCGGACGAATCGATAATTTTTCAAGACACTGAGCTTTCAGATGCGTGTTCATGTGCTGCAACCGTGTATATACGCAGAAGAGAGGGAGAAATGGTAGATTGATAGAGAGAAGAGAGAGAGAGAGAGAGAGAGAGCTTGCTGAAGAATTTTAATGCGGGCGACTTAGTAATTTTTCAAGCCATATTGAGCATCAAGACGCGTCTCCTGTACTGCACTGGTGTATATACGGAGAGGAGAGAGAGAGAGAGAGGAGAGAGAGAGAGGAGAGAGAAGGACCTCATTACAAAAATATAATTCGATGAGGGCTTTCGGTAAAATACGTTTTTTATTTGGAGATAATGGGTGAGAGAAGGAAGTCTTCGTCATAATGGGAGGGTGATGGATTACTAAAACAGTTCCCGAGGAACACCGGGCAAGGCAGACTGTCTGAACGATAAATCTTTCGTCTTCCTCCGGCGAGCGGCTCTGGTTTTCCCCGCGCCGGTCTGCGTCGCAACGCAGGATTCCGATTGCTCGCTGGTCTGCGAAGCCCTAGAACTGTGATTCTCTCCGTTTCTCTCTACCCGTCGACCTGCTCGAGCATCGATTTCTCCGAGGCGAGGCCCCACCGGCGCGTCCGAGCTTCCGCGGTCCCTCTTTTCTTCGCCGCCGGTGAGTTTCCGATGCCCTGAGATGCCTTCGGCGACGAGCATTTGGAGCTCTTGGGGTTGCCAATTCGAGGAGATCCTGGGTACGTGCGTTTCCCCTGAGGCTGATAGAGTTCTTTGATGTCTGAAATTTGAAGTTGACCGCGTGTCGTGGCAGCCTGAGAGAAGGGGTATTGTCTTTTTCGACGGTGGGGGCGGGGGGGAATGGTGGCCAGTTAAGTGTGCTACCAGGAATGCTTTCATGGCGTTCCGGAGCTCGTTGATGTTGCGGGATTTCCGTGCTCTCTTGGCTCCTTCGGCGGGTCGAAGTGGTTGATAGCTGGCTGGTTTTCTGTGACGGAGGTAGTGTTTCTGCAAATTCTTTCCCTCTCAGTCCCTATCTATCGATCTATACACACATGTATGTGTACATATAATCAAATTGCTAAACTCCCGGTTGCATGCCAAGTTCGTTCTCCAGGACTATAATATGTGTGCGATATGAGATAATATTTAAGTTTTTCACGTTTCATCTTGCTATCGGAGTTTATTTATCCCAACGTTTGACAATTCGAGTAGTGCTGGATGAAAATTGTGTTCATTGGTGCAGTTGATACTTTTTGCCGATTCAATGAGCTGCTCCTGCTTGTCCTACTAAGCTTTTGATCTTGAATGAATACCGCTTCGATTTCCATTCCTAACATCAAAATTCTACCATTCTTCAACCAGTTTTTTGTACTTGGAGAAAAAAGAGTTCTCATGTATGTAAGGGAAACATATTCTTACCATTTGTTCCAGCTCCTCTCTGATCTTTTAGGGTGCACATCAGCCTTTTTCTTCCAATTACCTGTTCTCTCGAGGTACTCCGATTTATTTTCCTGCTCCGTGGATGATCTTGTATTAGGTCAACAGAGTATTGCGTCATTGCTCTCAGATACTCTCCTTCTTTAAATTCTCTCTTCTTTACTAGTAATACCTCTTTTATGCCAGTTCGTTATCTTGAATGGTTGCATATACTGTCAAAGGGTTTGATAAGTTTAAGAATACTCTTCCTTGGTCCAAATAATGACGTAAAAACACTGTCAAAGCAAGAAGTTTCTTGATATCGTGATAATGTTCTTCTAATTCTCTCTTCAATACTCCCCGTTTTTATAATCTTTTATGTCAATGCTTATTTTGAATGCCTGCATAGATTTTTCCCCAGAGGGTTTGGGAATGTTAAGAATAATCTCGATGGACCCAAAAAATGGAAGTACAAATACCATTTAAGAGAGAAGTTTCTTGGCATCATTATACTTCTTCTAATTCTCTCTCTGCCTTTTGGCTGCTTATCATCCCGTGGCATCTGGCGGTTGATTTTGAATTTGATCTTTTGTTGTATTCTAATACGCTAATTAGGGAAATTTACGCTTATATTTTTCCATTTATTTCTGTCTACAAGCTCTTGCAATTTATCATTGATGCAACACTTTCTATTGCAGTTAAACATGTACTCCAAGAAGTTTGCAACTATGGCCTTGATGCCGCATAGATCCCAGGGTGATGAACAGCTCAGTAATATTGGATCGTTGAGGGGTTCTCCTGTAAATAGTACGGCCTCCTCAGGAGCGGCTGGAAAGCAGCGGCTGCGGTGGACTTCAGATCTTCATGATCGCTTTGTTGATGCCATTACGCAACTTGGGGGACCAGACAGTGGGTATTTTGTGTACAGTATTTCCTTTCCATTTTCTTCCAGAAGAAAGTCATCTCTTGAGAGGAATATTTAGGTCTTTAAACAGTCTCAATTCTCATAAGAACAGAATAGTTTTACTTGACGAATTTTGCAGAGGCAGAGCTAAAAATTTCCGGAATTTGGTTAAATTTATTACGTCACTTGAATTTGGTTAATTGAAGGAATTCCATTAGCTCAATGCATTATTACCAATCTCCTGCCCCTTTTTGTTTGTTCGGGACTAATAAATATAAAAGTTTGTGACCATGCTGCAAATTTATTAGTGAAAATAATATAAATGTTTCTAATTAATAGAAATCATGGCACCCCTAAGGTTTTGATGCTCAGATGCTTTTGATGTTTCTTGTTGTACTCTTTGTTTTCAATGATGGCTTTTGACATCTGGCGCTGTCATTTGTGCCATCCCAGCAATTTTTATACCTGAAAATACGGATTACGAGACATCTTAAATTGTTTATTTTTTGTTTCTGTGTTCTCTTATGTGGTGGCATCGTTTTGCCTATGTGACAGTGCAAGGTGAAATCTTTGCACATAACAGTTTTCATCTATTCTGCCAAGGAAAACTGGTATTTTTTTAGTCAACCACATGAGCTGTACCCAAGCTTCGAAAGTCAATCCCATCCCGCCCCCCTTCCTTTTGTTGAAGCTAAATAATTGGGTTTATTAGAATCTTAGAAATCCCTTGGCCAGGTTTAGCTATCGAGTCTTTAGTTAAGCTAAGCTATCGCTTGGAAATCCCTCTTGGTCAAACTGGTGTCTTGCATTCTGGATGATGAAAACTGGCTTCTGCTCTGGTTTTCTTCATTCGCATCAGAGAAAACCAGACCGCACCGTGGATCTGGAAGGGCCAACTTTCCCAAACTCAATCTATCTCTCAGATGACCGGATCAAGCTGTTCTATGCTCAATCCGGAGTAAAAAGGCCGGCACTTCCAAAAATGGCATTATTGCCATCCAATTGGGTCCAATGCGGCGGATTTTCCCAAAAATAACACTCATTTCACAAATGAATATTTTTTATAAGACATTTTTTTAAAAACTATTTGGGTTTATTTGGTTGATACACTCGTCTTATTCCCCCCTGGCTTTTAAACAATGATGATGCTTTTATTTATATTCTTTCCTCTCTGCGAACACAGGAGCTACACCGAAAGGTGTTCTTAAGGTCATGGGTGTACCTGGGCTGACCATCTATCACGTCAAAAGCCATTTACAGGTGATCTCGTTGACTTTTTTGTTTTTTGTTTTCCCTTCCTCTCGTTAATATTTCTTATCCCACATTTTCTTCACAGACTATTAAATTGACTACTTTCGTCTTGGTTCTGGTGGCAGAAATATCGCCTTGCAAAGTATTTACCAGAATCTCCAGCAGACGGTGAGGATGAACAGCTCTGAATCACCTCCTTTTTTTTTTTTTTTAATTACCTGCTGCTAATAAACCCCCTTTTTAAAAAGGATTAAAGGACGAGAAAAGGGATTGCAACGACGGCCTTGCTAGCTTGGATCCCACATCGTAAGCTGATTACTAATTTCCAGTACTATTAGTAGAATTATTAAGCGATTTAATCGATTTTAAAATGGGTGATTATTGGTTGATTGCTCCAATCTTTCTCTTGATTAATGTCTCAGGGGGCTCCAGATTACTGAAGCTCTGAAGATGCAGATGGAAGTGCAGAAGCGGCTGCATGAACAGCTTGAGGTCCGTTCTTCTCTCTGCCGCCATTGTCGAATGCTTGAGCTCTTTTTTCCCATGGGATTTCCATCCGAGGTCCTCACATCCCGCCGCCCACTTTCAGGTGCAGAGACAGCTGCAGATGAGGATTGAAGCGCAGGGGAGGTATCTGCAGAAGATCATCGAAGAACAGCAGAAGCTTGGCAGTGCACCGTCATCTTCCAAGCCTCCTGCAACCGATGGCAACCGGACCGTCTCTGGATCCCCGTCGCCACCGCCGCCGCTGTCAGAAGAAGGCGGCGGCGCCACCACCAACACCACCCCCTCCTCCTCCCTCAAGAGAGCAAGGATTGGCGGCTCGCCGCCGCCGTCTGCTTCCTCGTCGAGCCCATAATCTTGGAAAGCTGATTCAGGATAACTGAGGAACAGGACCTTCATCCTTCACATGCAAAGTCCAGAAATGCTCTTCCTGGGCGTTGACCTTGCTTCATCTGCTCCAACCTTCTGGGTCTTTTCTGGTTTCCTCCATCTCATCTTCCAACTGGATTCCTAACCCCATACCTTGGAATCCATCTGTAACTATTTTCTTTTGTCATTAATGCTCAATTAAAGACCATGGATCTGAGGATGCCTCCTCCTCACCGGATCTTGAAGACGGAGAGATTGTCCCCTTTGACTTTCTGCAGGGTGAACGAGCCAGGCCCGTAATCATTGAGCCGCCACCGGACCGGACGGACAGAAATCGCGTGGGGGGAGAAGACAAGGAGACAGCCGCCGCAAATTTTTTTTATCGTATCCACTACTGCTAATTTTATAAAAAAGGCCTAAAAACATGTACAATTTCATCCGCGCCCATCTACAACTATCTCAATCCTTACCTTTATGAAATATAATGCTAGTCAACCCCCGTAATTAATTAATTAACTCGAAAACCTTGTTGTTCACTCATCGGTTTTACTTCAGAGGGCATTATTGTAATACGGTACATAAAAAGGGTACGTTTATACTCACGAAATGAATATATTTGTCAACAAAGGCTATCTACGTAAATATTTATTTCTTTGACCCAACTGCTCCTGCCGTCTTCTAATATGGCGGGCGCACAAGGATGGGCACCTCAGCGACCAACGTGCGCCGCGCTATCTGGAGGTCCCGTTCATCGCTCTGACTCTCTCTCCCCACCTGTCCATGTCACGCCGTTGTCGGTGGACTCGCACCGGGAATCCCGTCAGCGGTTGTGCGCTGGACTCATCTCGACCGTTGATAGGATCAAACGGTTGTGATTTCATCACGGAGAAGACGAGAGTTTCTAGGTGGATCGTTCGGTGGGCCACGAAATCAGGATCCCCGGTCAAGGTCCAAAGGGGCGTTTGGCATTTTCCGACAAGGCTCAGGTCTACGGATCAGACGGTCCTGCCACAAGGGACAAATGTGTAAGTTTTTAATATTTTGTGGGTTTTTCGTAAAAAGAGAATTGTATGGTATTGAAGATGCGCATCACGTCCGGTGAGGATGTGATCCTGTGGGCTGACTCTATAAATATATAAGAAACAGGGGAGGGAGGGGTTGACGGACGACTTCTCTCCTTCCTTTCCGGTTTTCCCCATTTCCGCCGTGACTGATTGATCGATCGATCGATCGTCGTTTCCTCCCTTCGCGATCGGGAACTCTGCGTTGCAAGAGAAAAGCCATGGGTGAACAGCTCTCCGAGGAGCAGATATCCGAGTTCAAGGAGGCCTTCAGCTTGTTCGACAAGGACGGTGATGGTGAGATCCCTATCGGCGTTCCTTCTGTCATCCCTTTTCTTTCCATCGTCTGTTCGTCAAGCTAGGTCTGTTTTCCGCGTTTGTCATAGTAAGTGTTGGACCTGATATCTGGTCTTCTGGGCTCCTTTCTGGCGTTGGATTGTTTCCCGTCACTGGCATGTGATGAACGTCGGCCCGAAGCTCATCGTTTTTCGCCTTACCTGTGTCATTTGTTTGTAGGATCTCCCTTCATTATTAAAGTTTTTACTGGAACGAGTCCTTATGCTTCACTTAGAGAAACGATATTATTGAGTATGGAGCTTGCTAATTTGTTTTCTTACTCCAGTTTATATTTTAATGCATTTATGGATAATTGCACTCCAGATTAAATTTCTGGCTATCTTCTAATTGAGTTTTTGCCCGGTTCTCACTTCGAAGGTTGTTTTACTTTCTCGTCAAATGATTGGATAAGTCCGGAGTTTTGGATTGTAATTTCCTTATTGATCTTTGTGGCTTATTTCTCTAGTTGTATCGTTCCCCGAAAATTTTCATATCGGTGTTATCTTTTTCTAAATTCCTCTCATAAGTCAGGAATACGGGAAAGGGTCTCTTGGGAGTCCAGCAAGCAAAAATATTGAATTGATCGACTCAGTTGATTGGGATAGTAGCGGTCAGCGACATAGGAATGGGGATGGGATTAGGATGGGCCGTGAGAAGAAGTCGGGTCTGATTTGACCGAGTCTTCATGCGTTAAACTTACTGTTCTGTAAAGGCATTGTCATCATAATTTATGACACGGCTTCCAAAACCTTGACCCCAGAAAACATCGTTAGAGATATTTCATGGTTGACTCTGCGTCTCTATGGCATAAAGTGCTTCAACAGGAGTCGCAACATAATGCTCTGATGCCCCCAGTCATGCTTCGATTTCTTGTTGAATCCATCTATTTGAAATGTGAGTGATATTTCCTGCATTAGTGTCTTCCTCCCGTGCATCCACAATGGCGATTAAACAGTTAGATTCTTCCTTAAAAATGTATAATTCTGCCGTTTTGATCTTAAAGCTCTTTGATCTTTAGGTGACTGTGATTTTCTCTTTACCTGCTAGCAGTTTGTCTGTATTATGTAATTCGTCTGCTTTTATGGTAAACCTGGAGTAGTTCTCGCTCAACGGCAGCAAGATCTTGGGGCTGATTCAGAGTGTACCCACATAGCAATCTCATTCTTAGAAATCGTATCTTAACCGAAACAGTAAAATTGATGCGACTATAAATCCATCACCTGGAGCCTACGACTTGAGACAGTGAGGCTGTTACCGCATAAGCCACTTGGTTACAGCTGAATTGTTTAGATCAGTGACTGGCTCACTTTGCCAATCTAGCGTTATTTTCATTGCTTCCATCCGCATCATTTAGGAACTCCCGGGTGGGGTCATCTCTTAATCTGAGACACTTTTATTTGTGAAACCCATCAAATTAAAAAAAAGGCATTAAAAAAATGTCCTCTGTTTGTTCCTGCATTTATTTATTTATTTATTTATTTTTCTTGATTTGGGTGGGTGGATCAATTCGTCTTTCAGGTTGCATCACCACCAAGGAACTGGGGACGGTGATGCGATCCCTGGGCCAGAACCCCACCGAGGCCGAGCTCCAAGACATGATCAACGAGGTGGACGCCGATGGGAATGGCACCATCGACTTCCCAGAGTTTCTGAACCTGATGGCTCGGAAGATGAAGGACACCGACTCCGAGGAGGAGCTGAAAGAGGCCTTCCGGGTGTTCGACAAGGACCAGAACGGCTTCATCTCCGCCGCCGAGCTCCGCCACGTGATGACCAACCTCGGCGAGAAGCTCACCGACGAGGAGGTCGACGAGATGATCCGCGAGGCCGACGTCGACGGCGACGGCCAGATCAATTACGAGGAGTTCGTCAAGGTCATGATGGCCAAGTAAGCAACGCAACGAAACGAAAATCCCGCTTCTTCTTCTTCTTCTTCTTCTTTCTGGGTGCTCCTATTTGATTTCCGGTCGTTCGTTCCCAGTAGGAAGGAACCATAAAAACGGCAACTTTCGGTGCTCTGTTGTTGACCCTCTTTCTCTCTCTCTCTCTCTCTCTCTCTCTCTTTCTACCTGTTTATCTGTCTCTTTCTCTCTCTTCTTTTCTTACGTCTGGTTCTCCGTGCTTAGTGCTGCTTTCCGTTAGTTGGTCTCTTCAGAAAAAAAAAAAAAAAAAAAAAAAAAAGAAGAAGAAAACATTTAGCCGCTTCACGTGTGCACTCCTTTTCGTACCACGTCGCCGTCGCCGAGTCCTCCGCCACTGCCGCCGGCGTGCAAGGAAGCGGCGGCTCAAATGATGGCCGCGTGCCGCACTGCACCGAACTGCGTGCGTCACGCATCGGAGGAGGGTCTCCTCCTCCTCCTCACGGGAAATTCTATTAAATTAGGGAAAAATTCTCTGGAGGGGACGCCAGCGAATATTGATGCATATTTATATTTTTTTATATTAAAATATATACATAAGAGGCGAAAATATTCCCGATCTGTGTGGTGAAATGCGGGTGGCACCACAATTAAAAGGCGAAAATAAAAATTCCCGATCTGCCGAAATTGGAAACTACTGCGCGCGGTCATCTAACCGCGAGTCATCTCACTCCTCCCCACCCCTTTGCCCCCTTGATCTCTCCGCTGCACCTCGGAAGTCGCGAGGCGTATCGTCACCGGGATGTAGCAGGATTCCTGTCTTCCATACCAGTCTGATCTGTGGATGCTGATGGTATTGGGGAATCGGAGTCGTGGGTGTGACATCGAACGGTGTAGAGGGCGCCACGTAGCTCCTGAGGACTTGTCGTTGTGCTTTCCAGTGGAAGACGAGTGCTTAACAAGGGAGGAGCCGGCAGGTGGAGAAGGAAGCGGCCGGCAGTTCGCAAATCACCGCCGCTCACTGCCGTGCTGCCGCCGGTGCTGTCGTCGCCGGCGTTCTTCGTGGGGATAGTTGAGTGTCTTTCTTCGAATACCTCCTGCGCCTGCTGCCGGAGATCCCGCTGGATGCATCTGCCGTTGGTTTTGCCGGCGTGTGGAGGACCGGCCAGATGCCTGCTGCGGCTGTAGCTGCCGGAGGCGGATCTCCGACGCCTGGATCGACGAAAGAACCCTAGCAGGCAGAAGAGGGGCAGAGACGGCCGTGGTGATGGAAGGTAAGCGCGGAAGATCGGCGTATGGGAGATCGGGGGAAGCCCCGGTCCTCTGCTCTTTTTTTATTTTTTTTCCTTTTTTCTTTCTTCATCTGGATGGAAGGACCGGTAGCCGCCTGACATGCATAGAAATCCTACAATTCACCCGAGAATTGTGGCATAATTATCTCCCTATTCTGGGTTGCATCTTCTTCTTCTTTTTTTTCTTTTTTTTTTTGCTTTCCTTTTTTCTGATGGAAAGGTTGATTTGCGGTGTCGGATGGACTGTCTGAACTTGAACCGGGCGAGGGGCATTATCCCCGGTGGCTAGTATTTTGGACCGACTTGACCTTTACGTTTGGCCGTTGGCGGAGGAAATGTGGGTTCGATTACCATTATCTGATATTTTTGCCGAAATTGTAAATGAAGCTTTATTGTGTTCCACTGGCCATCCATGGACTCCTGCGTTTCCTTATTTCTTTGGGATGTCTTCCACCCTAAGTTGGCCATTCTTTGAAACAGAGGCCTTTCTGATTTTCTTGGACACTTTAGTTGTTGCGGATTGAAACAAGTCATGTTCATCCTTGACGAGAAGCTTGTTGCCTCTTGTAAGTCTGATTTCATGGACTGCGGAGAGTCGGCGTAAGCTGGTTGTCTGTGAGCATCATTCTTTTTCATGGTCGGTACTCGATATTGTGCCATCAAAGACAAATGCGGTGGTGTTTCAATTCGGTGATCAAATGGCCTCTTTGTGACAGTTTTGTGCTGTGTGTTGAATGAAAGACGGTGGATTTTGCATCCAACGGATTGCCTGATCAGATCTGTCTGCCAAAGAAGAGCACCTGTAAAAGGAAGATGAGCAAAGCTAACATCATTTTTCAATGTTGTCATGAAAGATGTGGACTATTATATTGGTTGTTGAGTGTCCATGGGCGCGGGTTTCTCATAATGATTGTGAATTCATAACAAACTAAGAGGGGAATGGGTAGGGATCCTCTGAGAAGAAACAGGAAAGGTTGAACTTTCAGCACATCAGGCCGGGTTCATGTGAAACCTGGACGAAATAATTTTCAATTGTCGGAATTCTTTGTGGAGGATTAAACTATAAAACTATCTCTGTCTCTACTCCTAAAAAAAATAAACAAAAAAAGTTGAATTGCAGTTTCAGGCTTCATTTTTCGGGGAGATACATAATTAATCTCCAGCAGCATTCTTTCTTGATCGCAGGAAAAAGTTGAATTGTGGCTAGCCACCGCAGTGCTGACGCTTTCTTTCTTTTTTGGGTGAGGGCTGTGGGATAAGCATCCTTATATAGGTCGACCATAATTTTAAGCCTTCTTTATTTAATTTTTCTTTCCTCATTCGATGACCCCTGTCCTTTACCTTTGTTTCTTTATTCGTCCTGCTCAACAAAGCATGATTGGACTTGTATGTCAAATTCCCTGATAGAGCCTGACCAAGAGCTTGAAATGAAGTTCTTGTGCTCTTGTAAAATTTACTTCGGTGATTAACCTTTTAGAAGGCAGGTTAAGTCTCTTAGATTATCGCTTAAAAAGAGATTAGTACTCTTCCAGGGGAGAAAATGGCCATTGCGTTTGAGGTTGCAATTCTTGTCAGATCTTATCAGGAAGGATAGGAAGTTTCATAGACTCAAGGTGAAGAAGGCAATTGAGAGTGGACGAGGTGACATTTTTTTAAGTGGTTTCTTTTGGGTATTGGTAGTAGCCACGGCTGTCACCAAACGGACCTGGGGATTGCTATTCATTTCAAGGTTTTCTTCTGCCTTGAGAGTAAATTGGCCTCTGTGAGTGGAGGGCGAGTATTTGAGAAATTTAGGCTAACGATGACTTCCGAATTTCTGTTTCTGTTCACATAATATTTGTGATGAAGTTGGTGGTGGCCACAGACTCTACTGGAAGATGTCATAATGGAGCTTCCAGGAACTAGACTCGCACATACAAAAATATCAGTGCTTGTATACAGGTTAATTATTCATGTTGGACGCGTTCATATATAGATTAGGACTCATGTTCAACAGACGAATTCACTAAGTTTTTTTTATTTTGGACATTATGGTTTTTTTTTGGGAGAAATCTCTAAAGTTGTGTACACAATTGAGAATTATAAATGCATTGGATTCAATCTCATGTTCTGACACTGGTAACTGGGAAGCAGACTGTCGCTGTGACTGTGAACATTTAGTGCCATTGGCAAAGATAATGTTATCAACAGTAACATTAACATTGCAATGATTTTATATTAGGTTAATCCAAATGATTTGGCTGCATAAATGTTGTTTTCTAGTTTCAAAGAAAATTTTGATGAACCTGAGATGCTTCTATGTGAATCAAGGTTTGACATGTCTTATAATAGGCACCACATTTATCATGGGGACTACATTTCATTAGTGTTTTTAAAGTCATTTATCGCATGAAATTATTCACCGAAGTCGAAAGAATATTTAGCTGTTGATATCCTAATGCAAAAAGAAATCTTATACAGGTTAGACATGTATCTTTTTAGTTTATTTTATATTTATTTACTTGATGAGATTCTATAGCAATTTCATAGTCCCATTTTGAAAAAGATGCGTACCCTCATCACGTATTTTTTTTGTGTTTCATAGCTCTGCTCTTCAGTAAAAGAGTTGTAGTCAGCTCATTTTTTTTATTTCATAGAACTGGAATTCTGAGGTGAACAGAAAATGTTCTAGACCTGTAAAATTTTCTGTTGAGTCTAGAACTGAATGAAGTTGTAAATAAATTATGATGGCTTCATTATAAGCAATCTGGCATTGTGGAATCTCTACTTCTTCATAAATCTATGGTGGGCAGCTGGGTGCATAGAGATACTTAAACGATGGGAATGAGAAGTAGCAGAAGATAATCTTGATGCTCAGATAGCTTTGAGAAACGTATTTCATTGCATATTATCTGTCCCTTTCGGTAAGCAAGCTCTAGGGTCATTATATGATGATGGAGGCATAGTTACAGCCGGTAATGAATAACTAAAGTGGTCAATGATATAAAGTCATTCGATACTAGGCTGTGGTCATCTTATTTCAGTTTCTTTTCTTCTATTGGCTATTATGTATTGCAGAAGAAACTTTCTTTCCTCGTAAGGTGCAAGGAAGGTCTTATCTTGTTCATTTGTCGGTTTGTCCAAACGTTTGGGAATCCTGTACTTTATTTGTTCCCAAACACAGCGCATTTTGTGCCTCTGTTCATAATTATCTCATGGTTTTGTGATAAATTATTTCCTTATTCTTTGCTTTTGTACTTAGATCTATTCGTTCCTCTGTTATCTTTTGTATTTAGAAATTCTATCAGATATGGCTGGTATTTTTGTCAAATCTTATTCTGTAACTTTATAGTTTCATCCACAATAATTGGTTTTCTTGGCTATGCCCCGAAAAACAGCACATATCATCAATTGCACGAACCTCTTTAGGGCACAGTTAGTGCTTTGCTCAGTTAATGCGTTATTTCTACCAAAGATTTGCATTTCATACCTTTGGAGTATCCTCAGGATGCTTCATTGTTTGCCACACCAAAAGAGTTATGTGAACAGAGATATATGTTCATCTTTCTGCAGGTGGATCTCCGGGCCATGAATCAGTGGGGTCCGTGCTGAAAAGATCGAGTGCATCATCTGGTGGGCGGCCCCACCGCTCATCATCCTCTGGCAGGAGGGAGTTTCTCCGGAAATTTGTAGACAGTGAGATTCTGACGGCAAGACTCGAAGACTGGCTTCTGGGGATCCCTGAAGAGTCCGGATTTAGAGGGCCCTTCTTTGATGTTCCGTTTGACCTATCAGAGCTCCAGAAATTTGACTATGCACTCGAAGGGGTCCCCTTCCAGCAGCTGATCCGAATGCCCAATGCAGTCTACGCGTCGACATCAGACGCAATCGAAGCAACTGCCCATCTGGCCATAGAAGACTTTCTGCATGCAAGCGTGAAAGGCCTGTGGGAGACGTTCTGGGGTCAGGATGTCCCGAATCCCTTCTCTGTGGCCTGCCTACACAGCACGAGCTCCAAGTTCTACCCTGCAGAGAAGGCGATTGCGAGCGGGAAGCTCGACGGGCTCTGCGGGACCGCCGTCTTTCTCAAGAGCAGCAGCCATTCTCATGGAAGGTGGGACCAGATTGTTGAGATAGCTCTTCTGAGGCCCGACATCGGAACACTCTCGCAGTCCGCTGAGCAGCAGCCCTCCATCTCCGCCCTCGGGGAAGCCCTCTTCTTCGCCCTGCGTGTGATGGTGTCCAGAAGCCTCAGCAAGTCCGATGCCATCGCCCGCAACTCTGATCGGTGCTTTGTGCTCCTTGTCGACTCGCAGTGTGGCGGAGTGGTGAAGGTCGAAGGCCATGTTAGTAAGCTGAGGTTTGATTCCAGTGATGTCTATGGAAGCGCAGTCGAGTGGATCAGAGACCACGCCTTGGTTAAGGTATCTTCTGTCGATCAGATATGGAACAAGCTTGGGAATGCCAACTGGGGCGACATGGGCACTCTGCAGGTGCTTCTGGCGACATTCCATTGTATCGTTCAGTTCTGCGGGGAACCAAACCACACGGTGGATGATCTGGCCGGCAAGCACAGCTCCCATCTCAGAAGCCGAAGGGTAGAGAGGGAGCTAGGAGACACCCATGCCAACCATGCCAACGGAGAAGACGGTCCCCTCCATTTTCAGAGATCCAGAGCTTCTCCTGAAATCGTGGAAGTCAAAGAAGACTCCTTTCTCCCCGTTGAAGTCGAGAAGACGCTAAACGTCGAGGTGGGCTCGGTGCTGTGGCTGGACGATTCCAACTGGCAGAGGGGGTTCGAGATCAACCAGGTCCTGAGCCACAACAGTGATCTTCCAGTCTACTGCGCCTCCTCCCTGGACGACCCAGGGAGGGCCCTCTTCCTGTACATCGGCTCTCCTCCATCGCACCTGGAACCCGCCTGGGAGGACATGAACCTGTGGTACCATGTCCAGAGGCAGACGAAGATCTTGACCCTGATGAAACAGAGAGGGTTGTCCAGCCGATACCTCCCCGAGCTGGTCGCCTCTGGCCGCCTGATTCACCCTGGAGAGCCGAGTCAACCAGGCCCGAGCCTCAGCTCCGGTCAACCACTGCCAGGGACCCCAATACTGGTCACATCCCCACTCGGAGAAACTGTTTCAGACCTGCTAAGAAATGGCTTGTTCGGCCCAGACGACGCCCTCAGATGCTGCCATGACTGCTTGACTGCCATTTCTATCTCTGCCTCAGTGGGGATCAGGCATGGAGACATCCGCCCAGAGAACGTGGTCCGTGTGAGCTCCGGCCTGAAGGGGCCCCCTCACTACGTGCTGATAGGCTGGGGGCACGCCGTTGTGGAGGACAGAGACCGGCCCGCCATGAACCTGTTCTTCTCTTCCACGCAGGCCCTCCAGGAAGGGAAGCTCTGCGCGGCGTCTGACGCGGAGAGCCTGGTTTACCTGCTGTACTTCGCTTCTGGGGGCGTCTACCCTAATCTGGACTCGGTGGAGGAGGCGCTCCAATGGAGGGAGACGTCTTGGTCGAAGAGGGTCATCCAGCAGAGGCTTGGGGACATCTCAGCCGTGCTGAAAGCCTTCGCCGACTATGTTGATAGCCTCTGCGGGACCCCTTACCCGATGGACTACAGCATTTGGCTCAGAAGACTGAGACGGGCCATGAACGAAGAGGACCACGGAAAAGAGATCGATGCTTCGGCCTGAAGAGATTTCTCTGCTGGGGATTTTTGGGTCTTCTTCTTCAGACTCTGAAGGGTCTTCCGGGGCTCCTGAAGCGGATGTGAGTACAGAGCTAGGGTTCTTTCAGTTCCTTGTTTGGCCGGATTGTGGGGCGTTGTCTGTGAGTGTTCTTAGATGGTCGCCGGCCCCGCATCATCTGCTGAATTTGTAATTAGTCCCCAGAAGATTGGTCATAACCTCCTTGTAATTAGAAGCTCGTGGGGTATTCCCATGGTTTCTTCAGAGTTGCTGCTTTCTCCTTCCGGGTGGTCCTCTTGTTCGATCGAAGGGTGTAACTGTAACTAGTCCAGCTGTGGCTTCTACTGATTCTTCTTCCTAGATTGGGGCAAATCTATGAGCTTTTCTTTTCATGGGCTACTCTCATTTCTTCTCGTGCTCTCTCTCTCTCTCTCTCTCTCTCTCTCTTTCTCTCATTCATCTCTCTGCGATCAGTGAGGGTGGAGAAGGGCAAGAGGTTTTTTTATTTGATTTATAAACAGCTCTCCGCAGAATCGACAGCAAAGCCACGCAAACTCTCCCGGTCGAGGAAGACCGCCGCCTCTCGCGCTCTTCAGAGGGTCGTCACGCTCTTCGCAAGGTTCCGCGGCTGGTCAACGTCGAACCCCCGCAGCACCGTCAGATGGTACGCCAGCAGCTGAAGAAGAAGAAGAATCAATAAAGAGGGTGAGAGAGAGAGAGAGACAGAGAGAGAGAGAGAGAGAGAGAGAGAGAGAGAGAGAGAGAGAGAGAGAGAGAGAGAGAGAGAGAGAGAGAGAGAGAGAGGGTAGTTCATCCCGAGTTTTCTAAAAACTCACACTTTGGAAGAGTTGGTGAGATGTTAAACCAGGAGGGCAGGTACCTGTAAAGGAATGATATTGATCACGGGTTGGAGGCAGTCGGCGACCTGAGGAACCTCGATCACCCGGCACGAGCCGCCGGGGCAAACCAGAGAGGCGTCCCCCTCAGAACACATCACGACCAGACGGCCCTTTCGCGCCCTGAGCTGCTGGATGACCGACTGCTGTTTGCTGTCGATAAAGATCACCACCGAGAACAGAATGTCAATAAAGATGGAGCAAGGAGCGGACTACCGAAATCGGGATTCGGCCACGGGAAGGGCACCTGAAGCAAGAATCGCGGGTGGCGATGACGATGATGGGGAGGGTCTCGTCCACCAAGGCCAGAGGTCCGTGCTTCATCTCCCCCGCCAGCATGCCTTCACTGTGCATCAGCGCAACCTCTTTCACTTTCAGGGCACCTTCGAGGGCCGTCGCGTAGTTGTAGCCTCTCCCGAAGACGAGGAGCGACTGGGCATCGATCAACGACTTCGCGAGGTCATTGATCTGGCCGTCCAGCTTCAGGACCTCCCCGACGACGCCTGCCGAAGGAAATTTAGAGCTAGTGAAAACCCATTAATGGCGGGAGTCCGATGTTCGGTAGCAGACGCTGCTTACTGGGCAGTTTATACAGGCCGTCTATGATCGACTCCCTCCTCGCTTGGTTGGAGATCCTGTCGTCTCCAATGGCCAACGCCATCATCGTCATAACCACAATCTGACTCGTGTAGGCCTGCCAAGACAGCACACAACACAGTCAAGAACTAGAACAAAACCCACCATGATTCTTTGTTCTATCAATGATTCTTTGTCACCTTGGTGCTGGCCACCCCGATCTCACAGCCGGCATTTATGTGGACGCCGCAGTGAGTCTTCCTGGCCAGCGCGCTGCCCACTGTGTTGGTGATGCCGACGCAGAGTGCCCCGTTTTCCAGAGCATAATCCAGAGCGAGCAGAGTATCTGCGGTTTCCCCAGACTGACTAACAAAGACCGCAGTATCTTCCCTGTATATCGGCCCTTCCCTGTCCAGCAAGTCGCTCGCAATCTCCATAGTCACGGGTATTCCTGTTTTTTTTTTTTTTTTTTTTTTTGGTTCAAGGAAAATAAAGAGTTGGTTTTTAGGTGACCCAACATGCTGAGCACTTCATCTAGAACAGGGAGATCTTCAGAGATAGAGAGCACCAACCGGAGAGCTCCTCGAGAAAGGGCCTGGCAGCTAGAGCTGCATTATAACTGGTGCCACAGCCTATGAAGACGACTCTTCTGCTGTGTCTGATAGTCTTCAGGTGATCCTTGAGCCCTCCCAGGATGACGCTCTTGTCTTTGAGCCTGCCCCTCATGGTGGTGGTCAGGGAATGCGGCTGCTCATGGATCTCCTTCTGCATGAAGTGGTCGTAGTTCCCTTTCTTTATCTGCTCCACCTCCATCTCCAGGAAAGAGAGGGCCCGCTGAACTGATGCGGGCTTCTCTTTTCCGTAATCAAACTTGAGGATCGATACAGAGCCATCCTAGTAAGATCAACGAATAAAAGTAAATGCCTGCCCAGCATTCAAGATACCCTCAGAAAATTGTAGAGATAGAGAGCAGGGAAGAGAATGGAATGGGTACACAGATTTTTCTGAGAATTTCATGGAAAATAAAAAAAATTATAGAACACTGTCATAATTTTAAGGAAAATTATGACACAGTGAGTAGCATTGCTTACTAGGATTGTGGAAGTTCTGGAATACATGGAGAATCTAGCCGTGGCATCATGCTACCATAATCGACAGAGAATGGAATGGGTACACAGACTGGTTAATGCTTCGAGACAGGGTGATGATTTAGTTTATATAGAAGTGCTTAAAAACTACTGCTGTGGTTCAGATTGTAGTGCATTCATTGCAACCATCAAGAACACTACTACTGTCACAGGTGATATACTGGAAATAACACTAGTTTCTAGGGTGGTCCCTGACACCTAAAACTTAACATCAAGAACAAATATATAATAATATAAAATCAGCTGAATCATGAAAACTGTCCATAGATCAACCCAGCGTGATAAGGCTAAGTATGCACAGTCATAGCAGCCATGCCAAATATAGAAAAACAGGGATCACTGTCCGATGGTTCCACGAATACTAGATTCTTTTAAAATAAGAAATCAAATGGAGCATCTTTACCTTAATATGCACAACTTCATCATCTTCAATGGCCAAATACTTCTTGGTGTGCTCCACAATAGCACAGAGGTCGCTAGAAAAGAAAAGCTCCTTTGGTTTTCTGTTTTCTGCCAGTGAAGTCGCATCGTGAAACGGTGTATAATTTTTGGCGTCTTCATTGACATCCTGAAGATGGAGAATTTCTTTTTCGAATTAGCTGTAGACATTTGTATGCAATCTCAGATAAACTCTTAAGCAACGCATATGAGACAGTATAACAAGATACATCAGAATGGAAAAGGTCCAAAAAAGCTAAATGAAAGAAACTATCCAAAGTTCTCATAACATAGTTCGAGAAATATTTGGAAAAATATATATTTAGACGCTAGAACACCTAGCTTGCCGAGATATAACATCCATTTTCAAGTATGCCCCTTGGAAGATAACTTAATAATGATCATCTTCCTGTGATTAATGAGGAATGCGGACAAAGCAGAAGAAATATGAAAGCCTAATTTTGCAGCATCCATTAAATAATGGAACAAAGCTTATTGCAAATGATGGAAAGATGGTGATGCTGCACATGTCATACCCATGCGTTCATATTAATAATATAGACAACAGAGAATGACATGTTCATATTATAAGGCGAACGATGCCACACTTGTTATTTGTATATATGTTCTATGCATTCATATCCAGGAGATCCCACTAAATGTAAATCTTGATACGCTGATTTTTTTTAACACAGAGAAAACCTATAAGGTTGACAGCCTCTATCCACCCAGGACAGATAAGACTGGGTTGCCCATAAATTAATAAGTAAGAAATTTGAGAAAATAGAAAAATACGACTAAATACACAACCTTCATCAAATGATCCATGCCAATGATTTCTAGGAGGGACAAACAGAAATAAGACAATATGGTTTTGAAAAGGATTGATACATCTGTCATTCAACTTAGAGTGCTTCGTAGTGAAGTTGACTGAGGAACATCATATACCATTGAGGATTATACTCCATTCAAAGCATTCATTTCAAGAGGCAATGAAAAAAAAACCATGAAATTATTGTGGGAAATAGCAGGGATCAATTAAGCTTTCCTTAACACCCAAAAGCAATGTGCTTCCACGCTTGCATGCAATCAATTCATTTGGGTAGTGTGGGCTTTTGAAAATAAGTGCATAGGCTCCTTCAAGCTGCCTAATGACCTCTATAACAACTTGACTAAAGGTAACCATCTGGTCCCCTGCATGAAGCAAAGAAAAAGGTAAGACGAATTCCACAGAGAAAAATAGATGGCAGTAACGAGCTCAGGAATCCAGTTAGAGAAAAAACAGTGACTCCATCAAAAATAAATAAAAAATCCCAACTAATATTTTTCAATCTATACCTCTATATAACTTTATTTATTCAAAAATCTAGGAAACGTTCACTGGCTGCCTAATGCTTGCCATTCAAGCAACACTCTGAGAAAATATGAAGTGTCCATAATCATAACCTTTTAAAAATTTATCCCTAGTTTATAGGCCATATCCATTAAATAATCCACTGTTGCGGAGCTCTTGGAATGCAGTAATTCTTGGGTAAAAGTCCCACATGTTTAAATAGGTGTAAGAACAGTTATCTCCAATCAACCTAGTTCAAGCTGCACAAGTTGGATTAGTACTAGGTAGATTTTATGTTCTATAAAATACACGAAATTTTTTAAGAATATTTCGTTTTGTATATTTTCAAACATAATGGTTTAACTCGTGCTCTATGGCTGAATTGCATTGATACATGTCTGTTTTCATGCATTGTCACCTATCAAACTTCTATTTACTAAAATTCTCCAGCTATTTTGGTTTCTCCAAAATTGTAGACTTGCTGAATTTTGAAAAGAAGCACTTACCATCCCCATCATGAGCCTTGTCAAAAACAAACTTTGCGAGCTTTGGGATAACTTCGGTATCAGTATCGGATTCGAAAATGAAACCATGTCTGATCAAGGTTTCTTTTAAGACCTGAAGAGAAATGTAACACAAGGAATGTAAAGGTAGAAACGACATTAATGGCTGATAAGCACTCAAGTATATTTACTTTGCATACAAAAGAATATGCTGATACATTAGTTTATCAAAAATACGAGGTGAATACTTCGGTATGTGTTACTGCTCCAAAAAACTTCGTTTGAACCTCCAAATTCTTTTAGTAAAGGGAAGTAAGTCTACTCTCACATAAAAAGAAAATTCAAACGATTATAATGCGCAAGTGACGGCTTGCAAATCTAAGAATCACAAAGATTTATGATTCAAATGTATTTTAAAACATTCGTTCAACAATGAAATCCAGGCGTTTACGCCTTCCATTAAAAAGTTGATGAAAAATGTACTAAAAAATGGGAAAAATAGTAACATTTCTAAATAATTACTCGTAAACATATCTCTGATACATCGACATAGAGATCATAAATCCTGCTGCATAAATTGCCAGAGGGAGGGCAATCATAGATAAGCATATAGAGTAGGTTTAAGGAATTCAAATGGATAGCTGTTCATAGAATGATTTCGATTGTATGCTACCATCAGATTATGAAAACAATTGATTATGCTATTGAATGTCCTGGAGCGTTTGAGTGCTCAAAGAAAAATTTAGTCATCAAAAACTGCTTTCGTAACCAACAATATAATGATAAACATGAACACATCAAGTTCGCATGGGACTGCACAAAAAAAGAAGGTTTATCACAAAAAAATCACCTCATAATTCGTTATAATTCCATTATGGACGACCAAGAACTCATTATATTCACCAGACGTCTGCGGATGGCTATTTCTTGGAGCAGGGACGCCATGTGTGGCCCATCTTGTATGTGCGATTCCCGCATGAACAAAAAATGACTCCTCTAAGTTCAAGTCCATTGCATCGACCTCTATGAATAATAAAAGAAACCCATTGATCAGCAAATACTAGGTTGTATCGCAGAAAAAGATAAAGGCATTTTCTAGAAAATGGAAAGCATATACACAAATATCTTGCACGGAAGGAATACTCTTGATGGTACTATATACCTGTATATATATATATTACCAAGAACCTTGTATATGTAAAAACAAAGGATTTCTGTCGGTAAAACACCCAATAGATAATTAATATATTTTTAATCAGCCGCAATAGGGACCAACCACCATTGAATTCTTATGACCTCAATCATCAGTCAATTATCCATACATAAAATAACTTATCAGTTGCAATCGTGCAAATGATGTGATCAAAATTGACATGCACTGGAAAAAAATTATTAGATAAGGCTTAAAAAAATTGATTATTTTTTTTTTACTAGTGACAAGTTTATGAGTGTTATCGATGCCACTATTACTGTTGATCACCTACATGATGCATCCTGCAGTGTACAGGAAAAAATCTAAGATCAATAAATGGGTGACGATAAGGAGCATCACAACAAACTATAGAGAAGCAAGTGGCTTTCTAAAACCCCAAACCATGACATTCCCATCATATGACTCTCATTTCATTCTAAACGTACAAAAGGGGAGAAATGCAGTTTCTCTCTCTCTATCTTGACATATTCGGGCCCACTTAAAAAAAAAAGAAGAAAGCTCAGGAATCTCTGTTTTGCAAGATTTCTATGATCTCTCCATTGTAAAAGAGATTAACCCCACTGAAAAAGATAAACTATGGTGATTCACAAGGTTCTGGAGACCAAAGAAAAGTCAAAAGGGAAGACAAAATCCGCCAACTGCTCACCTGACAGATATTACCAGGAAACCAAAGAAACAAACAAAAATAGTCCCGACTATGCAAACAAACAAGTTGTTCAGTGATAGTGAATAAGCATGTGTATCATCAGGGATATGAAAAAAAAAAGAAAAGAGAGGAGGATTTGCTATCTTTAAAAGCGACGATGAACTGATTCCAGATTCGGAGTCGAAGAGAGAAGAGGTTCCTGTGGGTTTCACAGCATTCCCGTGAAAAATGAGCGTTTAGTTATGAAGCCGGAGTATCATCGGTATTTGATAGGACTGAAGCACCCCTTTGCCCGCGGCCAAGGACCGGCAGACGCTGAGAAACCAATGCCTCACTGTAATGCTTCCCCAATACCTCTTTTACCACGCGGGCAACACATCATAACGCTCGAGGTAGGAAGTTTTTATCGATTGTTCGCATCAGAGATATCTTAAGGGTTCTACAGAGCGTGAAAAGAATATTAAATTTAATTAATTCATTTAATTATGTCTCATATGTCAAATCCGAGTGATCAAGCAATTGCAATGCAAAGAAAATTCAGGTTTATGAGCAGGATGAAGAACCGAAGAGCAAAGAGAATAGACATATGGACGTGGGTCTCTGAATCCACGATGAGGTTAACTTGATCAAACCATTACGAGAAGAAGAAAAATAAATAAAAATACAAATCCCGAGGGTTTGCAGTCATCTCGATCCGCAGAATTCCCGAGATCACGACCACTGACCTGTGTAGACCGACCCCACGAGAGACTCGATCTTCCCCGCTTGGCGGAACATGAGAGGCGGAGGCGAATTGTACGGTGGTCTGCTCGTTGCCGCGTCTTCGTCCAGTACAACGTCAGCGCTCCCGCCTTTCAACGGAGCGGGATCGGAGTCGATGGCAACGCCCGAGGAGTCGTAGCCCCTGTACTCTAGCCTCCTCAGGCCATTAAAAAGTACCTCCAGTATGTATCTCCTCTCCCTCGCGACATTGTAGTTGAGATAGGCGAAGATGCCGCACATGATTCCCTCCCTCTGCCTCTCTGCCTCTCCGCTTCTCCGCCTCTCCGCCTCTCCGCCTCTCTCCCTTCGCTCCCGTCCCCGATTCTGCTGGACTGTCAGATCCGACGAGACCAATGATTACATGTAAAGATCGTACTTTTAATTTTTTTTTGAAAAGAGTAACTTTTCAATGGCGGTGAATGTTGAGCTGACGGAAACACGCAGAAGACAGCAGCCGTTTCTTCCTCGGTTCTCCTCGGAGCGACGCCGTTTCAGCCCGCCGCTGCGGAAACATCCAGATGGATCCAGCGGCGGCGCACGGCCTATAGCAGCGCTGCGCGTACGTGGCCGTTGACTTTGACCATTGAACATCCAGATCACCGTCCGATTGTGGGGCCTTGTGGAATTATCAAATGGGCCCCCTGGCGGTCCGATTGGAAACGTCCTATACACGAGGGCCCAGTTCGCGTATCACCACGTGCCCATACACTGATGCGTTGGATAAAGTAAACACTGTGCAGAGTTGACCCGTATATAGCCAAAGGTCAACTCATTTTATCCTTTGGTCCCGAAAGCCAAATGATAGGCCAAAAGGGTTGGGCCCTGGCGGTTGGTCCGATTCGAAATGTCCTATCCACGAGGTCTGGGCGTAAAAGCATGTGCCCATAAACTCGTATGCACTGGATAAGGTAAAAACTATAGAGGGTTGACCCCGTTTGTGGACAAAAGCCAGCGCATTTTAGCCATGTTCACGAAAGCCAAATGATAGGCCAAAAGGGTTGGGCCCTGGCGGTCGGTCCAATGGGAAATGTCCCAACTCCGAGGCCTAGGCTCACTTCGCGTAAAAGCACGTGCCCATAAGCGAGCTCATTATGCGCTGGAAAAAGTCAAAATTGTGGTGGGTCGGCCCGCTTATCGAAAAAAGTCAACGAATTCGGCCTTAGTTCGCGAAAGCCAAATGATAAGTCAAAAGGGCCGGGCCTTGACCTAAAACATACAGATTCACCTTTCGATTGTGGAGCATCGTGGAATTATAAAATGGGCCCTGGAGATTTGTCCAATTGGAAATGTCCTACAGACAGTTCGTATAAAAGCACGTGCTTACAATCTCATATCCGGTAGATAAAGTCAAAATTGTGGACGGTCGATCAGCTTACCAACAAAAGTCAGCGCATTTTAGCCTTCCTTGGATCGACCCAGTTCGCGAAAGCCAAAATGATCGACCAAAAGCGTTTGAGCCGTCAATGCGGCAGTGGGTCGGTTGCACTGTGATCTAGGGACAGGAAGAGCCCGCCAAAGTCGTAATTTTCTTCAGCGGAGCTGACTATGACTACTTTTAGGTTGACTTTGAGCAGACGCACTCCTAACAAGACGGCCACATCGGCCGTCTGTGGCTTTACCCGGTATCGAAGTCAACCAAAGTCAACATGTGATCAAACTGGAATAAGTTTTCTCCCTGTGATTCTCCCGATCAGAAAACACAGGTCTCGAGAGAGGAATGGAAGAAGATAGAAAGTCCCAAGCTTTATATACAACTAACATTCTCCTCAAACGCATATATGTATATATATAAATATATTCTTTTTTTTCTTTTAAAAGGAAAAAGTGATATATTCCATAATCTTCTTCCGGCCGGTCGGATGGCTTCCAGCTCACGAAGCGGAGGTCAGCGGAGCGAGGAAGAGGTCAAACGAGGTGAGGGAATGGGCGGGGAGAAGCGCATTCATCTCTGTTGAGGCGCTTGGGAAGCTCATCTCCTTCGCCGTCACCTGCGGAGCACGGGATCTCAATGGCCCCCGGATTTGAAGGAGAAGGGTGAACGAGGGGGAGAGGTCAACGGGATGTAGTTACCTTCTCGGGTTCACCGAAGGAGTTCTCGTCCATTGGATTGATTGAGGTGAGTACGGTCTTGAACGACATCAGAGGGTTGACCGAGGCATCCAACCCGGTCACGGAAATCTTCACACTCACAGTTTTAGCCAGAACGTTGACAACCTGCGTCGAGAATTCAGTGATCTGACTCGTGCAAGCCGGCAGAAGTCAATTCAGTGGTCAACCCAATATGAGAGGAATTACCTTGACTCTGAAGTAGATCTCGTCCTCCGAGCATCGCCACTTGATCGCAGACGCAACCAACGAGTTCGAAGGGTTGGAAACCATTTTAATGGGGAATATGACCGCGCCACTCGATTCCGTGAAGAACTGCTGCATCCAGTAGGTGGGAGTTCCGTACAGCTGCCATGAGTTGAAGACGATGGCATCTGGAGTGAACCTAAATTTAGAAGGTCGCTTCAGTCCGGAGAAGACTCGGAAACCCAGGAAGAATTCCCAAAAGTGGCAGCGGAGGAGGCTCGAAGGAAGAGAAAACACGGAGGCCAGAGGTTACCGCCAATCGTTGTCGTTGACCAAAAGCGGCGCATTGCTGGCCATCTCAACGACATCACTGCAGCGAGCCAAGAGGGAAAGCACTCCACTCATTCCATCCGAAGTCAACGTCAATAACAAGAGTCAACGGAAGGGAAAAGGCGCACCTGTTTACTTCCAGACCGATGAGGAACGCGGCCTGCGCTAGTGCCGCCAAAAGGCTCCCTCTTCCAGCATCCCTTCCGGTGACAGCATACTCGCTGACGAAGGCCTAGGGTTCATCCCGTCGGGGTGGATTGCATCAAGTTGTTCTAAAAAAGGGTCAACGTTATGTATCTGATGCTGTTGGGTCGTACCTTCGGACCGACGCGCGGTGTGTGATCAAAGTGGTGGGCCATTGAGATCATGCCGTTGGCAGAGGTGTAAACCTGTCCGAGGATCAAAGTGGTGGGCCATTCAGATTTTTCTCGATATCTCTTGAGATTTCTCGAAAAAATTGAAGGAAATCATCCCCACATGTTCTTACATGGAGGTCGTACAGATCTGCCGGATGATCCAACCTGCCGGAGGAGGCGTCACAGTTGGTGATGACGTTGATATCTGGGTATGCCGTCTTCAGTGCGGAGTAGAACTTGTTGTAGTTTCCTGATCACTGGAGTAGGTTAGAGAGCGTGGACTGGGCTTCTTTCTGAAAATGTAAACCTTCTTGCCAATTTCTACAAGGACGAAAAGGTAGTAATCTACGAAAAAAGCAAGAACATTTTAAGAAAGAAAGAAAGCATTCCCACTTCGGTACCATGAATGTTTTGCAATGTTTTTTTTTTTTTTGAAAACATCTTTGTAAGCACATATTTTCTTTTTAGTAATTAGTATGAGACTATTCAGAAGTCAGAAATGAGTATCAAATCACGTTTAAAAATATACTTATATTTCAGTATGAAATCATATCACTTAGTAATGTGCTCAAAACTAAACAAATTCATGCATCTAATCAAAGCTTCAACTTGCATGATGATCACAGCATAAAAATATTTTGATTTCTTATAAAATTCATCATGATGATGAATGGCCTATCTATTTTTTTAAGGTAATAAAGAATAACGCATTTTGACAAAAATTGGATAATGCAATGCTTAAAGAAAAAAAATAGCACATCAGGGAGGAAAAAATTTCAAATAATCGAAAATTTCGAAAGGAACGGCCTACTGCACTCGTACTTGGCCTCTTAGTCGTCAATTAAGGAAATAACTTGATTTCTAGCTAATAAATTGGGGACGAAGACATGATTAGTCCAATGTTATTTTGACTAGTAAGCAGGATACAATATACGCAAGGAAGAGAGCAGTGTTTAGATTGCTGAGAATTGTCAGAACGAATCAATCGCATGCAGTTTCGAATCCCTAGTCCCAGACAGACATAGTAGGTTGAGTCAGAAACCACAACAATAGCGACAACTAAAATTTTTGCCGTCTTTGCTAAGGAATCTCTAGAACTCACGCCACTTTACCTGATTTCAAGGTCCTGAATTTTATGCAAAGAAAGTACATGTTCAAGGAATTATCAATCCCTAGGCTTCAGACTATCAAGACTATCAAAATGTTTTTAAGTGTTTATGCAATGCGCATCTTGATCGACTTGGTTGATTCGAACTCCTTTTTATGAATTGATAACGCATGCGACATGTTTTAGAGATATCCATGTGTTAGAACTCAAAAGTAATTCAATATTATGTACCATTTCCTTTCACAGTAAACGTATCCTCATTTCAGGTTACTTCTCGAAAATAACTTTGGAAACTTCCTTGCGCTGGAATGATAAATAGAAGATTCGCCAATAACAATACAAGGGTGTTTCATACTTAATCAATATATCATTAGCATATGTGCATATCAGAGATACAGCTATGAAACACTACAGCCGATAATTACAAACATTTTTATAAATGTGATTAAATCCACATGAGATATGCCCATGTGATGTTTTCTGTTATTCCCTCTCTTAAAAAAAGTTTGACCGGACACATTATTGAATAATTTGTACAAACGGAAATACGTAAAAAAAAAAAAAAGGTTATAGAATTCACCTATATAGTTCTTTTTCGAGCAATCCTGGTTCCCAATTGCGACGTATTTCAAGTCAAAGGGTTTTGGATGGCCCATTGCTGCTCGAACAGAACCCCATGTTGAACTAGAAGACCCTCTAGCGAATTCTATGCTATCGAGAAGATCCTGCGTTGACATAATTTATTTATCAGATCACAAAGTATCAGCGTTCACGGTTCCAGTTTTTTAAGAGAATTCGGGATTAGACAGACACTAACATATTGCACAGCAGCAGTTATTATGAGTTGATTAAGCATAAGCTAGCTAATATTGTCAGTCTTTTTAAAAAAATTGCGTCTGGACTGAAATTCTGACTCGACGAAGCACAATTAATTCGCTTCAAAAGTCTAACTACCTACCTACAGAGCGAAGACCTGATTTCTTTTTTTTCCAAAATAAACTGTAAAAAAGGATAGCAAAAAAGAATCTGACTGAGCAGAGATTGGCTTCTATCAGTAAAAATGAAAGCATCACCTTTGTAGATCATTCATCCATGAATTTTAGTTGTGAAACCCTGCTTTGCATACCAGGTGACTAAAAATTGGCAGAGACCACGATTTTACAAGTTTAGCCGAAGTTTGAATTGAATTCATGCAGCATTCCCTTTTGGAATTTTCATAAGAAGCTAACACAAAGCCAAAATTTTACATCTGGTACAGTCAAAAAATTGTGTAGAAGAAAAATAATATACACTTCAAATTTCTCCAAAATACGTCTTGATAAAGAAATTTTATGATTTAAATGTTGCGTAAATATGACTCGAGTCCCTGATCAGTAAACCGTAGAAACCATAGAAAAATAAACTTCAGTGGTAGAACAAAATGTGATCTTCTTTCTCGATACCATTTATTCATTCAAGAATTCTGATGCGACTATTGTATAAATGAGCAAAGCAAATGAAGATTTAGACACTGGACCCTGAAACCCAGAGTTGACTTTAACCAAATCCATAAACCTATGATAAAAAGATAGATCACATGTAGAAATAAATTCAAGTGCATAACTCTCATGCCTGTATAAATAAATGAAGTATACATGGGTTTCGCGTACTTCATAATGACCACATTAATTACCATCCAAATAGAAGAGTTATTCAATAAAGAGTTCATTGCAATAAGTCAGATGGCATACCTTCACAAAAGATGAAATATCGAGTGTATCGATCTCATCATTATGGCTGATTCCTACATTCCAAAGAAAATAAATTGTCGTTCAAATAGAAAAAGGATCCATACAAGTCAAACATTGGTGAGACAACATAAAAAAAATCAAACAGCTAACAGCAACGCTATTTTCTTGTTCTAAAAATATAAATATGGAAATGGAAGTACCACTATTAAAGACCCACACAGGAGTTGCGCCAAGATCTTCGGCAAGCTGCAGTGAGACAATACCAACATGTGTTAGGTTAATTTTTTGTGAATGTTTCAATATGGTTTACCAGGGAAGGCCTGAAAATAAAATAAACCAAAAAGTTTCATAGAAACACACTTGAAGAAATTCAAAATAGCCCAGTCCATCATCTGTCCAGTAATTCCAGACATCATTGAAGTGTCCAGATCTCTCTTCCCATGGACCAATGGTTGGTTTCCAACGGAATGCATTACTCAACCAGGAACCTTCAACGTAACTACCACCTATCAGAACAAATGACAAGAGGTGAAATTAGGTCACTGTCAGTTGATAAGCTTCCAAAGAGGAAATCCAAAAATTTATTTACTGGTTGCAAAAAATAGAACACAATGTCTAAAATACAAGAAAAATATATTAATCCCTACCGAGCAAGAACAATATATCAACAAGTAAAACAATGAACTAGCCCTGAAAATGTGAGCTTCGGACAGCTGATTTTCAATCTGTCCTCTTCAAAACAGATTTTTAGCCTGTTTCAGTAAAGGTTAGTTTCTTCCAAAACGGGCCATATTATATATAGAATCAACTGCATAGCGACTCTCCAACAGCCAAAAAAAAAAAACTCATTAATCTGTTTAATCATCAGACGAGACCTGCAACTTGAATTAATTCTAATATGCGTGCTGTTGGAGAAACAAGGCCATGCTCACTACGCACTTCTATCAAATGAGATGAATACCTAAGCGAAGAACTCTGTTTAATTCAAAATGCATCGATAATCTAGAAGCAAGTTCTGGGAAATACCTGGAAACCTTAGAAATCGAGGTTTCAAATCTGCCAGCATTTCAAAGAGATCTTGACGGAAACCATGTCCCTGCATTACAGAAAATTCATTGTTTCACATTATAAATTTAAAATGACATCGCAAGTGTAGTAGATTCCTTAATGAGAATGACAAAAAAAGTAAACAGCCCAAAAATGAATATTCATCAAGGTGTAGGAATAATCCGGAAGAGTTGCTTCAGGATTGAAAGAATATAAATTGAACGAAAGCTTTACTCTCCCCTAAATGCCTTGCATTTTAAAATTACGAACAAGAGAATATCAACTTGTAATTAGGTTAGGAAGCACCTGTAGCTGAAAGCACACTGAAAATAAACAACTTGGTTTGTCAAAGAACCAAGTTGGTCAATGAGTCAAAGACTAAGAACATGGAGACTTAGCGGTCCCTAAAGACCCATAAAATCTAGAAGAAGAAACACTTACATGTTAAAAGTAAAGCAGGAATATGAACACATTCAAAAAGAAAAACATTGCCAGCAGAAAACTGTAGAAAATTTTCATGAAAACAACATCAAAGTTTATGCAGGTCGAATGTTTAAGCACATTCATTGTTACCTGAAAATGAAAAAAACAATGAAATGGGTGCCTTCAAAACATTCAAAATCCAACTTCACTAGCTTCTAGATAAATATTCAGAATCGATCTGCCAGGCATTCCACGTGAAAGGAAAGACATTAAGGATTATTTTCAATAAGTTTGCTTCATAATAGAACACCGATTGAAGAATGATCGTTTCCTGGAGGCCTTTAAAAAGAATACCATGAAAATGAATATTGCATAAGAGTCTTCACTTCCAAGCAAATTTTTTATAAAAAATTTAAAAGAAAAATCTTTTGTTATTTCAATGATTTGGCACTTCTTTTCTTCGTGGTTCTTTACTAATTTCACGAACTGATTTCCGCAAAAACTAAGACATTCAAGATTTTTTTTCGTGTGTCAAAGTAGCATATACCTTGTATGTGTCCAAAGGCATAACTGATACTTGATCAAACCAAATTATTCCCTTGGCGTTGGACGTCAACTGAATTCTCGAATCCTTGTTTGTCGCTTTTGATACCAAAATAAGTTCTATTCTCTTCCAGTTCGACACTTCAAAATATGTAGCTCTGTGATAGAAATAATAACCATATGAATGAAATGAACGATACTCAGAACATGGTCCTATCTTATTGGCCTCAAAGAATTTCTTACTGAATTCTTGAAGAAGCAAGAGTCTGCAGCCCATCTGAGCTTGTGAGAGAAACTGATATATTTACCGGTCCTAATGACCTGATGTACAGAATCACTTTGTAGGTCTTTCCTTCTTGAATATTCTGAGTTATCACAAAAAGAAAATAAGGATGTAGAAATAAGATAAATGGAGATTGAGTAATACGGATTTAACTCCAGATTGAGAAAAATATTAAGTAATATAAATGGAGAACATTTTGATTGCATAAAAGCTTAGAAGATTTCATAACGCAAGTACACAATCGATATGATGAAAATAATTTCGTAACACAAGCAAGCAATAGACACAATGAAAAGAAGATGGAAAAAGGGAACTCCACAATAAAATGGAACAACCAAGTTCGAGCGTTGGGGCACATCGCACTATATGATGATAAAAATCTCCAGCAATAGAAAATGAGTTATCTGTATTAAACAAGATAAAATGTTTAATCATAAAAGACATACCATGCCCCAGAAACCAGGGTTGTAAATACCAACGCCATCAGGTGGGCATGCATTTGGTCCCTCATTGTCACATACTACCTCCATCTTAAGTGCAACTTTGTTAAGCTCAAAACATGACGAGCGGTCAGTTGATACAATAACAGACGATTCATTCCCAATGATAGACCAAGGATCAATGTTTGATGGGGTATTGGGCCCTCCTGCTTCAAAGCCTGAAAAAGGGGATACATGAGGTCTTCAACAGAAGAAGAATGTGTGACGGCTTAAGTATAACTCTTAGTAGAAAAAATGGGCATTCTTAATGCGAAAAATTGTTCTTGCATGGTTGATTAAATCTGTTCTTCTATAATTCTTAGCACGAATAATGGCCATTCCAAGAAGATTATATTCTTCGTATGAGAAAACTAAAATCAAATGATTGTATTAATCTGATCTTTCACGTTCCCATTGAATTGACTGGGACAACATGGTCTGACAATACACAATACCTCTATTGCTCACAAGCTCTGCCCATAATCCACCTGCTCCTGCATGGTTGATCTCCTACAGATGGCATTTCAGGGACAAATTACTCTCAGATGTCAACTAATGTTTTCAAATTTAAAAGCTTTCAATAAAGTGTACAACTCAAATAAGTGGCTGTTGTCGGATGTAATAATCTCTTCGTCCACGAGATAAAACAAGAGGACCAACTGCACATTTCACGGCACATTCGATCCAAGAAATCCAAGAGCTACCTGAATTAAACCACATCCATATTTCTAGCAGATATTATAAACCTGTGGAGCAAAACCCCATCGCTGCAGCCACCATATGTTATTGACTTCTCGAATATTTTGGACTTGAGCAATATTTTGGAAGTCAAATCACCATTATCTTCTCGAATATTTTGGACTCAGAGATTGGAAATTCGAGATCATTTAGACATCAATATTAACGCTTGGGTTAATATGTTGGATTTTATAGTCTCGTCCTAACTTACGCCCAGACTAATGACACCAGCGGACAAGTACTTATAACAATAAATAAACATCAGGTAATGGAAAGCTATAAGGCAGATAAGAAAACCATAATTTGACAAGTAACGAATTCTTGAAACGCCAAAATGATACTTTCGAGATAAACCCGCTTTGGTCACTAGGGAATCCGGATGGCAGAAGGTTCATTATTATCCGTTTACTACTACACCAAGATAAAAAAAATCCCAATTCCTTCAGCACTCGTTGTCTCGAAGTTTGTAGAAAAAAAATTCCATGATCCAAAAAATGTGTCTTGGCAAACATCCGAAAGCTGAACAGTGGTTCCTTTGGTATTAAGGTAATTATCAAATTAACAAAAATTGAGTGGATTTGAGATATTTATGAAACAAACACTCGCCATAGTACATAAATAACGATAAAAAAGCTGTAGCGAAGATAATTATAAGATAGCCAAAGTAAAAAACGCTCCATGGCATCTGATGTTTTCACTTTTCAGCCTAAATTATTCATAAAGTATATCATACCTAGCATTCAACAGTAAACCATTCCATTGGAACGAAGCACATAATTCCAAGAAATAAATGTCTGTAGACAAGTAAATTTCTGTATGACTAGGCCCCAATCTTACTGCATGTCTGACTGACCTCAAAAAATATGCCAAACAGAGTGTCAGGTATCTTCTTTGCTGACTGCGGTGAAGCATCTATGAGCAGCGTTGCAGGCTGGTCGTCCTCCAATCCAAACCCGCAACAATGACGCAGGGTGCACACACCCAGCAGCGAATATAACAGTAAACAGGAATATGCCTTATAAAAGCCCATCACATTCAGAACATCTGAGGCGGGTGCCAATACCAGTACGTTCAGTGGCACTAATTCAAAGACCAAATCAGGAGAACTATGAAAGGCTGCATGAACGAGTGATAGTTTTAATGATTGACAACATGAACGTAGAAGAGAAAACACATGAGAGAAACAAATCGCCAAGACAAAACACTAGTTTTTGCACGGATGCTTCAATGAAACTAAGCGAGAAAAGAAGGAGGCATGGAATTCTCACAAGCATTCCGGAGAATACATCAGCTCTTGAGCAGTACAGACACGTTGCTGACCAAATTTAAATTGTAAAAACCACATGGGGATATGATGAAGCAAGCCCGTCGGTTCTGCAGTTTCAGTCCGAGAATTCGATGGCAACGCTATTGCGGACTATTAACCGAATTGAACAACTGGATGAGGAGCGGCAATGCATAGGGAACACCAAAATAACGACAGATTACACAGTTCCGTAAGGAAGCTGCGTGAGACTAGTAACAGAGTTAGGGGGCTCCAGGAGTCAAACTGAAATGTTACCGTGACCAGAGCCTGAGTAAAACAATACCAGGATCAGGAGATGTATCCAAGATGTAAAATGCTTCTGCCAATAACAATCAATGTAGAATCGTGGCGATCGTTCTCGCAGGGGGGAAATTTTTTCGAGTCGAGCGTGTATGGAGAAGTAATTCTGGTAGGGAAGGAGGCAATCATCAGGGAGAGAAGAAGAATAAGAAGAAGAAGACCAATGTCTAAATCCAGGCAAGAAACCCCCGTGGCGTCAACGGATCATCCTCCAATCCGACGCATCGTTGCTTGGCTTGCAGATCGGACGAAGCGGGCCCCGGGAAGAGGAGAGGTCTGCCGTCCAATCGCGCGAGCCGAGTGGGCCCGGAACCTGCTGTCGGTTTGTCAATTACGGATATGCATTAGCGGCTCCCCAGTGGCCCCCAGGAGCCTCACGCCAGCATTGGATATAAACTCTTTCTGGATCTGACGCCACAAGAACGTCACCCCTGCTACAGGCAATAGTTATGGTGTCGCGCCATGAGAAATTTCCTTTTTGGGAGACCTTCTCAAGGATCTCCGTAATTTCCTGAAGCTGCCTACCTTGCAGAATGTAGATAGCGCATCACAGAGCCTACTTTCGTCGCATTCCCCGTCTCCATCTCCACCGCCTCTTCTTCATCCTCGCCGCACAAGGGGACTTACAAGCCTCTGTCGTCCTCTCTCTTGCGTCCATCTCCACCGAATTCAAGATGGAGACACCACCTGCAACCGGGTCGCATCCACGGACGCCATTGGAAGCTTCGCAGAGCCGTTGAGAGATCCGCCTCCTACGGCATTCTGGGAGGGGCCCCCTCTCATCAGTTGTCACAGAGAGTACGCACCAGGGATGAGTCTCTGAAGGAGACCAGCCATCTGCGGCGCCACCGCGGGGCCCGTTCGAGGATGACGATGATAGTGTTGCAGGAGGGAGACGGCAAAAGGGCGGAAGAAGGAAAATAAGGAGAACCGATAAAGAATGAACGACCCATTGTTTCCGTCTAACCCTCAAAATAAGATAATTATGTTCACACCCTCTAATAAGAGGACCCCAAAAAGCGTGATGGGCGAGAGAGACACAGAGGATAAACTCGTAAATTTACATAATATCTCATCCCTGATTTACATATATTTTCTGAAGACAATATTATTAATAAAATTTTCCTCTGTGGAGAAGGCAAAGGGCGTCCTCTTTATCTTTATTTTTCTGCAAATTATCCAATTATCTTGATATTCAGAATTTCCTAGCCTATATAAAGCAACAAGCTCCTAAGATAAATGTATGGGCAGCATGCTAGAGAAGTACCCTTGAATCATTAGATAGAAGAGATGAAGATGCTTGGTAGCCTATTTTTAGCATCAATGTAATTTCTTTTTCCACAAGTAATTTAGAGATGATTGGTAGCCTCAGTGTCCCTCACCCGACATGCTAATATTCATCAATATTTACATCTTTTTAATTCTTATTTACCAAAATTCACTATTTGACTGATAAATTTTCATATTTGCACAAAAAACATGAGCTGAATCATCCTCATTTTTATTAAATGATATCAATGATTCTTTCATTTGATCCGTAAGGTTGAAAGCATTTGTATAGATTGATTGAGTGTTAGAGCTTCTAATGACAAACTATTTACCAAAATTAACCTTTGACTGATAAATTTCCATATTTTCTAAAAAAGTATGAGCTTAATCATCCTCATTTCTATTAAATGATTATCTAATGATTATTTCACTTGTTATATAAGGTTAGAAGTATTTACATAATGGATGGTGATAGATAACCTCTCATGTATTTGAGCATTACATCTTCTAATGACTAACTATTTACCAAAAATAACTACTTGACCAATAAATTTCCATATTTTCTAAAAGACTAACTCAATCATCCTCATTTCTATTAAAGGAAATCAATGATTCTTTCATTTGGTCTACAATGCTAGAAGCATTTGTACGAAATGTATAGTGATAGACAACCTCATGTGATTGACTGTTAGACCTTCCAATGGCAAACTTTTTAATGTCAAATCCATGTAAAAACCATGCCTAAAGTCTACTTGTAAAGTGATTGTGATTATATCAAGATTTTTTTTGAGCTCTATGTCGACTCCCCTATGAAATTATAGATCATGGTTTTCTCATATATGAGCATTCACTACACAAAGTTCATAAGAACATGGAATGGAATGTGATGCTAACCAAAGTTAGTATTGGTTTGTCATTTCATTTTGGAGCCCTTGGTTTTAAACGAACCACTACAACACAAGAAAATGTCATTATAAGGAAATCTGACACCTTTAAATACAAATGTTATAGTGTAGCCATTCATATCATAGAGTGATCTATTTTATCAAGTTCATTAGTTAGGTTTGAAGAAACAACTTCTATGAAATTTACATTGTTGATTTTTTTTTCTTGTTAAAGACCAAGTGTAATGTCAAGTAGAGCAACATTATTAAAGGAATATTATGAAATAGCAAGAGTAGGTTCCACTAAGTCATCTTTGTCAATAGCTTTAAGGTTCTCACAGATTTTTTTTTGATATTTCATACAAAAAATATAAAATATTATGGGCACCACTATGGGTAATATTGTTAACTTTTTGCACCTTTCTAATTTTGATGTTGACAAGATAAATATAATGAAAAATTAATAGCTATAAAAAAATATGTCATTAATTTATTTAAATATAAATCATAAGACCCATTGTGTCTCTCTCTATATATCTTTAGAAGTCAACTCACTTTGTGCAATGAGTTTTTAAAGTATATTGACAAAGACACTTTATAAGAGTATAATGATAATGTATTACCATAATAATTATATTATTCGTTCAATATATCCCTTATTGATTTTGGTTCATTAGTTGTGTGAAGCATAAAGAGTGTAATAAAATAGAATCCTCTACCCTATATATATAGGGAGAGAGAGAGAGAGATAAGATACAATATGATATAATGGACCTATTCGGCCCATATGGCCCACTCACAAGTTGTAATGTTCACATTGACATCCTTATAGGAAGTGACTCCACTCAACAAGAATAGGTTCTAATACTCAAAATGATCAAGTTACCACTTATAGACATAGTCAACTCATCTACTATAAAGAAGGCTCAACGCCCTAAACAACCAACTCTCAGATGAGATAGATTCAAAACTCACTACAACAATGGTATTACTAAATGGATTGAGATAAGTTAGTAATACATATGCTTCAATATATTTTGAGGAAAATGCATACAAGAGTAAAATAGTAATTTTATATCATAAAAGTATTTACATGCTTACATGACACTCAAAATAATTTAAGTAGAGTATTTTGCCTATACTCTACTAAAACATATAAAAAAAACTCAATTAAGATGTTAGACTTATTGATTTTTTTTATTTTATACTTCCTTTAAAGAACTTGGAAAGAAGGCCATTGGATGTTGTACTACACGACAAAATAAGAAAGAGACAAGCTACAATAGTATCATCAAATACCCATTATGAGCCCTTAATTGGTCATTAAGGTGGCCATTTGGGTCCTTTTCTTACTATTAAAAGTAAATAAATTAAGGGAAAATCAACCCACATAATAATTAACCTCCTCAAAATTTCAAGAGAGAAATAAATTATATAATTTTCCTTGCCATATTTTCTCAATCATTCAAAAGACTACTATCTAAGATAAGCTTTTGCATCTCGATGCCCATATATTCATGCAAAAGGAAATAAAGTACCAAAAATGTAATTTTTTTATTCTCTAGTGTTTTCAATTATCAAGTTGACATAAAATAATAAATTTAAAAGAGATCAGTTATACACTTTTTTTTTTACCCTATATAATTCATTTAGATTTGGTCTATGTGCTAAATTGTTACAAAATATATTTCACATGTCTCTCTCCCCACACTAGATACTAAGGCACTAGCTTTCTAATTATGTAATAAGTTGTGACAACAACAAAGTAAACACCAATATATATATATATATATATTAAAAAGATAAAATTCTTAACTCTTATAATCTCTAGCAAATTCTTTCAAAATACAAAGTATTTAACACTCGTTTCAAACCCCCCCATCTACTCTAAATTGATATAAAATATATTTCCAAGAAACATGAAAGACCTAGAAGGTGCAACCTATAAAGTTTAAGAGCATAAAACGTAGAAGACCTTAATAGGGTTGTTTAGGTGGCTCATAAGGCTTTTGATTTTTTTATGAAAGCCTAGCAATTTTTTTATTGATGAAATGTTATTACATGCTGAATTTTTTTTAATTATCAGATCTTGTTGTTTAGACACATAAAACCCTTCATTCAGCCCAACATAATGCAAAAATATTTCTATTTTCCATTTTGAAATTTTTCAAAGAAAAAAGGGAAATTATTTAGATATCTATTTCTAGCCAAATATTCATCTTTCTTGTTTTAACATTAACACTTGATCGAAAATTGGCAACTCCCATACATCACGCCAATCTAAACATATGAAGATGTGGACCGAAATGGGACGGTGATCCGCAAGACACTCCTTAGATCTGGATGTAATATTTTTTATTATTAAAATGCCCTCACATATTGGATAACATCGAAAGTGTCCGAATGTTTTAATAGCGTTTGGACAGAATCTTTGGCCGGTTCACGCCCGTTTAGTGGGCCTCACCGTACATTGCATAATTTTTGGGCCGAACTGCTAGCTGACCCAATCTGTGGTGGGCCCTGGGGACCGTCTGACATATGTGGTAAATTAATGCCCGTACAAACCCTCCCCTGCCCCCCGTCCCCCCCCAAACAAATGCGGACGGCCTCTCTGGAGCGCATGGAAAATGTGGTCCGACTTCTCTCTCGAAGTTTCATCTAACTCCCTCTCTCTCTCTCTCTCTCCCTTCTCTCTTATTGTCTCTCAGTTCACGCCGGGGGAGAGAGAGAGGCCGGCTCGAAACCCTGCATATCTCGTCGGAATGAGTACGTGGGAAGATATGCAAGCCCGGTCATCGGATACAGGGAGGCGACAGCTACGGCCACGGGTTCCGTGGTGAGGCCACACTGCATTCGTAACTTATGCTACGTTAATTCCACACTCTCTCTCCGGAGACCTTTGGACGTCGGCAGTCAACGTCTCCTCGAAACCCTGCATATCTCGTCGTCTTGTGGATTCTCGGGATCCAGCCAACCATTTCTTTTGTCTTCTAGAGATGTCAGGAGACGACCGGAGAGGGGGAGGAGACAAATTTCGGGGCCCCACATGATAAATAAATACGGGCCCACTCCGCTCCTTGGAGACTTGCGTGGATGATCATGGATAGTCGGTAGCGCCATTATTATCTGCAAGCGTTCAGACATTGGTGGCGTATGGTAATTTCCTTCTCATCTTAAGGGAAAAAGTCTTTCTTTTAATTATATTTAATCGGCGAGTTGGAGTCTAAGAAAGGCTCGAAAGCAGGATTTGTGGGCACGTACCCCCCATGAGGTCAGTCCTACTCAAGCACTACTTGCCTCCTTGGAAGGGGCTGCTGCTACGTATTCGTCGACGACTGACTGCATATTCATCCTCTAACCGGGCTTCGTGCATCACTGGTGTTCACTTACTGGCCTCTCTCTCTCTCTCTCTCTCTCGCTCTGGATAGATGTCAACCAGTGCTGACTGCTCGTCTTAACTTCATATTTGGACACAAAAATTGAAGGCAACTTAGGGAAAGACAGAGAGATAGTGAGGGGGGAGAGCGAAAGAGATAGAGAGATAGAGAGAGAGAGACAGGGCAGGCGGCTGTATGGTCCAACGTCTGTCTCTCCTCTTTAATGTACCGATGGAAATAGGGTTCTGGGGCCCATGCTTCAGATGAATTCCCGCGAGACCATGGCGAACGTTCACAGGGAAGAAGGAATAGTCCGTACGTGTCTTGCTTGTTTCGCACTCGACTTCCCCCCTCGCTGTTGCAAGCTGCAGTCCCACTATTAATTACACGTGATTAGTTGAGATCTGAGGACTCAGATCAATACAACATGCAGTCTCTCTCTCTCTCTCTCTCTCTCTCTCTCTCTCTTTCTCTCTCTACGTCTCCGTCTCTCTGATGGGGGAAACGCACCTATTCTCTGGAAACGAGGTCGTTGGAGAGGTAGAGAATAAATGTTCTCCACTTACGTGAACGCGTTCTTCTGCTACGTTTTCAAATGAATGTGGTTTCGATGCAAGCTTGGTAAAATAGAGAAAGCTTGGAGGAAGAGGTTAACCCAGGAGAGCTGTATAGGTCGTTCTCGCCTCCTCCCATCGCAGAGCTCGAGCTTCCTGGTTTCTTCCTCACGACCCTCGATAGAGAACGAGGTGAAAACGGATTCGCCATGACCATTTCAGGTCCACAGTTCAAGATACGAAAGCTTTTTCCCGGGGAGAGGCCCCCAAGCGACTATAACCGACCCCGTGTTAAATGTAGCGAATCTGTCAATAATACCGACTCGGGACTACCTTGCCCAGGTAAACTTCGTAGACGAAGATACAAGCGACAAGTGAAAATGGATCGTAGCTGCATCCGGACGAGATTACTGTATCTTCTTCCACTGCGGAGTGGGGAACCGCGATGCATTCTTTCTTCTCTCTCTCTCTCTCTCTCTCTCTCTCTCTCTCTCCGCTAGTGGGGGGATGACTAAATGAACAGGGGAAAGGCGAAAGGCGGGCGAGGAGATGGTGGATGGAAGAAATGAAGTCGACGGTGAGAGAATAATATTAAATGGTAGGCGGAGGGGGATGGGCGGGAGTCGGGGAGGCTGGCCAACGTGGGCGGATTAAAGCCCACGAAGGGTTCTGCTCGACGGTCCTCGCGCCACGACAGCCGTCCCGTCGGTCGAGTGCACGTGGTAACCCCCAACACCGCTCCCCCACCGTGATGCCCGGCGCCCGCCGCCTACCTTTCTTTCTCTCTCTCTCCCACACACAAACACTTTATTGCACTCTCGGCCCATGAAAACCCCACGCCAAAACCATATAACGGTTGTCACTAGACTCTTCCTCACTCTCCGTCCTAGCTAACAAGGACTACTCTCTCACTCTCTCTCTCTCTGTCCCTCTCCCTCCCCCCTTCTTCCCTGTGTGTGAGAGTGGAGATGGGGAGAGCACCGTGTTGTGAGAAGGTGGGACTGAAGAAGGGGAGATGGACGGCGGAGGAGGACGAGATACTCTCGAACTACATAAAGGAGAATGGAGAAGGTTCCTGGAGATCATTGCCGAAGAAAGCAGGTATACCTATATGCAGATATGGTCGGCATTTCTTTACAGAAAGACCAGAAAGTCTAGATTCCGATATTGATTTCTTTTCTACGAGCTCCTTTGGAGCATGGGATTCGTTCCCTTCTCATGTTTGTTTCTCGCCCATTGATATGGGTTAACCCTGAAGGACCTCTCTCTCTCTCTCTCTCTCTCTCTCTCTCTCTCTCTCTCTCTCTCTGACAGGTCGAATTCCCGTCGATGATCTTCTCTATCATGGATTAACCCTTAACTCTCTCTCTGCTCTTCACTGTCTGCATTGCCGACGCTCCTGAAGGTCTCCTGAGGTGCGGGAAGAGTTGCAGACTACGCTGGATAAACTACCTGAGAACTGACCTCAAGCGGGGAAACATCTCCTCGGAGGAGGAGGAGACCATCATAAAGCTTCACTCTTCTCTCGGCAATAGGTAAAAGAATCGTTCAAATATCTTACCGATTTCATTCAACAGAAAACCCAGAATATATCATTGGCTCTGTCGTCCAATTCACGAAAAGCCCGAGTTTTAGACGACCACTGTAAACGAATAAGACAGGAAACATAAATACATCGATTTGTACGACCATGGGGATCTTTTGCTCTCCGTGACCCTTTACTCGCCCTTTGTTCACGGTCGCACGTGGTAGTTGCATGAATGATCTCTTCTGTGTGGAGAGAAACAATAAAATAAAATAAAATAGAAAGGTACTGGGGACGAGGGACTCACGAGTGACCTGCATGGTACGCAGATGGTCCCTGATAGCCGCCCATCTCCCCGGAAGGACGGACAACGAGATCAAGAACCACTGGAACTCGCACCTCAGTCGTCGGATCCACTGCTTCCGGAGGGGAGCCTTCCTGATCATGGACCCCGGGAAGATTCTCAGCGTGGGACGGCGGCGACGTGGCGGAAAAACGAGCCGGTCAATGATGAAGACCGCCGCCGGCGGACCCGCCGCGAAGGCCAGACAGAGGGAGACCGGCGGCGACGGCGGCGCGATTAAGACCAAGCCAGCGGCGTCTCCGCCGCCGCACCAGAGCCAATCCGCCGGCGAGGAAGACCTCCTAGTCGGAGAGGTGATGCTCCCGAGCGAGCTCTGGGAAGCGAACGACGATATCGATATCGGAGGGGAATTATTCTGCTCGAGCTGGACATCAGGAGACGAGTTCATGAGCTCGAGGTCAACGAGCGAGGGCAGGGAGGCGGAGCCCACGCCGGCAACGAGCGGGGAGACCGACTCGGCCATGGGGGGCGCCACGGAAGCCCTCGATCGCTCATGCGGCAGCAGCGCAACGTTTGACAGGCCGGTGGAGGAGGACTGGGAGGCCATGACGGCGAAGCTGTGGGATGAGGCGGGAGATGCCTGGCCGTGGCAGCTGGAGGACCTCGGACGGGAGCACGTCGTTGAACCCTTCTACGACGACAGCGCTCTAGACAGCTGGTTCATCTCCCACGTCCTGTCGTAAAACTGGGTGCGTCACGGTCCCTCTCTCCACCACCACCACCACCACCACTACCTTCTTACTCTCACCCTTCTTCCCTGTATCATACCCAGTCAACGTTTTCCCACAGAGACCACGGAGGTCCTCTCTCTCTCTCTCTCTCTCTCTCTCTCTCTCTGAGCGACGAATCTGATTCGGTGTGACTACTCTTACTTCATTCTTACCGTCTTCTGTGTCATGGCTATTCGTCGGGGAAGGTGGGGCCCTGCCAGACGTGAATATTGCCGTGTTCATTGAGGAGATTGATGGTCATATGGGGCCCGAGAAAAAAGAGAAAAGTGCGCCGATTAGCACAGCACGTGGCCATATTTTCGGGTTTCCACCGGAAATATCTCCGCTCTCGTGAATGATCCCCGTGTGGGATCCGCCGCCTGCCATAAATTGCACTGAAGTCAGAGCTGGAAACCGCTGATGGTTCTCGGACTCGTTTTCAGGTCCCATATTGGATATTCGTACCCTCCTTAGTATATGATGTGGAAACTAATGATATTAGTTTTATTATCCTGACTTTTTGTAAGGCGTCGGACGGATTTAAAGTTCAAAATGTAGTGAATAGATAGTACTAGATTGAGCATAAAATTCGTAAATATTTTTTGCCATAGCGATAAACTTAATAACATGACTAATTAATCATGGCCCAACTAAGCCCTTACTACCAAGCACTAAAATTAAAATTTAAAGTGTAAATAAAATAAAAATAAAAAAATGCATTCACCCACATGTCTTATGAACTAAATAAAGACTACTAGCAACTCCTTGAGACCCATCATTTGATGTTTTGTTTCTTGTCAAGATGTCGTGTGCACTCTGCAACTCGATGGATGACGACAAACTTCAATTTGGTGATAATGATCGGTCAATCGTAGAATGTAGCTTGTGAAAAAAGTGAAATATTAATTAGAGCTATTACATTCCTTTCTATTGTACGACAAAAATATCTATTGAGAAAGACGTTACCCACGTGAGTATCTATGTCAGTATCTATATAGTAATTTTCATTGTTGATCATTTGACATGTGATATGTGATAAAGTAAATGATAATAAACTTCAACTCATTATTAATGACTCATTGATTATACAAGATAACATGTTAAAAATGGATGAAATTTTAATTGTAGATGCCACATTAATTTCTATTGATGAGTGTTTAGAACAAAAATATATATTGAAAAAAATGTTAGCCATGTAAATAGCTATATTTACGTAGTAATTTTCAATAAATACATTTAAAATTTATAATAATCAAATTAATAAAATTTAACATTAGTAATAATTTTACATGTGCTTGACAACTTGATAAATGATAATGAATTTCAACATTGTGATAATGATCGATCAATTGTATAATATAGTATGTGAAGAAAATTGATTAAATATCAATAAGAGATGTCACATTGCTTTTTATCGATGACTATTTGTACGACAAAAATATCTATTGAAAAAGATGTTAGTCATGTAGGGATCTATATTAATATCTAGATAGTCATTTTAATCATAAGAATTTTAATAATATATTTTTTTACATCATTGATTATTTGACATTCATTATGTGACAAGATGAATAACAACAAAGCTCAACATATCAATAGTGACTAGTTGATCGATAATAAATAAATAAAAGATGAAATTTTAATGAAAAATGCAACATTGATTTTCATTAATGAGTCTTTGTATGACCAAAATATCTATTGAGAAAGACGCTAACCATGTAAATATCTATATTTATAGGTATATTTTAAAAAATAAATTTAAAGTTTATAAAAATAAAATGAATAAATATTTACATTAGTAATAATTTTACATGTGTTATACAACTTCAACATGGTGGTAATGATTAGTGAGTCGTATAATATAGCACGTGAAGAAATTTGATTAAATATCAATATGATATGCCACGTTACTTTTCATTGATGATGATTTGTATGACAAAAATATCTATTGAGAAAGACATTAGCCATGTGGGTATTTATATTAATATTTATATACTAATTTTAATAAATAAAAATTATATTTTTTTTGACATCATTGATTATTTTTATATAGATAAATAACAACAAAGTTCAACATGTTAATATTGACTACTTGATAGATAAAAAGAAAAAGATAAAATAGAAATAAGAGGTACAACATTGATTTCAATTAATGAGTCATTGTACAACCAAAATATCTAGTGAGAAAGATGTCACTCATGTAAATATCTATATGTAACTTTTAATAAATGAAATTTATTTTTTTAATAATTAAATTAATAAGAGTTTATATTAATAAGATTTTGCATTCTCCCACGTCTTATGAACTAAATAAAGACTACTAGCAACTCCTTGAGACCAATCATTTGATGTTTTGTTTTTTGTCAAGATGTCGTGTGCACTCTACAACTCGATGGATGACGACAAACTTCAATTTGGTGATAATGATCGGTCAATCGTAGAATGTAGCTTGTGAAAAAAGTGAAATATTAATTAGAGCTATTACATTCCTTTCTATTGTACGACAAAAATATCTATTGAGAAAGATGTTACCCACATGAGTATCTATGTCAGTATCTATATAGTAATTTTCATTGTTGATCATTTGACATGTGATATGTGACAAAATATCTATTGAGAAAGATGTCACTCATGTAAATATCTATATGTAACTTTCAATAAATAAATTTTATTGTTTAATAATTAAATTAATAAGAGTTTATATTAAGAAAATTTTGCATAAGCTATACTATATGACATATGGCATTGAACTTTAACATAGTGATAATGATCAATCAATTATATAATATAGCATGTGTAGAAAATTAATTAGATATCAATAAAAAATGTCAGATTAGTTTTTATTGATAACTATTTGTACGACAAAAATATCTATTGAGAAAGATGTTAGCTATGTGAGCATTTATATTAATATTTATATAGTAATTTTAATAAATAAGAATTATAATATATTTTGTATATCATTGATTATTTCACATGCACTATGTGACTAAATAAATAACAACAAAGTTCAACATGTCAATAGTGACTAATTGATTAATAATAAGTAAAGAAAGGATGAAATATCAATGAGAGATGTGACGTTGATTTCAATTAACAAGTCATTGTACAACCAAAGTATCTATTGAGAAAGACAAGTTATGTGAATATCTATATTTATATAATAGTTTATACAAAATGAATTTAATAAAATTTTAGATTAATAATAATTTTACATGTATTATGTAACTTGATGGATAATAATGAACTTTATCATAGTGATAATGATTGATCAATTGTATAACATACCACATTAAGAAAAATGACCAAAAATTAATAAGAGATGTCACATTACTTTTTATTGATGACTTTTTGTATGATAGAAATATCTATTTAGAAATACATTAGCCACATGGGTATCTAAATTAATATTTATATAATAATTTTAATAAATATAAATTGTAAAAAAAGATTACATCATTGATTATTTGACATTTACTATGTGACTAGATGAATAACAAGAAAGTTCAAACTGTCCATAGTCTATCATTCTTGTGGCACAATTAATGCTGGCTTAAGGTGTGCTATCTTAGTGTATGTAATGCATGAAATACTGTAACATGTAATCCCTATTGTTCTTCCTTCTAGTCTCTTTTTGGTATCTTCTTGTCAACTCCACTGTTTTAAATATTATCAAGTAATGGAAGGTATGCCTCATATTAAGTGAAGCATCGAAGGGAAATCCACATTCCCCTATTGGAGTTATAGACAATGTACAACAAGATAATGTTGATCCATTCCTAAGAAATTTCTGCATCGTTTGCATCCAAATGGCATTTGATCATTTGACTTCAAAGGTCAGGTTTTCTTTTATGTTGTGTTGAATTTTCTTCTAACTAATTGATCGGTAACAAATAAGATAAGAAAAAGATAAAATATCAATAAAAGATGTAACATTGATTTCAATTAATGAGTCTTTGTACGACCAAAATATCTATTGAAATAGACATTAGCTATGTAAATATCTATATCTATATGTAACTTTTAATAAACAAATTCGAAATTTATAAAAAAAAAATAATATTAAAATATTAAAAAATTATATTAATAATATTTTTACATGTGCTATACAATTTGATGGATGATAATGAACTTAAACATGATGGTAATGATTGATCAGTCATATAATACATAATGTGAAGAAAATTGATTAAATATCAATAAGAGATGTCACAGTACTTTTTATCGATGACTGTTTATACGACAAAATATCTATTAAGAAAGATGTTAGCCACGTGGGTATTTAAATTATATCACAAATATTTATATCATAATTTTAATAAATAATTTGATTTTTTTACATCATCGAATATTTGACATTCATGATATGACTAGAAAAATAAAAATAAAGCTTAACATATCAATAGTGACTAGCTGATCAATAACAAGTAAAAAATGATTAAATATCAATAAAAGGTGCAATATTAATTTTGTTGACAAGAAGAAAAGAAAACTCTACAATTATGATTGAAGAAATAGAGCATATGAGGTTATATAGAAGAAGGGAAGAAAGAGAGAGAGAGAGAAGTAGAAGTGGAGATCGTGGAGAGAATAAGTCTAATTTAGGCCTAGTGGGCCTATTCTAACAAATTTCAATTAATAAATCTTTATACAACCAAAATATCTATTAAGAATGGCGTTGGTCATGTAAATATCTATATTTATATGTAACTTTTAATAAATAAATTTGAAATTTAAAAATTAAATTAATAAAAGTTTAGATTAGTAATAATTTTCCATGTGTTATGCAACTTGATGGATGACAATGAACTTCAACATAGTTATAATGATCAATTAATCATATAACATAGCACATCATATTAATTTCTAACAATGATTATTTGTACAACAAAATATCTATTGATAAATATGTTAGCCACATGAATATTTTAATCTATATATTAATGTTGAAATAAAAAATTATAAATATATAAAATTATATTAATAAGAAATATATTATTTATGTAATTGATTATTTCACATTAGATATGTGACTACATGAATGACAAAAATGTTCAACGTAAAAAAGATGAATTGTTGATAGTAAAAGATAACATGTAAAAAAGAATGAAATATCAATGTCAAATGCCTTATTTATTTCAATCAATGAGTACTCTTACAACCAAATATCTATTGAGAAACACATTAGCCATGTGAATATCTATGAATAACATTCAATAAAAAAAATATTATAATAGTGATAATAATAAAATTTTAAATTACTAATAATTTGAGATGTGATTTGCAACTTGATAGATTGCAATGGACTTCAACATGGTAATAATGATTGGTCAATTGTATAATATAGAACATGAAGAAAATGAGTGAAATATTAATGAAAGACATCACATTACTTTCTATTAATGGCTGTTCATATGAAAAAAATATCTCTTGAGAAAGACATTAGTCATGTAAATATCTATATAGTAGTTTTGATCTAAAAAACTATAATTATATACTAATTTTAGAATTTTATATTTTTACATGATTAATTGTTTGACATGTGCTATGTGACTAGATGAATGACAATAAAATCCAACATGGTAGGAATTGATTGGTTGACCATAAAAGATTACTTTAAAAAAAAGATGAAACATCAATGAGAGATGTCACATTGATTTCAATCAATAAGTGTTAGTACAACCAAAGTATCTATTGAAAGAGACATTAATCATGTGAATATTTGTATCTATAGAGTAACTTATAATTTATAAAATTTTAAATTCACAATAATTAAAATAATAAAATCTACATTACTGATAATTTTACATGTGCAATTTAACTCATTAGATGACAATGACCTTTAAAATGGTTCTAATGATTGATCAATTATATAATACAGCACATGAAGAAAATTAGTGAAATATAAATCAAAGACCTCACACTACTTTCTATTGATGAATGTTCATATGGAAAAACTATCCATTGAGAAACCATGTTAATATTTATAAATTGTAAATTTGAATAAATATATTTAAAATTTTAAAATGGAAAAAATATTTTTGGTATTAATAATTATTTGATATGCCCTTTGTAATTGGATAGATGACAATGAAGTTTAATATAATAGTGAAGATAACACTTCAAAAAATGATGAAATATCAATTTGAATCATCACATTCATTTCTACTAAGACTTTATAACAAAAATATATATTGAGAAAGAAATTAGTCATGTGAATATCTATATCTATATATTAGCATTTAATAAATAATTTATAAATATATATGACTTTAAATGATATTTTATTTGTATTACTAATTATTTACTATTTGCTATACAATTAGATGGATGACAACATTGTTCAATACAACAATAATGACTAGTCAATTGTAAGAGATAACACGTAAAAAAGAGGTAAAATGTCAAATTAATGCACCACGTTACTTTATATTGATGATTATTATTATGAAAAATATATATCTTGAGAAAGATATAATTATGTGAGTATATATTTATATAATATTTTTTCATAAATAAATTATAAATATATGTATTCTTAAAAATATTTTGTATTATTGATGATTTGGTGTGCCCTTTATAACTAGATGGATGACAACAAAGTTTAACATGGCCATAATGATTGGTTTATAATAGAAGATAGCATGTTAAAAAGGGTTGAAATGTCAATTGAAGATGCTATATTGTTTTCTACCAATGATTACTAATACACCAAAAAGATCAATTGAGAAAATACATTTCTCATGTGAAAAATATGTGAGTATTCTTTAATAAATAAATGTAATTATATAATAATTAATTAATCATAAATAAGAATTTTGCATTACCTCTCTAAAAACCTAATAACTTGAACCTTTGGAGGAAATTGAAAGTTTAAAACCTAGTTTTTTGGCATAGTAAAAACTTTTTGTTTTACTAATAAGGCAAGTTTACATGGCAAACATATAAAACTAAAGAAATAATGCTCTTTTTTACTATTCAAAGTTTTTCACAATTACCGATTAATCATAAAAGATAATTAATATTATATTTTAAAACGTTTTAGGGAACAATTATTTTTAGGCAGAAATATTAAGATTATTTTTAATATTTATAATGATTAATATAAATCTGACCTAGGGCCTTAAAAATTAGATGTTTCTTGTTAATTGGGAGCTTGTGGGATAGTGGAAGAAAACAGATTCTCATCGTTGACTCGAGCAGTCCCGTGACCCACGACCGTGTACGACTTATTTAGGGTAGACTTGGGATTCATAGGGTCAGACCCGCACCTCATTTTTAGACTCTCTTTTTCTTTTCCGAGTTTAGGCGGAACCCATTTTGATTGGGTCTAAAAAATAAATGGGCCTAAATGGAAGCCAAGAAAATGAGATCCGAGATTAAGCTGGGCCTGAGCGGGCCCGGCCGGCCCAATTAACCAATGCAGTCAAACGCGGCCTCGTGCCAGTGTTACATGAACGTTAGACAAGCAGCAATATATACGACCAATGTTGAAAGTATTTTCAAAAGGTGTCATCAACCCGAATATGAAACTCAACAAATGCCAGGAGATGTACCCCTGAATAATTATGGACTAGTACTCCAACGGGCCGGGCTGGCCCTGGCCCTCATCAGGCCCACCCAAAGACAACCCACCTCTTCCAAGCCCGGCCCCCAGATGCAAATATCTGTGTGTGTGTGTGTGTGTGAGAGAGAGAGAGAGAGAGAGAGAGAGAGATTCATATTCAGCAAAATACCGCAGGAAGACGGAGGTTACATCCAATCAGCCGATCTCAGGAACCCAATCAGCGTTGACTCCACCGCAATTACACAACTGGATGGGTTGGACGTACATAGCACAGGGTCAGCCCCTTGCAGGGGTATATGTACATGCACACACATACAGATTAGTGGTCATATCACCATTCACTAGGGTCAACCTTGGTGAGAGGAGGGAGACCCATCTGCTTGAGGGCCTTCCTCGAGCAAGCCTGGAAATGGAGGCGGCGGCCGATGATACTCAGGCTCATCGTCGGCATTCTTAAGGCACGAGCAGGGCCGGTCTCCCTCCTCTGCACTTGCCATGCCGGTGAACGAGAGCTCATAGGCCGGTGGCGAGCCGTGGGGCTGGGCACGCATCTGCACAGACCTCAAGAGCGCCGTGCGTCTCAGGTCCCCCGTGTGGCATGCATCGTTGGGCGAGGAGGGAAACCGGGCATCGGTGTCGGCCCCTCGCCGTGGATGAGAGCAGACAGTGGCGACTAGAGGGTAGGTGGCAGATGGGCCCGACACCATCTGGTGCCTTGGGCATCGGTGGGGAGAGACCGGGCTGCTGCTGATGCTACCAGTGCCGTCAGGCTGAGCCGCCATCGTGTTGAAGTGAGGGTCGTAGCACCGGGTGTCGTCGGAGTCCTCAGACATGGGAGAGTATTGTGACGCTAGCTCATCTCTGGGGTAGTTGACAGAAGAAGAAATCAGATGAATACAAACTCCCACCGTGAAACTGAATTACATATTTTTATTTGGAAACTAAATGGTATTGGGACTCACGAACCATATATGAATGATATAATCTACTGCTTTTGATCTTATTGGAGAAACAAATGAGGAGAGTCAACCACAGTTGGTCTTCTTACTGGATACGTTTAAAACAGGAAGGAGAGAGAAAATAGAAAATTAGCGTCCATGAGCTCCCAAAAGCACACTCAATCACAAAATTCTAGAAACGAGGGGTATCATTGTATGCTAATGAGGATCTCTCATCTTGTAATGGGCAGACGATCATTTGTTCAACAAAGGCATGCATTCTCGGATGATCCTTCCTGTCGGAGGAGGGACAATCACTAAACTGAACACAATCCAAGAACAGACATTTTTCTCTCCAAATCATAGAGTGGCACTAAAAGATCCTGATCAGAGCGTAGTTCAAACCAGCAGGGCATCTGAATCGGAAGCGATTGGCGATCGGATGCGCAGTTCTGTCGTTGTAATCAGTGAGAGGTTTATTCCTAATCATCTCAAAACCAGAGAAAGATTTTAAAGGAATGGCATCGATGTAGAGCTCCTCCGAACTCATTTTATGAAATCTGTCGGCGTTAATTACTGGAGATTTTAGGATGATTATCGGAGCTGGAGATAGAAACCGACGTGCCCGGTCAGCGTCAAGATTCAACAATGAAACACCTCGGAATGGTTTAAAATCAGATAAACAAATCTGAAGAACGCGACCTCCATGAAACCAGAACAGAAGAAATGTAGCGAGCAATGGATTACTTACGGGGCTCTTTGTGTTAGAAAGTAAAGGAAACTGTGACTGAAATATACCTGGTGTGGTAGCACATGCTGGTGTCCGACCTCGCCGGAGAATCCATGAGGTTCTCAGTCAGAGTCTCTCCCACGCTCAACCCATTGAGGCTGCACGCCATTATCTGTGAGAGGGGAGGATCCAGGAAGAAAGACTCATCGACTAGTTCGTTCTCCGTTTTAGTCAATTATCAACCAAAACTGCACCGGCAAGAATAGGGAGGACCATCCTCCCAGTGGTCGAGATTAGCGATGGCAGAGGAACAAGGTCGGGTATATAAAAATGGGAGAAAAAATGGTGAAATCTGCGCTCGCAGGGAGGCGTGGGGGAGCATGAAGAAGCTAAAAAAAACGGTGCAGAACAACAAAATGACAGATGAAAGGGGAAATTTGGGGGTTTAAGACCGAGCCCAGTAGTACCTCACTGAGATACCGCTTGTGGGAATGGAAATTATCGAGGTAGACCTCATCCTCGGTCGGGTCCCGGCTCCTCTTCCCGTTCGGCGAGCACGAAGGCGTCGCCGGCGCCGCCGAGGGGGAGGGCGAGCAGCTGCCCTCCCCCACGCCCTGCGTCGTCTCCCACCCCATGCCCTCGCTGCGCCCCCGCAAGGCCCACCCACAACTCAGGCTCCGATCAAAGCCCTCCGCCGCCAAGTCCCTCCAGCACCCCCAACACTCCAGCCCTCAGCAGCCGCAACTAATCGTACATCAAGGAGACCCAGGAACGGAAGAATACAAGAAAAGGGAAATAAAATCTGAAAAATAATAAAAGGAGAAAGAAGATAGATGGCTTTTCTTCTGCTCCCCTCAGATCTCCGGATTTTCTGGAGCAAAACCCACTTCCGGAAAACGGGCGAACGGGTGGGAATTCGCTGGACGCAGTTCAAGAACAGTGGAGGGATCTTCGCACTACGATTCATCCCATCGTTCTCCTCCATTGACGAAATGGAGGAGATGACCACAGGCCTCCAAGGACTGGGCTAATAATGGGCCATATAATGGGCTTTATGGGCCTCCCATAATCACCCTTACCTTTTATGGGCTTCCGAATAAGACAGAGATGGGCTATGACTGGACCTGAATGGAGGAGGGCATCCAGATGGGCTCAGCCTGGGGCCCATCTGGAAACAAACCGACTCTTTCAGAAAAACCTCTTGGGCTCTCCACGGCCAGATGGGCTCATTCATCTTGGGCTCCCATAGTTTATTGGGCCCATGCCCCTCAATGGGCTCAATCTAAAAACAGTTGGGGCCATAGTAGTGGGCTATTGATGGGCATAATGATGGATTTATAGGCCTCCCATTTTAACACTTGAACATATGGGTTCCCAAGAAGACGTACATAGACCATAACTGGGCCAAATTAGAAGTCCAACAAGGCCCAGATGGCTCCGGCCAGGGATGAGATTGCACTGGACCTGAGGAGGACATCCAGATTCCCTCATTCCGGGCCCGGTTAATAAAAACTGATATTGGCCTCTCTTTGGGCCAGACGGGCTCGCTCATATTGGGCTATTAATGGGCTAGTTGGCTCATTGTAGTGGGTAGGACCATCTATACATAAATCAGCGTAAATATTTAACTGAGCGAAGAAGTTACAACAACAAGAGGGAAAATTACAGAGGAGTGGAGAGAGAGAAAGAGAGGGCTACGATAGTACCTCGAAGTCGGAGAGGAGCTCTGCAACGAGGGAGGCGACGAGGGCCTCCTCCATGTCGACGGCGGCTTCGAAGGCCTCGGCCTGGAAGTCGAGCCACCGGCCGGGGCCGCGGGTCATGTCCCTCTCCACAAGCTCGTCCACCATCCAGTCGCCCATCCCCCGCCACCCGGCGAGCTCCCGGCAGATCTGCTCTGCCACCTCACCACATCTGCTCCCTGCTGCCGTCGTCGCCGGCCGCCGCCGGTAGGCTCCGCCGTCCTGGAAGGAGGAGACCAGCCACTCCCCCACGCAGTCGAACAGCGCCTTCCTCCGCAGCCTCCCGCCGTCGCCCGTCGATCTCGCCTTCTTCTCCTCTTCATCTTCCAGCAGGTCGAAGAGACGCGGATCCAGAGAGGGCGGCGCGCCGGCGCGCGCCACCACTCGCCTCACGTACTCTATCTCTTCCTCTTCTTCTTCTGTCGCCGGCGCCGGAGGAGGAGGAGGAGGTCGCCGTTCTTCGAGAGGGACGGCGGAGGGGGAGGAGGCCGAGTCGGAGAGGTCCATCTCGGCCTCCCTGGGGATCTCTGCGCTGTGGTCAGAAGAAGAAGAAGAAGAAGAAGAAGAGATCTTCGTTCCTGTGGAAAGAGAGGACAGGACAGGGACGGCGGGGCTGCCATGAGAATGGAGGCAGAGAAAGGAAACGGGTGTTCAGTTGGCTCTGGTTTCTTACCGCGTCTGCTCTCACAGCTCTCGGAAGAACTGCAGCTCTCACTGGAGAAGGACGCTTCGAGGATGGAGAGGGGACTCGGATGTTGCTGCTCGGGTTCCTTGCCGCTGGTGCTGCACCCAGTGACGCTCTTCGCGGCCTGTAAAATCAGCAATCGTTGAATGGGGAGAGGAAGAGAGAGAGAGAGAGAGAGAGAGAGAGAGAGAGAGAGAGAGAGAGATTGAGTTCTTCAGAAATCACAACGTCGTCAACTTTTCAGCAAGAATGCCCAAGAACATCGCAAGATTCAGAAGGAGATCAAGAGAAAAAAAGAAGCTCCCATGATTCCACGGATGGGAAACTCTGACACCACGGAAACTATCATTAATTTTTCTTTGTTATCCACAAAACAAGAATTCTTAAGAAAAAAAAAAACAAGATGATTCACTCTTGGGCATTTGTTTTCATGGGATTCCTACAGGTTTCTTGAAACGCCCATGTCGAAGAGAAATTCATCTAAATGAACGATTTTATCCAAGATCTCAGCCCCCCACCAGTTAGTCAGATAATAACAGTGTGATCTACTGCAGGTGATAATGGCCCTTTTCGGCCAACCTCAAGAACGATGGTACAAAATCCCTCAACTCGGGCATAACAGCCGATAATTCTCCCACTATGTGTTTGAGAACAAGCAGATAGAAGGACTCTGGCATCAAGATAATTTGCCTCAATGGCCAACTTATGAGACATCCAAGCACATAATTCGATAAATTGACCGGATTTAGAAAAGGAAAGTTGGAAGCGAAAAGGGATTGTCTGCATGATGTTTTGACAGAAGATCAATGCACGAATTTGACGACCAAAAGTCGTTGCCCTAATGAAGCTCAATAGTGAGAGTAACACAAATCTATGGGGAGATGATAGACATGGCCCGAATTCAGGACGCCACATGTTTGAGAACATTTGCTTGTCAATAAAATACGATGAGCTTCATGCGAGATGGGACTTAACCACGAATCTGATCAAAGCATTGTGAAAGAAGAAGAGGGAATCGAAATCGAGTACAGGCACAAAATTCCCACGAACAGAAATGAAAAAAAATGCAAGAACTGACGAACAGATTTCTCACCTGCGATATAGAGCTATGGTTGAATAGCCTATCACTAGCTGAGGATAAAGCGTCAGAAAAGTTGCATATGCCCATTTCGGAAGACTCTTGAACAGTCCCCTTTTGATGCAGAATCTGTGTGATGCAACTATCTTCAGAAACAGATGCTGAAGTTGGGAAAGAGGCTGAAGTACTCCCCACTTCAGAGGACTCAAGCCCATGACTTAATTCTCTCAGCTTCTGTTCCAATAGAAAACTCAAGGCATCACCGCTTATCTTATTCAAGCCGATAGACGCCCATTTGGAACTTTCTGCACTATCATCATTCATTTCAATTTCCACACCCACAGATGAATTATCTGAATTGAAGCCATGCATAATTGTGTGATTAGGCTGTGATCCTGCTACTGACTTATTCATTGGGGAAGTGAACGTGAACGATACTATGTCTGTTCCATTTCTTCTGATATCTTCGTCCCACTTCTGATGTTCATCTACCACGACTCCAGACTGGACACGTTTCTCGTGACGACCCACTATAATAGAATCTGCAGGAATATTTTTCTGTGACTGATAATTTCCATCTACCAAACGTTTCTTTCGGGGATTATTTGTGGCTTGCAAATCTTCCTTCCTGTGAAAGACTTTAGAGTTGCCCTGGGTCTTTTTCAGGGTCCTATTCTTCCCAGATTTGGCATCCCCAGATGAAGCTTTCCTGATCTGCTGATCAGATAATGATGACGTCGCAGTGATCTTTTCTTTACTTGAGAGACTATTCTGCTTCTGGTTATTTTGTCTTAGCATGCCGGAGGGACCAGGTCTTGAGCCATTCTTCTGAATTCTATTCCTCAAGTTCGGTTGACCCTTGAATGTCTGGTTCAGCTTAGCTTCCTCATGTTCCCTAGGAACTGATATAATCTTACCATAAGCTGACGACCCCTCTCTTCTTTGAACATTCACCTTCGCTTGAATTGCAAGTGAAACAGTTTTTCCCTTATCTTTTGTGCTTGTGGAACTTGTTTCCTCCCATTCTGGCGAGTCCCTCGCACTGCAGGGTTCTTCTGGTTCACTCCAACTCTTGTTCAGGGGATGACCTCTGATACACTCGACAGCAATTGATTCAAGTGGCTTTTGAGATGACCCAGCAAACCTTGTCGCCCCATGAGATGCTGCAGTGCTCTCCTTGGAGTTGTGGACTTCCAATGAAAGTGATGATGACCCGAGAGAAGGAGCTTTACCCTTCGAATTTTCTCTAAGTCCTGGTTCAAGAATCTTTACTGCTGCCTCCATTATATCAGCCATATTTTTTCCTGAGGTGAAACTGGGATTTTTAATCGGTGAGAGTAACTTGTGATTGGGGACAGGGAGAGGCTTCGCAGATCTTAGCGGCAGCACTTCAGTTGAAAACCTTTCGATTGGGCTGCTGGGCATCTTTTGCGACCTCACCTCCAATGGTTTCCTCGAATAGTACTCAGACCTACCCTCAGCATGGCTAAATTTATCGCCAATGAGGATCTCTGGGACTCTCTTTTGATAATTATTTTCCCGAAGAGACTGTGAATCAAATAATGGCGCTGGGCAAGATTCAGAAACACCTGCTGTTGGCAAAGAATCTAAGCCCATAAGCCTAGCTACTACTCCAGGCGCCCTATTTCCTTTTCCTTCTTCATCGGTGACTGAAGAGGCACAACTGTAACCAGTGCATACCGTCAAACCTGATTGTCCCCCCGGGTCGACATCCTCAGCCTGGAAACAGTGGTAGATAAGTGAAATAAATACATAACAAGAACAGAAATGTCGAAGAGAAGATTTGGAAGCACGTACGAAATGAAGACGAGTAGCTGCAACACTCTCGTTGCTTTTCGCACCTTGTTTCGCTACCTCTAAAAGAAAGAAAACAGTAATCGACAAATGAGTAAAATGAAAAACGTGTGTTCCTTTCAATGCCAATTACATGATGAGTGAGTGTACTCACCAGGTGAAACAGTTCCGTTAGCGAAGAGCTTCTTACGAGGCTTTTTGTTCCAATCGAACAGATGAAAGAAGCCTACAGCTTTTATGCCTATCTTCTCTGCCCCCATTTCCTCAGTAGACGCAGATCAGTAGTACGGAACTGGCATGATCACTGAAAGCTGATCACAGTTTTCTGGTGATAGAACGAGAAAAGAAGATGAAGATAAGAGACTAACGACTTGACTTGCTCATATTATTTCCATAGGAAGAGAATGCAAATCGGCTGAAGCGTCTAATAAAAGAAACTAAATGAAAACGTCAATCTGGATTGAATTCCTCCAAAATACGAATACCCAATATTCATCTGCAGACCTAATTTACATAGAAAACAAAAAAATCTGCCGAAAAAAAAAGAGTCAGATAGTGCGTCTAAATGAAGGGCCCCAAAAACATCTAAAAAACTATCCACATTCTACGCCAGAGACCAGATATCGATGAAAAGAGGGATGAGATGCGAAAGAACTAATGCGACCCAGGTCGCCACCCTCTGGGTAACATCCGGTCATGTTCCTCCATCCCCAAGACGCCTGGAGGACGCACATTCGGCACAATGGCGAGCAAAATCTTACCTAACAAGAGAGATCCGCAGCTCCCCGCTCGATACTCCCGAATTATCCGTCCCTCGGGTGCCAGACAACCTATCCCTTCAAGTTAGGGTTAGGTTCCGCCTCCACAGGACCGTCCAAAGACGCAGCAGCGTACGGTGGAGAGCAGCAGGCAGAGCCCGAGGGCTCCCGCGGCATTGAAGGGCGAAAACGACAACTGAGAGTTGCGTAGATCGAAATCATTAATGGCGGAGAGGCGAGAGCCCCGGCGAGAGGGAAGACCCCGCAGCAGCAGGCGGAACGGGATGGAGGACGGTGGGTGGAGCAAAACCAGGAGGATTCCATCTTTAATATATTTTCGTATTAATTTTTTTTGGAGATTTAAAATATCACTAATTAATGGTAATTTCCAAGTAGGAAATTATGGCAGTGGGCCCCGAACAGCCTCGAAAACGATGACTTACGTCTCTCTCGCCAGGGTTGCTGAGCGCTGGCCATTTTCGAGTTGCAGTGAACCGCGGGGCCCCCTTCCTTGACGCAAGTCCTGATCAGACGGCTGTTCCTCCCCGAAGACTTAATGATGAGAGCCGATCAATTCGCCCTCGTTTTAGATCTCACGATTAAATCGACCCGGCGGAGCAGCAAATGCTGCCCGTACGCGCTTTCCGTGCGAACCTCTCGTGACGTGATAAACTCGAAATCGTTTCCTATTGAAAAGTAACCTTTTAAACTCCCTAAAGTTAAAATAATTGTCCTCAGATCCGTCAACGGACCTAGCCCGCCACGTGGCAAATGATACCAAGAGCTCATTTCTTCGGGCCGGGCCGCCCGGTATTACCCGGCCCATGAGCATTAGTCCCACGTCAAGAAAGTTCTCTGAATAAAAGGCCCACAACAATTATAAGAAAATTTATATTTTTCCATATTTAGGAAATTAATAATAAAAATAATAAATATCTCGCAAGACGGGTATCACGTGTTTTTCTTGCAACTCACATTGGAGGAGCCACCAAGTGGGGCCCAGACATGAAGTAATATTTATGGGTCAACTAATTCGTCTTATGGATTATATTCGTATGATGATTATTTACGACAAAAGCGGGATAATTATTTGGTCTGAAACAGCTTAGAGTCAAATGGCGGGCGGGGAGATGAGCGGTGAATTATTTCGTCACCACGTGGAGGGTCCCCCCCCTAATGTCCACGTCAGAGTCACCACACCGGGGATTTGTCGCCTTTCTCTCGGAAGAAATGAATTGCAAGGAATAAAGAATGGTTTCTGACTGTTTTAAGAAGGTCATTCTTGGATTGATTTCTAGGAATGAGTACCTGCTGAAGAACGACAATAGGGCTCGACGGGGTCTGCGTTGAGGGAATCCAATTGCTGGAGCCTCATCTGCTCGTAGAACCTGGCGATAAACTCCTCCGCCCTGAGATCGATGGAGTGCGGTGCTCCGCCGCCGCCGCCGCCGTCGGCTTCTTCGTCGCTCTCGCTGTCGGCGAGCTCCCGGAGGTCCGCCGCCGACGGGTACCTGCTGGTCCAGCCGCTCTGCGAGTCCTCCGAGGCGGAGGGCGACGGCGGAGTGGGCGGCGCTGAGGAGGTTCCAGTGGGGAGCAGCATAGCGCCGCCGCGGTCTCCGACGGGGTGCAACAGGCGAACGACGGCCACCAGGGTCTTCCAGAGGCCTTTCCCTCTGGGGCTGGCGGCGCCGCCGGCCGGCGACGGCGCTGCCCCAGGGGGAGAGCGTAGTCGGACCATGAAGACCGCCAGGCGGAGCAGGTTCACGCCGGGGCGTTTCTTCTTTGCGGTCAGAGCCTTGCGCCGGCGGCACTCGCCAGCGGCGGCGGCGGCGGCCTCCTCCATCGGCGGTGCGGGCCTTTACAGGCCCTCCCCTTTGGAAGTTCCCACAGGCTCCTTCATGGAAAATGGGAGAAGGAGAAGCCCAGAAGGGAAATAAAGGGAGGAAATATGGGGGCCAGAGTGGGAAAGGAAGCGGAGGGGCGAGCGGAGAAAGAGGGAGAGTGGTGGTGGGGAGAGCTCCGATGTAGCGGAAATCCTCTGTCCTCCCCCTCCCTTCGTTTCACGTCGTTTGGGCAGATTTTCCGGATAAACAGCCATGCAGACAGAATGTTTTTGGACAAAATTATCTAAGCAAACGTCTATTCAATGCAGCTCATGCTCTCTCACGACGATGCCGAGTGCAACTATGACGTGACAAGCCATTTCCAGCTGGACCTTCTAGAGAGAGAGAGAGAGGCGCCATCAATAACCCCTTCGAACCAGGCCTCTCTCTGGTCGGGAAGAAGTGCTGGTTTAATCCTCCCGTTCGAACTGGTCATGAAGTTTTTCTTTGATCTCTAACAAGTTTTCTCGGCGTGGGGCAGATGCCGGAGCTTCAGTTGCAGAAAACCTAGAGCAGCAGAAGCCAGCTCGAGGCCATCATCAACGTCGCCGTTGAGGAGGCGGCGAGCCTGCTCCCCTGGCCGTAGTAGCCGGCGTGGTCGCCATTCATGATCTCCTCAACGCTGAAATCTCCTGCAACACGGAGAAAAAAAATGGCGGGCTGTCATCGCCATGGAATTCCTTCTTCCGATATGGGGACTATTCTACGATCACCTCTTCGCCGGCCGTTGCTGCATCCTCGTCGGATCGCCGCCTTCACGTCTGCGACGGCGGCGCCGTTGTAGAACCTGTAGCCGTCGAGCACGTCATCCACGCAGTTGAGGACTTGGTATGTCTCGTCCAGGCAGGGCCCTGCGCAGAAGGCGTCGGTCTCCTCGCGAGAGATGTTGAGGAAGCCCTGGGCCTTCAGCCTCTGGTTCTCCGTGCAGCGGCCGTCGATCTTCTCTCCACAGAAGAAACTTCTCACCACAGAGAAGATAAAAGAAGAAAAGATAATCTCTCCTAAGCACTGTGAGTATGCAATGGTTATATAGCTCTTACGTAGTGATCAGTGAAGCAGGCCAGGGCTCTGAAGATGATCTCCTCCGGTCTGTCCTCTGAAGAAGGGAAGAGGGAGAGAGCGTGAACGGAGGAGAGAGAGAGAGAGAGAGAGAGAGAGAGAGAGAGAGAGAGAGAGAGAGAGAGAGAGAGAGAGAGAGAGAGAGAGAGAGAGAGAGAGAGAACGAGGAGGGAAGGAAGATCATGGCAGAGCCATTCGAGACCTGTCAGACTGGGAGGAGCAGAAGCGCAGAGCAGAGCTAGGATGAGGCACCGCCGGAGAGAGAGAAGCGCGGTGGAAGGCGCCATGGGAGGCGGCGCGAGTCTCCCGTTCTATCTCTATCTAGCTTGCCGAGGGAGTCGCCGGTCGGTGTGTTTAGGGTTTTTAACTCCGTTGGAAGGAGTGCACCGGCCCATCGTCTTCGTCACCTCCGACGACGCTGCGGTGACCTAGCAGAGATGGGGTGGTAGCTCCGGTAAGTAAGACCCCGAAGAGAGCTCGGCAGGTGGGGGCGGTCGCCCACCGTGGGTTCCGCCGGCGGGAGAGGACGATACGAGTACGAGTAGGTGGGATTAGACCATGGTGGCCCTACCATTGACTCCGACACCTCTCTCTCTCTCTCTCTCTATCTTTCTGTGTATCTCCCTCTCTCTCTCTCTCTATCTATCTTTCTGTATCTCCCTCTCTATCTCTATCTATCTTTCTATGTATCACCCTCTCTATCTCTATGTCTTTCTATGTATCTCCCCCTCTCTCTCTATCTATCTATCTTTCAATGTATCTCCCTCTCTCTCTATCTTCTGCGTCAATCTCTCTCTCTCTCGCTATCCAGTCTCTATCTCTCTCTGCCCCTCTCACTGCCTCCCTCTCTCCCTCTGTCTGTCTGTCTGTCTCTGTCTCTATCTCTCTCTCTCTCTCTCTCTCTCTCTCTCTCGCTAGATCTATCTATCTGTGTACCTCCCTCTCTCTCTACTCTCTGTCATAATCCTCTCTCTCTGTCGCTATCCAGTCTCTACTCTATCTCTCTCTATATATATATATCCTTCTGTCTCAGTCTCACTCCCTCTCCCTCCCCTCTCTCTATCTCCCTCTATTTCCAAAACCCGGGTTCCATAGGTTTCAGACCGGAGCCCATTTTTCACAAAATTCTCAACAGAAGCTTTAGGCTACCCTCATTTCAGTAGTCAAAAAACGAACGTTGACTCTCTGTACTTCTGCGTTGACAAAAGGAAAAATCGAAAAACGCGTAAATGACCTCTTTGCTATATAAAGAAGTACCATGTACTCTCTCTCTCTCTATTAATTTTCACGTGGACCACGAAAAATAATGGTTAATGGCACCCAAACACCCAAGATTCCTCCGTTCACAGGGAATTGAAAATTATAAAAAATAAGATAATGGATATTATATAAAATAAAAAAATGGATTGGTAATGGTCACGTAGGCTGTCGGAACCGCTGGGCGGTTAAGCCAGCTGGTCCAACCCTTCCCAGTATAAGGAAATGATCGGACAGCTGGACGGAGTAAAATACAGAATAACCCCTAAACATAAATCAATAACAAAGATACCTTTATTTCGTGATGATTTGGATGGTTGGGGATTCGATCCCCCTCCCTCAACGCCCTTCGGTTGGCGAATAAAGTACTCAACAAAATGTCAGTATTAATAAAAGACCTCCGGATTATTATTATTATATATTTCAAGCAGCATCAGTCACATAACATGACATCAAGATATCTATTTCTCTGATGGAGAGGGGGAAAGCGAATAAGCCCAATCGGATCCAATCCTAAGTCGGGTCGGTCGGGCCCTATAGGTGGCTACGTTTGATGGCTTTGATCGATTGAGCATGACCGTTGGATGATTAGGCTGCAATGAAAGGGTGCTAATGTAATTACATAGAAAACAGAGGTAGAAGAGTGTTTTGGTATATTACAAGGGGCAGAAGTCAAGAAAGCATCGACCGGGGTTCTGTCAGAACAGCCAGTGGGGGTCCTTCTTCAGCTTCCTCTCCTCGATGGTGTAGAGGCTCGGCTTCCATCCCTTGCAGGAAACCTGCCGGGCGAGAAACTCTGGCGACTCGCCGGCGAAGACCGGTGGAATCTCCGGCGACTTTAAGGTTCCTGAAGGCACCTTGGACGCGAGCTCGCCGCCGGCGGCCGGCCGAATCGCGCTCTTCCCGGAGGAGAGAACGTACCAGCAGAGAAGGGAGGAGGAAGAGAAAGAGGAAGAGGAAGAGGAAGACTTCAAGATGGAGCGGACTCTGGAGAGCTCTTCTCGGGCCTCGGCGGAGGACAGCGCCGGCGACTTGCCTGCTTTCATGGGGGCCATCACGTAGACGCCGTGGGGAGAGAGCTGACGGTCTGCGGGGAGAGCTGTGGCTTTGCCGCCGGTGAGGAGGGACTGGAAGTCGACGACGAACTGCTGGGCGTGCTCGAGCATGAGCTCCCCCACTGTCGTCGAGGGAGCGGCCCTCTCGACTTTGCCGTCGGCGAGGATGATCTTTCCGCCGGCTGCTGCGGCGGCGGCGGCGGATCTTCTTCGGGAGGAGTAGTTCCCCATGGAGGAGGGATGGAGGGACGGACGGAAAGGCGGATATGGCGGTAGGGATCGTGTGTGGCGGGCTCGCACCGCACAGAGTTACTTATGGGGTGAAGGGGTCTGAGCTTTGAATGGGTTCATGGGTTCAGACGGCTTAGAGGCGACCCGCTTCTTAAATATCGAAGAAGAAGACGTTCGGAAGGGCGATTCGATTCCGTCCTTAGCAGAGAAGAAAATGGTGATTTGGTTTCTGAATTAATCAAGCCGAGCAGTGAGAGAGAGAGAGAGAGAGAGAGAGAGAGAGAGAGAGAGAGAGAGAGAGAGAGAGAGAGAGAGAGAGAGAGAGATGGAGAGGGTGGCTTAGTGGGTTCGGTTGACTATTCTTTCATTTCATCGATGACAGGAGAGTTCATAATCGGTCAACCGCGTACCGCAACACTTTATCCATTGCCTAAACCATCAACTCTGGTACGAAATCCGCAAACTGCACGCGCTTAGGACTGGGCTCCCTTTTGACTCGGTGAGGGGAGTTAGCGTTGACCTCTTCTACGGACACACTCCACGCAACCCAGATGGATACCCGGTTAGGGTAGGCTTGGGGTGCCAGTTCGGGATCGCTCAGCCCACAGTGATCTGGACCCGAACTTGAATTGGTCAGCTCATCCGATGTCTCAGACTAACCATATCAAAATGGAAATTTTAATCGACCGTTGTTTAAGATGCTGGGCAGTGGCAGATGGGCACTTTCTTAACTCCTTTCATCTCTTTCTCAGCTTCCACGATGGTTGACGACGGCAAACGGTGCTTCTGTGGCAGCCAGAACCCCCCCCTTCTCTCTCTCTCTCTCTCTCCTCTGCACTCGCAGTCCACGTATATCGTTGTCTAGATATGCCACGTGGATAGCAGAATGTCTAATCTCTGCCTGTATTCGGAGAGGCCGCCTGCTGTATGGTGGCATCCGCTGACGGTCAGTGGAAGAAGGTTCACGAGCTCACACGACGAAAGCCTTTGAAGGCCCGAGTGTCCGGATTGGGCGTCGGGGGACGCGGTAGTCAGCGGGCGCTCACACGCAACCACGGTGGAAAGTCAACTGCGTGGACAAACGTGAGCCATCTCGACGGCGGTTTGTCTCGGCTTGGGAAGACTAGAGCGGTGGGTGGCGTGGATTGCGGAGGAGAGAGAAAAGGGTTCCCTGGGCTTTTGACAACTGATCTGAACACGAATTCTGGCGAAGAGAAGTAAACGATTCAAAACTGGAAACAAAAATGTGCCAGCGGGGTATCTCAGCGTCGGAGGCATCGAGACGAAGGCATGAGACAGGGAGGGGCTCAGTGTGTCTGACCCGCACGGTCAACGCCCGCCGCACTCACTCCAGGATCTCGATGGTGGGCCCAGTCGACTCCTCGGTTCTCCCCCAACGAAGCCGAAGATCCTCGAGGTCAAGTTGGGTCAGTTGGCCTAGACCGGGACCGGCTCGGTGACGGCGTGAGAGGTGCCGATATCAACCTGATGGAGCAGAGACACAGATCTCGGTCGTTAATGCATAAATAAATTTGTCGGGCGCCGTCGATTCAGAAAGAGAGAGAGAGATAGAGAGAGAGAGAGCCTCCTGTGTGTGGCCTTTCTGTGGGAAAAAGGACTCTTCCGGCCTGGACTCATTTGGATCCTGGGTCCAAATAGTTCCAACTCTCTCCCTCTCTCTCTCTCTCTCTCTCTCTCTCTCTCTCCCTCTCCCTTTCTGGAGACACAGAGATAGAGAGAGAACTGACTCCCGCATGACAAAGAAAAAGCCTCCAGGCTTTCCAGCTGGACCCATATGATCTTAGACCCCAAATAGGCACAACACACCCAGCTTGAGAGAGAGAGAGAGTGAGAGAGAGAGAGCAGCCATGCATGTGCCAACGAAGACAAATCGACGATTGATGCAATAAGATCTGAATGGGGCATTACCTTGGCAGATTTGAAGAGTTCATCAAGCACTTCAGATAAGGTCGGATGGGCATGCACCGCAAACTTGATGTCCTGCAGGATATCATATTCGAATCCATTTAACTAAATCTGATGGGTTCAGGGAGAGAGATAAACTAATACTATTATGGGTCGTCGGAGAAGAAGTCACCTGGATGGGCGTCCCCAGGGCCATCGCGTTGGATGCCTCATGGATGAGGTCTGCAGCATGCAGCCCTAATATGTGAACTCCGAGGATCTCCCCAGTGTCTGGTCTGTAGATCATCTAGAACAACATAATATCATAGTTTAATGATCGGAAAAAACTATAGGAATCTTCAAAAAACAAGAGGACTAGGGTTTCCTCTTGTTTATGTTGGGAGAGAATCAGAGCTCTGACTGGATCCTTGGTGGAGGTAAGGGTTAACATAACAACGGATAGAGATATGAGCATAGGTGGTAAGGATCGCCATTTCAATGGTCTGTAGGTTAAGGGTTTACCTTGGCCAGACCCTCTCCCTCGTTTTCTGCTAAAGCTTTGGTGTTCGCCTTGAAACTGGTCTTAGCTACACTGACGGTGAAGCCCTCTTTCTCAGCCTTCTCTCTCGCTTGAGGCTGAAAATAACACCAAAATATATATATTATAATTTCTATGGAGAGAGAGAGAGAGAGGGAGAGAGAGAGAGAGAGAGAGAGAGAGAGAGAGAGAGAGAGAGGAGCTATAAATTTTATCCCACGTGGTCAAAGAAGTATGCCAAAAATAATCTATGAACCCAAGGAATTGCTTCCATTTGGAACACTAATTTTCCTTGTCCCTAATGAACACCAAAAATATATATCATCAGATATGTCTATCTATCTATATAATTTATATGGGGAGAGAGAGAGAGAGAGAGAGAGAGAGAGAGAGAGAGAGGAGCTATAAATTTTATCCAACATGGTCAAAGAAGTATGTCAAAAGTAATCTACAAATCCGAGGAATTGCTTCCATTTGGAACACTAATTTCCTTGTTTGACTTGAAGAGGAATCCTCGACATTTAATTCATGAAGACTTCTGAAAATCATGAAAAAACATTATTACCCTCGATCAACTGAGGCGTCCTTACAATTTTGGATGTCGGTAATTCATATATCAGTCAACGAGCATCCCTTAATTTCTAGAATTAATAGAGAAGTCACCTTTAGTTAGGATAATAAAGGGCAATTACCTAAAGAGTGCACAAACTACTAACGATTTCTTCTTTTTTGGGTCTACCCTAACTTAAACGACCTTTCTTAGGAGTGATTGATGAGACAGCTAGAAGCGGACAATGAATATATAGTTTACCAACAATGCCGAGATGATTTCTCTAAAATGTTGCTAGGAAGAATTAAATCTTCGATGGATTTAAAGAGATGAATAGCTGGAGGAGCAGCAAATTTGAATGCCCAAATGGAGTCAGGGACTAATGGAAAGCGCCTGATTCAGCATTATCAACACCAGACTAATGTAAGAAAATAAACCAGAAACCATGAAACAGGGAAAAGGAAAATGACCAAGGTTTCTGCGTTCTAGATTAGATCCATGAAAAGAGACAGGAGTAGGGTATGAATGTTAGCATCACATTCTCAGAAGCAATGGGATGTACAACGACAGAGGCTCACATTCTCTTTAAGGTTTTAGCATGAATAATAGTCAAATGAAGCGAAGTACCTCTGTGAGGCCGACCATGCTGATTTCAGGATGGGTGAAGCAGGCGGCTGGAATGCTCAGATGGTTAAGCACGTTGTCGTTCCCATAAACTTGCTCGACAACTATTTTTCAGGAGCGATTGGAGGCACAATCCAGTCAGTTAGCTGTCGTCCGAACATTAGATTGCTGCTTCAGAGAAAAAGTGAGATCTACCTGAGATGCCTTGTGCACTAGCGGCATGGGCAAGCATCAGTTTGCCATTAGCATCACCAATGCAGTATACGTGAGGCACCTAGGATAATCAGAGAGGAATTAGCTCTCAATCCGCAGCTAGTAAATCCGTTTAAGAGAAGACATTGGGTGCGGTGCTAAATAATGTTTTCACGCATAGAACAACGAGTAAATTAGATTTAGGGCAAGCGTGTTGTTCATACAATCACTGACCAGGTTACCATTCGCATCAATTACTTGCATCCTCTCATTGACAGGAACAAAGCCACGTTCAGTCACAACATTTATCTGCAAAAAAAATCGAGAAATGTTTTAGTGTTAACCAATTTTCAATTAAATATTCCGATTTTCTTCAGTCATATTGGAACTAGCATAGAAACTACGTTCTCCAAGCCGAGCCCTTTTGTGAATGGAGCCCTTCCAGTCGCTATAAGAGCTGCATCCACCTATAGTAGACAAATGAAGAAGCAAATTAGACTGATTAAGTTATAAAGTCTTACGAACCATTTCATAAGTGAAGGAGATTCCTACAGAAAATGATGGAGAGGAAAAAAAGGGAATAGAAGCAAGACCACTAGTTTTGACATATATATTGAAAACTGGTGGATTTGCAAAGCCAGAGGCAAAATGAGATATCTGCCCTTTTGTTGAAGATGCATTATAGAGTTTCCCCTAGGCTGATGTTAGATCTGCCATTCATTTCTTTTTAATGGAAACGGTGGAGTGTCCACTTGTATTTTAGGGCGGGCATGTGTACACTGGTAACCCGACACTCCTCTATTAAACGAGAATATGAAATGATGTTGGGTCGCTCCGTTTTCACTCCCGTCATTAGGTGTATGACAAAAGACCAAATGCTCTGGCTGGATAAATGGAAATCAACTCACTGAAAAATATTTATTGTCTAGTAAGTGATTGGAAAATAATGTTTTTCAGTAGCACCGATGAGCAGCTGATCTCTTTTTGTTAGTTAACATGCCTTCAGAATATATTAAACATTTTCCATTGTCTTCCTTCTCTGCCTGTCCCATGATTGTTTTCTACCATAAAAGTGCAAGGTGTACCCTCAGCTACGTTGTCACTGATTTAACCCACAAAGACAAGAAATAGAAACAATTGATAAGAAAGCCCATCTATTTACAGGAAGAAAAGAGATTTAAAGAAAGTCCCCATCAATAGTAACTGCTATATGCACAGTCGTTATAAGAAAAACCAAGAATATCAAAGTGTACCTCAAGTGTGTCCTTTGGTGCTTTTGTTTTTGCGTCAATAAGTTCAATTGTGACAGGTTTCCCATCCTTTGCCGGAGTGATCTATTTAAAACACCAGAAACAATGCAACTAGTTGACCCTCTGTTGTTACATCAATCGAAACTAGCACGAGAGAATGAAGATGCCCCTTGGAAATTACCTTGCTCGCAAAAACACCTGTATGGTAATCGATCTTCCGAGGATTGATGAGAATCCTCTGGGCTAATTTCCCAATCTCAGGATCAAAACCAGGCATTAGCTGATCAAGAGCTTCAATGAAGGTAACCTGCACATTCGTTATAACTCGTCGTAAGAGACCAGAAAAAGAGGAGACAAGAGGAAAGACATACTGAGGACGGAACCACAAGGCAAAAATCTGCCTCCACCACTGATTTTCTAGGCAAAAAGAAGATGGAGTTCTAGAACTCTGAGTCGATCGAAAGTTGTCAGTCAACTCTGTCACGTGGTTGACTATGAAACATAGTGTGTAACTGATGGGAGCGTACGGTTTCAATAACAGGAAGGACGAAATGTAACAACGAAGGAAAGAACACAACTAAAGTTCAAGGAAAAACGGAAGAATTAGGGAGAAAATCTAGAACATTATAAATTAAACTACATTCAGTGGAACGGGATAGCTATGATTTTTCCCATGAGTTCTGAGGCCTACAACGCACATATCTGACCAAACCTTTCGAAACTGATAATGCAAGCGTCCTGTGGAGGAGAAATCAATAAATACAGCGGAAAGACATGATAATATCTAAACTACATCACCCATATGATCTTTAAACATAAATAAGCCTTGAAACTACACAATGAGAAACAGCAGAATAAACAGAAAGATAAAGGGTACTTATTTCTGATAACTAAAGCAATGGATTCGAGACAGATGCAGATACTACTGGATGAAGATAGACAATCGGAATTATTCATTTTGTGAAAACTATAGATGTAAATTATACTGGAAAACTAAATGGATACCTCGCTTCCAAGGGCTGTGTAAACATCGCTAAATTCTAGTCCAATATAACCACTTCCAACGATAGCTATCCAATCAGGAACCCATTCCAGCTTGAGCGCATGATCACTAGTAAAAACAGTTTTACCTGAAAAATAAAAAGTTTCAGTAACAGAAAAAAGGGATGCTGAAAGGTATAGACAATTAAGCAACATGATTCAAGAGTAAGTTCTTCCAAAGCATTACTTGTCACAAAAAATGAAGTAATTAATATGAAAATGAAACTCTGTCATTTGTTAGCATCACCATCACAACAATATTATCATCCATTTTCAAAAGAAAATACTAAATGTAACAATATAACAATACTCATTGATGTTTATTACCACGTATACAACAAGATTGTATAGATACACCACGTATACAATCTAACTGAAATATATTCGATATATTATGCCATGTTTAGAAGAGCTATTAGTATTCGACTCCAATGTTTAGACTCAATTCAGATGGTTCATGCACTTATCTGAAATTGTTATTTTAGAACGGAGAAATTCGACACACTGATTCATCCAGTTATCGGAAAAAAAGATTTTAATTACAAGAGTTTTTCCCAAGATGATACTTTGGGAACAGCATGCGGGACCAATTTTGGCCTTGAATTGTGCTAAGAATTAAGACAACATCCTATAAAAAGTAAATAAAACTTGGCCCAATATTTATAACGAAGATCAGTAGCAGAAGAAAAAGAAGATCCAACTCATGTAACAAAATGTTTAGGTACAATCAAAAGTATCTTCTAGGGCACTCCATTTATGTCAAATTTCTATGGAACTCAAGCAAAGTCTCATAAAGAACAGTTTGTTGGATTTGTTTTCCCAAACACTCTCTCATCTCCCTCTTCGGTACATCTGAGAAATTCTCAGGGCTTTGCACCCCCAGGAACATACCCCTTGTTTCCTTATATCTGAAGGAGTGGCTCCTCTCTTCATTAGGTACGTCTTTGAGAAAAGTGGATTCAGTATGGCCATGTGTGTCGCATCTGGACATCAAAAGGCTTTGTTAATGGGTGATTGTCTCAACCTTTCTCTTCTTCTATGTTCTCTATTAAGTGTCTCCAGTTCCTAGTGAGACAATTTTCATTAGGTCAGCGATGTCATACAAAGCATGACGTTGAATCAGAAGAAATGTCATACAGAAAAAGAGAGCTTGAATAGAAATCCATTGGTTGCGAGAAGACAATATAACTATACAACGAATTATATTAGAATAGATCAGACAGTATTTAGAATAGGTTCCTTCATCTGTGCGAAATTTTCTCTGCGTATAGGAACTGAAAGGCTAATTCTCGTTTTATTATAATTAGACAAACTCATACTTTCTCATTGTATAAATAAACCGAGACTTGTATCATTTAGTAATGTCATAAAAATCACTAGAAACATTTGGAGTGTATGGCTAACCTCAGTAACGAAAGTGTCATACAGAGACTGGACGATACAATCAAAAGAAGGTTGCGAAAATAAATAAATAAATATACATATACTCCGAGACATCACCATCTATTTCGATGCCTTTGGGAACAAAGGGGACAGATCCTGTCGCAATTATTATGTCTTTGGCAGTAACTTCGGTGTCGGAGAACCCAACCTTTCCATACTTCACCTTTTGCTTGCCCTGAACTCATCCATGAAGACAAACATCATAGTCCATTGTTTCCTTCAATGTTTTTTCAAGATAACTCGCAGAAAATAGTACATAGCCAACAAAACCTAAATAAGCTTCTACAACGGAAGCCTTTCTAATGACCAATTCGTGTACTAAACAGAGGAATTTTATGAACATGGAAGAATCTTAAGAGAAAAAATAAATGTAGTGTAGCTAATATTGACGGCATTTATTACAAAATAAGAAACTTTTCTATTGCAAAACTAAGCGGTTACTGTATCTAAAGCATAGGGGTTCTACGACATGAAGTTTGAGCTTGTAACTAATACTGTTAAGTCTGCTCTGCAACTAACCGAACCCTATGGCGTTTTAGCAACAGTAGATCTGATGTTGAGTTTTGTACATCAGTTCTTTGATGAAAATTATAAATCTATTCTGATTCAAAGACATCATGAGGTAATCACCAAATACCTTAAAAGTGACATCATCAACTGACGTTCAATGACAAAGAAATATGTTTTAAGTAGGAAAGATATGTTAATATTAAACCTTCAATAAGCACAACCTTCAAACATTGCTGGTTTTTCATTTCCATTTTCAACCCATGAAAAAAAGAAACCCATGCAAAAAAGAATGATGAACAAGATTGATTGATGAAACTCAACAAAACGACATATAAGGGGCCAAAGGAAACTGTTAACAGATGTCCTGATGCATAAAAATTTCATTTACATGTACAGAAAATAATGCACACTACTAACCACAATTGTGCCGACACCGGTTAATATGTCCACTCCTAAAGCTTTCAATGAATTGGTCAAATTGCCGCGAATCTTTGAAGCTAGATTGTTTGCATGATCAGCTACGGCTTGTCTATCATAACCAGAAGCGGAGACCTATAGATCAAGACAATCAGGTGAGATGTACTAGTGATGTTGAAAATTATGATCAAACAGATACACCAATGGGTTTCAGACGAACCCAATATTAGGTAACAGACTTTCTTTCCCGTCAATGAAGGCAGAAAATTCATAAGTACGATGAAGTGCAGACCTACAATCTTACAGCTAAAGCACGCCTACAGAAAAGATGCATTCTCAACATTAACCTTGATTCAAACATTGGCACAGCATTTTATCAGGAAAGAGACAGTTAAAATTAAAATGAGTCCCAGGGAAAGATGCAGAAGTAATTAATGAACTACTTGAAATAAGATACAGCCAACAGATGACACTACTGCATCATGTTTGATAAACAAACTCGTTAATCAGAAATGGAAGACTAAAGCCTTGTCAAACATCCCCGTTTTGAAAAACTTCGAGTTGAAAAATTGATAGAAAAATAAGAAACGTATTAAGCATGCCATGCTACTTTGTCATTTCTTGTTTCACCTCTGAACTTCCGCAGTCATTGATGCACACAGAACTAAACGGACTTTACATCGCATAGTTATTATTTATTTAACACACTAGATACAAATGTAAGATAAAAAATGATATAATGGAGGACAAGGTTTTCATGAAGTCAATAATAAAAATTACGCAGGACAAAGTTAGGAGATTAGCTTTTCAAGTTACCTTTTCGTCAGGTAAATGTATGCTCAATGTATTTCTCACGTTTATCTTTCTAACTACGACTGCATAAATATCTCGGAATACTGTCTAGAATGGTTCGATTTTTTATCAATTGTCCATCCAATGGTAGAATTTTTTACTCTAAAAGTCATCACCCATCATTAGTCATGATTCGTAAATGAAAACATTGACTGCAATGGGGATATTTCCTCATCAATAGCATAAGAAAATGAGTTCAATGATCCAAGTAAAGAAGAAGAAAAAACCTGAAGAGAAATAGGATATTCTTACAGGAAAAGGCAGCATAAAAGCTAGACGGGATATGATAAGCAGAGAGGAGATCCATCACCTGTATACCTAAGGACTTCAAATGATGCTCACTCTGAAGTTCACGCATCCTACCGCTAACAGCTAGAAGAGCTTTTGAAGGAACACAACCCCTGTTCACACATGTTCCACCAACAATATCACCCTCAATAATCGCTGTTTTCAGACCCTGCAACAACCACGCTCCACAAAATCAAAATCATATGACAGCCAGTTATGATGGTAATATCGATTGAATCACTTGACACAAAGTAATAATTTTCCAGCTTTTGATTTCAAAAAAGACGCAAGTCAACATATGAAGGTTAACAATCTGTCATCAGTGAGAATCACCATAATTACTAAAGTTTGTCTGGATTATAAGCCCAAGAACAAAGCCTACATATTTCCTTACAGAGAGCAGCATTGAAGCCTTCATAGCCCAGGATATCATTTGAAAGCAGTCTTAAATCATTAGCCAATGTATTGATGTAGGAGTGTGTAGAACATGTAATTTTTTTCATGTCAGCAACGTGAATTGGGACGTACAGTTTCACAGTGAAGGAGATCAAATGGAAAGAAAGCGTACGGTCATTCCTTGAACGGGACTAAATTGGCATCACATATTAATGACGTTCATAATCCCAAAGTCTTTGATGAAAGCTAGACATCTTCCCGTAAATCTTCACTTGTATGCCGTATAATTCTAATGAAGAAAGCTTAGGAAAGGCCATAAGAGGTCAGAAAGATTAGATTGTTGGTAGATCTTACGTGGGCATGGTGGCTAGAATGGCAAGCTGAGGAAATCGGAAATGTAGGGCCAACATGGCCACTATGTTAAAAGTCACTTCTGGAGTGCATATTTGTACAATGTTTTGCATAGCCTCATGAGACAACATTCTTTGAAGTGGTGCCAACCCCTTCGGAATCACCCAGGTGTTCTGAAACACGAACTGGACTCTAATCAGGTTAGGATAACCCAGAGTGTATGTTCTGAAATCTTTTTTATTTTCCGAGCTGACAATCTGGCTAGCACCAATCGACATCAGTCTGAACGCTGAGAATAATCGATTAATATACACAGTGCTCGGCTTTACATACATAGTATAATGTATTTATCCTCATTTTTTTCTCAATACTAGACCCCATTCCTGAGCTAAGTTCCCTGTTTCACCCAAAAAACCATCACCTGAGTTTACTCTGAGAAAATATATGTATAGCTTTCCTCTCCTCCATTGATGTTTTATAATATATCTATTTTAATCTGCCAACTACAAGATATATTAACCCAGTAGTTATTGACTAATGGTTCATATTTGATCTAAAGGCAAGTACGAGGTCATCTCAGCAACTACTTAAATGACTAAAAATATTTTGTACTAGCGGGAACATGTTATCATTTTTAAAGCAACAAAATCTCTTTTTTTCATTAACCACCATGAAACTTGAAGTCCATAACTATTCTTCAATTATCCACGGGTTCTTCTTTCCTTAAACAGAAATGAGAGTACATTGGCTTGGTTCTATCTACCCGTCTTTTCAAATCTTGAAATGGAGCTCGTTGAAAGCAACATACATTGTTCCATGATGGTCTTCTGATGTAATCCACCTTTTGTCCAAAGTGAATCAAAACGATTAAAAATTTCTGGATCCTTTAATAGCAAATATCTTGGTGTTCTTCTTTTTTATCTCAGTGCACAATGTGTGCAGGGAACATTCAAAAAAATTACAAAACATTTTTAATGGCAGATCAATTTGAATCTGCCAACCATCTGCATGGTCATATATTTTCCTGTAATAAAAACGTGTCCTTTGATTTCTTAATCATTCCCATGTCTTCAGTCGATCCAGAAATAAAGTAATTCTCATTAAGATGGGGAGACAAACAATAGTCTGCACAAAACAACCAACCCTGATCGGAAAACCTTGAAAAATTCTTCGAGAAACACGTACGTTTATAATTAACATGTAGATACACTTTTTTCGTGTAACTGTATGTATGGGCTACATAGCGGGTGTAGTTGGCTGCACAAAGAAATTGTGTTCATTCCACGAAAACTAGTTAATTAATGACAGTAGATTATCCGAGGATACCAGGTATCTGATCAAACAGTTCAGAAACGTGCAATCTACAACAACGAAACAGAAAAACCGGAAGCCAGCCGAGTCCAGTGAGCACAGGGACGTAAGTCATACCCTCTCGACTGCGTGGATCGCAGCTCCATGGCCGCCAACACCGGCTCCGATAATTACGAGGTCGTAGTCGAAGCCCTTGGCGGCGCCTCCGTTGTCAGTAGCCGCCGCGGATACCTTCCTTGGCGGTCTCCGAGCGCAGGACAGAGCGGTTCTGCTCGACCAATGGCGGTGGAGAAAGCGGGACGCGAGGACCTCCCTTCTGAGGCCGCAGAGCCTTAGTGACGAAAAAGGTCTCAGGAAAGCGTCCGAGCCTGAATACTCCGCAAATCGAGCGGATCTGGAGGCGGTGGCGGATGAGGGAGAGGACGCGAGGGAGAGGGATGCAGCAGCCTGCATCTTTCCAAATTGCAAAACGCAGCAGCAGAGGGACTCAAATGCAGGGATCAGGAAGGGAGCAGCCGTCGAAGAACCAGCACTCGCCGAGCAGGTCGCCGGCCGGAGGAGAGGAGGCCGGCCTCGAGAAGTCCGTCGGAGGTGGGGGCGGCGGAGAAGACGAAGGGAGAGTGTGCAAGATAAGCACGGCGGAGTGGACAGAGCTCTGACCATCACTGCGTCTCATATTTTTTGGGTTCCAGATTTGCGGTAAACTTACCTCCTCAGAGAGAGAGAGAGGGAAGGAGTGGGAAATCTTCTAACGACCAATGCAGGGGTTTGTGTTATCGGGACGACCACTGCACTTGCTTGCGGTGGAGTGGTGACAGTTTTCACCTTAGGTGACCATATGCCACGAAGCCCCTCAATGCTGACTGGACAGGGTTTTTCACGTGGAGAGACGGTATATGGGCCTGTTAGGCCCATATCTGGGCAGGCTCGACAAGGCAGCGACATAGGCCTACATCCCTCAAGGCCCAATAAGAGAAGCTATATATACAGCATGACCTAGAGCAATTGGTCGTTGGTTATTTTTCTACAGCGAGGGAGAGCTTATCCAAGTTTTCGTCGTCTGGAAGGAGGGAGGGGACAGCTGGGGCGTCGGATTTCTGGATGAGATCAAGACGCAGATTCATCTACACTCATCGCTCGATGTGCTGTGGGAACTCAAGCGAAGGCTTGGTTTGATTATTTCTCCGGTGCCAGTGGATGCTGTGTTAGGGTTTGGATCGTTAAGCAGAATTGGAGCGTCGGGCATCACTGTTAGGAGTTGTCCGTCGGGAAATCTCTCAGCCGATTGGTTCAGGATCAGTGTTGTTACTCGTTTTTCTCCACTCTAAGTCGGGATTCGCAGGAAATAGTCGGATCTTCGCTTCTGGGTTTATTCCCCAGAGAAGAGATACAGTTTGTTGGCGGAAACGTTGAATAAAAGCTTATTTGTGTCCTTCGTTGGCGGAATCGTTGATAGCATTTGACAGGTTATCTGTGACTAGTATGTTGAGGACGGAGGAAAAGGGTCAGGTCGCGGCGGAGAGGATAAAGGCACAAGCTCTATCTCAGGCGAAGGGTCTCGGCAGGGCTCAAGCCGAACGCGCCGCCGCCGCCGCCGTTCGCAACGTGAATGCCTATGGTCAGAAAGAAGAAGGTCCCAGCAGATGGCAGGAAAGGAAGGAAGCCAAGCGTCAGATGTACTTAATGAGCACGGAGAAGGCGGTGACTCTGGGGCAGAGGAAAGATCTTAGGTCCTCCGCTGCATCTGCGAGTGGCACTGCTGGCCAGTGCCAGAGGTGCCTCCAGGCAGGTCACTGGACGTATGAGTGTAAGAACGAGGCACTCTACATATCTCGCCCCTCGAGGTCCCAGCAGCTGAAGAACCCTAGTCTCATGATGAAGCCCTCTACGCATTACGAAATGCATAATCCTGACGAACGAAAAATAAATGCGGAAAAGGGGGATGAGAAGGGCAGGAAGAAAGGCAGTACAAAGAGCAGTAAGAAGGGCAAGAGGAAACACTCGTCAGGGCCGGATTCGGGAAGCAGCATCAGTGAAGCTTCAGTTTTTGAGACGGACAGTGCGTCTTCAGTTACAGAATCAGATTATTCTTCATCTGGGGGCAGTTCTATCTCCACATCCTCCGATTCAGAGGATGAAAGGAAGCGGAGAAATAGGAGGAAGAATAAGAAACAGAAAAGGAGACATCGAAGGAGGATGTCCTCCTCTGACTCTTCTGATTCGGAATCAGTTACAGACAATGATTCCGATGACAGCCATAGCCAAAGGAAGAGTAGAAAACACACCAAAAGGCATTGAAGAAGTCATAATGATGAGGAGGAACATAGATTTCTGCTAAGACTATAGTGTCGTGTGGTATTGATTTATTATAAGAGTTCAAATTTCTAGCAACTGGGTCCCTAATGAGATAGCTTGCGAATTTTGTATTTATATTGTTGATTTTTTTTTTTTGAAGAATTGTCATTTTATCCTAAAATATAGTTTTGATGCGCCCTTACAAGTGTTTTCTGTTGGATATGCACCAACAATATGTCATCTACAAAGTTAATTCAAGTGTTGTATACTTCAGCATGATCTTTTTGTTGGAGGCTGTGATATCAAACTTGCAGAATATATCTGTCTCTCATAAGCAGATTTGTTGGGTGTTGTAGCGAAATATAGCTCATTGATTGAGTCATAATGCAGACTTCTAGATCGTATTTCTTTACTGTCAGAAATGGAGCCTTTCAAGATGTATATGACCTTGCAGACCTTGGAGTGTTTTATTTATTGGCGTACTTCTGTCGAGGGAAAAAGATCAGCGACCGTGAGAAAAAAGTAATGGCAATCAGCTGGTGTTGACGTGATATCCCAGTCAAGTCTTGTTGTACGTAATCAAAGAGCAGTTATCACATTAATTATTTTCTTTGTTTTTTTTTCCCCTCTGTCTATTGGTTTCCAATTATCATTTTTGGTAAAAGTTTCTCGTATTCCACAATTCAATTAAAATGGAGTATGCATAGTGTACCACGAAGATTAGTCAATTATTATCCGATTTTGGTAACGAAATCGTGCAGCCTATGCGAATGCATTATACACACACATACACACACACACACACACACACACATATATATATATATATATCCTTTTTGGGCCCTTTGTGGTTTAGATTTACGTTTCAGCATTTCGTCAAAGGTCTTCTGTCCTTTAAAGGACGAGATTGACTTTGTTCTTGAAGTGAGATTGGGCCAACCCAGATGGATACAAACGCGAGCGTTCCTTCTGCAATCACTTGGGTCCTAATGTACCTGGTACACCCCTAGAATCATTTCCTGGAGGTTAGCATCAATGTGAACTGGAATCCTTTCCATCACACATTCATCTCCCAGGGGGAGCAAACAGAAAGAGAAAAAATCAGCTGCATTATCTGATCTTATTTGGAAATTACTTTATGAAGTGAATCTGAAGAAAACCCAAACATTCTGGTAGTAGCTGATTACCAGAAAAAGACAGGGTTTAAGCAATAGCAGCTAAATTTGGTTTTTCATACGGATGTCTTTATCATGGAACATTAAACTGTTGAGTATAAAAAAGGAAAAGGGTTAAAAAAACATCTGAATGAACAAAATTAGGCTTGCCAGTTGCTTTCAGGAGAATAAATTGATTTGCTCATATAGTTTGCTTGAGCAAATGAATCAGCGAGTCAGTGAGCACTTTTGTCTTGTTGCTCATATAGTTGATTTGCGCAAGTTTCTCTCTTTGTCTCAGTCTGGTTTATAAATTCCTCAAGGTAGATGTGCCGTTCTTGTTCTGGGTTGCTGACGTTTTATGCTTTTAATAGTATACTGATCTTAAATGGTTCCAAAAACAGGTGAGCTGCGCTTCAGTCTACTTCCCTCTTGTTATATTTTTAAACATGACGCATGAACAAGTTTCTCTCTTTGTCTCAATCTCAATTCCTCAAGGTTGACGTGCTGTTCTTGCCCCGGGTTGCTGACGTTTTAAGTTCTTATCAGTATACTGATCTCAATTTGCTCTAGAATAGGTGAATCTCTATTTTTTGGCAGTATACTTCCCTTTTCATATTACCTTCTTCTTCTTTTCTTTTTTCTTCCTGCTATGAAACAGTACCTGCTTCTCCCATGAACTGTCGATAAAGCTGAAGCTCAAGAGAGCCCTGCCACCATTGCAGATGACCACAGGCGGAGGTGTCTCCATCGCCGCCACCAGGCCGTCGCCGGCGATTCCCTTCCTAATCGTCGCCATCCTCGCAGGTTTGCTCTCCTCCCCCGCCGCGGTTTTTCTCCTCGCCCTCGGCGTCTTCGGCCTGTTTCCGATTCTCTGCGATTCCAGCGACCTGGACTTCATCTCCCTCCTCTCCGTCCCCCTCATCGCACAGGTTGTGAACTCGTTCCTGTATCAGCTGAATCTCACTTTTCTTCCGGTAGCTGTTCTGAGCATCTTGTTCCTCCTTGTCTACCCCGATCAGAGACCCTCGCCGGCGATCCCACTCCTCTTCTGCTTCTTCCTCGAGAGCTCGCTCTCTTCCCCTCCTGTGTTTTCGAGCTTCGCCGCCCTCGTCATCTTCTGGCTGGTTTTCGCCCGCGACGGTGACTGGATCTTCTCCTGCTACCTCGCTGTTTGTCCGATCGTCTTCCTCCTGGTTTCCCATCGTCTGGGCTTCCTCGCGGGTTGACTTCTGTGACCTTCTCCGGTTGTCAATCGCCAAACACGGCATCTTTTTGTTGTTAAGAGAGAGAAGAGAGAAAGAGAGAGAGAGAGAGAGAGAGAGAGGGGGGGTAAATGCAGACGTGGAAATTTCCTATTGGCGTGGATGAGATAAGAATCTTGCATATGGGATTACCGGCTGCTTTATAACAGTCTCCTGGAGGATCTCTTCGCCCTTCCTCTCTCTCTCCGTCGGCAACCAGCAGCGGCGGCGGCGCCATGGCGACCAGAACAGCAGCCGTGAACGTCTCCATCGCGAGGGCGGCGGCGCCACCGCGGGGGCCGGGCGGCGTCACCGTCGCTCTCATCAGCTTCCGACGGAGGGGGAGATGGCCGGCGGGGCGCCTCCGAGCTCAGCCGGCCGGCGGCGCCACCGGGCCCTCGACGCCGGCGAAGTTATCGGAGATGGTGACGGAGAGCATCAAGAAGGCGGAGGAGACGTGCGCCGGTGATCCGGTGAGCGGCGAGTGCAGGGCAGCATGGGACGAGGTGGAGGAGGTCAGCGCGGCGGCAAGCGACGCCCGCAACCGCCTCAAATCCTCTGAAGACCCCCTGGAGGCCTACTGCAAGGACCACCCGGAGGCCGACGAGTGCCGCACCTACGAGGACTGAAAGAGCCCAGATCAGATCAGACCATCGGAGGAACTGTGTTCTCTCTCTCTCTCTCTCTTTCTTTCTCATCTGATTCTTTCCCATCATAAGTAAGTGTGATGTAGTTGCAGTGGTTTTTCCCAAAGGAGCGGCTAGTCGCTGTCTACCACCTGTGTTGTTAGGAGTTCCCAGATGTCTCGACGTCTATGCTGTCTGTGTGATACTGAAGAACTAGGACCAAATAAAGTAAGTTTCTTTCACATTTCCAAGCTCATAACTCTAATGGGCAAAGCTCAGACGAAGAGAGAGAGAGAGAGGGCTCGCGACTGGATGAGGAAGGAAGACGAATAGGGACGAGTCTGGTAGGTGGGCCGTTGAAGCTTGTGGGCTGGTTCAACCACCATCCAGGTTGACCACTTCTTCCTGAAGTCAGCCGCCGTCGACAGAATGATTCGGGCCGGGCTTTAGGAATTACTACTGGCCCGGTAAGACCCATGAATGGAGCCCTGAGAAAGGTGGGATGCTGGCGTTTTGTTTTAAGCCCTTTCTCTGTCATCCAAGAGCCCAGAAGTCGGCCTTATGGACGACTTTCTTTAAAGTCAACCAACCGGGTTCTTCATCCCCGAACGAGTGGCCGGCTCACTGCTCACCGAGGTAGATCTCTAGTGATTCGCTGCAGAAAAACGAAATCTTTCTTAGCTTTTGGGGCCTCACGGATCGGCATGTTGGTCAACCGTATTCTTACCCTGTTTAAATGGTCAACAGTCAAACGTATCACCAATATAGACATGCTGGAAAATAAGAGATAAAAAAAATGAGACCCAACCCAAGTAGTCAGTCACTGGCCTGGGTTGAGCTTCACAACATTTGACCATACAAACTCTAGAAATCTAACCATTAGAGGTAAAGGCATTTATTTTAAAATTAAAACATACTAAATGAGGAACTAATTGAGCTCTAAATTAAAGGCTCAAGTAGTTTGCTGACTAGATGAATAGGAGGAAGAAATTACCATAAATGATCGCAATAAAAGGCCAAAGATAAGATTGCTACATACACGAATATTGACACCTCACCCTTCACAAAGGTGCCTCCCCCCTTTATTATGCTATCTAAAAACAAAGCCCATATCTTTTTTCTTCTAGTACTATTAAATATATATATATATATATATTACGTGCTCATTGAGTCGTAAATAAATAAAAAATCAAACATTTGGATTTTTCATAAACATTTTAAAAAATGAAAGCTTTGTATAATTCATCGAGGTGTTACTTCTTAAATCATTTCCTTTCAAATATAATATTTAAAATAATAATTTTCAAATATGTATTTTCAAGAAAACTGAAATGTAAAGCTTAATGTTTGATGAGGTAGTGCATTCAAGGCTAGTTGATGTTTGACATTCGAGTAGGACTAGAGAGAGGTATTCCTTTTCAAGTCCTTTCTTGATCATTTATAAAGCCCCATGCAACTTTATCATTGAGAACTTTGCATGGACAAGCGACCAGATCTTTTATCTCCACCATGTAGTGAGCTATGGGAGGTCAAATCCCTTCCTTTATATTGGGGCCTTCTTCGACCTTTTTAGAAATTCAACGCAAAACCAATCCATAAAGAGAATAATGGGCCCAACGCAATCACCTTCTATGTCTGGTGTAGCTTTGCTTAGTCCATGCCTATTTTATGAGAATCTGCTTTCCTACTCGTGTACCCATCTCAAAATTTCTAGCATCTCATTCTCTCTCTCTCTCTCTCTCTCTCTCTCTCTCTCTCTCTCTCTCTCTCTCTCTCTCTCTCACACACACACACACACACACACACACACACACCTTGAAATCAAATTATTAAATTCAAATGAGTCAACATTTTCTCATTATCTTGGTTTTTTTACTTGTAAGCTGAAAGCCTTCTCATTTTAAATTCAAAACCATGGGATTAGGATATGTTAATCTTTCTTGGATTTAATTAATTTGGAATTAAAACCAAAATAAAGGTAGGCAATAGTTGAGTTTTTGTTTGAAAGAATATAGAATATCAAAATGTGGTATAGAATTAATGATCAAATAATGTTTTGACTTAAAAGTATTATGGAATATAAAAACTCGATGGATTGTCAACTGAGTTCTACAAAACGCAAGTATCGTCATCTCGTCTTATCTTTACATTTGTTGTAAGTTGGTTATAAAATAAATATTTATTTATCAGAAATAAAATGGTTGTACTATTAAATAGTTTCAGTTTTTTTGTTTTTCAGCTCTCATTACAAACTTAGAAAAGCAAAAAACTTTGATTAGGACTAATAGCATCAACAAGAAATTTCAACAAATTGACCTTTGAATCAAACCATTATGAAGCTAGACCTAACTCTCAATTTACAAATTTAAACGTAGTGTTATCAATTGTTCGTCAATCAAGATGTTGGAAAAGTGGACTATAATCTTTTAAATAAAAACCTTCAAAAAATTAAATTTACTTATACAAGTGAAGGCTCATAGTAGCATTTTCAAGCAAACTGTTAGCTTTTTCTAGTATAATTTTGCGCCAATATATTAAATGGAAAATTCCAAGTATTCCAACAATGATTGTTCGAAAGTTAAAATTTTGGACACGTTTAATTCTTTTTCTCCTAAAAGAACTTAACCACGGAAAAACCCGTGTTGGGACGTACCTCGCCACAAATTATGGTCCTCAGTGGACAACACAAGAGGGAGTCTGTCGTCTTCTGAGCAAGCCTGTTCTCAACTGTTCCAGACGAAGACACTATAAGTGGGACGTAGAGAGGCAGAGAGACAGAGGTAGGGCGGCACACGCTCTCTCTCACACACATACACAGAAGAGAGAGAGAGAGAGAGAGATGTGTGGGCAGACGCCATTAGAACCACCTGACCACCGAAGCAAGATGCCAAACGGGCGGAAAGCCGCACAGCTCACCGGTCGCCTTTGTTTCTGCGTCGAGTAGTCGCATTATCTTCCCTTCTGGACGAAGGCGGCACAATTGGCGATGGGGAGAGGAGATGAGGCACCCCCGCCCCTCTACACCACCTGTCGCGACGCACCTCCGCGTCCACTTCCGAGGGTGACTCCCCCACCTCTCCCTTGTGTGACGTCTCAGAATAATAATATGGCGGCATAGAAAGGGAGGGTGGTCGGGTGAGAACCGAAGGGGTGGTGCAGAACCACCGCCGGACATTCCCCAGGTTTCGAGAGCAAGTGTGAAAGGAAGGAGGTACCGCATGGGGACAGAGAGAGAGAGGGAGAGAGAGAGAGAGATGCGGAGGGAGCATAAAAGAGGCTGAGCAATCCCTCTAAAGGAAAGGCATTTTTTTTGTGTGGGTCGTCCCCTCCTGTTCAGCAAATGACGATAAAATGTCGACATAGAACACAGGTGACCAGGGGATGATATCTGAGTGGAGAGAGCCTGCACCCGACTAGTCCCCGGGTGGGCACCACAGAGAAATAAACAATTCCGAAGAAGAAGAAGATACTGATGATTATGATGGTGAAGAGGAGGCAAGGATGGGGGGTTTGGCAAGCCAAGCCTCCTCCGGTTCTGGGAATTCCCGCGTCAAAGATCCTCCATTTCGTATGCATAGAGCATTCTCCAGAGAAAACGCGCTTCGGCTCCCTCTTTGGATGTTTCGAATATCTGTAAGGTCTCTTATACATTCTTCAAGAGAGAGTTGAATCGGGGGAAAACATGACAGATAGGTGGTCGAGCCTTCATCCATCCTGAAGTGATGAAATCGAAATCACAGAGAAGCATGTTAAACGGGCAGCCAGGCTGTCTTTTCACAGCTTACCAGTGAATACGCTCTCTCTCTCTCTCTCTCTCTCTCTCTCTCTCTCTCTCTCTCTCTCTCTCTACATCCCATCATTGAGTGCAATGGGGAGGAGACAAAATTGGCCAATGATGGGTGGACATTCTCTTCAAACTTTAATGCGCGCCTGGTCTATGAACACCGATGGCAGTTCCATAGTGCTCTTATATAACCTCCACTTGATGCGTAAAGATGACTTCAAGGCCATAAACATATCAAGATCAAGAGATTAGAAATGAGAGATGGGACGCCTGCAGTTGATTTGCTTGAAGAAATGTTCAATATGGATTAATTATAAGATTGTAGCGCGTAATTTTCAAAGAGATGATAATCTAGAATCGCCGATTTTGCGTGCCGCCTAACAAGTTGCTGATGTTGATGTTGGGTGCAGTCTAATTGCACTTGGATTATGTTGTTTAGGCTCCATTCTGGGTATGAAACAGTTGTGCATTGCGGCGCCTCTGCTTCAGTCGGAGGGGATGTGGAAGGCGGAGAAACACTAAGATACAGCTGAAGGTAGAAGAAGATAACCTCAATCTAGGGTTATCCTCACGTATTAACTTAACTTACCATGGGCACTTGGATGAGAAAGTCGTATGCTTTAATGCGCTTTGCCTAGCGATTTTTGGATTCCGTTATTATATGACCCAACAACTGGTTATGGACGTGGAGAGAGAGACAGACAGAGAGTGAGTGAGTGAGTGTGTGTGTGTGTGTGTGTGAGAGAGAGAGAGAGAGAGAGAGAGAGAGAGAGTACAATAATTGAAGAAGTGTACCTAAATGCAATGTCATTCAACATTCTGTCTTTGATGCCCCTCCGCCTCCCAGACGCGCACACGTAATGGCGCCTGGTGCCCCCGGACGACGGTTATAAATGGCGACAACCTCGCTCCTCGGTGCCACGATGCGTGGGGGTTCTCTCTCTCTCTCTAGCCAGGTTCTCCCCGGGTCCTCTCTTGCCCATCTCAGGCAGGATGAACACCCACCCGTCCTTGCCTGTCTCTCTCTTGCCCGGGGGGATAGTTGGGCAGGAGGAGGAACTGGTGCAGCGGATCTCGGAGATCTACGGCGGCATCTCCAAGCTGACCTGCCTGAAGCCCTCCATGGAGGTCAACCGCCTCTTCTCCCAGCTGGTTCTCCTCTGCATCCCCCCCAACCCCATCGACTGCAGCAAGCTCGCCGGCGAAGCCCAGGCCATGCGTGGGAAGCTCATCAGGCTCTGCGGCGAAGCCGAGGGCCTCCTTGAGAGCCACTTCTCCTCCCTCCTCTCCTCCCACGGCATCCCCCTCGACCACCTCTCCCTCTTCCCCTACTACGCCAACTACGTCAAGCTGAGCCACCTCGAGTTCACCATCCTCAGCCGGCATGTTGACCGCCCCCCATCCAAGGTAGCCTTCGTGGGCTCCGGCCCCCTCCCTTTGACCTCCATCGTCCTCGCCAAGGACCACCTCACCGCCGCCAGCTTCCACAACTACGACATCGACCCCGCCGCCAACGCCATGGCAGCCCGCCTCGTCCTCCCCGACCCGGACATCTCCAAGCGGATGGTCTTCCATACGGCGGACATCTTGCAGGTTACCCACCCACTCCGCGAGTACGACGTCGTCTTCCTCGCGGCTCTGGTGGGGATGGACCAGCAGGAGAAGGAAAGGGTGGTGGAGCATCTGGCCCGGTACATGGCCGCCGGCGCCACGCTCATGCTGAGGAGCGCGCATGGCGCGAGAGGCTTCCTCTACCCCGTGGTTGACCCCGCAACCCTCGTCGGCTTCGAGGTGCTCTCCGTCTTCCACCCTTCCGACGAGGTCATCAACTCCGTCGTCATCGCCCGGCGGCTGCCCGTTCCCGGCCCTTGCGCCGGCGACCCCCTCGTGCTACCGACCAAGTGCTCCGATCTCGCGCCTTTCAATCCTCTTCTTCTTAACCATGGCGGCTTGATGGAGGAGCTCACTCTCGAGGAGCAAGCTTCATAAAGCCGGAAGGACGGAAATCTATATCTTCCCGCGCTTCCATGTCCTCCGCCGCCCTCCTTCATCCTCTTGTTCGCCTCTTACCAGTCATCATGGCGGACCCCCTCCCTTTCCTACGAAGAAATAATGGACCCTTCTCCTGTTTTGCTCTCCCGCTGATCTTCTTCTGGTTCGGTTTCGTCCTCTGAAAGAAACCAGAATCGCTACTCCAATCACCGCAAAAACAAAATTAAAGAGAGAGATAGCTCTCTCTCTCTCTCTCTCTCTCTCTCTCTCTCTCTCTCTCTCTGTATTACTCGTGACTGGGGTAATCTTCGGAGGGGCCGGATTCTCGGGGCTCCACGTAACCCCGGTTCAAAGGAGAACTAGAATCGCATCCAACGATTAAATTTTCCCAGAAAGTACTAATTTTTAGACCGATTTAATGCGTCGTCCAGTATAGGTTAAAGCAGGGCTTCGTGAAGGCTCTCCCAAAGGCCCAGAAGCATTCAAAGGCGCAACACCATTGCGAGCCCCACAAGAAGATGACAGCCAGCATGTGAGGGCAAAACCGTCATAACACAAAGATAATAGCTTCTAAGACCTCAACTAAATAATATTAAAATATGCTAATATAGAGGGTGTAATAAGGGGGGGGGGAGAGAGAGAGAGAGAGAGAGAGAGAGAGAGAGAGAGAGTAGAGTGCGAAAAATAAATAATTAAAAAATAGGGAACTAAAGTTCATTTTAACCATCATCATCTTGATCATCATGGAATCATCTTTCAATTATCTCCCTTGATACAAAGTTACTGATATCAAGTAATGTACAAAACTTGATAAAATTTGGATAACATAAGATTTTTGTAAATTAATCTTGATGTTTTTTTGAGCAAAACTTGATCTCTATAAAACTTATATTGGTTTGGTCAAATGATGACGATATATTTACTTCTTCTTTGAAACACTATTCTTATGATCCTCCTCATCTGTATAGTTTGTTATGTGATGAATGATGTAGCAGCTTATTTAATTTAAGATTATGAAAAATCTTTGCTTTCTTGTCTCTTTGATCTCAAAGTTACTACAATTGAGCTAAGGTTGAAAATAAATCTACTTTTATTCTTCATGTCATCTAAAAATCTCATACAATAGTTATCAATAAAATCAACTAATTTAAAATGAGTTACACACTTGTATAAAATTTCATAATTAGTGATGTATGAGTACATCTATAAGTTCTCTTTACTATTGAAAGGTGAAACATAAATCTTGAAATCAAATTAATTCAAAATATCATACAAGCTATTAGCTATTATGAGTTAAATATATCAAAACATTGACTAGACTTTTCTAAAATAATTCATCTAATTTTGCAGTGAAGTCATTAATTCATAATTATTCATTTTTATTCATTGGGGTTGATATAAAATATACTTATCTTGATAAATAAATATAATATAATCCTTTTAAATAACCATGAGCTCAAGAAATAATGAAGTAAATTAAATCAGTTATAGCAACTTTTATCTTCATTGATGTCCTTAATTCATATATCAATTCAGAACATGATTCAATATAAATAATATCATTCACATATATGCATACAACCAAAATATATTTTCTTATTTCATCTTCATATAAAGTGATGATTCATTAATGCTTATGCGAAAATTATTTCTATGAAGATAAGAGTCAAGTTGGCCATACGATAACCTTAGCATATGTTTAGGCCATATAATGTTTTCTATAATTTGTAAACTTCATCCATTTTGTCATTGATCATAAATTCTTGAAGTTGCTCAACATATACATCTTGATTCAGTGTCTATTACAAAATATACATTTATCATCAAATTAAAATATTGACCATTTTATTTGAGTTGTTATCATCAAAATAATTATATGAGTTTTAAATCTAGTAATAGAAAAAATAAATAAATACTTGATAAAATATTGTTCTGCATATCCTTTTACATCAGCCTTGTTTTGTATATTTGTATATTTTATTTGGATTATACTTAATTTATTTTTTGTGGTGTATCTATCAACTCTCATGTCATTTTTTTCAATTGAGGTAATTTATTATTTTCTAACTCTCTCTTATTCCTCTTTTCTAAAACCTCTTCATAGTTCTTTGATTATACAACCATTAAGTTATAAGTATATGACTTATATATGTCATTTAAAGACTATACTTTTCATGAAATATTTGACTCATAAGTATAATCATTATAGTTGTCATAATTAATAGAATATCTTGTAGTCTTTACTCATGTAAAACTTGATCAAAAGGGTGCATCAAGCATTGTCTTTGTATATATAATGTCAACTTTTGTACATTTTAGATAAATATAACTGATGAATATTAGTATGATACTAATTCTAGTCATTTTTTCATAAAAAAATGTCTTTATTTCAAGATTATACAAAAATAACCCTTACTTTCATCACTAAAATTTTAAAATCTATATTTTAATTTTCTTATATATTTAATTATGATCATAAAAATTAATTAAAACATAAGTAATAAAATCAAATACTTTCAAATGATTATCATTTGGTTTTCTATGATTTCTTACTTCATATAAAGTAATATTCATGATTGACTTTGTTGGTTAACTATTGAGAAGATAGATTGTCATCATCATTAGTTTAACTCAAAAGTCATTCAAAATATATTTATCACTAAATATAATGTGTTATTTATACCAATATTCTATTTTTCTTTTAAAATATACCATTTTTCTCTTGAATCTTTTCAATAGTAAATTGCCTTCAAATACCAAGATGTTTGAAAAAAAACTTAACTCATATGATTACAATTTTTCTCCTTTATATGCCACTCATGATTCCAACTATTACTTAAAACTTAATAAATTTAGAAGATACTTCTGATTTTTTATTTAGAAAATAGATCTTATTCAAACAAGTAAAATGATCAACAAACAACAATAAATACATTCTATTGTTTAATAAAAAAAGTATTCATTTAACCACAAAGAACTGCATGAATTAGTTTAATAGGTGGCCTTACACGTCTAACTTTTCTAGTTAAGAATGATAATTGATGTTGTTGCTCATAAATGCAACCTTTATAAACTAAATTGATAGTAAATTCAAAACTATATTATTTTATTGCAGTAACTTAAATGTATTGGAATGTAAATGACTGTATTACAAATTTCAAATACATGAATCATTAAAAATATTAATGATAATATCAAACTACATCAATTTTGAAGTATTAAGATAATATATTTATTAATACTCTAAGAATTGAAATATGTGATGCATTTCTGTTCTTACTTTTAATGAAACATAGACCATCACAAAAATTAAAGTCATATCCTAGCTCGATTAATTGACCTACACTCAATAATTTGTGTGCTAACCTAAGCACATAATAAGTATTATTTATCAACTTATTTATACTTAATTTTTTTTGCACCTCAATATGAGCACTTTTTTCATCTCTCACTCTAACTTGGCATTTCTTTAATGTAAATAAACTTTAAAATATTTCTTATTTTTTCGGTCATATGATTATTACATGCATCATTTATATTTGTTAATCAATATTATATTTTCATAAGTAATGAATTATCTTTCTCTTTCACTTCTATTGATTTTTTTATTTTACATTATCTCTATAATAAACCTCAATATGACTAACTTTCTTATAATCTTGAAATTGTAGTCTTATAATTTTATTTGATTTTCATCTTCACTCCACCATATTTTTATGGTCCATGATTTGATTTTTTGTAATCTCTTCTCCAACCACAACCTTGGTCATGATCATCATAATTTTTATGTCCACAAATTTAGTTGTATTGACATCAAATTAGATGTGCTTTTTTGCCATGCATGTTTACCTTGAAATCCTAACTTTTGCAAGAAACACTTGCTCAAAGAGATTTTTTAGAAGGTACATTAATTAGTTCTACATGTATTGATAATTAACCTATTTACTCCTTATGTGAATAAATAGATAAATATGTTAATTCTTCAATTATAATAGTAATATGATTAGTTTCTGCAATAGTATTTTTTACAATCTTCTTGATAATTTTACTTTCTAAAATATATTATATAAAAATTTATTAAATTTATAATAACAAAAATTCAAGAAAATAAATCTTAAATTGTTTCAACGAATTTAACAAAATGAGTCTTAAATTCTCTTATAAGTGTTTTAAGTTTTACCATTGTAACTTTATTGTCTCCATGAAATTCTTGTTCTAAGATCATCCATGCCATCATATAAGTTTTAACATTGTTAATTGCTGAAAAAATATCACTAAAACACATTGTTATAAGACTACAAGAACCTTCATATCCCTCTTTTGAAACTTCTTCAAATATGATTTTTTAACCTTCCTTTATAATATCATTCTTTACCAGATGAGATTTCATAGATTTTATGAAATAAAAAAACATTATCATTTTGATGTTCTAAAAGTCATATCGTTCTCCATTAAAAATAAATGAGATTGAGAATAGATGAATATGTTATCACCATTTGATATTTTTTAATAAAAAAATCTTTATCTTTGGAGAAATGAGTATTTTGAAGACTTTTTCTTGTAGATCCTCACTACAATTATTGGATATATGCCACCAAAAAATAAAAATAAAGATTAATTTTCACATATATTTAGCTTCGGACAAATCCATATCGTAATAATTACTAAATACATGATAAATATTAATCTGAATAAAAATAAAAGTTTGAAACAAATAATATCATGCCAAAAATAAAGGAGAATGTGTTAGAGGAGAAAGGAGAAGAGGGTGCTACTGTGTGGGTACGATCGAGCACTAAAACAGCATTTACCAATTATTTTTTCCGAAAAAGTTATAATTTTTATTGCTATTTAATGTATCTATTAATGGCTCAAGCTGGGCCTAATGAAGGCCCTCTCAGGGCCCAAACTGCCGTAGCTGGTACCACAAGAAGAGATCAAGGGGGCCCATTGCCACGTGGAGCATTAAAAACTTTGGTGCCGGGAGTAGAGATTTCGTTTAATTCCCTTGGGAATCGTGACAATATCACAATAATTATCCAAAGTGAAACATTTTTACCGGATATTAAAGTGATAATCAATTTAATTTCCACATGTTTCGTGTTTTGATTGTTGATTTGTTGTCCTAGTAAGGCTTCATATGACGCCACGCCGCGTTTGAAGGCTTAACATACGAGGACGATGAGCCTGCCTAGTATCTGAGTCCACCTTAGGCTCTAAGACAACTGGAAGTCAATGGATCGGGCTCACGTTGACTCTGACAACTGTCCCTCGTCCTCTTGGTCAGTTCTTAATGGTAAAGCATAGAAAACGGGCCCTGGCACTACTAGGGCCATTAATTTGCCGCCCACAACCCTAGAAGGAACCCTCCTCTCTCTCTCTCTCTCTCTCTCTCTGTGGATCGGCCATGGCGAGGGGTCGCTGTTGCTGCTGCTCTCCGGGGTCACTGGCCGTGTTCCTCATCCTCTCCGCCGTGCCCCTCGCGCTGCTGGTGGCGCTGGAGCGCACGAAGCTCGCCGGCGAATCTGTCGAGTACCGCAGCCTCGGCTGGGTCCGGGAGTGCGCCAAGTGGGACGACGAAGGCCGCCGATTCCTCGTCTCCACCTTCCTCGACGGCGGCGTCTCCGAGGTCGTCCTCCCCGAATTCGGCGGCGGCGCCGGTATCCTGCAGGAGAAGCCGCTCCTCCAGGACCCCGCCGTCGCCGGGAACGGCTCTGTGGGGATCACCCTGGACCGGCCCCGGGGGCGGTTGCTTGTCGCCTACGCCGATCTCCGCGGCGGCCGCTACGGCGCTCTGGGCGCCTACGACCTCTCCTCCCGCCAGCGGCTCTTCCTCACCCAGCTCAGCGGCGGCGCTGGTACTCCCCACAGATCCCTCTTTCTTTAGAAACCCTAGGAGAAAGGAGGAAGGAGGAAGCCCATTGAGTGATCAGTTCCTTTCTTCTTCATCGTGTTGCAGGTGACGGGCCGTCCTTGGCGGACGACGTGGCCGTCGACGGCGACGGCAACGCCTTCGTCACCGACGCCAAGGGGAGCCGGATATGGAAAGTCGGCCCCGGCGGCGAGCTCCTTTCCACCATAAGGAGCCCTCTCTTCACCCCCAGCAAGACCTGGCTGGCCAACATCGTCGGCCTCAACGGGATCGTCTTCCACCCCAACGGCTACCTCCTCGTCATCCACACCTTCGGAGGCCGCCTGTTCAGGGTTGACCCCACGACGGAGGAAGTCAATGTCGTGGAGGTCTCCGGCAGCTCCCTGCTTCTCGGAGACGGCCTCGCGCTGCTCTCCCCGACCAAGCTGGTAGTCGCCGGCACGCCCTCCGGCAGGATATTCGAGAGTTCCGACGACTGGAGGACGGCGGCGCTGACCGGCAGCTACTACGGGTCCCTGCACCGGATCGCCTCGTCGGTGACGGTCAAGGACGGCAAGGTTTTTCTGAACCATCTCCTCGGCGGCGGGCTCGGGAGGAGGACCCACGTCATCACCGAGGCCATCTTCTCTCCCTAAATGCCGCCATTTCTCCCTTCTGCTGTCAGCCCAGAAAAATTCTGGCGTTTTCATGACATCTTGGACTTCTATAAATAATTATCGGAAGAAATATTCGGGAACCTATATCTACGTGGATATTTTTCCTATCTTACAAGGAATATTCTGGTATACGATGACGTCATTAATATAATGTTAAAATTATCTTATTCGATCATTTGGAATTTAAGATTAGAGTCGGTAGGTTATTTATCAATGTTTTTATGATTTAAATAGAAAAATGGGATGCGGCCATTTCGCGTGTTCTTGACGGTGACGTCCGTTAGTGGGTTGGGCCGTTAGATCTGCCGTCTCGTCAGGTGCGCACGTTAGATGGAACAGGAACTCCGAAGTTTTGCCGGCACAGATCAAAATCGTAAGGGGGAACTCTCTCTCCTTCCTATAGCTCTGCGCCTCCCCCGCCTAGAAACAGAAAGCCCCGAAAACCCTAACCTTTTCGACCTGGAATCCCTGCGCCATGGACTCCATCGGATGCGTCTCCTTCGTATTGCCGCGCCCCAGATCCTCGCGTTGCCCGGCTGAGAGTCCATTTCGAGTAACGGTGTCATCTGTGGATTCGCCATGGCTTGCGACTGCGATCGCCTCCTGCTGCTAGTCCTGAAGATCCGACGCGCCGATGTGTTCACCTTCCTCTGGTCGGACTGATATTGTCCCATTGCGCAGATCTCGGCTGCATATGGTTTTAGGTAGCGTGGGGATGCACGATTTTGCTTATTTACTGCGAGTTTGTCAGTATGGAGGTACTACTGAGCTTAAACTGGACAGTCATATCATACGGTTTTTGTCAATGTCATTTTTTTGTCTCCTTTTGGTAATTTTCGACTATGAGGATATAGCATTGTGACATGATGGTTGTATTCTCCCACTTCTTTATTTATTTTCTGGAGGAAAAAATTGACAGAATTTGAGAAATCATTTTAAGTTTTTCGATATTTCAGTTACTTATCCCTCGGTTCAGATATCTTGTGTGGTAGTTATTCATAAATCTTGACCTCCACAGCTCAATTTCATAGAATGCAGACGAAAACTCTTGAAAACCCACTTCCATCAATATGCAATGGTGTCAAGATATTTATGAATGGCTCATTTACTAGCTAGAGTAACAGCCACGATGAAGCAATGTAGACTCCTTTGTGAAGGAACACAGTCCCATCTTTTTATGACCTTGTCACCCGTTATTCCACTGGATTTCATGTCCATATCAGTGAAAATTTCATGATGCGTCAATAATTATGATGTTCTAATACCAAACTGACGCTAATGGTTATTTCGTGTAAATATAACTTCCAAATGAAGTTATCCCTTTTCTCAATATTCCATGCATGAAGTAGGTGCCTTTACTAATGTCTGATGTCTGTCTGCATGGACGCTGGTGGGTGTCACTGCAGTAGAACTCAAACCTTTGGAACGCTACCTGGTACGGTTTCAAAATTTCTTGATATTAACTTCTGCCTATGGATTGCTGAACTTTCAGGAGATCAGAAAAGGGTTCGGTGGTCGTTGCTTCTGAAGTATTTGTTAATTACATCCTACATTGTATTTATTGGCAATGCTGAAGTGACTCATGGTATGATAAAGGAGACAGCGGAAGTTCCTACGTTGAGTGGATGGAATCTAGGCGATTCAAGACCTGCACCGGCTATTTCTAAGCTTCTCTTGTCAGGAAATGTTCATGCTCAACCTCCACAGCATGAACCATTGTCATACATTCGACGGTCCTCTTTGAGTTTACTAGGTTTATCAAAGTTTTCAGAACATAATCAATATTCTGCTCCAAGTTCTCCTGTGAACCCTCCATCTACAGTGAACAATGGTCCAGGAAGCTATAATGACAGCTCAGAGTCTCCTGGTGTTGCTCAACCTCCATTTGCTTTCCATTCACCAGGTAAGGGATTTGTTACGACAGATGATAAGCCTTTTATTTTCCCTCTTTTTATTTTGACGACCTTGTTTGTATTTTAGGTCAGGCTATTCTTTATCCTTTACTGAGAAAATCTGCAAGCAATGCCTTAACTTCTTCTCATTTCTCATTTCTACTTTTTAAAAATCGGTTGATTGACAAGGGCTTAAACCCAGTCATGTTTAAGTTTTTATCGTTATCATTTCGTTTTTTGATCCTTAACCAATCATTATGACCTGTCCACGTGACTGGTTTCACTTGGTACATTACCATCAGTAACAAGATTTATTTTATTGGTGCCAGAGAAGTTTATTAAACATTCTGGTCCTTCGCGTGCTTTACTTTGCTTGTCTACGTGCCCAATATATTGAAGCTTTATACTCAGATTTGTTCTAATTTTTCTCTTTACCAGTATGAGAATGCGCCTGATTTCCCCAAAATAGTAACAATATTTATCCTGGACCAGGTTGTTGTGGCCCGAACATGGTGAATAAACGAGGTAGTCGAGACTGCCACTGTGTGTACCCTGTGAAAGTTGAGCTATACCTCCTTAATGTTTCTCTCAGCTCAAATTGGAGTGATAAATTTCTTGAAGGACTAGCTTCACAGCTTCACTTGCGAGTTTCACAGTTTGAGATTGTTGACTTTTATGTTGTTGGTGTCTCCGGCCTTAATATTACCATGTATATTACTCCACATTCAGGGCTCAGCTTCTCTGATCCCGAGGTTAATCAAATGAATGCTTCGCTAAGTTTTCACAGTGTCCATATTGATGGTGGCTACAGACTCCTTAATTTGACCTCATCTAAGCCATTGGCTCCTTCTCCTGGTAATTACAATTATCTTTCTTGTTAATATTTCATCCGCGATCTTTAGATTCTGAGGCAAATTTTATGATAAAAAGTTCTGGTTAATATTGCCTATCAACATGGGACTTTGTATCAGTCATAGTATTATTCCCCGAATTCTATTTTTTTATCATGTGCGCCAAAATTATAGTTGCTGTCCAGGACTGATGATCTTGACTTCATATTTTACCACGATGAGCAAAGCCTTTTAATTTTTTTTATTTAAGTTGTTTTTTGAAGTTATAGCTTTATTTTTCAGTTTTCATGGTTTTTTTAATTTACGTTTCCTAAGTTTTCACACACATTTCTGACTGCATCAAACACTTGATGTTAATGAAGCATTATATCCTTCCATGTACAGCCTTGTCCCATTTTCTGCCTTTTCACTTTTCTGCCCCAATTTTGACTCTTGTATTTTCATATGTACACCTATTTATTTGTTGCTCATCACCAGAAGAATAATGATGCCAGAGAGATTTATCTTTTTTCTTCAGTTTCTGAACTTTGATTATTAAACATGAATATACCGTAGAAAATAATGGTTCCAACGGATGTAAGAAATTATTGTGGACTTTAGAAAAATTGTAACCCTATTTAACTTTGGCAGTAAGTCATTTAATTAATCGTGTTAAAAATGGCAGGAGATCAAAATCCCATCTCACTATCACATAAAGTTGATTACATGATGCATACAATGGAAGACAGTATATGCCTCTTTGGCTTATATCACACAAATAGTAGGATAAATGTCCCAGTGTGCTAAGTAAACTGTTATCTTTGAACAGAATCATGCAACCTCCTCGAGGTGCGCCATCAATATTTTATGCTCTTGTTTTCTGCGAGATTGTTTCAAGTTTTCAATTTTTTCGGGTTATTTATTTGATGAAAATGTTTTATCAACGCACCGTTTTCTTTTTTTTTCTCAGCTCCAGCCTTCATGGTGGCACCAACAGCTTTACCACCTGCTACATTCCGGGTGCATATTCCAAGCAGTGATGGCAATGGCAGCAAAAGTTCCAGTTTGGTTCTCTTCGTTGGCATATCCGTGGGCTCATTAATCGTGTTAATTATAATCGTGCTCATCGTTGTCTTGTGTGCACTATCAAACAGGAAGAGGAAGACAACAGTCCAGGAAACTGGTGCGTAATCACAGAAGTTATTTCAATTATTTCAACTACTTATTTAACTGGATTCTGTCGTACCTATTTTATGTGCTCGCCTGCAAAAAAGTAAATTGCGGTCTATTATGTTGAAGATAAGATTTTTCTCCTTTTACTTGGGAAAAGAATGGTATTGGCATGTGTTGAAAATGACAAGGATCACAATACCTAAGTTATATATGGCCCCTTCCTCAGCTATAATATATATATATATATATATATCTAGAGAGAGAGAGAGAGAGAAAGAGAGAGGGTGGTACACATACGACCTAGTGTGGGTCTAACGGTACCATTATCTTTAACAGCCCACCAGCATAGTGACATAATATTGGGCTTGTTCAAATTGACCTTCCAACAACTTGCAACTGGGATGTGAAGCCACCATTCTTTGGACTGGAACATCCGAAGAACAAGTTTAGTTCTGATGCTTCAGAATATGTTCGGTAGGAGCTCTCTTCAGTAAAGGCACACCTCTTACTATCTTCAGTTAGACTCACGGCAGTAGGCCCGCTGACTTTTTCCAAGTCAATCATATTCTTTGCGATCCAGATTTCTGGATAAGGAATGAATAACTCTTTAATCAGAAGGAATGAATCACTCCTTTTGATCTCCTATTCTTCATTTTACCGTTTCTCCTTTGCTGATTTTTTGGAATAAAATGCTCCTACACTGATTGAATTATAATATAACTCTGCAGTGAAGCCAGTAGCCACTGCAGATTCCATCTCAATCGAAGGTTCTCTTCGTCACCCGAGTAGCACACGATTTCTTCCATATGAAGAGCTTAAAGAAGCTACGAATAACTTCGAATCCGGGAGCGTGCTTGGAGAAGGAGGATTCGGCCGTGTCTTCAAGGGCCTGTTGAGCGATGGAACTCCAGTGGCCATCAAGAAGCTCACGGGTGGCGGGCACCAAGGGGACAAGGAGTTCGTGGTTGAGGTGGAGATGCTTAGCAGACTGCATCATCGTAATCTTGTCAAGCTTGTGGGCTACTACAGCAGCCGGGACTCCTCGCAGCATCTCCTCTGCTACGAGCTGGTTCCCAATGGAAGCTTGGAGGGCTGGCTCCATGGTAGTACATATTTTTCAGACAATTTTCTTCCATGTGAGCGGGCTAGCTAGGCTTTTACCTGGTGTTCTGTTCTTGTTGTGACCTGATTTTTCCACAGTGTGCTGTTGATGATCTTCTGCGTTTTCATATGAATAATTCACATCGACAGGTCCCCTGGGAATCAATTGCCCGCTGGATTGGGACACGAGGATGAAGATTGCCCTCGATGCTGCCCGAGGCCTGGCATATCTGCACGAGGATTCTCAGCCATGTGTTATCCACAGGGACTTCAAGGCTTCCAATATACTGCTCGAGAACAACTTCCATGCAAAGGTCTCTGACTTCGGTCTGGCCAAGCAAGCCCCCGAGGGCCGAGCAAATTATCTCTCTACCCGTGTGATGGGCACTTTTGGGTCAGTCTCTCTCTCCTCTACTCTATCCGTCAGTCATTATCTCTCTACTCTCTCTCTCTCTCTCTCTCTCTTTTTAACAATGCTAATAGTTTAGATGAGGATGATGTGAATGCGTTCATAAAATCACAGTATCATACTCATGTCTGTATGTCAATCAGGTACGTGGCTCCTGAATATGCGATGACGGGGCATCTCCTAGTGAAGAGTGACGTGTACAGCTATGGTGTCGTCCTGCTGGAGCTGCTGACTGGACGGAAGCCTGTGGACATGTCACAGCCGTCTGGCCAGGAGAATCTTGTGACCTGGGTCAGCCTCCTCTCTCTCTCTCTCTCTCTCTCTCTGCTCATAGTCAGTATCTTAGTAAGTGGCGTATGTTCCCTGCAGGCTCGGCCTATCCTTCGTGATAAGGACCGGTTGGAGGATCTTGCGGACCCCAAGCTGGCCGGTAAGTACCCAAGAGACGATTTTCTTCGAGTGTGCACCATTGCAGCCGCCTGCGTGGCCTCGGAGGCGAGCCAGAGGCCAACAATGGGGGAGGTCGTTCAGTCCCTTAAGATGGTCCAGCGGGTCACCGAGCAGCCGCCGCCGCCGCCGCCCGCGGCCGTCTCTTCCTCTTCTGCCCGGCCCAATCTCCGACAGTCCTCCACCACCTACGAGTCAGATTGCACCTCCTCCATGTTCTCTTCTGGGCCCTTCTCCGGCCTGAGCCTCCTCGACAACGACAATATATCGAGAACCGGTGTGGTCTCGGAAGATCTCCACGAGGGGCGGTGATGATGGTCGCCTGTGAGGTGGGAGGTTTCTCTCTCTCTCTCTCTCTCTCTCTTCCATGAAGGTGTACAGTGTGGCTCTGTTCTTCAGGTTTGCCTCATTTTATTCTTCTCCCTCCGCGGCTTCTTCCCTGAGATCACTGATGATGCGTGTGCGTCCCTCTCTCTCTCTCTCTAGGATAGGTGTAGGGCCCAGTCTAATTTGGGCTTTCTAGGGTCTGATTTAAGGCCCATTAGATGGTATTTTTTTAAAAAAATAATATCGTCAACTTTACTAGTGAAGGGTCATTTCACGTTGTGGTATTAATGGGCTCGGAAAGTCCTGGGCTCGGCCGGACCTAGCCCCGCCCATCTAGAACACTACGAACCGCTGGGCCCTCGAGGGGAAGAGATCGGGAGGCTCGTAGTAGAGAGAACTGCAAGCTGGTGGAGGATCGCATGGGGGATGCACGGGGAACTATCCGTGACCCGAGAGGACATCCATCGCCTTCGTCTGATCGTAGAGAAGGGCAAGAAATCGCAAGCCGACCTTCGAGCGGCAGCCGTCACGCAGCGGCGAGCAGGAGCCAGCCGTCTTGGCCCAGGCTGATACCCAGAAATTTCCCCTCCAAAAAGGTGAGATCGATCGCCTGAGGCTGGAGCTCGCGCGTGTCAGGTACCAATTACGCTTTTTTCCGCAGCCCGTTGGCTCGTCCCTGATGCCATTGATGGAATGTTCCGAGATGTTCTACGTAGTATATGCATCATTCAGGGCTGCTCTCGAGTGTGCGAAGAAGGGAAGTTCAGAACTAGCGGAGCAGGGAGGCAGGCGAGGGAGAAGAACCAGTCAGCATGACGCGTGACCTGAGAAGCTTCGTGGGGAACTTGGGAAGTGACGAAGGTACTGGAGGGCGCTGGTGTCTTTCTCCTTACCTCGAAATGCATTCTGGATTTACTTCTTTTGACGCCAACTTCAAATTGCTATGTATTATTTATGGCTTATTTTTTAAAAATTGGTATCACTGTAAGAGACAGTCAATATGCATTTCATTCTCTCTCTCTCTCTCTCTCTTTCTCTCTCTCTCTCTCTCCATGGGTTTCATCAACCCAGGTAAGATCATGTCATTGGGTATTTTTCACGTAAAATGACAAAATGTTGAGAATGCTTCGAAAAAAAAATCGACAGAAAAACGTTCTAATATTTGAGCTACTGAGAATGCTTTTTAAAAAACTAACATTTATGCGCAGTTACCTTTGCTCCTGTTGTTTTATGTTTATTTTCTGAAATGCCTGAGCAAATGGATCAAGACTGATTTTTGAAGATTATTCTGGGTATATTTCGTATTAATTATGTATTTCAGACTTTTTCCTATAGATGATATTGCTTAAATTTTGTGGTCTACAGGCATTCGCCATAGGAGAAGAATGCTTCAGATGTTACTTCATTCTGGTGTACGACTGTAGGCCATCTTTCTCCATTTCTTCTATCTTTCTTCTCCAGTCTCCAATTTGATGCGAAATAATATGTATATATATTACGTTCTGACCACCATGGGGAAATTAAATATTCAAATTTTATTTTTAATTTTTTTGGGGGGACGGGAGATTCATGAAGAGATTGAAAGTGCAAGAGCAAGACTTTGAGTCTCAGTTGCAGCTGATTTTAGGCTAGTCAGTGCGTCGTGTTTTCTCCTTGCCCAAGTAAACAAGAAACTACTCTTGTGTGTCTCCATTTCCCTCTTCGGTCTGCGTTGACTTTATGTTTCTTTGTTGAATTCTCTCAGAATATGGTGGGTTCTTATCCTTCGCACAGATAGAACCGAAGAAAAAGTCAACCTGCATTTATCGAAGCAAACCCTGTAGCTTTGTACGAATTCTGACGGAAAAGTCACCTTGACCATGTGTTTCATACATTCAAGAACACCAGTTTCTCTCAATGACATCTGCCTGAATGCTGTATTCCCCCTCCCCACTAAAATCTTTGCTAAGTAGAAGAACGCATGTATATTCATGTGGGGATATCTTTATCATTAGTTTGTTGTATGAGATTTGAGGATATCCGCTCCATCACAATGTCTTCAATCACGAATGTTGGATCATGCTTCTTCGTGAAGCTAGAGAGAGAGAGAGAGAGAGAAGCCGATCATCCAACTAATGATTTTGTATGTTCTCTCTCTCTCTCTAAGGGTTTCATCAGCAACCCATAGAAAGGAAAAACCCATGGAACAAAATGATGACAATTACGAACATCAGAGAAGAAATATGGAAGGATGATGATCATGCAAATCACCCGAATTTGCTGCAAAAGAAATCAGATTCATGGAGGAGCTCCTCTATCGACAATTTTCCCAGGAACCAATGCATGCGGATAGTAAAAAGAAAAAGAAAACAAAGGAGGTCCGGCTAAGCAAGTGCCAACATGTGGAGTCCACCTCAAGCGGGATTCGATCAGGAGCGTTTCCCGCTGTTATGGTTCGTCTTGGTGCAGAGAACTTTCCGGCCCTTGGCGCGCCGCCGCTTCAGCACCGCTCTTCCGGTGGTCGTCCTCATCCTCCGGCGGAACCCGTGGGTCCGAGCGAGAGATTTCCGAGACCTGCTCCTCTTCGTCAGGCAAAGCGCCGGCTTCCCCGCCCGCACCTGTAGCCCCCTCCGCTTCTCTGACAGAGGCCTGCCGAAGCCAAGATCCAGGCCCAGAGCGAGGCCTGTGGAGTGGGGGGGGACCCACGCAGATCGTTTGATCAGCTCACAGTGGACTGTATTATCTTGAAAAAAGTCTATTTTCCGGCAATCTATCCTATGATAGTATGAATGCCTGTTAAAGATGATCAATGAAAGACAGAAATGAACCCAATGAGGAAGTGATATTTGCCTAGGATTTGAAGTTGCCAAGAGTTTCTCAAGCATGTGAAAAAGTGGCAGAAGGTAGGTGCCCACATCCTAAACTTTGATCTACATGTTACATTACCTCATAAATCAACCTCGAATATCGATAGGCTAGCTGGGTCAGGCCAGTTTTTTATCGCCGATTCACTGAAAGTCAAGAGGAACCTAGTTCCGTGTGTCACATATCCACAGTTGTGTAGCTCGGGGGAAACAGAACAATGACAGCAAGAAATCTACATAAAGAAAGAGAGAGAGATAGAGAGAGAGAGAGAGAGCAGCAGGGGCGGCAGCGCAAAGGGAAAAACACTATTGATATATGTAATGGGCATCATGTTACTGATAAGCCACATTACTTACCGTAATTATGAATTTTTCATGAAAAAATGCACTATTAATATCATGAAAAAATGCACTATTAATATCTTTCGATCTGATATTGCCAGTATTCGCAGGAATGGAAAAGATTTAAACTAGTTACCGGCGAAATTTGGGGTCAAGGAGAGCCAGAACAGAAAGAATAAATACCTCGAAAAAGAAGCGAACAGTTGATTAAAATGGCCTCATGTAATATTATTTGAAATATTCATTCATCCAAAAGCAGATCACAATTGGCAGATTGAATCAATCCAGTGATGAAAAAAATAATGGGACTGATGTTATGAGTGATGCAAGCGTTGCCCCATTATGCATATTCTTTTGGAGATAGCACATTAAACAGGCACATTGGCCTGACATAGAATATTAGGTTGATCTCTAAAGGAGTGTTAGATAGGAAACGAATTTTGACAAATTTATTCACAACTCAAATTGAGTTATGGAGACGTGACCCTCATTTTTGAAGGTAAGACCTCTAGATGCAAATGGAATTCAGTGTTCCAGTGTTCCAAAGGAAATTGTGTGCTGATTATTCACGAGTAAAGATAATCTTTACCTCCATCACGAGTCTAAGTGCCCCCCAATGGAATGCCTGCCCCCTACGCCCCCCATAGAGTCCATCACGAGTCTTGTTTGGCAATGAAAATCGCGCCAGTGTATATCCCAAGTAGCGTCCATACCCCACACCTCACATCAGTACCAAGAACGTTTGCTTCCCTCTTCATGCCCTCAAAAGCTTATAGGATCAAAAAGCGGAAATAGAACTTCGAGAGTGGCAAATGAATCGAGCAATTGAACGAGAAGTGTGAAAAATAGCGGCGCAACTATGAGCACTCCTCTTGTTGAACAGGACTGATGGCGAAAACAAGTAGTAAACATAGATGCCGCTACTAAGATGAAGTAAATACAAAAATGGAGATCTAAAACATGAAAAAAAAAAGAAAATGCTGCTGCTCCAAGAGAGAGTGAACGAACGAGATTTAAAACCAATTTAAAATTTCCTTGATCTGTGAAGCATTACCTGAGAAGGACGAAGGGAAGGACAGCGTTCCGGACGAGGAAGAGAGGAAAGAGGTATGGGGAAGAGAACTGGAACGCGCCGAACACGGACACCTTGCGACGCTCACAGAGGAGAACACGCAACCGCTTCGCCTCCCGCCGGCCATGAGGCCGAGCGACGCGACAAGCGGCGCTGCACCGGAGAGCGTCGCCATGGACATCACCATTTCCCTCCCTGGCTCCGCTCCGCTACTCCCCCCTCCCCGCCAGCTGACTCTCCGGCGACTCTTATCGGGATAAGGCGACCTCAAAAAGTGAAACTCCACATATACCCCTAACTTCCATAAAACTGTTAATGGGCCAGGCCACCATCCCTGAACTCCAGTCCAACCCACCAACTATCGACTACATTTAAGCCCAATAGAATGGCCCAATTAGAAACATGGGCCTTTAATCAATCATTACAGCAACCATATGCTTCACACGTGCCAACAGCTAGTAGTAGTCGAAACCAAATCGACGGGCCGGATTGAATGACGCCAGCGCTGATCCCATTGTAGATGCAAAGTCAACGCTGACAAACTGGGGCATGATGACGTCTGGTAGAGCTCACTAACCATCCGCTTCCCACCCATCTTTAAATCTATTTAAAAATAAATAAAATAAAATAAGATTGGCATAATATCTTCTACATTATTGACATTAGCCATGATTGAGATATAATTTTTTCTAAAATGAACGATATAATTAATAGGATGATGGGGAATAAAAAAATGTAAAAAATTGGGACCGTTGGATCTAGAAATAAATCATCGGATGCTGGTCGGGCCGCTTCCCGGGGGAGAGTAGATATGTATAATAGATAATCTTCCGTGGGTGTGTGTGAAATTAAAAAAGGGCGGTGCTCCCGAGGGCAGAAACCGACAACTCATATGCTGCTGCTGTTCTTCCGGATTTCCCGGCCGCCGCCGCCGAAGAGCTCCGCCATCCTCGCCGGCGACCGGAGTCGGATGAAAGAGAGAGAGAGAGCTAGCAGTCGACGCAGACGCAGGCCACCCGCGAAAGCGCCGGGGGGAGGGCGGCGCCGGGGAACCACTCCCCGGTGACAGCATCGTACACTAGCAGGAGCCTCTCCCTGTCGCAACTCCTGCTGGCACCGCGCCGGTCGCCGGCGCCGGCGGAGGAAGGCCCACCGGAGATGTGCACCAGCAGGACCACCGTGCTCGCCCCGAAGCCGATACATGCAAACCGTCCCGCCCTGGCGACGCGCGCCAGCGGCGGAACCGGCGGCGGCGGAAGCCTCGCCCACCCGCCACCGCCCTTCGCTGCCGTTCCGCCTTCCCACCGCCAGAAGGACACCTCCACGGCGTGGCTCGCGAGCGCGTAGACGATGTCGCCGGCGGCGCAGGCGGCGACCACGCAGCCTCCGCCGGGCACGGCACGGGCCCGCCGCCAGGCCCTTCTCTGCACGTCGTAGAGGTCCATCGTGCCGGCGTAGGTGTAAGCGTCTACACGGGCTTCCCCACGGCCGGCGACCTTCAGGCCGCCGATGACGAAGAAGACGCCGTCTGCCGCCGCGCCGAGGCAGCCGTAGCGCCGCCTGGGAGCCTCCGATACCACCTTCCAGGCGTTGGTTGCGGGGTCGTACTCCTCGACAGCGGAAGTCTGGGTCGACCCGCCGGCGACGTAGATCTTGCCGCCGATGGCGGCGGCGGCGAACTTCTTCCTGGGGAAGAGGGTGGGCGCGCAGGGGGCGGCGGCGCCCCGCCAGATGTCGTAGCAGATCGCGGAGCGGCGGCCGAGCAGAAAAATGGATCTTCCCACGGGGACGAACCGGCAGAAGGAGAAGGAGAAGCTGCCGCCGTCGGATAAACCGGCGGGGAGGGGGAGGATGGTCCAGGTGGCACCGGCGAGCGGAGGGTCCCCAGAGGAGGAGAGGACGAGGAGGCCGGCTTCGGAGATGGACAGCGCGAGGAAGGTTCGGCGGAGGAGGCCGTGGGAGCGGCGGCGGAGGAAGAAGTCGGGGGAATCGAGGAGGATGGAGAAGCGCCGGCAGACCACGGAGAGCGACGGCAGGGAGGAGGTGGGGACACGGGAGAGGCACTCGAGGAGGAGATCGTCGGGGAGGGAGGAGAGGGAGGGCTCGTCCAAAGATTTATGGCGGCGACGTTCACCGGGCGGCGGCGGCTGCGGATCGTCCCTCGACGTGAACCACCGTTGGGAGGTGGGGCGGCGCGGCCCGGGACTGGCGGCCGTGGGATCGGGGAGGCAGGATTTGACCAGCCATGAGAAGCTCCGCGAGCTCCTGCAGGTGCAGCTCTCCCCCATGGACTCAGAGAGACAGAGAGAGGCGACGGCTGGTTGTGATTTCTGGTTGTAGACTAACCTTGTAGAAGCTAGCAAAAGTAGCTCACTTTCTGAACCAAATAATTATGCCAAACAGAGAAAGCGCTCACGCAAAGATATACTTCCAAGCTTAATAAATAAATATAATTCTAGGAATCAACGGGCACAATAATAGCAAAATAATATAAATATATTGACCTAAAATCTCCCTGACATTCATTTTGACCTAATCTTTAAAATTTAAATATGGAATATTTTTGCGTGAGATCCACCATCCGGATGGGTCAATTCAAGGTGGTACGAATTTTTTATTTAAACAATTATTATATTTCATGGTTTTAGCCCCTACACTCCACTTACTGTTTGATAGGAATAATTGGACGTCTAGGTTTGTTTTCCTGGGTGCCCTAGAGTATATATGGAAATGTACAATTATCGAGGGGTGAAATAATATGCCCAACTTTAGGGGAAGATTAATGGACACGTGACCAGCTGGACGGAGCAACAGCAGAGGGATAGGTCTTTTCACGCTGACGAGTACTGAGTTCCCATTGGTCGAGAACCGCGGTGCCAGTTAGAGTCAGAAGCGGCGGTCCACGTGACTCGTCCTTGGCGGTCCACGGCCGCTCCGGGTCTGGTCTCCTGGCTTTCTTCTTAAAATAGTTGATCAAATACCCAAATTATATTTTCCAAAAAAATATTACATAATGTCAAAATTTTAAAAATATTATTTATGCGAATAAGCAGCCGAAGAAGAGACGACGTGTAGAATATTGTGAAGACTGAAATAATTAATAATTATTTATGTTTTTCAGGTATTCTTTACTCGTTTTACTAATACCTTGAAACTTATCGGAAAATATTTATTAATTCAATATCTCGATATCGAATGAAAAAAGCCGATAATATGAAGTAATTCATCCGTTGCAAACCCCATTATGAGTGGGAAATGTTTGTGATTAGCATGGTTTATGGGTGTTATTCGAATTACTTGATAGTTCAAATAAAGTTCTATATTTGAAAAATAAATAAATAGAGATTTTGTAAGTGCATCACAAGTCGAAGAACATATGCACGATAAGGCCCTTCTTGCGTACCATGCGCAATACACAGGCGCCATGGCTGCTTCAATAGAAGCATTAGTGCAATCATGGTTCTTCAGTCGTAATCTGTTCGCAGGAGAAGCATCAGCATCTTCCTTCTTCCTCCTCTTCCTAGACTTTGAATCTGTGGCGTGGAGGGGAGACATGGAGGGGCTTGCGGGGAGGTCGAAGGCCTTGGCGAGATCTGGCGTGATTAGGGTTCTTGAACTCCTCCCTCCTGGGGATCTCCTCCTGCTACCACAGTGAGAACGAGTTGCGCTTCCCCCCTCATCTTCTTCACAGCGTCGAAGCGCCGGAGGCGACAGCGGCCACGGTGGAGACAACGAGGGAAACGCTGGTCAAATACTTGAGACCTGGCTTGGGCGTAGGGAAGGTCAACGCATTCCCCGAGGCCGGTCAGCGCCCGGCGGCAGCGCAGAGGCCTATGCCGGTGTCGTAGAATCGACGGCAGCGCGGAGGCCGCTGGAGGTGCCGTGGCAGCGGCGGCAGGCGGAACTTTGAATCGCCTGGTTCGCCGACTGCGAATTTGATCGAATCCGGTTGATCAAGCCATTTGTTGATTACGGATTTCAAGAAAATATCTTCATTTATTCGATGATTATTTTTAGAAATTGTGGATGTCATGGAACCAGGCCCAGCTTAGGCGTTGCCGTACACCGTTCTTGGGGGCGGGGAGACAGAGAGAGAGGTCAAAGTATACACATATATCTAATCTTTGGAACCCAAAGTATAAGTTTTGTCAATGATATATCCGCGAATTTGAGTCTTTGGTGATCGAAATTTTTTTTGTATAATTTATTTAGATCTTCGAAATAGAACTGAGGATGAAAACATCTCTCTCTCCGCCTTCCCACGTAAAAATCAACGCATTTCTCTTTCTCTCTCTAAATTTTTATCTACCCACATGAAGATTAAAATGTTTCAGGCTCTACAGAAATGTCTACGTACATAAAGATCAAAGGATCTCCCTCTCTCTCTCTCTCTCTCTCTCTCTCTCTCTCTCTCTCTCTCTCCATATAGATATGCATACCTACACTAAGATCCACGCGTTTCTCTCTAACTAAACAAACAAAAACCATCCAGATATATATATATATATATCTCTCTTAGACTCGTATCCCACATGAGGCTTCGTATCTTAAATGAGACGCTAACCTATGCGTGTAGGACTGTCTCTATGTAGGATTGTCTTCTTCGTCTCTGTTTTATCACCAGCCAACGTGACGCCTCTCCTCTCTCTCACTTGACGATGTATCCAAGGTTTTCTGTTCTCTCTCCTCCCTCCCTTACGCCCTCCATGCATCCTATGAAACCATTTCTGGCTTCACTCTCTTTAGACATCTGCAGACCAGCACGAGCCTCGACAACATGCCAAGCCCCCCCCCTCTCTCTCTCTCTCTCTCTCTCTCTGTATAGGCATGTGGAACAAGTTTCTCGCATGCTTGTGAATGTGGCTGGCCAAGCCAAAAGACGCTGGAACGTAGATTTTGTAGGCCTTTCGCCCGGCGCTTTCCCCGCGCCTCCCTCGCCGCTGATTCTCCTCCCGATCGCCGGGCACAAACACCCGGAAGAGAACAAATTGGGGCTTACTGGTGGCCGACAATTTAACTTTACTTAGTTTCAGAGAGAGAGAGAGAGAGAGAGAGAGAGAGAGAGAGAGAGAGAGAGGGAGAGAGCATACAAAGCCTTAAGCATCAGACAACGATACGAAACCCTTTAACGACAAACCTCACGTGCCATTACCCCTAAAAACACACGGACACCAGCTGTCAGCTTCCCGTAATGAAAATCACAACAAGCCAAGTTTATCAGCCATCCTTGTCCTCCTCAGGGTCAACGTTAACTCTGCCGCTGTCATCGCTGGTGGCTTTGACTTGGGATGATAAGCTGACGAGATAATGGCGGACTTCCCTGGCGTACTCCAGAAGCCGGTCGGCGGGGGGGATTGTCTCCTTCACGGCCTCCTGCGCCTCGAACTGTCTGAGCCATCCATGGAAGAGAGGGAAGGACTCCTCGTCGATCAGCTTCACCTCCGCCACCTCTTCGAAGATCGACAACCAGAAGGACCCGCAGCCGACGACTACATCGAGCAGCCCCAGCTTCTCCCCACCGAAGAACCTCCTCCCCTTGAAGTGCCCCTCCCGGAGCTCCCCCTCGATCACCGCCAGATTCTGGTGAACTTCCGCAACGGCGGCCTTCTGCTCCTCCGCCGTCGTGCGGAAGACAGCAGCCACCGCCCCGGCCAGCTGGTCGGCCACCGTCGTACAGGCCCGTTAATACCCTAAACCCCGGAGTTGCACCGGGATGAGGAAGACGAAGAGGCAGAGGCTTTTTTGCTTACCTTATCGTCAGAGAAGTGGCACCAGAAGCGGACGATGGCTCTCTCGTAGGGGTCCTCGGGCATCAGAGGGGACTCTCTCCACGTCTCGTCGATGTATTGGAGGATGACGATGGACTCGGCGAGGGGGCGGCCGCCATGGAGGAGGACGGGGACCTTCTGGTGGACGGGGTTGTAGAGGAGGAGAGAGGGGCTCTTGGCGGAGAGGTCCTCCTCCACATACTCGAACTCGAGGCCCTTCAGCTTCAGGGCGAGCTGCACCCTGTGGGTGTAGGAGCTCGACCACGTCCCGAAGAGCTTCAATGGTGAAGTCTTCTCAGAAGTCATGGCGACTTCCCTTGGAAGCTCCATATGGGTGAGGCCGAGGTTCTCGACTGTATGCAGTATATATATAGTGATAACAGAGGTAGGACGATTATCTTTTAAATCTATTATCATATTATTGTTATTAACTTTATCGTGTTTTTATTAAATAGTCATATCAGACTCACCCATATGAACTATTTCGTACGTATATTCCCTCCCTCCCCCCTAGATTCTCATCGCAAGTCATCCCTCGCCTCCCATCCCCACGCTGACCAGAGGGGGAGTGCTGAGAAAGGCGAGGGCTCACGGGGACGGCTCGGGGATGGAGAGCGCACGGTCAAAGTGAAAGGGGATCTCTCTCTCTTCCTCTGTCTCACGCTCTACATATAGCTTCAGATAGATACCGCCCCCGCTCGACACCCTCATCTCCTACGTATGATGCTGAATTTAATACGAGATGAAATTTCACTGACGCTCTCTATCCCTCTCCCTCTCCCTCTCTGTCCCTCTTACCCAGGGATTCGATATAGATGCCTCTGACACCCTCACTCTCTGTCCCTGTCTCCCCCTCTCTCTCTCCCTCTCTATCTCTTACCCAGGGATTCGATACAGATGTCAGACACCGTCACTCTCTCTCCTCGTCTCCCTCCATCTCTCTCTCCACGTCTCAAGGTTCAGCCAGACTGGTGATCCTCGAAGGGTTTAGATTCTTGGACGTACAGTTGTCTTCTCTTCCTCTCTCTCTCTCTCTCCCTCTCCCCCTCCTGTCTCCCTCTCGTCCACATCCCAACGTTCTTGCCAAACCAGAGATCTTGAAATGGCTAGGGTGCTTTATCGAGCAGGTGTTCAGGCTTTTCCCCAGATTCAAGGGAAAAGCTCTCTGTCTCTCTCTCTTTCTCTCTCATGGTCAGGTTTCTCTACGCCGGCGGAATAGCTGTTGGTGGCGAGCTCTCCATAGATGGCAAAAATTTACAGGCTTTCTTCCTCCTCTTCTTGCACGGAGGAGTCTTCTACTATTCCAGGTGGGTTTCGGCATCACGAGGACGCGACTGAGAGGACGGCCTCCTGGCGCGGCGTTGACCGCATCAGCTCAGTGGTCAAAGAGTCTGAACGCAATGATTCCGCGTCGTTTCTACTGACGACTTTGCGGAGACGGAGAGTCCTTTGACCGATCCTCTTTAATCATATCGGAACAGACACAGACAGAGAGAGATGCAGAATTCGCTGTGATCATGAGAGAGAAACCATCACAGAGGAGGATCTGATACATTTAAGACTCCTAATCCGCTGCGTTTGAACTCAAATTGGCTATTTGGGTCAACGGCTACATCTATAAATATCTAAATCCGGCATTGAAGAGCTAATAAGTTTATCCGAGAAATGGCAGCAGACAGAAATACATCCCGCCGACGTTGGACCGAGATTTCTCCCAGATAGATTCTGAGTTGACTTGGGCTGCTGTTCGTGAAAAATATTCATTCTCGAACGTAAATAAATAATGGGCTACCTCCGACAAGAACACGCGATCCATGGCACCAAACCGCAATAATAAGAAAATATTTATTTTTCCTGTAAAATTAGTCTAACTCAACCATTAGTCTCTTGCAGCGGTCGACGTTGTTAGTCTACGACAGAATGACTTACCAAAAGAGTTGACTCAACACAGATACCTGGGACGAATTCTTTCGGAGCTTTCTAATCGGAAATAGCAAAAAACCTCAAATTTCAACGTGCCCATTTGTTTCTTGGCCGAATTAAATCATGTACTGCGATATTTTATATTGATTGAATGGTAGAGAGACGATAAAGAACAGATTTTTGGTGCTTTTTTTTTTCCTTGTATGAAGAGAGGGAAGGTGATGACGACCCTTTGACTGAGGCGTCAACACACGAGCTGGGTCAATAGATAAACTGTCTCATACAAAAACTCCCGAGCACCAGGGCTCCGGACGGCTATCGCCGGAAGGCCAGATACCGAGGGGAGAGAGAGAAAACCTCGACGATGGACACGGGGATACAGAGAGAGAGAATACAAAATAACCAAGACCTCTTAGGTCCTGGGGTCGCCGATGCGAGATGGCGAGTCTCCACCTCCAAACGGAGTTCTTCACGAGGCTCTTCCGACCTCCTTTTCCCATGATCGTTCGACCCCTCTCTCTTTATAGCCGAAGTCCTCTGGTGTCGACGACCGCCTCCCGTCTCGCTCCGATCGGATCCGAGGGGACCTGAGACTTGCCGTGCTCCATCGGTGTCGGGTCTGCCACGGTTCCCCACCAAAATCCATCCGCCGCACACGCCTTCCCACGTGCGGTTGTCCCCTTCGGCGTCTGACTCCTGTCAGCCTTGCCTCGTTCCTGGGCTGAGCCGACTTCTTCGGGATCTCTTTCCTGTTGAGCCCATGGCTGTTGTTAGCGTCGGCCGCCCATGGCTCCTCCGGCGCCGCCTGACCGCCACCGGAGAAACCCGTTGATCGGTATCCCTCTGGATTTTTCAAGAACTATAGGGGAAGAGTATATTGAGCATAAATTACGAACGAGAAATCCGAGAAATTGGATGGAATGGAAGGAGCGAGGAACAGGAAATCCGGAGGATCGTAGAAGATGTTACAGCGATAGCCATACTCTGCGCTGATGATGAACCTGTAAACCTCGTCCTCGGCTTGCTAGTTCTGGCCGGAGATGCTCGAGAAAACCGACGGATGGAACGGATGGACCCGGCTGGTTCCCGCCTCCCCTCACCTGCTCGGGTCCGCCACCATTAGGACTCTCTCTCACTCTCTCTCTCTCTCTCCAGGCTTCCATGGGCCTTTCTGAACCAGGCTAGGCCGATGGTGCAAGCCCCCAATTACCACCCATTTCTTCCATTTTTCTCTCTCGCTGATTATTCTCCCACAGTAAACATGGCAGATTAACATGCTTTAAATGGGACCCATATTGAGAAACATCACCCGACATCATCATAAGATTCGCTCTTTCACTTACAGAACCCGAGATCTCAAATGGCAGACAGAAAAGACAGAGAGAGAGAGAGAAACAGGAACCAGGATGGTCATCTAGAAGCCTTGTGGCAGTTGTCACAGGGACTTGGAGAAGATCTACACCTTTGCCTGTCGAAGCGCTCGCCAAAGTGCTCCAGAAGAGCTTGCCTCCGGCACTCCGTCTGGGAAATAAACCATCTTCAAGTCAACGAACCCTCAGAAGCAAGCGCAGAAGTCAAGTCCAATGTGAGAAGGATGAATCAGCATTACCCAGAGAAAAGCCCCATAAAGCGACAGTAAACAGACAGAATAAGATTTCCACAGCTGTCGTTGGGATATAACGTGATCCACTTAAAAATAATTATATTTACTTTTTTGTAAGGGTAAAATATTTTTTTTATAAAAAAAAACAGAGGTGAACAGAAAATCTACTGAAGAGCAGCAACAGTACCTCGAGTTCACAGTACTCCTGCATCTTCTTTGCTTGGACCATCGCGTTCTTGAAGTTCACGGTCTTGGAGCCCTTCCCACTCCGCAGCATGCAGACAACGCGGCTGAAATCCTTCTTTTGGTACAAAACGATGCATGTCGCCGGAAGATTATCTCTCCCCGCCCTCCCAGATTCTTGGTAGTAGCTCTCAATGGATTTCGACAGCGTGTTGTGGACAACAAACCGCTGTAACGAGAAGGATGCAAGATATCTTCAGCCCAAACTATAGTCCTTGAATGATAATAACATAAATAACAATAATAATAATAATAATAATAATAATAATAATAATAATAATAATAATAATAATAATAATAATAATAATAATAATAATATGAAGCAGATACCCACGATGGGAATTCAAGTGGGAAGAGAGAGAGAGAAGTTAGAAATGAGGAAGACTCACAACATCTGCTTTATCTATGCCCATTCCGAAGGCAATCGTGGCACAGACGACGTTGACCTCTCCAGAGTGCCATCTCTTCTGGACACTGACCCTTTGACGAGAAGCCAATCCTGCATGGTAATAGACTGCCTTTATCTTGCATTCATCGTTCAGGTAAGTGGAGACATCGACGGATTCGCTCTTGGAGAGGCAATAAATGATTCCACACATGCCACAAAAGCGCTCCTTCAGCAGTTTCCCAAGCTGCTTCGACGGGTCCTTGCTCTTGGGTAAGACCTCGTACTTAAGATTAGGCCTGTCGAAGCTCGTTTCGAGGACCAGGGCGTGTGGAATTCTCAAAGCACATAAGATGTCCTGCAGCGGAAAGCATCCCAAATCAAAAGCCTGTTCTTAAGGGAAGTTCTCCAGGTTTCTCAAGAATGCTGAATTCACCTTACGGACAGGTTGCGTGGCAGTCGCAGTCAACGCCATGATTGGGATCCCAGGGAAGTGAAGCTTCAAACATCCCAATTCTCTGTAGTCCGGCCGAAAATCATGTCCCCATTGACTGGGTAGCGCAAGATAGAAAAAAGGTATAGAATTCAATACATGGATATCTTCTAGATATTATGGGCAAGTAAGATGCACACGACAGTTTATCAGTCAAAGTCCGAACCTCACACAGTGTGCTTCATCGATTACAAATCTCGCTAGCCGACCCTGTCATGATTCCTTTGTCAGGCCCTTATGGAGCATATCTCGTGGGAGATGCATGCTTGATGAGTTGCAATGGACTGTAAATGCCGAATTCTACCAACCAGATGGATACCTTCCGGTGCAAGCTCTTCAAGATGTCCATAAACGATGGGCTTCCAGCAATCCTTTCAGGAGTGACATACAAAAGTTTGCAGGATGGGCTGTCTTTCCTGTGATTGCAATAATATGATATAAAAGATGCTATTAGATTTATAATGTTAAACCAATAGGGATCAAATGTTACATAGATGGCCGCAGAAGAAAAAGGGTTCTTGCCAAAATAGTTAAGAAACTGATGTGAAGCACTAATTGAATTATTAATGATTCATTGGCATGATATCTTTATATTTCTACGAAATCTCTAGCACCTCAAGCTCGTGCCATTCACAGATCAGAATGAACTGCATTTTTTTATCAAGCAAAACAGATGGACCAGATAAAGTGTTAGAATCACTGTTGACAGCTATTTTCCAATAATGAGGATAATATTTCAAATATGGACAGAAGAATAATTTTTCAAGATACATCAAAAGCATATCATCAGCTTAGATTAAGCTGCAGGATCTTTACCTTTTCAATCTAATTTTATTAACTTTGTTTCAACGATAACTAGAACGTTTTTCCAAAAAATAAAGAGTGCATTATTAACAGATAAATTATAGGATTGTTACCTCAGCTCTCGGATCACAGCCGATGCTTGGGAAGCTGTCTGTTGAGAGCTCAAAAACGTAGCTGGGATCCCGAACTTAAAATTTAATGTGATGACTTGATCTTGGATGAGGGAAAGAAGAGGACATACCACAACAGAAACACCAGGGTGGAGAGTTGCAGGAAGCTGTTTATCCCCCCAAAAAAACAATTGAATGTAAGATGTAAAATCAAAGCATATGAAAAATAAAAAGTTGAGAACGATAACCCATTCTAGAAATTTTCATGTGGTAGGCATGTTGTCAAAAAAAAAGAAAAAGGGAGAAAACTGAGGACACCCTTTTGTTCTCAAGTAGGAAACCCAGGACTCTGCAAAAAGAAAGCATCCTCAAGGCCCAACAGTAGACATTAGATCTGGCATTTCACCAGCCATTTGAGCAAGATGCCACATGCAAGTCATGGCCAGAGGATCTATTCATATTAATTTATAAAATTGTGCAGCATAAATTTCTTGATATCATGACATTATTTCTCTAAAGTTAATATCATATGAAGGTGTTCCCTTTAAAGTCAAGATGTGTGAACACTTGAGGAATATATCCTAATCTGAGTGAGGAGATTACACAAAAATTTCCGATTTACAAGAAGTGGAGATCAGGTAAGACTTGAGGAGAGAATCCGTTAATCTATTCAAGACAGGTGGACGAGTTTGAACGACTCTTCTTCTCAGTATCAGTTTTATCAGTAGTATCTTGGTCAGTGGCGTAATTACAAGCCTCCCAGTTCTAACACAGCAGTGCAATGAATTTTTCAATTGATGTTCAAAATATTTCTTCTAAATATTAACTTTCGAGTAATGTACCAGTCAAAATGTTTTACACATCCTCTGCTTTTGCGTCTGTCAAACGACATGGTACAAGGCACATGATAAAACTATGAAATGATTCATTCAGGAATCAATGAATAACATGACAACAAAAAGTTGAACGGTTTGATGCACAGTCGAACAGGAAGTCTGATTTACACGAGGAAGACTGCAATTTAACACGGTGCATCATTTAGAAATGATATGACTGATTTTAATTTTTCATATAAGGAATTGAAATCATAAACTACTCCAAACCATGGACAAAAGCAAATCGAATCATTGGGTTTCAGAAGAGAATGAGCTGACAGACGGTCCAAACTATGTAAATGGTGATCAAATATTCAATGCAAAGAGGTGACCTGATAGCATAAACTTTTGCCGCCACCAGTGGGTAGAAGAATAAAGCAATCTTTGTTTTCCATGGCTGCTCTGCAGGCTTCACGCTGAAGAGGTCGAAATGTCTTGTTGCCAAATATCACAACATTGGCCAATTGGATATCATCTAGAGCCTGAATTTCGTCATAACTGAGAGTTTTCTGAGCATCTTTTGATTTACTACCAGGCGTCCCTCTGCTACTGGGAGGTGACGAAGCAGACACGGTTCTCTTTCTTCTCTGATCTACCTGGATAAATGAAGAAAAAAATAAAATTTATGTAAACCTCGTAATTTCACTCCTGAAACATTAAAGTAGTGAAAAAAACTCCAGAATCGGTCTCTTCTGAAAAATTAACGCAATCCTATTCGTTGTGCACGACCTAATGCTTCTGAAAAACTAAAAACCGGCAAAATAGCAATGCTTCAAATTTTTCATAGCAAAAAATGGTAGTAACATCACACAGATGTATAACGTGGATCTTGAGGAAACCTTGCCAACAGAGCTGAAATTATCAAGGCAGCTCGTGCTATCCGCCTCACGGCTTAAGAAACGGCTGCGGCCCATATCCATGTCGCTTAAGATTTCCAAGTCCGAGTCGTCGTCCGCAGAAGGATGCACTGTCATCGAGTCTCCTCCACTGATCCCACAAGATGCTTCCCCAAAGGCATGCTTCCCCTTCATTTTTTCTTTTCTTTCCAGAATGCCGTTAAGAACAGAACAAGTCTCGGACTCGATCGCCTGCGGATCATCCCAATCCTCGATGTCTGCGATGGAGTCAGCCAGGGACGCGAGGAAATCATCGCCGCAGTGCTCAACGGTGATGAAGTCCCTACCGTCCTCCCCTGGCAGCGGGATAATCACCATGGAGGTACCCACATGTTACCCACATGGGAAAAATGAATGCGAAAACAGGGATGACGAATGGTGTTGGAGAATTCGACCATATAGGCGAACAAGGTTCTCCAAGCATTTCCTCGCAGCTTCCTCGTCGAAGCCGAAATCAGAAGCCAAGCTCAGCAGCCGCGCCTTCTCTACCTCCAGGTCGTCCGCCATTCCCATTCCTCTCTTTCCTGCGAATGTGATGTTACCGCTGGTTGACAGAGGGAGGAGAATCGAGGAACGGGCGGGAAAGTTGGGCAAGGAAGATTCTGCACTCGCGCAACCACTAAAACTCAAAAATTTACACAAATATCGTCGCACTTTTTTGGATTAATTGATTGGAACCCACCTGTTAATCATTCGATTATAAATTAAAAAAGCCTTTTTCTTTGCATTTATTTTAAATTATACAAAAAATATCCTGAAAAGCTAGTCCTCGCTCCGAAGCTAAAAGTCAATTCTCCACAGAGGAAATGAGGTATAGTAACTAGAGAGTTGTGGTCGGATAAATAATTAGGACGAAAATTTATGGAAATAAATGTGAGGATTTTCATGATTAAGTTTTAATCAGGTCGAATTTCAAATTTCCAACTTCTGATATCAAGCTCTTTGTCAATGATCCTTAAAACATTAGATAACCACGTAAATCCCATTGCAATACTTTAACTTTTGTGATTAGGATGATTAAATACCATCTCAAATGAAATTCTAAATACTTTATATGACAATCTAATTTTTTGAACGTTGGATGACTTGGATTTGTTAATAATATCAACCAAATAAGGTCACCTCCAATTCTCAACTTACATCATACCAATGTCTGGGGATAGTGGTTCATAAATGACAGTAATAATTTATTAGAAAAAAAAAGAGTTAAATGTCTTCCATAGCCATATTATTTAACATATACATTAATTTTTATTTTAAATTTTTATACCTCCATAGTATGGCCCTAGAGGTAAGTATCACACCCCTAAATTATAAAATCCTACTTGGCAAGAAATCCAAACAACTGGCACTAGACAAAATAGTGGTATGTGAGAACATGCATGGCATGCATCCATGCATGCATAACGCAATATGCATGGCAGAACATCATGTGTGTGGAGTCACACGACAAGACAACATTCAATCATGCCAAATGTACAATGGCACAACACAACATGGTGCAGTGCATAAATAGTTGAACATTAACAAGGGAGTGCGATCTTGTACACATAGCACGAGCACACATGCATAGTGACAGGCAATGTGATGCCAAAGCACTAGGGAGTGTGGCACAAAGTAGAGCAACACATACAACATGAGCACGTGCAAGCATGGGTTCACAACAATGTGGGAGTATGACATCACAATGTAGTACAATGACCACATGACAACAATATGGTGCTACTTTGCAAACCATGTGTGGGACATGCAACATAGAGTGGCAAGGCCCATATGCCACTTGAGTCCCATGGTGGTGCATGACATAACATGGCATGATATTGGAGTGTGTGGGCATGCAAAGTGCCCATAGATGTGAGACACATAACACTAGTGACAAAAGGGCCCTACATCATCCAAGGCAGTGAGCTACAAACATTTGAGCCTTTCTCTCTCTTGTAACTTCTTGGTGTGAATTTAGTTTGACTTCTCTTCTTATCTACATGCTTATGCAAAGTCTCCACAAAAGATACATGCTGCTTGATGTTGAGAGAATGATCAAGGCTGCAGATGGTTGACCATTTCGGAAGTACATTCCCATTGACCATGGTCATTAGGGTTTTGAGATCAACATCTCTTCACCCATCTTCACTTTTGAAAGTGTGATCAAAATATTCTTGTTGATAGTATGTAGATCATTCATTCAATTGTACCAAAGGCAGAAAAAAACTTTTGAATTTGTCTTCTTCTTCTTTTTTATCATAAATCACATCAAAATATCATTTGAAATGCAACAATAAAAAACAAGTCTATCAATCAGTCATAAAAGATTCCACCTTTGCATAATCACTTACAAAGATAGTAGAGAAAATAGTCCGAAGGACCCACTTAGTTACAGAGAAAGTTTGCCACTGATCGTATGTGTGAGAAAGATAAGTAGAGAGAGAGAGAGAGAGAGAGACGGACTCTGGTGGGTGGAGGATGACCCGGTCCTCTTCTTCATTCATAAATTAATTGGGAGCCTCGAAAATTCGGTTTGGGCAGGGCTCTGGGCTGGGTGGCACATCGACAGCCGTTCCCGGGTTAGATTCTGTATGCGCCGAATCCCCGGCAGATCACCCGGGAGCCGCTCATTGCGACCACCACGTCCCCAGAAAATAAAAATAGGAAATAATTTATTTTCCGCGGAGGAGGGAGATCGAATTAACGTGCGAGAAAGATCAAAGTCAACGTCAACGGACGACCAGTTGGGCTCTCAGGAGGGGGGAGGAGGAAGAGAAGAGGAGGTCGCCGGAGAGCGACGTGAACCCCGCCCCCGTCGAGCTCTCACCAGCCACGGATGATCTCCGAACACCTGTGCTTGATCCAGCGGAATCCCCTGCGGATGGAGGACTTGACCTTGCCCTCGACGGCGTAGGCCTTGTAGCTCGCCACCCTCCGCCGCCGCTTCATCTCCGGGTCCCCGGAGAAGCAGCCCCACACCGCAGCCCCGCCGGAGGCCTTCGCCGGCGGCGGTGGGTCCGGCGATGGCGGCCGCGGCGGCAGGTAGGGGACGATCTGAGTGTGGCTGGCGCCGTGCTCCGGCTGCCTCCGATCGCCGGAGCCGGAGCCGTAGCCGTAGTAGTCCCCCATCTCCGTCGCCCCTCTCCACAGGGGTGAGGAGGAGGGCTAAAACAGGAGAGAGAGAGAGAGAGAGAGAGAGAGAGAGGAGCGACGGGGTATCTGGGGGAACGAACGGCGGCGAAGAGAGTAATAAAGCCCTCCTCCTAATTATGCATCTGGGAAGTCATGGATCACGCTGGCAAGGCAATTCATTATTAGTAAAAAAATAAAAAAAAACTGTTGACCGAAATGGGTGGGGCCGGGACGAGCTGGACGACGAGTCCGACTCGGGCGAAGGTGATCACTCGTGTCAGAGTCTAATATCATCAGAGGTGTTAATTTCTTCCTACGGGGATACCCAAATCCTCGTAATTATCTTAAATAAGGAACATTATTTATCCCCGGAAGTTTCCCGATCGGAAGCCTCCGGCTTCTGGGTCCCATCCATGTTGACTCCAGAAACTTCATCGTGTGAATGGGTGGACTCCTGTCTGAACACATGTCGTTGACCGTGAACTAACCCTTTTTGGGCTGATTTTCTCTGGGCTCAATCTGGGTCAAAGGAGTTGCCTTTGGGCATATCTTTCGGACTTTCTAACCTCGAGCTGAGAATGAACCCTGTTAGAGCTCACCATGGTCCAGGTCTGATCCAATATTTCGAGCTAGCCAGGGCATTAAAGGCACTAAGTTTTCGTAAGTCAAAGTTCAACCCAAAAAGTCGAAGGTAGATGTTTACTTATCCTAATGTTTGCAGGGAGGGAGATTGTCGGTTTTCAGGGTGAAATAGTCAAACCTTGATGTGATGCGGATCATAACAAATCGTCACGGCTAATTGACGATAAGTGGTTTTCTACCATGAACAGCCACAATCATGTTTCTCCTTCATATCAGCTACTCAAAGTCCAACCCAAAAAGTCAAAGGCAGATATCTACTTATCCTAATGTTTGCAGGGAGGGAGATCGCCGGTTTTCAGGGTGAAATAGTCAAACCTTGACGTGATGTGGATCATAAAAAGTCTTCACTGCTAATTGATGATAAGTGCTCTTCTACCATGAATAGCCACAATCTATGTTTCTCCTTCATATCAGCTACTCCTTACTTTCTGAATATAATGTCGTCTGTAATGCCGACTAGCTCACTCATCCTCTCAGCTGCTGCGGTAAGAGTAGCCATGCTCTTGCAGAAAGCAAATCTCACATACCTTCTCTGATGCTGTTGGCCATCTGAGGGCGTGTGGAAGAACCCGCAGCCGGGAACAGCAGCGATCCCAGCCTTCTTAATCAGGGCCTCAACAAATTCCACCTACGAATCACAGTTTTTACTCCGTAAGTAGCACGAAATGGACTGATGAGGAGGAACCCATGAATCCTCAAGCAGAAAATGGAAGCAAAGTCTGAGAGATGAGTAGGGGAGATGGGAGAAACCATACATCAGACGATATCCAGTCCCCTGGGAGCTCTGCGAAAACGAAGAAGGAACCCTGAGGCCTGAACTGGACTCCAAAGCCGAACGCCACCAGCATTTGGATACTGTGATCTCTCCTTGCTTCGTAGTCCTGACATATGAGCAATAACCGGGAAGATAAAATGGGTATTTGTGAGACAAATCAGTGCAGACAATCGGTAGCTCTGATCATGTCGGAATCGAGTTCTAACTTTTCTCAGCGACTCGAAGTATTGAGGTGGGCTGCTCAGAGCAGTCAAGGCGGCTTCCTGGAAAGGTGCTGGGGCTGAATCAGTGAGTTTGATGTGTATGTTCCTTATCGCAGATGCAAAGACAGCAGGTGCCATTGCCCAACCAATCCTCCAACCTGAAAACAGTTTGGATGGCCGAATGATTATATCTCAGAAAGGAAATGGAGGGACACAAATTAGAATGAAGGAGGAAACCCTGAGGCCGAATCTCCAAAAATATGACAGAAAAAGCAGCATGAAAAGTTTAATGGTATTGGGAATGATTCCTCCTATTGGAAAATCTAATCGTGTCATGATATGTCTTCGAGTTTCTGAGCGCATAATTCGTCTCCTTTCTCCTTACTGAAGTTCGAATAATTTTCGAATTCTCATCCAAAATTTATCTCTCCATTTCAAATCTGAAACCATGTGTATAAAAAAGAAAAAACGACCGGCACAAGACCTCTACTACCTTTCAAGATCACATCATGATTGTAATCGAGTAGATTATTGACTTTGGAGCCGGTATGATGGTATTATAAAACCGAACTTGACATGAGTAACAGTGACAATACGAAAAACCTACTCCAAATGTCTTACCAGTGACACTAAAAGTTTTAGACAAGGATGACGTTATAATTGTTCGTTCTTGCATCCCTGGAAAGGAGGCGATTGATGAGTGCTTCTTCCTTTCAAACGTTATGAATTCATATACCTGTGGAGAAAATAGAACATTATCCTACGGTAATTTTTTCAGAAGCATTTTTACAGCTTTAAAAGGTAAAATAAACAAATATAGAGTTATCGGGAAAACCCATTTTTTCAATTCCACTTTTCCACAAGCTTACCAATACAAATTATCGGCGAACATGTTTCCATATCCTTACAATTTTGTCAAATGAATACGTAAACTAAATTTTAGCATGGCAAAGGGAAAAAAGCACATTCATGCGTCCTATGAAAATTTATGCTTGGGCGAATTTATGAGTGATGTAGTTCATTTAACAATCTATGTAAAAACAAGTCAAAGCCCGAACCAAGGTTGATAGATCAGCAATACTGGGAAAAGAAATAAAAATAATGCATACGTTGATCTGCTTAAATGCCAAGTGTTTTATTCTTTCGAGAGTTGAATCCAAACTCAACTGTTTTATCATACTTGCTTTCTTGTTAAATCCTGAAACAATTGACCGTTAGAGTAGGACACGCTTCCCAAGTAAGAAGCCAACAAGGTTCCTACGAATGGACGCCTTCCCATTGCTAACGCTGAGCTCGATTTCATCTTTGAATGTCTACATTATCCTTAGCAAGCCACGAATCATACACGACCGTTTCACAAGATCAAGTCATTATTCCGTTAATTCAAATCATTACTTTCTATTGTAGTCAGACAGACGCCTGATAACTCATCAAAGTAAACCAAAGATTCAGCAACATTGGATCCACTCGGAGGGGATAGCTGGAGCAAAATTTACAGGTCTACCACACAGAAACACAAGCCTCCTTTTCATCTCCTAGAGAGCAGATCCATATTTTAATCAAACCCAACCATAGCTCAATTTCTACACAAACTTCTTTCAATACTCAACCTCCAATATTCTATCCAATAGTTCACTTTTGAGACACAGAAATTTGAAGCTTGTATCATTCTCACCTTGGTTTCCAGGAGAAAGGATGCTTACTTTGAGATCATTGCCAGAGATTTCATTTCTTTCTTAAAAAGCTCCAATCTTATTTCAATACATATATTCCATAAAATCACGAGCCACAGAATACAAAACCCAAAGATTGTTGAATAAATCGTTAAAAAGGAACCGTGTTGATTTTCTCTGAAGAAAAGAAAGCATACTTCATCTGTAATAGCAACACAATCCATTGTGCAGCAAGCTTTGGCAATGGCTTCAAGCTCTTCCGTTGAGAAAACTTTACCAGTTGGATTGTGTGGACTGTGTCAGCATCCATTAGTTTGACAATGCATACTTGCAATTAGAAACACAAACTAAGCAGAAACTATCTTTCCCAATGCGACACCAAAAAGTTAAAAATAGTTCGAAACGTGATTCCTAAATGGCTCAAATAATTTTTGATATTAAATCGTTGTCACCTTCATTGATTGAGTACATATATACCGGGAAGCATGATAGTCAAAAGTAACATCTTTCTTGGCACAATGTTGCACGGAAAGATTTTTTTTTATTCCGTTTGTCGTAACAAATACAATCAAGACGAATCTAAGAAGATAAAAAACGCCGAGTGGAGAATATAGGCTGCGTAAAACACTGGTTTTTGAACAAATTTAGCTGTAAATGATTATATTTTTTTGGAGACATTACTAAACATTTGCATATGATACAAGCTTCCGTGTCAAAACTATGACCAATTGACCAACTACACTAGCATATCAAGCAAAAGCTTCTTAGTTTTAAACCAAATATTTAACCAAGCGTTAGCCTATTTGAACATAAAACAAAGAGCTTTTGCTTACATGCATGCATGTTTAGGCAAATGTGTTGACTTCAAGAGGGAAACCACAAGAATTTTTTTTTGGCACAAAACATTTTCTAAGCATATAAGGAACACTTTCCTCTACAATAAATGAACGAATGCCCGTATAGGTAAAACTCCCCCATCTTTTTCGATGCTGACGTCCCATAGAGTATATCTAGCATTCGAAAGTTTCATTATGTACACAAGGGCGAAGGTTTTTTTTGCTGTCGGGGTCTAGACTTATTTGAATGGAACACCCGGAAAAGAGGGATGTGAGATAGGAACACCTCCATTTTGCACCACATTCCCTGAGGAGAGTTCTGCCAAAAATATCTATCTTCCTCTGCTTTTTATTCTTCCTTCTACCAAAATCTTTACCATGAGTGATGTTACATCAGAGCATTGATCCTGATTATCCATTCAACCGTTTATCCTCTCTATTCGCAGAAATATCGTGAGATCATAACATCGTCACAGCATTGCTCAGTATTTATAATTACAAGATTTGCAATTGTTCTTACTCCTAGAGCAGGACACACCATTCTCTGAAACTGGCATTTGTAATTTCCACTCTGCTTTTATGGATAACACATACTAACACTCTCATAGTGATCCTTATATAACTTGAAAATGTCAAAATTATTCACTGGCTGAACCACGTCACTTGAAAGAAAATGATCAGCAACAATGACATATTTCGAGGGTTTTACTTTCCTCATGATTTCGATGAAATTAAATGGAGAAAATTACACTGTAAAATTAACGTCTCAACAAATTTACTTTATATGACAAGAGAAAGCCAACTACACCAATTGATAACTTGCGACTCTGGGGAAGAATGACACGATATTATGGTCGAAAGTTTAGAATGATCCAGGATGTAGATGTAATAATGAAGATAATTCATTTCTATATTCAATATCATCATTAATTCTAGCTCATCAGGAGCTGAAGAATATAAACCTTCCACTTCGCATCCACTCTTACTCATTGGCCTGCTGCCCAAGTTCACTCAAGTGTAAATATTATTTTGCAACCCTCAACCACAGTATATAAGCTCACTCTCCACCAGGTCTGTGAGTTTTCATTAATTCAGCTACCTCCGCTTCACTTTGTAATAAAAATTCATGGAGTTTATTAACTATGTAGTGTAATTCAATCCATTCAATTTCACTGAGTCTTAGGGAGAAAGAGATTCTCAGAACGCATATCATTGTTGATGGCCATTGGGTTACAAGTGATGTGGTGTGACCAGTGAATGATTTTAACGTCTAAAATTATTAAAAAACAAAGATATGTATGGGTTATAGACAAAATAAAATGAATTAATAAATAGAGAAGTAACCTGTTCACAACTACTGCTTTTGTTCTAGGAGTAAAAGCCTTCATGAATTTGTCTTCATCCAAAGCCCATTGAGGTGGATCTAGTGGTACATAAACCTACATAATCATCTCACATCAAAGTTCATCTCGTGAAAAAAACTTGGAGGCATTTGCTTGAGAATTATGGAATGATAGCCATGAGTCACAATGAGATTTTTGATATTTTAGCATGGAAATGATCGGAAAACTTGTTTTATTAAAGTTAAAAAGAACACTAAAATGTTACTTAAAAGAATTGCCTTACAGGGATTCCTCCGGCCATAGCAATGGATGTCTCATATGTCTCATAGCAAGGATCAAACAACAAAACTTCATCACCTGGACTGATTGCTGTTTGGGTAAATGAAATAAATGAATGCCGGCCATCTGATAGGGAAAGAGATATTTAAATATACATTCCAAGGAGATAGATGTCAAATAGAGAATGTACTCGCAAAAACCGCAGCAGCAAATGCCTCCGTCTGACCACAACAAATAGCTATATCTGTAAGAGGGTCGAAATCTAGGCCATGATTTTGCTTCATTATCTTTGATAACTTGTCACAAATGCCCTGCACATGTCTGAGAGAGAAAATGAAATCTTAAAGGAATTTCAATGAATAAGAAGAGAACATACACTTCTTTACAGTAATTATCATATATGAGTTTGCTACCAAGGCAATATCTATGACCAAACTTGTCGGGAAATCCTGATCAGCTCCAGAGTTCAATGATTATGGGAGAGACAACATGAAAATGTGGACATTGTTAGATATGCCGGATACAAAATCAACTATGTGAGAACAGATATAATTTTCTACAATCCCAGGCTACTTGTATGAACGTACATATTCATATAGCGGTATGGTAAATGTGTGCTTAACCTTAGTCTTTGTAGAGTTGATTTAAATATTCAAAATTAAAAAATATTCCCCCAGAACTCAATCAAATCACTCGTAAAACATAAAAGAAACTGGAACTTTTCATATTCTATTGACAGAAAAATATGTAATCAAAATTGAAAATCTGAAGCTTCGTGAATCAATTGACATGAAAAACATTTGCGTGTCAAATATCCTGTCTTACGTGACGGGACAACATGTTATAAGAAAAACCTGAGGCCTTTTCTGCTATGTAAGCCGGTAGACTGGCAAAATGCATGTTCCAAATGATTCTCTTCAAAAGCCGTTTTCTGTTTTCCGTGTAAGCATGTCATCGATTCCTTTAAGGAATTGTCAAGGGAAAGAGATACGATACAGCTGTAGAATTGTTCTTTCAGAACTAGGAACAATATGCGAGAGTTTCTGGAGAAAATGTAATCTGCGAGGTGCATCCCATAGTGAGTCATTCATTCGTAAAGAAAAAAATCAAATAAAAAAAATTATATGATCGTTTTAAAAATTATGGCAATATATCGTCGTGCCTGACATTCCCAGCAGGATTTGTGAAAGAACAAACAAACACCTATCATAGAATCAGGAGCCAAACAAAATTGGATCCAGTTCATTTAAACAGATTGGATCCTATGCAGTTCATAACTCGAGTGGCGCCACTCTGATCAATCACAGCATTACGTCGATGAGATACACACCAAGTTTCGCGTTACAACAGCCCCCACACACCTGTACTGGTTGAAGTCGGAGTCGATGGCCGAAATGGCAGCATTCTTGATCTCGGCCGGGGCGGGGAAGTCGGGGAACCCCTCGGCGAGATTGATGGCTCCGCATCTCTGCGCCAGATGGGAGAGCTCCTGGATCGGGGAAGGCTTGAGAGTTCGTGCTAGCTTGGAGAGCATCCCCTCCATGCTCGCTGCTCGCGCTCTCCGAGGATTTCGAATCCTATCCGCCACCTCCCCGAAACTCCCGACTTCAGATCCCCCACCATCTCCCGGGCCTGGGCCACCATCCTAGTTGGACGAATCTCCATGATCCAGCCCAAAAGAGTATCATATGGCTACGACCTGGAGAAGAACAACAGAACTTCCTATCTCTCTCTCTCTCTCTCTCTCTCTCTCTCTCTCTCGCTAGGGCTGGTCGAGGAGACGTCTTCTGATTCCAAGGCCAAACTTCAGCATTCTTCACCATGATCGTCGCAGGAGGAGGACCAAACGAGGAGGACAGAGAAAACAGAGAGAGACAGGGGTGGAGAGAGAGGATCCAATCCGCCATAATCTCAACGCCTACCAAGCACCATATATTTTTCTGGGTAATGATGGATGATGGATCGGATGGGAAGAGAGAGAGAAAACAACAACAGAGAATCCGATCAACAGTTCCTCGCCAACATCCGGCACAGAGATCAACAACCAGGTTCTCTCTCCCCTGCACCACTCCAAACCCCCCTCCCCCTCTGCGCTGGATCGATCGATGCCTCCTCCTCAAGCTTCCTCCCCTTCCTCCTCCTCCCACCTCCTGTGAATAAATAAATTCGAGATCGATCGATGGAAAGATACGAGATGAGGAGGGGGGGTGTTAGCAGCACCATGCTTGATCCGTTTTGTTATTCTGCATGCCCAACAATCCACCTCCCGTCAACTATAATTGGGCGGCGGGTCTCTCCTCCTTCAATGGGAGCAGGCGGCGGCGGCATGGTGGCAGCAGGTGGCGGCGGCATGGTGGCAGCAGGTGGCGGCACAGAGAAGCAAGGGAAGGGGTTCATCTAGGGTCACAAAACTAGGGTGGATGGGCGGTGCGGGGGCTGGGGCTTGGGGATTATCTCCGGGAGGGACCGCCGTTGTGGGAGAGGAAAAAGCTGAAGTCGGGATGGTCCACCTGGAGCTGGCGCAGCCAGCTCTCCGCAGCCTGCAACAAAGAGCTTGCCTGCTGCCTCTCCTGCGTTCCATTCGACGTCCAGATGGAGCCCTTGAACTTGTAGGAGGCGAGCCCGAAGATCGGCAGAGAGAGCTTTGCCGGGGATCTGCCGACCACCGCCGCCGACATGTGGGTGCTCCCGTAGATGCCCGGGCCGATGTCCGGGTGGCTGCTTGAATCTGCCAAACTCGGTCAACGGGGTATTTGTTTAGCATCAAATGCCGACAGTGCATTAAAGAGTCAACAGGAATTTCCAAATGCAGACAAGAAAATTTGGGTTTTTTACACCGATTTTTGAATTCCAGCAAGTCTTTGTCTCATCTTTTCAATATGAACATAAACCATTAAAAAAAATTGGGATCAACTAATTTAACAAAATCTATTGAGTGAATCGAATAATTGAAAGAATCCCATTTGTTGTTCAATGAATAAAATTATCACCAATAAATATTTTTGTTTGCTCACTGATTCTTATGGATCTGAAAGTTCTTGTAGACGTGGAAAAATAGTGAGAAGAAATTGCCAAGGGCTTTCGGATGGTGCACCTTTGGGAGATGTGGACAGAGAATGGAACGTCAGAAAGCAGGCGTCCAGGTCTCGCAGAGTCGGGCCCGTGGGTATCCTGTATATGGGATACCTGCACCAAAATTGGAAAGGAATTAGCTGTACAATGGCTGGCTGTAGCAACCAGGCGCTTCGGCTTCGGATGGTGAAGCTGGAGCTGAAGAATACCCACCAGGCAACAGACATCCAACTCGACGGCAACAGATCGCAGCTCTTGTACGTCTTCAGCTCCGGAAATCTGCTGGCGAGAAGGGAGATCTAGACGACACGCAGGCCAGGAATGAGTTGAGACACAGACGAGTAACGACGGAGGGATCTGGTCCTTTGAAAAATAATAAAAAGAAAGAAAAAGAGATATCCTTGCCTTGTCGGCCAGAGGTTCCCTGCCATATGGAGGATCCCTTTCTAGGTACTCGAATATGAGAGCCCCCGGCGGGTTGCGAGCATCACCGCCGTCACTAGACGAGCCTTCCTGAGCGCAGTTGGGATTCTCCCCCAGGAAAACCCTGCTTATTCTCTCGGTTACGTGCTGCGCTCCTTCCACGCTGCTGCTTCCTCCACTACTCGTATATCTGTACAAGTCTGCTCCGATCTCTTCACTGGGTTGCCTGTATGCATGAAAAAATAACAAGAGAAGATCAAGATCCTACACTGGATGCAAGTTAGTTTTTTTTTATATGTCCTTTTCGGGTGAGTTGAATCTCCATATATATCTATATGTCCACGATTCTACTTTGAATCTGGACAGTGAAATACGGACACGAGACTTCCTGATCTGCATTGATGGGCATATGAAGTGAGATACTTTATGTGATTAGAGGCATAAATTTTCATTGGGGATGCTGAAAGACAGCCAAGAGGAATTATGTGGGGAAGCTTTCCTTGAAAGGAAATAAGGCATTTAACTTGAAAAATCTAAGATTCTACCGCTATGAAGGTATTTCCATGTTTGCATGGATGGTGGGAGGTGATACAGAAACCAAAGAGGAAACCAAAACTAGGGAAAGAAGGACCAAATCAATATGTAAGAACAAAAGGGGGGACATAGTAGGAAGGCGGCTCTGGGCTCCGGAGTGGAGAAAAATAGAATGGGAAGCAACTGACCGCAAACAGGGCTTTGCTGGGCTCCAGGCAGTTCCAAAATACTTCTGATTTTGGAATTATTCAGAAGCCTCTAACCAGGGAAAACTAAGTTTCTAATGATAGACATCGTAGAATTAAAAATCAAGTTAATAAAAGAAACGAGGATGAGAAAGGGACCCTTCTGTGATCTCTCGGTCTGGGGTGAGAACACCTCATCAACTTTCATTTTAACAAGAAAAATGTATAGAAAAGAGAAGAAAAAGATACCATCCAATAATAAAACTTGAGAACGTTATCTGATATCTTCCCACATCCAAAAGAAACGAGAATAAGAACCCCATCCGAGGGATTAGAATGGAAGATGGCATAGAAAAAGGTAAAACCATCTCGAGGAAAGACACAACGATCTGTTGATCTGGAGGGGGGTTTGACTGCAGCATGTTCATCTCGTGAAATGATTCACGAGTTCACAAAGCATCATAAAAGGCTAATTATCAAATTAAGGAGTAAATGACAGGGAAAAGCTGAGGCCAACCTGAGTAGTGTAAGAAAGCTACAGCAAAGTCCCAGGATGATAGAAGATCTTCAAAAAGTCAATGCACAAACAAATTTCTAAGTAGAGCAAAGAGCTAAAATGGGTTTAGTTACATCCCGAAGGTGCAGAAAAAGGATAAGTGATAGGAGACCTGCACAAGTGTCTCGATTGATACCTTAACCAGAAAAGAAGCAGAAAGTGCCAGGAGTTCATTTAAGGATTTTAAATTAGATACTGGTATATGTACAAGTTTATGTACAACAAAATCTCAAAAAGACTCCTCATAAGAACAATGGCAAACGCCAAGATGGCATAGACTTATGGATGGCCCAAGGGATCGTGATACTGATGCTGATATCGCACAACAGACAACCCACGCAAAATGTAGTGGATAACAATCCATTAATTCATGAGGTCCCCTGCAAGGCTATGCTGTGAAGTATGAGGCCTACGGAAAACAACAAGGTATAATCCAGAGCCTTCCTTCTTATGGCAGATCAAGTTTTAAGGAAAACTTTCTCATGAGTTCTTCAGACATCAAGAATGGTCATGATAATATCCAAAGCTAAATGTATGTGACCAAAATTAGACCAAGACAACAAAGGACAAGATTCACGCCAAATCCCCATTCGAGATACTTTCAGGAAAAATGCAAATGATTAGCATCCAGGAGTATGGATATATTCAATAGGCCGAGTCCGCCTGGATTCCATTCCGAAAACAAACTGATACAAAAGATTCATACTCTAGCCGCAAAAGTTCACATTAAATCTAAGCCATTTTTTTATCATCACCAGTCAATCTCATATGCACAATAAAACTGTTGAACGCAACAGGTCTTCTTTCCAAGGATGACAAGGGATGAATTTCAGAATAAAACTCAATCCACGCCACTTAACATGCCAAAACACATTCATAAAGGATTGGTTCCCGCAATCTCAATCTTTGTCAGAAAAAGGACTAAGCCACTTGTTCTAAATCTGTCCTGCTTGGCAAAGGCACAAGTAGAATATGACCAAGATTTTTCCTCTAGTTGCTGAAAGTTGACTTCTCCAACTTAATAGGATGGATCCCTCTTCCTACTTGTATTTTACTGCTTTCTTTCTCACACCAAAAGTGCTGATCGAAATCTCTGTATTCACTTTCTTCTCCCCCACATTGCCATTCATACAGTTTTTTTATATATTTATTTAATCTTTCTGTCTTATACTAGCATGTTGCGTTATTTTTACTCTACTTTGCTTATTCCTTTTTTTCCTTGTAAGACCATCATATCTTGATGCTCATTACGAGGTTAATCAAGGTATGCAAACTGAATATTCATTTTCCTCATCTTGTTTTTTTCTCATGGTCAAAACCTACTGTGTATAGTACTCGAGTCCCGAGTGCTGTCTGAGATGGGAAAGCAATTTTTACCACAAAAAAAATGACCAATTTTAAAAATTTAAAACGTAATACTTGAGTTACGGCAGAGTCTCACAGAAGTCCCATTTTATATATCACGGATGCCTTGGTATGTCGGAAAATAGTTGTCTAGTTCACACGGTGCAAATTCTCATTTTTGCATCAGTTAGCATTTAATACAGCTTTCCTGATGCCAACTAACCTTTCTTTCTTACCAGTCTAACCCAGCCTATTAAATTTTTTGATATATGTTCGTATCCAAATAGAATGTACCAAGAACTATTAAAGCAATGATTGGATTTTTTTTCATTTTTAAGGAAAGATAAGCATTCTAACAGTTTAATTAATGAAACCCAAGATGCAATGTTGCAGTCTAAGACATTTTTCCCAGTGCTCACGAATGTCGAACGGAAGCTAGAGCTCTTGCTGACCTCATCCTTCGTATTCTGGAAATTACCCCAACACAGACGCTATTTCTGATTTATGAGGATCATGTAAATGCACGTCTACGTATTGCACATAAGCCTTTTTCCATTTAGGATTCTCTACTTTCTTCGGGGTTTCCGGCACTTTCACTGAGCTCATTATTTCTAGGGCCCACAGGTCCCATAAAGTCCTTTTGGATGAATTAAAACTTTACGGATGTCATTACGACAGTTCTACCAGTAGCCTTAGAAAAAAATCCTTTTTATTTATGTAGATAATACAATTTCCAATCTCAGAATTGTGCACAAACCTACATTCCTGTACCTTTTCATACTTTTATCTACTTTCTCCCACTAGTTATAATTTCAAATCGGAAATTAATTATACGCAGCGACACGGGAACGCGACACGGCAGCAATAACCTCTAAAAGTAAATTGTAAAGCACTATCATAAGAAACAAATAGGGAAACTAACAACAAACGACACTTCAATGTGTAATCAATTTCCAGTTCCATACTAGCACACAAAGTTAAAAAAAATTGCAGCAATCCAAAATTCAAGGAACCTGTCCACAAATGGTAAACGCTCTCGGATTTTAATAGAAAAGTCCGAAAAACTCCACTTCTGGATAGCGTAACGATGGATCTTGAACGCAAGCATATATTCATTTTAGCATTCAAGTCAGCGTGACACTGAAGGCAATGTACTCAAGAAAACAATCATTATTGAATGATCAAAAATACCTTGATCTCGAACGAAGTCTGTGCGATTCGGCATACAGCTGAATGCCAGAAAGGTATGGAACATAGTACTGAATGACACTGTCACTTCCATTTAGAGTCACAGGCACCCCGGCACCATAGGCACTCCACTCCCTGAATGACTCCCAAAGATCTCCGAGGTTGAAATATGGATGGGAATCATTTGTTTCGCCGTTCCTCCTGCCCCTCATGTTTATCTGCCACACTATCCCAACTCATGAGAAAATCACGCATGACGAATACGAACAGACAAGAAAACGACGATCGGAAAAAGTTTGCCAATTATTCCATTCAGACCTTCGGGGGGTACAGTGCAGGAACGAGGGGTGTTGTTGACTGCAGGAAGCGATCCAAGTTACCGGCTGGAGGCGGCGGCGTTGGTGGCGGAGAAGGAGAGGCGGACATCGACGGCTTCGAAGATGAATCATCTGAGTCGACTCTACTCTCAACCTCGCGAGCCTCCAATTCGGGTGGCCCCGCCGGCTTCTGCCTCGTCTTCGCCAGCCTCTGCGGCTTTTCTTGCTGCTGCGAGTGCTCATGCTGCCTCCTGTGCGGGGGACTGTAGAACCGACCAACTCCAAGACTGCGGGCCGAAGACGACGAGACAGAGCCCGCCATCTCCGAGGGGGAAGTACGACGACAGAAAATGAAGCTCCTCCGCGGAATCAGCGGGAAGGAAGGGGACCGACTTCGAATCCTTAGAGATCGGAATTCCGATAAGACACAGCCGATTAGGGTTTTGGCCACCGTCCTCTCCCCCCCCGCCCTTTTGGATCTGAATGGGGAAGAAGAGGGCGCCTGTTTCTTTCCGGCTTCCGTTTTCCTCTCCCCCTTTAATTCTTTTCTATTTCCCCGCCTTCTCGCTTTCTCTCCACCAAGCAGAAAAAATGGAGGCCAGCGAACAATATACAGCAGTTTCAGTTTATATTCTCTAGCATCCTCCGCCCCCCTCAATCCTCTGAACTTACATCTTGACCTTAAAGCTAACATCCTTTGTAAAGATGACCTCACTGCGGTGGGTCCCACTGGTCCCACAGAAGTTAGCTGATTGGTCCACCGGACGCCCCCCGAATCCGAGTCGGACAGGCCGTACGTGCGGCCAACGCGGTTTCAACCCCCCCACCCCCCCCCCGATTGGGTGGCTAATCGGGCTACGTGCGGCGCCCGGCCATTTTCGGAATTCGCACGTGCGAATAGTAACGGGACGTCATTATTGGGCCATTGGTGGCTCAATAAGGCCCTGACAACGCCCGGTTCTTACGGGGCCCAGAAAGTGGGCCCACGGGCCATCTCTCGCGGGCCTGCGGTGCAGAAGAGGGACGTAACCCTTCTCCTCAAGATCTTCCTCTTCATTTCCACGTGGCGTTTTATTAAAATGTGGTATTTTTTATGTAGACGATAAATAAGAGTTTCGACTTTTAAATTCTAACAAAAAAATATTCAACACATATTTAAATACTAAAAACGTTATATTAATTTTTTTAAATATAACCCATCAAACAATAAATAAATATTTAATGAGAAATTAAATTAAGATGGAACAAATACTCATTAAAAAATACATAAAATTAACATACTGTATTTTCCATAAAAAAAGACGATTTATATTGAATTTATGTGAATTTAAAATGATTTTAAGCGTACAAAAAAATCATATTACATAAAATGCGATATATTTTAATTTTTTATTTTTATCTTCTGACCACAAAAATGAAAATATTAAAAAAATAGAGATATACATATACACGTATATATATATATATATATATATATAGAGAGAGAGAGAGAGAGAGAGAGAGAGAGAGAGAGAGAGAGAGAGAGAGTATCAAAGAAATCCGGTCTCTGCCAGAGCCAAACCCCACGCAACGCCCAGCAGCCGCGGTCGGTTGGGGAGGCCGGGGGAAGATGACTTTTTTGACGAAGGGAAAAGACAGTCTTTACCGTCGGATGGGTGGTGGGTCCTGCTCCGTTCGTCAACGAGGGTCCGATTTCGCCGGCGCCTGGATGAACGAGGAAGCCGGTCGATGTTTTTCCTGGTCTGGCGGGAGCCGCCGATGATTTTTCCTGGTCTGGCGGGAGCTTCAGCAGAAGCCGGTCGAGAATTATTCCAATTCATTATTAATTATTACCGGGTGATTGTATTTTTTTTGGCTACAACTTGGGACGGCGAATCTGTCCGGCGGGGAGGAGAGGAGGGGGAGGAGAGAGCGAAGCTGCCTTGATGGCGTCGCTCTCTTCTCCTTCCTTCTTATCGAAGCCCTAATCGCTTCGTGTTCTCCTCCTGCGTCGAAGGCCATCTTGCCATGCGACCCTGGTTCTCCGCCATCTCCCTCCCCAGAGAGGACTTCTCTTTCTCGGCGGAAGATGGCAGCGATGACGGCCGAAACTCACACCGCAAACTCCAGGGGCCATCTCTGTAACGCTGGAGCTGGTGCTGCGGCCGGTGAGTAAAAGGTGTGGTGGGTCTGTTCTTGGATGGAAGGATTGCTAGTCGACTGACAGTCGGAATTTGGTCAATCTCACAGGCGTGATCGCCGCCACTTTTGTATGTCCACTGGACGTGATCAAGACGAGGTTTCAGGTCCACGGGCTCCCCACGCTCAGCCCTGGCAACGTCAGAGGTAGGATTCTCCTTCGTGTCGAATGCTCTTTGGTTCGTCCTTGATTGTTTTTCTTGGCTCTTCTGTCTGGAACCTGGAACTCTGCGGATATCTTGTTGATCTTCTAGTGAGTGCATCCGTTTCGATCACGAATTACTTCCTCTTTGTTCATCGCAGCCTGGCGGCTGTACTTCATATAACAGGATCGTTGCTCAAAATCATCGTCACGCTTTAGGATTGATTCCCCTTCATATAGAATTTGGTTTGAGTTCATAGGGCAAAGAGAAAAACACGCCCATCTACTTAGATTTTCTTTCCCATGATCGAGACGTATGGTTCCTGTACTGCATTTATTTCTTGGTAATCTATAGATTTTCTTCCTCGCCCGAGTTGACCTTGTGTAACAATTGGATTATATGAAAATCTCATAGCATTTAGCGTGATGAAGAATGAGACGGTGGAACATTACTCTACATGGGTGTTAAATTTACTTACTATGAGGAAACTAAGATATTATGAATAAAGCTAAATTTCCTCCTCATGATTACTATTCAATCAAAATTTTGAGTTTGTTCTCAAAACCCTTGTCTGCATGGCATTATTTTGCAAGGTTCTTCTGAAAAGATGTGGAACCATAGACGCTTTCATAAAATTGAAACGTTTATGAATAAATTTACATTTCCTTTTGTATAATTATCATTAATGAAAGTTTTCGACTTCATGTACTTCGGGAGTCAGATATATGAATCCCGAATGCCATCTTTTAGCGCATAACTTTCTCCCCATCTGAATATCGACATGGGATGGAAATGCTAGTTTTAATTGCATATATAAAACCCCTTAAATTTATGTTCCAAGGCTTGGAGTGCTCTTTCCATTTCGCGGGGAAACTAGGCCTTGGTAGAACTAGAAATAAGATGGGTCCTTTCAGAAAGAAAATAAAATTAATGAAAATAATATTGGGTCCATATAATTTTATCTTTCGTCTCTGTATAAAGAGAGAATATTAAATGATGCGGCCAGGACCTGCAGGAAACCTGTAAAAGGATGGCGAGTAGGGTCATCTGTTAAAGTATGGAGTCTGTTTCTTCTGAAAGATATCTCTAGAAATATCATGACGTGTCGAAACTGAGGAGGCTGACCTGTTCTTGTGTTCTTGCGGGATTGTTTCTCTTCTTGTCTGATACCCTCTCTCTTCTTATTGTCTCCTACCGCTTGAAGGGATCATTCCTAACACGAAGATGGTTTTCTTCCATCGGCTCATCCTTGTATGCATTCTGATGTATGCAGGAAACCGAAATGCGTGAGATTATTATTTTTTTCTTCTTCTAATGGGCCATTATATCTGGGTAAAATGCCATCAAACTGAGAAAAAAAACTCGATATTTCAGCTATCCCATCGGTTCTGTCATTTACTGATACAATTATGAGTTTCCTTACAGATTCTTTGATAAAATGATACCAAATCAGATTCATTTCAGCAGGCTGAATTTGGCCTTGTAGTGAAGTGGTACGGTGCTTCTGATTTGGGTTGGAGGATACAGAACCGATCATCCAACTCAGTTATTGATAATTTAATAAATCAATGCAAAACAGAGTTTATCCAACTCGACAATGGAAAAGTCATGGTTTAGAACATATTTATGTTCCATGCATTTGCATTAATGAATTATGGCAATCCATATATACGATCTACATTTTTTTAATAACTAATTTGCTACTTGCATAATCTTTTTTCTACACTGTATTCATCGCACACCTTGGATGAGACAAACATCCCGCCATGTCTCTGTATGACATGGTATTTTAGGCCTCTTTGTAATAAGAACATGATTCCAGAAAATAGTTGCAATGCATTTTTTTTTATCTTTGTGATATGCTTGTTGCATGAACTTCTTATCCCTATATCAACTTTTGCCAGAATTTACACCAATCTTAACTGTCGGAAGACTTAAACTTGCAAAAAAATTCAGCAGGTAGTTCATTTCTTCATTTCGAATATACACGCATTATTTTGAAGAATTTGATCGGAATTTACTGTGTCTCTCATCATTATCTTTTCATATATTTATTTATCTTTGGTATCATGATTAGCTACAGTAAGTATTTCTAAAACACATCCATATTTAGATCTTAGAACTCTGATATCTATCTTGTTGATCTAATTCCGTCCAGCTCGCTGACAGTCTAACTAGTTTAACGTGATGGTCAAACTCTAACAATCATTCAGAAAAATTCTCTCTCTTCCATGTGACAGAAACCTTCCTTCCCTATCAAATTTCTTTTCTTGCATTTTTTTGGTGAACTGACGTTGAATTACCATATTTTGGCAAAAGTTTACGATCTGTTTGATTGACGTATTTCTTGAATTCATTCAATTCGGCTCATGAAAGTCCAATGTTTGTGTTACATCAGGCAGCCTCATTATTGGTAGCCTGGAACAAATATTCCTGAAGGAAGGGCTGCATGGAATGTACCGTGGTCTGTCTCCCACTGTGCTAGCATTACTCCCAACCTGGGCGGTGAGTCTCTGGTCCTGCACATGATCCTGCCTACATTTTCTTTCCCTGGTGACGCCGTTGACCGTTGATTTCTATTACAAAAGCCAAAACCCAAAAATGCCCCAAGTGGGAGATTTCGATAGTAGCAACCTTTTAGTGTGAAAAGAAGAATTTCTGTGGAGCACTGGGGAGGGGGAATGTATAAAAGATATATTGATGGCTGAATAATTATATAAACGCCATTGAAAAACATTCCAAAGGTATTCGTGCCCCCCTTATTCTGATAATAGTGGCCTTGGAGGATATCTATCATATCTTTATTTGTAGTTGATAGCTATCAGTAAATAGTTTTCCATCAAGGTAGCCAATTGAGGCGGCTGTGCAGCTGATTGAGCACCATGTGAAGCTGTCGAATGCTTGTCAGAGTTTGTGAGCTCGAGAAGGCTTGGATTGACCAGCTTGGTCTTTTTTTTTTTTTTTAGGGTTTTAGAATATCTTGAGGATTTACGTCCCTTCATTCTTGTTTCAGGTTTATTTTACTGCCTACGAGCAACTAAAATCGTTGCTGTCCACCAACGGTCAGTTTGCATAACCCTTTAAAAAATTGAATATTTTTTCGATTGTCATATGGAAATTGATCTGAATTGGCCCATCTCATCGAGATGGGTCAGCGCTTGGACCAGATCAGTGCTTGTTCTTATTCTTGGTAGATCTTAATATTGAGCAGATGGGAGCCATCAGCTCTCCCTTGGCGCCAACATGGCAGCTGCATCTGCTGCTGGAGCTACAACAACAGTATTGACTAATCCACTGTGGGTCGTCAAGACTCGGTTCCAAGTACGTTGCTAATAAAATGCTCTGCGTCTTATGATTCTGGAGATTAATATGATCATCAGCTCAGTCTCAACTTGACTTGAGAGAAAACAGATCTGCGAGGGATACAAGAACTCGTGTCTTCTCTTCTGTTGAACTCTTCAGACCATACACGATGATTGATGCATGAATATTATCCAACATTATGACCATAATTGCACATGAAAATTTCATCTGCGGAAGATCCAAGAAACCCACGTCTTCTGTCTTAAATTGCTCATATATTTGCCTCATGGATCTGTTAATCTGTCGATGGGGTTACCCTGACCCGCCTGCTATCTCTTCTAGACCCAGGGGATGAGACCCGGCGTGGTGCCCTACACGGGCACCCTGGCCGCTTTGAGGAGGATAACCCGCGAGGAGGGCGTCCGAGGGCTATACAGGTTTCTAATGACGTTTCCTCATTCGATCTGGGGAGGCTCGAGATTTCTAAAAATGCCTACTTCGTGTTGAGCAGCGGCCTTCTCCCAGCGTTGGCCGGAATCAGCCATGTCGCCATCCAGTTCCCGACCTACGAGAAGATCAAAGTCTATCTGGCTGAACGAGGTGACCCTTCTTCTCTCCTCCTCCTCTCTTCCTCAGACTCCTCTCCTCTTCCTCCGGCGTCTGACTGCACCCGTTGTTGCAGACAACACCACCGTCGACTCCCTCACCGCCGGCAACGTCGCCCTCGCATCCTCCGTCTCTAAGATCATCGCTTCGACGTTAACATACCCCCACGAGGTCCTCTCTCTCTCTCTCTCTCTCTCTCTCTCTACATGTATCCATCTATCTACCAATTTTGACGATGGGTGTCTCTTCCGGATTGAAGGTGGTGCGCTCGAGGCTGCAGGAGCAGGGATTCCATTCGCCGAAGAGGTATGAGGGGGCGGTGGACTGCATAAAGAAGGTGTTCCGTGGAGAGGGGGTGCTGGGCTTCTACCGGGGATACGCGACGAACCTGCTGAGGACGACCCCGACGGCGGTGATCACCTTCACAAGCTTCGAGATGATCCACAGGTCCCTCATCTCCCTGTTCCCCCCGGAGCCCCAACCCCACGCCATCTAAAAAACCCGAGATTCTCTCTCCACTGCATCGCCATTCCATTCTTTCTGGGATCCACAGGCGGGCCTTATGATCTTATTCTGATGAGAGAGAAAGATAGAGATAGAGAGAGAGAGGGAGGGGAGATGGGATGTGTTCTATATTCTCTCTCTTCCGTTCTGGTTTCCATCAGAATGCAGATGGTGGCCACACCCTGGAACGCATCTTCTTAGCTGCGGCCATCTGTAAAATGTTCCATGCCCATGAGTGATAGAAGCCCCGAAATGAGCAAGGGGCGATGCCCTTGTGAGGTTATCTCTCTCTCTCTCTCTCTCTCTCTCTCTCTCTCTCGCTAGAGGGGCGTTGGGGGCCCAATCGCCTGTCCTCCAACGCCCATCTCCCCACAGGACAACGGCCATCTGTAAATTGGTCCATGCCCATGGGTGATAGAAGCCCCAAAATGAGCAAGGGGCGATGGCCTTGTGAGGTTCTCTCTCTCTCTCTCTCTCTCTCTCTCTCTCTCTCTCTCTCTCTCTCACTCTCTAGGGGGGCAAGGGGGACCCAATCGCTTCTCCTCCTACGGTCATCTCACCACAGGAAATGGGCGCCGGGGAACCGTTTTATAATCTGCACCTAACCGAAGATCTGGGCTCGGTGGAGCCTGGGCTACTAGTGGGCCGACAATCTTTTTATAAAGGGTAATGGCCCATTATCCTTTTCCCCCTTTTTCCTCGCTTTATGATTACTACTTTTTTTTTTCTCTCGTGCGAAAACGAGAGGAAAAGAGGATAAGCACTGGAGGAACTATTTACGTGAAAACCCTAAAGATAAAAACATAGGGACATAAAAAATACTTCGTAATGGTACCATATAATTCGCGGAATATATCTTAGAAACTGAAGATTTCGACACGTGTCTCATTTGAATTTCCAGAGACACGTGGAGACCTAAAGGCTAAGAACACCGTTGGGCGGGGGGGCGAAATTTAAAATAAAACCCTTTAAGTCGCTGTGTCTACCATCCCCACCTTTATATTTTAACTTTTTTTACATACGTCCCGTAGAAGGTGAGCGCCACAGGATGGCGGCCGCTTGGTGGGGCCGGTTAGCCGACCACCAGAGGTTTGCCACGCTTTTCATGTGGGCCCCATAACCTCCCCCCACCTCTCTCTCTCTCTCTCTCTCTCTCTCTCCTGGTTTGCTTTTCGCTTTTGTTGTAGGCGGCGGGCGGGAGTAACGGATATCCGAGCCAAGCAGAATCGCATCCGAGCCTGGCTTTTGAAATATTTTCGACCGTTGCGGGGAAAGGGGAGAGCATCTCTCTCACATGGCCTCTGCGGTCGCATACACCGTCCAAGTTTCTTAATTTTTAAATGGGACAGGGAACACGGGTGGTGGGAGGAAAAGTAAAGATAGGACATCATTAAATAAATCATTTTACTTTTCACCCAGTAAAAATGAAAATTGAATATAGGGCAACACCCATTCAATGTTCGAGTACGGTTTCTCCAGCAGAGGATTTGGGATATTTACCATAAAAACCATATCAGTCTTTCTAATATCTGGATATGACCTATTTATTTTTTTATTCTAGTGATGTCCATCTTGTTTCATCTGATTGGACTATTATTTTTACTATAATTGTGGTAAAAAAATAAAAAAACATATTTTTTTGGGATAAAATAATTTCAAAAAACTGTGGTTCGATACATTTTATGCAAAGATTCTAAATCCATTTTAAGGAGGGATTATTTAAAATGACGCAAAAGGAGTAGAAAAACTAGAAAATGCCGACTAAAAATTCCCCCCTTGGTTTTTGAAAATTGCTGTTTCGGGAAAAAAGGGCTTAATTTTAAAAATAATTAAAAAAATACGCTCTCCTCTTGCTAGTATGGATATCTCTGCCATCTGTCCCGCCCCCCCGGGAAGATTATTATTACAGAGAAACCCCTATTTAACCTTTGGACGGGGGTAGGTGAAGTAACCAAATGAATGAGGTTTATTGTGTAAATATTTTACAAATAGGGGATAACTTGGTAGTTTTTCAGGCCAGCCCAACGGGCGCGAGAGCACGGCCGGGGAACGCGGAGGTGGTGAGCGTCAAGAATAGGATCCCGTCGTCGTCCCCATTGTTCCTTCCATCTGCAGATCGCTCTCTCTCTCTCTCTCTCTATCTATCTCTTTCTCTCTCCCCATCTCCTCTCCTTCTTGCTCTGGCACACTTTTCCTCTCTCACGTCAGATAGGAACAGATCGGCAGCCGGTGTTCGGTAGAGTGCTCCGTGGATTGTGCAGAGCATCAGGAGGGGTGGAGGCAGAACCCGTGTAAATCAGGGAGCCGAGGGGAAGAGGAGAAGGCGGCCATTGCCAGCAGCGATAACAACGAGCTGCAGCTGACGCAGAGGTGGAACAAACTACGCCCTCTGTTCCCCCCCCCCCCTTGTCACCGGGATCAACGCGAAGAGAGAGAAGAGGAGTCCGACGAACGCAATCGACGCTTTACTACTCTCCACGGGCACCGGCAGCAGCAGATAGTTTCAGTTCCCCTGTCGAACGTTGCGCGTTCTTCTTCTCTCCAATCCCGATCCGTTACGGCCGAGATTCACAGTTCTCGAGCTCTGATTGTAATCGAGCTTCCTCCGAGTTTCTTCCGATCTGGGACACGGTAATGAACGTGAAGAGGTTTGTGGTTAGCAGATGAGAGAGTAGTTGCCACATTTGCCAGAGGTTCTGCTTGTGGGAGAGCTTTCTGCTTCTTTGAGTTATATATCATCTGTGAAACAGCCGTTCATCTTCCTTCCTCGCTTTGGGAAAATGGCGCCAGAGGGTTTACTTTCAATTCCGGCGGCCTCCGTGGTGGAGGACGTCCTCCAGCAACATTGGACCCGACCGAGAGACATCGACATGGCCTCCAGGAGGTCCGAGGAAGCAGGTATTTTTTCCTTATTGCTATCTTTTGATAGGTCATCGTTCCCTTTCAACATCGAAATTTTGATCTCTACAAGCTGCAGTTGAGAAATCGACGCATAGAAATTTTGATTCGATGATTTCTCTCAGTAAGATTCAACGAGGGACCGATCACCTCCGTTGTAGATCGTGCACCTGTTCGTTACTCGAACAACCGATAGATCTTCTTAAATGATCTTCACGAAGTCGTCCCATCTTTCTGTCATTAATAGCGAAACTCAAACTTTTTCAGAGGATCAGGAGATCTTCTTCGGAAACAACATTGCCAACTCGGAATGAAACCATAGTTTGATTTCATACTTCTGATAAAAATACCCAACACACAGGATTTTATCTTTACCGACTTCTTTAGAAGTGCCATTGATGAGGCCAGGCATCATGGGGCGCCTCTCATTTAGTCGCTCTAAGTTCGGGAAAGCCATTGAAATCCTTCACTTCTACTTTGAGCAAAATACTTGATCATAGCAACCCCAGACGGATCAAAAGAATTCAAACATGAAACAAATCGCCGACTACTTCTTACGTACAGCTAGTAGAAGACACGAGGCTGCAGCGTGGCTGAGGCAAACTCTCGGCGCCTTGGGGGAGAAGGATCTGCCGGAGAAGCCCACGGAGGAAGAATTCCTTCTCGCCTTAAGAAGTGGGTTAATTCTCTGCAATGTGCTCAACAATGTCCATCCAGGAGCTGTGCCAAAGGTGCGTCTCTGGCCCCTCTCATCCTGAGCCTGATCTCCATCATACAGTCTGAAATCCCTCCTTCTCAGGTGGTGGAAATCCCTGTCGATCCAGCTCTGCTCCCAGATGGAGCAGCACTATCGGCTTATCAGTACTTTGAGAATGTCAGAAACTTCCTTGTTGCAGTTCAAGACAAGGGTCTTCCAACATTTGAGGCATCCGATCTGGAGAAGGTCTGCATGAGAACCTGATTAGCTACAGTTTTCATAGATCAGGGAATTCATCAACAGCGACTCTCTTCCAAAAATTATTTCTGATCGAGATTTCTCGCTTCTTCTTCACTGAGTCTGCAGGGGGGGAAATGTTCCAGGGTTGTCAATTGTGTTCTGGCTCTTAAATCCTACTGCGAATGGAAGCAGATGGGGGGAACTGGTCTTTGGAAATACGGGGGAAATCTGAAATCCGCTGGCTCAGGGAAATACTACATAAGGAAGAATTCGGAGCTTTTCATTAATTCCGTCTCAAGGAACATATGCTCAAATGGAAAATTCCAAGATGACCAGAAATTTTCTTCAAGCTTCAACGACGAATCCAGCGAAATGGTTAGTTGGTTGGTTGGTTTTATTCGTAACTCGGTTGAGGAGATTGAATATGGACTAATGATCGTAAGCCTTCTTGATATTTATGCAGACCACATCTCATTCTCTGAATATGCTTGTAAGGGCGGTTCTCTCGGACAGGAAGCCTGAAGAAATCCCATCAGTAAGACCCCATGATTTTGTCTCCCTCGTCTGATTATCTTTCATTGGATAGAGGGATAAGGCCGTATCTTTATTTCCCCAGGTAGTGGAGTCTATGCTGAAAAAGGTGGTTGAGGAGTTTGAACGTCGAATGGTTAGCCAGAATGAAATGGTAAAGTATCGACAATTCGAAGTAAACAATTATTCTATACTGTAGAAAAGGTGGAATATTTTCGATCGATCGTTCTGATTGATTAACGACTGGTTCATCCAGAAACATTGATAGACAAAATTAGAGTCTTCTTTGCCCGAATTCACAGTATGAAGTTTTAAGAGTGTATATATTAATCGGGTACTTGGAGATGGATGCCAATCTTCGCATGATTTTTCCTTGGATTGAATGAAGGACAAGCCATGGGCGAGTTCATTGCAACTGATGATAATTTTTTTTAATATTTCATTAAACAGGTGAAAACGACCTCGAAGGATTTCAATGGTGATGGTAGCAAGGTGATCTCCAAGAGAAGAGTTCTTGCAGAGCTTGCCATTTCTTCAGATGGCACCAAGGTATGCATATAGGAGACTTTACTCTCACTCGTGTTGGGTCGTCAAATTCCTTTCGTAGGGATTCATTTGCCAGTGATCACTTGCATAGATCACTTTATGAAAATTATTTCATCCGAAACTCGTCAAATGTTCTGCCTCGCCTAGATGGAAATGGAGGAGGAAAATTGTGCCCACGGTGGGAAGGATGATACACGTGCCATCTCAGAGGAGAAATGTAAACAGAGGCTTGCAAAGCAGAATGCTGTATTTGAGCGTCAACAAAAAGATATTCAGGTCAGAAATCATCTCTTTTCATATCACGAATCAATTAACCTTACCAGCTCGTAATCAGTAAAACCCTTCAATTTTTCTGTTTTAATTTGCAGGAGCTGAAGCATATCCTCGGCAACACTCGAGCAGGGATGCAAACCATTCAGACGAATTACGTTCAGGAGATCACAACACTCGGTGAGTTGTTCGGATTTTTGAGTCTATCTCCACCTCGCAAATATTTACGGTTCCCCCGCCGTCTGTTCTTTTCCTCAACAGGAAGACACTTGAGGTCTTTAGCGGATGCCGCATCAGGATATCACAGGGTTCTTGAGGAAAACAGGAAACTATACAACGAAGTGCAGGATTTGAAAGGCAAGAACCATCACTGTTTCAGCATAATCTTTCATTCCGTCAGGCTTCTACCTCTTATGTCAGAGAAAAACTCTCTTACCCCTCTGTCTGCACTCTGTTCTTCTTCCCCTTCTTCAGGGAATATCAGGGTTTACTGCCGTGTGAGGCCCTTTCTGCCGGGGGAGCAGAGATCAGTGAGCACTGTCAGTCGTGCAGATGATGGAAACATCACCATTATCAACCCATCCAAGAACGGAAAAGAAGGGCACAAATCGTTCACCTTCAACAAAGTATTCGGACCCTCTGCAACCCAAGGTTGCTCAGTATTGACTTCGTCTCTGTGTTCTCAACTGGGCTGCAACTCCGACTAACCCTTCAATCATCGTCTTGCAGAGGAGATCTATTCAGACACGCAACCTTTGATTCGCTCTGTTCTGGATGGCTTCAACGTCTGCATATTTGCGTACGGCCAGACAGGATCTGGGAAAACGTACACGATGGTGAGCAGGAACTTTTGTGGGGCCATTATTACTCAATTTTTTCCGAATATTTCCTAGGTAAAGCTAGTAAATTCTTCTTTATGTATGGAATAATTAAAGCTGACATCTGTTCTGACAGACGGGACCCAGGGATATTACTGAACAGAGCCAGGGTGTGAACTACAGGGCCTTGAGCGACCTATTCCAGCTTTCGGAGCGTAGAAAGGACACAATCACCTATCATATCGCTGTTCAAATGATTGAGATCTATAACGAGCAAGTCAGAGATCTTCTGGTCAGCGACGGGGTCGGCAAAAGATATCCTGCTCGCTTTTTCTAGTCTCGATTCCTCTCAGATTTCTCGGTTTCTTCTCCGCTTCCGTTTCCTTGACCTATGATCACGTTAGAGATTCGAAACAGCTCCCAGAAGGGTCTGAATGTGCCGAACGCAAGCCTGGTCCCCGTCTCATCAACGTCCGAAGTCATCGAGCTGATGAACATCGGGCAAAGAAATCGCGCGGTGGGTGCAACGGCTTTGAATGATCGCAGCAGCCGCTCTCACAGGTTTTTGTTTCCTTCTGCTTTGGCCTATGAGAAATTATCTTGTTCTTCTTAAGCTGGAGTTCTGATGGATCGTCGTACAGCTGCCTGACTGTTCACGTTCAAGGAAGGGAGGTGGCCTCCGGCGCCGTCCTCCGGGGCTGTATGCACCTGGTTGACCTCGCCGGCAGTGAAAGAGTTCTCAAATCCGAGGTCACCGGGGAGAGGATGAAGGAAGCCCAGCACATCAACAGATCTCTGTCGGCACTGGGTGACGTGATCGCCGCTCTCGCCCAGAAGAACTCCCACGTTCCTTACAGGAACAGTAAACTCACTCAACTCCTCCAGGATTCCCTCGGTAAGATATCCTGCTCTCTCTCTCTCTCTCTATCTCTCTTCCTTATCGCTGAGAATTAACGATTCCCATGGCAACGCAGGAGGCCAAGCAAAGACGTTGATGTTTGTCCACGTGAGCCCAGAGCAAGACGCTGCGGGGGAGACCATTAGCACCCTCAAGTTCGCGGAGCGGGTTTCCTCCGTGGAGCTCGGCGCAGCGCGTCTCAATAAAGAGAACGGGGAGGTCAAAGAGCTCAAGGAGCAGGTTTTTCTTCTTCTTCTCTACCCATTTAGTTATTATCCTCTCATGCCGTTGACTACCTCCCCTCAAAACTCTCTTTCACTGCGCTTAGATCGCCCATCTCAAGGCGGCGCTCGCAAGAAAAGAATCATCAGAAGCCGAAGAAGCAGCTGGCAGTCTCAAGTCAACTCCCTCAGTGCGCAGAACGATGCTTTTCACACCGTTGTCCAAATCGACAGCTTGGAGGGAACATGTGAGAAAACATTGATCAAAGTTCAGATTTTTTCCAGTGCCCATGATATCATCAAAGGTTTTTAATGATGGGTTCGTCTGGGATTTCCAGAATAATAATTCCTTGCCGCGGCGGAAGAGACCTGGTTCCGATCTCCAGGAGCAGTTACTGGCCGCCGCCGACTCCCCCCCTTGGCCTGATAACAGCAGCCCGTGCGTTGACTCCCGGGCTGGCGAAGAGAACGAGACCGATTCCCAAGAATGGGTCGACAAGGTCATGGTCAACAAGTTGGACCGCGTCGGAAGCAACGGCAGCTCCCTCAGTGATTGGGCAGCGGTAGCAGGACCAGATTATCTTTTCAGCAGGAACGGGACGGCGTTGGAGGATGGGCCTTCCGAGATCGGAACGACTGACTCGGAGGACCAGATCGTCGTCTCCTCCGGTTCCTCCGAGTCGAACCCGGCGGTCTCTGCGAGCGCGTCGAAGACGAAGAAACCCCAGCAGAAGCTCGCCAAGACCCCGGACGCAAAGAGGTAGATCATATTTCAATCTAACCCCTTGATCGATGCATATGATCGAACGAAAATCGTTTCTGATTCCGATTTCACCCTGAAGGACTCCAATTCAGGCTCCTTGCCCGCCGTCGTCGAGAAAGCTCCCGAGCAGGCTCCGGCTTCCGAGGGGCGCCGCCGGCGTGATGTGATCGATCGCCGGAGGAGCTACGACGGCGGGAAGCTCCGGTGACCGGCGGCGGATTGATTCTGCGATGACGGCGAGAGAGTTATTGTGAGTGGTGCTGTGTTTGAAGAAGGTGGTCCCGGCCGGGCATGGCGATTCCGGCAGGCTCCGGCAGCCGCCGCTCCGTCTCCCATCGCCCCCTGCCCTGTGTTTCCGGCCTGAATTCGTCTCTCCTCCGTCACACCATATCCATATAATTCCTTCATTTTTTTCTCCCCGAAAAAAAAAATGTACTACGCAGTAGAGAGAGAGAGAGAGAGAGAGAGATGGCCCGAGAGTCGAGATCCCGTTGTTCATTGACGATCTGTAATTCTCTCTCTAGGATTGTATCCATATAATTCCTTCATTTTTTTTTTCACCCAAAAAGGAATTACTATGGAGCCATTTTTCTTTGGCGATCGTATAATTAATTCCTCGCTGTCTCTGTATTCCTCTCTCTAGGATTGAAGCCAATTGGAACCGGGCACTTATCTACTATTTAATATTTATATATTAAATAAGATAAACGGGGAAAATCCAGCTGGAAATATTAATTTCATAAATACAGATAAAGTACACCTACGCTGGCGGTATGCGTAGGGGAGGGAGAAACGCCATGTGCCGCCAACGTGGGCCGTACCCACTTGCTGGCCCATGTGGCCTCCACGGCACGATTGGGGCTCATTTTTGCTGTTATGGGCCCAGTGACACACCAGCTGCTCCCTTCCCCCGGGAAAGGATATCCTTTAAGTAGAAGCCATCTTGAACCGTGGGGCTGCCACGTGGTCGTTCGTGTCCGCAGACCTTCTCGTGGGGCTCGACGCCCTTCTTTTCTCGGCGGGAGGAGAAACCACCGTCGGAAGGATCCTCCCAACTTGCCGGAATTTGTTCGGAGACCGGCGGATCTTCTCTTCCCCGTTTCTGATCGAGCCGAATTCGCACATCGCCGGTGGCGTCCCGATCGGAGATTTCGTTGCCGAGGTATCGAGCTCGCCGCCGTCTAGGTTTTCTCACAGTCACATGCCGCCTCCCGGGGAGGCTCTGCAGAGGTTATTTTCTACTCGTCTCCTGGGGGATTTCCCCTCTTCGTCGCTGCAGACGGTTTCCGGCCGCCGATTTGGCCGGACGTTGCTCTCTCGAGGGAGCTGGATCTTTGATTCCTGGTTCCTTGGTTTGTTCCAATGGCGGATGCGATGAATGCAGAGGGGGAAGTGCGGAGGTGGCGGTGGCAGGGTCTTTGTTCTTGAATGGTCGCGCCACCGCGGGGAGGCTTCCGGGATGAGGTCGTCCCCTCGGGAGCTGCTCCCGGCGAGCGAGAGGACGCCGCGGGTGCCTCTGGCCACCCTCATCGGGCGGGAGCTCAGGCGAAGCAGTGAGAACGCCGGCGAGCCCCGCGTGAGGTACGGCCAAGCCGGCCTCGCGAAGAGAGGGGAGGACTATTTCCTCATCAAGCGTCGCTGTCAGCGTGCTCTCGGCGGATCGTTCTCCTCCACCTTCTCCGTCTTCGCCGTAATCCCCCCGAATCGTCCTCCGGTTTCTATTTTCCTCTATTTTTCCTTCTCGCTCGTGCCGATTATTCACGCCGGCGGACGATGCCCTTCTCTACCAGGTTTTCGACGGCCACAACGGAGCAGCCGCCGCTGTGTTCACGAGGGAGCACCTTCTGGATCACGTCCTACGGGCAATCCCTCAAGGGTTAACCAGGGAGGAGTGGCTGCGGGCGCTTCCTCAGGCGCTCGTCGCTGGCTTCGTCAAGACCGACATAGAATTCCAGAGCAAAGGTTCGTCTGCCTTCCGAGCCCGTCTTCTTCTTCCTCTTCCATGGGTTTCGTCCCTCCGGATGCAGTGGATGGATTCTTGGCAGGGGAGACTTCGGGCACAACAGTCACGCTTGCGGTGGTCGACGGGCTGACGGTGACGGTGGCCTCGGTGGGGGACTCTCGCTGTATCCTGGATTCCCAGGGAGGAGTAGTCTCTGAGTTGACTGTCGACCATAGGCTAGAGGAAAACCTAGAGGAAAGGGAGCGGGTTACTGCATGCGGGGGGGAAGTAGGGAGGCTGAACATCTGCGGCAGGCGAGAGGTATGTCCCGAACAGAAAACTCGCCTGATTAATCGCGAACAGGGGTGAGGGTGAGATGAGAGCTTCCTGAACCTCTCTCTCTCTCCCTCTCGCTGTTCCTCAGGTCGGCCCACTTCGATGCTGGCCCGGCGGGTTGTGCCTCTCGAGGTCGATTGGGGACTCAGACGTCGGAGAGTTCATCGTCCCGATTCCTCATGTCAAGCAAGTGAGAGTAAGTGTTCCTGAAAAACCCAAGCCTCCAAAGATCACACATGTATATTCTCTGAGACTCACTCCTGTTCCTCTGTTCAGCTGCCAGCCTCCGGTGGCAGGTTGATCATTGCCTCCGACGGCATATGGGACGCTCTGTCATCTGAGGCGGCCGCGAAATCTTGTCGAGGGCTCTCCGCGGAGCTCGCCGCGAAGCTGGTTGTCAAGGTGGAGTGATCGAAGCTGCCCTCATTCCAATTCTTTCCTTCCACTGATCCGGGCAAAAACAGCCGTCTTTATCTTGCTCAATGCCTGCTTCTTGTCCAATCCAGGAGGCATTGAGGACGACGGGCTTGAAAGATGATACGACCTGCTTGGTCGTGGACATTGCACTGTACAATCACGTCGCCTTGCCGCCGACGCCACAGGATTCACCGAGTAACTTGAGATCTCTCATCTTCTGGAGAAGGCCTCGGGGTTCCAAGAACATGCTCTCTGAGAAGCCATCTTCCGCTGGTGCCGTGGAGGAGCTGTTCGAAGAGAGTTCAGCCAGGCTCGCAGAGAGGTAATCCAACGCCTGTTTTCTCACCTCCCACAATGCTTTTTGTTCCCCAATCTACCGCTGTTTCTTCCGTCATGCTCCGAGATTAGCTGTCTGGTTTCTTCCTCTTTCTTCCTGTTCACTCCCTGAGCATCTCTGGAACAGCATCAGATAATCAAAAGGGTGTTCGTCTTCTTCTTCTTCTTCGTTTCCTGCTGATGGGTTGGATCTATGATATATAATTGGGGGAAAAGAATGCTCACATTTAAGAATCTGCGCGAGTGGGTGGGATGGATCCATTATACTATCTCATGTAGATCTGTACTTGTTTTTTGTCAACTGTCAGCCTTGTCTATGTACTCTGACAGTCACTAACATGGGCTTCCTATAGCATGCTGACGGTATGTACAATGTTATGTGCATCTGTGGATGGTCAACGGCCTCATTTCATGGCTCCTTAAAGGGGGGAAGTCCCGGGGCCTAGAAGGTCAACCATTCAGGAGAACAGCTTAATTGGGAACCTGAGCATCAATAATTATGGAAGAGTTAACATGGCGGTCTTCTTCTCGTAGATAACCTTCGCCTTCTTCTCTGTGGATCTCAGGTTGAAGGCTTCTTCTTGCTTCCCCGCCGATGTGAACTCGGGACCCTGCCAATGTGCAGTGTGCCAGGCGGATCTAGAGCGAGCGGAAGATCTACTCCCCGCCGCCGCCGGTCAACGCGAGGTGGGCCTGTGCCTCTGCCCAGTATGCCAAAAGAAGAAGGACGCCATGGAAGGCAAAACGCCGAAAAAACCGATTGGCGGCGCCGGCACCGGCGACGACGACGACGACGACCACGATGACGACGAGGATCCGGCGATTTCGGCCGTGCGGGAGGAGCTCCGCCACTTGTACGAAGCTGAAGGTGAGTAAATCTCCCGGACCCGGTTGCACGTCGGAGAGTGGATCTGGATCGGGAGCGGCGCTAGTCGATCCGATTCCTGCCGGCGGGTCTGCTCATGGTTTCTCGCTGAGCTGACCCGGAAGACCGCAAGGTCAACGATCGTATTTTCTTCTCTCCTCTCCGCTGGCCATCCAAGATTTTTGCGGAGAGTTGACCCGTTGACCATGTTGTCTCCGGATGCTTTCTTTCCGGGTCTGTTGGCCCTGGTAACGGTCCCCCATTTCCCCCGTGTATCGTCCAATTCGTCTTCCATGCTGATATATTCTCCACTTTAATATATATATATATATATATATATATATTCGTCGGCGAGCTGCAGAGAGAGAGAGAGAGAGAGAGTAGAGAGAGACAGAGAGAGGAGCGGGATGGGTGGGGCCGGCGGGGAGTAAAGAGGAAACGGGTCTCAGGGCTGGCATTTTTTGAATTCGGAGACCGTTGGAGGCGGCCACGAGAAGGCCGTGGGGGGGATCCGGTGGCTCTGATTCGACCGTTGGGGCTTTCAAATTCCTACAACGCGGGGGCTCTGTTCTTCGCTTTTCACGATCCCCAACGCGAGCGACCCTGGTCTCTGGCCCGTTGGGGGCGGAGGGAATTTTATAGTTTCCGTCTTCTTCCTCCCCACTCCCATCACCTTCTTCTTCTTTTCTCGTCTCTCCTGATCTTCCTCCATCTTCCTGGTTCCCGTTTCTCTCTCCTATAACCCTTCTTCTTCTGCCCTTAGTCTGGTTTCTCTCACTCTCATGGTTCAGTCTGCTGCTTCACCGGGTTCTCCGGTGACGATTAGGGTTTCGGCGGGCGGCGGGGGAGGCTTCAGAGGGATGGGCTTGACCAGCCCGGTTCCCCGCTTGTCCCTGTCCAACAATCCCCGCTCCCCCGCCGCCGGGAGGTCTCGCAGGGCCTCCAGCGGCGGCGGCGGAAGGTACTCCGCCGCCTCCAAGGTGGCGGAGGCCGAGGAGGAGGTTTCCACGGATTTCGTCCACTACACCGTCCACATCCCCCCCACCCCCGACCACCCTCTCAGCTCCGCTTCCGTGCCGGAGAGGAGCTACGTCTCCGGCACCATCTTCACCGGCGGGTTCAACTCCGTCACCCGCGGCCATGTCATGGACTGCTCCACCGACGACCCCGAGGCGGCGGCGGCGGGAGGGGCAGCGGCCAAGTCCACGGCGATGGTCTGCGCGATGAACGGATGCGACGGCGAGGTCTTCTCCCTCCGGAACTCGAAGCTTCCCTGCGAGTGCGGCTTCATGACCTGCAAGGAGTGCTATCAGGAGTGCGCCGGTGCCGGCGGCCACTGTCCAGGCTGCAAGGAGCCCTACAGGGACGAAAGCAGCGACGAGGACGACGGTGACCCGCATAGGGTTTTAGACGAGGAAGAAGAAGATGAGCAAGTTCTCCCGCTAGCATCAATGGCGGAGTGCCGCCTGAACAGAAGGCTCTCCCTGATGAGGTCCACCAAGATCCCCAACCACAACTCCGACTTCGACCACACCCGATGGCTCTACGAGACCAAGGGGACCTACGGCTATGGCAACGCCGTCTGGCCCAAGACCGGGTACGCCGGCGGCGACCTCCATGGCTTTGAAGACCCCCCCAATTTCGGGGAGATCAGCAGAAGACCGTTGACGAGGAAGGTGGGCGTCTCCGCCGCCATCATCAGCCCCTACAGGTGATTCCCAGCTTCTGTGATGTCTCTGGTTCCTGATCTGATTGAGTATAAAACGATCTCAGTCACTGATGAGGAAACTCTTCCAGGTTGCTGATGGTGATTCGTCTGGTGGCGCTCGGATTCTTCCTCGCATGGAGGATCCGGCATCCGAACCCCGAGGCGATGTGGCTGTGGGGGACGTCAGTCATCTGCGAGCTCTGGTTCGCCTTCTCATGGCTGCTGGATCAGCTCCCCAAGATCTGCCCGGTGAACAGGGTCACCGATCTCGCTGTTCTCAGGGAGCGCTTCGAGTCCCCGAGCATCAGAAACCCTAAAGGGAGATCCGATCTCCCCGGAATCGACGTGTTCGTCTCCACCGCAGATCCAGAGAAGGAGCCCCCCCTCGTCACGGCAAACACCATCCTCTCCATCCTCGCCGTCGAGTACCCCGTCGAGAAGCTCGCCTGCTACCTCTCCGACGACGGCGGGTCCCTCCTCACCTTCGAGGCCATGGCGGAGACTGCGAGCTTCGCGAGGATCTGGGTGCCCTTCTGCAGGAAGCACAGCATCGAGCCCCGGAACCCGGAGGCCTACTTCAGCCAGAAGCGCGACTTCCTGAAGAAGAAGGTGAGGATTGACTTTGTCCGGGAGAGGAGGAGGGTCAAGCGGGAGTACGACGAGTTCAAGGTGAGGGTCAACTCCCTGCCGGAGTCGATCCGGAGAAGATCAGACGCGTACAACGCACGGGAGGAGCTCCGCGCCAGGAAGCGGCAGCAGGAGGAGGAGGTCAACTCCGGCGAGCCCATCAAGGTCCCGAGGGCCTGCTGGATGCCCGACGGCGAGCACTGGCCGGGGACCTGGCCCTCCGGTGAAGCCGACCACTCGAAGGGAGACCACGCCGGCATAATCCAGGTGATGCTGGCGCCGCCGAGCTCGGAGCCGGTGATGGGCGGCGGCGGCGCCGCCGAGAAGACGACCGTCGTCGACACCGCCGGCGTCGACACTCGGCTGCCGATGCTGGTCTACGTCTCGAGGGAGAAGAGGCCCGGCTACGACCACAACAAGAAGGCCGGCGCCATGAACGCACTGGTCAGAGCCAGCGCCATCATGTCCAATGGCCCCTTCGTCCTCAACCTCGACTGCGACCACTACGTCTACAGCTCCTCCGCTCTGAGGGAGGCGATGTGCTTCATGCTCGACAGGGGCGGCGACAGGATCAGCTACGTCCAGTTCCCCCAGAGATTCGACGGCGTTGACCCCAACGACCGCTACGCCAACCACAACGCCGTCTTCTTCGATGTCAGCATGCGGGCCCTCGACGGGTTGCAGGGCCCCATGTACGTCGGCACCGGCTGCGTCTTCCGGCGGATCGCCCTCTACGGGTTCTCCCCTCCCAGAGCCACCGAGCACGTCGGCTGGTTCGGCCGGAAGAAGATCAAGCTTCTCCTCGGCCACAAGCTCCCCTCCATGGGGAAGAAAAAGAACCAAGACGACGTTCTGGAAGAAGAGGATGAAGTAGGAGATGTGGAGAACCAGCTGCTGCTACCGAAGAGGTTCGGGAGCTCGCCGGCGCTGGTGGCATCCATCCCGGCGGCGGAGTTCCAGGGGCGGCTGCTGCAGGGCACGCAGGGGATCCAGCAGGGCCGGCCGGCGGGGGCCCTCGCCGTGCCGCGTGAGCCGCTGGACGCGGCAACCGTTGCAGAGGCCATCGCCGCCATCTCTTGCTTCTTCGAGGAGAAGACCGAGTGGGGGCAGCGCGTGGGGTGGATCTACGGCTCCGTGACGGAGGACGTGGTCACCGGCTACCGCATGCATAACCGCGGGTGGCGCTCCGTATACTGCGTCACCAAGCGGGACGCCTTCCGTGGGACGGCGCCGATCAACCTCACCGACAGGCTGCACCAGGTGCTCCGGTGGGCGACGGGCTCGGTGGAGATCTTCTTCTCGAGGAACAACGCGATCTTCGCAGGCCGGAGGATGAAGTTTCTGCAGAGGGTGGCCTACTTCAACGTGGGGATGTACCCCTTCACCTCCATCTTCCTCCTGGCCTACTGCGTCGTCCCCGCCGTCTCTCTCTTCACCGGCAAGTTCATCGTGCAGTCGCTGAGCGCCACCTTCCTCAGCTTCCTGCTCGCCATCACCGTCACCCTGTGCTTGCTGGCGCTGCTGGAGATCCGCTGGTCGGGGATCACCCTCCACGACTGGTGGCGCAACGAGCAGTTCTGGCTGATCGGCGGCACCAGCGCCCACCCGGCGGCGGTGCTGCAGGGGCTGCTGAAGGTGATCGCTGGAGTGGACATCTCCTTCACGCTCACCTCCAAGCCCGCCGCCGGCGACGACGACGACGCCGACGCCGCCTTCGCGGAGCTGTACGCCGTGAAGTGGAGCTTCCTGATGGTGCCGCCCATCACTATCATGATGCTGAACGTGATCGCCATCGCCGTGGGACTGGCGCGGGCCATGTACAGCCGGTTCCCGCAGTGGAGCAAGCTCCTCGGCGGCGTGTTCTTCAGCTTCTGGGTGCTCTGCCATCTGTACCCCTTCGCCAAGGGCCTCATGGGGCGGCGCGGCCGCGTCCCCACCATCGTCTTCGTCTGGTCCGGTCTCCTCTCCACCATCATCTCCCTGCTCTGGGTCTACATCGACCCCCCCGCCGGCGCCAGGGACGACTCCACCATGGCCTTCCGCTTCCCCTGAACACTTACTTTCATCTTTTTGGTTTCTATTCATCGGATCTGGATGAATGTACTTACTATTTTCAAGCACAAACCCCAGTCGCTGCTGCTATTTATATTATTTTCCTAATATTTATAATACTGATATTGCTCGTCTTCGATTCATCTCCCTATTTAATATATAATTTCTGATAGTTATCAAAATATTTTTTTCTCGTATAAATCTTTTTCCTTGCATTTAGACCATATTAAAGCAAGTATTGCTCAAAATCCAGGGTAAATTATAAAGGGTTTTTTCCGTTTCATCTTCTGATATTTGGGCTTGTCGGGTTTCTTCGATTTAATGGGGAAAAAAAAGAACTTTTGAATGGGTCAACGACCAATAAATACGAAGGCTGCGATGGGGAACAGCGCTATTATTTTTTCTGATTAAATAAATAAACACCCATCACGTTTCCGTAATCGGCTAACAATTATGGGGCCACCGCAGTTTTTTTTTTCTTCTGTCCGATCGTAATTATCTCGAGGAAATAAATAAACCCATCGCAATAATGATGAGAATCGGACAGCTGAGAATTTTATATATAATTCGGATAGAAGGAAAAAAAAGATGATCTTGAATAAAAATGGAACGATGCAGGATGATCGATGCTTCGGGTTCTTGATGTACATACGCAGACTGTTTTTATACAACTCGGATATCGTGACTGAGATGGGAAATCGTCGAACAATTGATTGGATCGTAAAATGATGAAGAAGATTCTGCGGCGGTGATGGAACAAATGAATGGAATATATGCATCACCTATCGGAAACCTAAAAGAACGCAGCAAGCAGAAGAGGAGGGTCACGGGGAACAAGATTGCAGATTGAGGAGGAAGCAGAAGAGGGGACGGGGAGATGGCGAGAAAATTCGATCCTCTGGAGGAGGAGGAAGGGAGAGAAAAATGGGCGGAGATGTTACCAGGGAGGGGAGGAGGAGGGTCACGGCGAGCGGCCATGGAGGTCGTAGGGAGCCCAGAGAGCGTCGAGGGGGCACGGACGGTGGGAATCGAGCCTGGTCCATGGCTTTCCGCTGCCGCTCCAGTGGAGGAGGCTGACGGGGCCGGGATGGAGGTCCCTGCAGCTTCCCCTGACGTTGTCGCCGCCGAGGCCGTGCTGGTTCCAGCGGTGGTCGATGGCGGCGATGCGGCCGGCGAACACCAGCAGGAAGGGGGGGAGAGAGCCCAGCTCGTAGATCCGCCCCTCCCGCCGCTGCACCTCCATCCACCGCTCGATCTCCCTGGTGAATCCCCCCCGCCGCCACCGCGCCAGGTCGAACACCATAACGCCGGTGTTGAAGTAGCAGGGCCGGCGGCCGGTAAAAGCGGCGGCGAGGCGGGGCTCCGACCAGAAACGGTCGGTGAAGTACTTGGTGAAGTTGGCGTGGCAGTACTCGGGAGCCCCCACGGCGCTGGATCCCAGGGAGGTCCCCCAGAGCTTGGCGACGTCGTCGACCACAACCAGATCGGAGTCGAGGTAGACGACGCGCTCCACGCAGGGCTCGAGGACCTCGGCGAGGTAGTTGCGGGCGTAGTTGAGCGGCTGCTCCAGCGCCTGGCGCACCGAGGTGGAGATGAGGCCCCTCACCCGCTCCGGATCGAAGAAATACACCTTGAATCGGAGATCGGGGAAGGAGGATCGAACAAGGGTTTCCAGGCTCGCCGTCTCCGTCGCCAGGAAGTGGAAGAAGATGCTCTCCGGGCACTGCGCGTGCTGGAGGACCGAGTGGACGGCGGCGACCGATCCACGGAGGTACTCTTCGTCCAGCGTGATGGCAATGTGGACCAGGGAAGGGTCGCAGGCCGTAGGATCCGCCGCCAGCTCGCCGGCGGCGAACGACGGCCGGCGGCAGCCGTCGGCATTGCGGAACAGCGGCGCCGTCCGAAAGGAGAACCGGGAGGGGGCCTCACCAGCGGCGGCGTCGATCTGGCCGGGGTACCGGAGGTTGCCGTCGAAGTGGGAAGATCGGATGGCCTCCGCCGGTGGGAAGGTCTGGAAGGAAGGGGAGAGCACCGCGATGAGAAGACCGGCGCAGACGAAGCCGGAAACTCTGGTGAGCCACGGCATCATCCTCTTCCGGCGGCTGTCCTTCTCCTCCTCGACCGCCAGATCTAGAGGAGAGAGAGACAGAGACAGAGAGAAAGAGAGAGAGAAACAAGAAGACTACCCCTCGCCGTCTCCCATTCCAATGGTGGTGGCGGTGGTGGTGAGGGGAAGGGGTTGACGATGAGGGATTCTCGGTGACCAGATCCGGTACCCCTTGCTCCCCAGGCGGGGCACACCTTGTTTCCAACGCTACTGGGGTGCAGTCACTAAGGTGTACTTATCCGCTGGTCTCATCTCATCCCCTCCCTAAACCTAACACTCTTCGAGAGCGAGAGAGAGAGAGACGGGGCATCCACTAGCTCCTGCAAGGTGGCTACAAGCAGTCCACCTCATCGCCGACAGCTGCTCCACACACACCCACGTATGTGTAGAGACAGCGAGAGAGAGAGAGAGAGAGAAGACGTCCATCAAGACGGCACTTCGCCAGCCTGGCGAGTGTGTCGGGCTGGTGGGCCTATACATTGTTTTCCTGTTGGGGTGCGATGAAGTGAATGACGATATTATCCTTCAGTAGCACGATTGATGAGACATTTTATAAAGATTTAGATGATGATGATGATGATGATATCTGTTTATTTAATGTTGTAAAGTGATGGGAACATTTTCTTAGATGACGACGAAAATTAGCACGATTGATGAGACATTTTATAAAGATTTAGATGATGATGATGATGATGATGATATATGTTTACTTAATGTTGTAAAGTGATGGGAACATTTTCTTAGATGACGACGAAAAATTATATAAAAAAATAGAAATCTGCATCGAGGAAGATCAACTAAAAAAAAATCCAAAGAAAAATGATGAAATCAGTAGATTTGCTTGATAAGGACGGTGTAAAACAGTGAAGTTGACAACGGATGGATGCCTGGGTGGAGCGTCACGTTGACATAGCCGAAGAAATATGTTGAAAAATAGGCACAACTCTCTCTCTCTCTCTCTCTCTCTAACTACTCACTAGGTGTACATCGAATAGTTGACCTAGTTCCCTTAGCGGTCCAAGTCAAATGGGCTAGTCTAAGAACCCACTAGTACCGTGGGTCAAACTCGAGACAATGGTCACATAAACTAGTCAAGAAAGTAGATGGCCATCTAAATGAAGGTAGCTTTTCATGGGCCAATCAATCTCGCACGATAAAATTAAAATTATTATAAAAAATCAAATAAAAAGTAGTTATTTTTTTATTTGGCATGTTTAGCGTAGTAGGAGCAGTGATATATATTTTATATATAGACAAAGGCATGGCAACTTTTTTCCCGAAACTTTTACACGGGTGAAGTGAATAAAGTTATTTTAACTAATTTATTAAATAATAATCACTTAAGAAATAATTATTTATTGGGGAAGTGAGGTAAATCTGATAATTTGTTTTATATAAAAAACGTGTTTATTTTCGATGCAGATTAAACAAAAAATACTATAAATCACACGTAATGTTGTGTACTTTTTGTTTTGTTTTGTTGAGTTGTAACTCAGCCATGTGATTGTGCTTAAGATATTACATAATTACGATCCGATCGAGGAAGAGCAAGAACCTCTCCCCGAGGGGCAAGAGCTTACTGCAGATCTGCCAAGAATGGCAGATTAAGAGCGGGGACGAGGCAGTGGCAATCTGCTAAGATCAATCAAAATAATGCGAAACGAGACGCCGTCTTCTTCCCCCGACAAACCCAACCCCTGCACGCCACCTCACCCGGTGGCCACACAAAGCCTTGCACTCTCTCTCTCTCTTTCTCTCTCTCTATCTATCTATCTCTCTTCCCTCCGAGTTCGGTTCTACGGGCTGTGGTCTGCAGAACCCCTGCATGCCACCTGACCCGATGGCCACACAAAGCCTCTCTCTCTCTCTCTCTCTATCTATCTATCCATCTATCTGTCTTTCTATCTCTCTCTCTTCCACCTCCTAGTTCAGGTTCTACGGGCTGCGGTCAGCGGAATCCAGCGGGGTCGGGGTGGGGATGCGGTAAAACATTAATGCTCGAGGGGTGAGAAGCTGGTTCTCTCTCTCTCTCTCTCTAGCTCTAGCTCTCTCTCTCTCTCTCTCTAGCTCTAGCCTCCGTAGCAGATTAGAGGTGGGGGGGATACTGGTCTCGTTATTAATGATGCCATTAAATTGTTTTAGTGATTACTAAACTCCATTTTCTGAATAATCCGGTGAATAATTCCACGTGGACGTCGGTGGCGCCGTCAACGAGTCGTTCTCCGCGCAACACCTGGCTGGATGGGTCCGAAATTTTTTTCAACCCGAGTCAACTCACCTATCGCGGACGACCGCTCCCGCAGGAAAAGGTGGCGGGGTTCGCACGTGGCGGGTGGCCCCCACCATGCGAGTCCACACGCCCGTGGGTCGTCATCCTCTTCCTCTCGTTGATCTCCGCCATGTGCAGAGAGAGAATGAGTAGTGGCGTCCGGATGCGGTGACTGAACCCCCGTCTGCTCTGAGAAAAGGGGAGTAGCCTCACCCCGCCGCCACGGCCCCATGACCACCACCAACCGACGACCCCACTCCCTCTCTCTATAATTCCTCTCTCTAGTAAAGCCTCCCACATTCCTCTCCACCGCCTCCCCTCTTCTTCTTCCTCCTCCTTCCTCCGATCTCCCCTTCCCCTTCTTCTTTATCATCTTCTTCTTCTTCTCCTTCTCCTTCCTCCGATATGGGCGGCGCATGGGGTCTCTTCTTGCTCTGGCTTCTGCTGGTGCTGCCCCCGTCGCCGCCGTCTGCGGCCGCGGCGGCGCCGGTGGTGAAAGACGGCGTCTCCTGTACAATGTGCTCCTCGTGCGACAACCCGTGCCACCCGCTCCTCTCTCCGCCGCCGCCGTCGCCACCGCCGCCTTCCTCTGCCAACTGCCCACCGCCGCCGACGAACACCTACGTCTACGCCTCCCCCCCCCCGCCGCCGGCGAACACTTACGTCTACGTCTCCCCACCGCCGCCACCGTACGGCGGCGGAAGCCCAGGTTATATCTATCCCCCGCCATACAGAAACTACCCCGCTCCGCCGCCACCCAACCCTATAATGCCCTATTTTCCCTTCTATTTCTACAGCCCCCCGCCGCCTTCCAGTTCATACAACAGCGCATCCTCCATCGCTCCCGCCTCTCCACTCTTCCTCCTCGCCGTCTCTTCCCTTTTCTTCTTCTTCTTCTAATCGGAAGCCTCTGCTTCCAGATTTGAGAGGAATTACCAGTAGACAGAGAGAGACAGAGAGAGAGAGAAAGAGGGGGAGAGGGGGGGGTGTAGATTCGTATGTGTGGTATTCTTGTCATATTCTGTGGTCGACGTGAATAAGCGGGGGAGGGAGATGATGAGCAAGAGGATTGTCTCCTTCCCAGGTCTGTAAATTGACTGCTTTCAGCACCCGTCAGCCTTCCGAGGTCTTGGCCAGCGTGATGGCTACCCTTTGTATTCAACGAGATTATTAATCGTCTTGATAGTGAACTTGGTCATGCTGGCTTCTTTCTCCTCCCCCGTTTCCCGTCTTGATAGCCTTTCCATGGCTACTGTTTCTCTCCCTCTCTCTCGCCGCTATTTCTTTCCGGCGAGGGAGGAAAGCTCCCTCCTTTAGCCGCCATGGGAGGCGGAAAAGGGGAATTGGGAGCCGGGCTGGACCTGGATTCAGATCCTCGAAGGGAAAAATGAACTTTCTGCGTCGGCAGCATCAGAGGTGAAGGGCGGCGGAGGAGCTATCGCCTCCCGGAGGGGACGGGGGAGGCCCACGGTGGCGCCGCCAGCGGGGAGGGGGGCTCACATGATGGGGTTGCGTCTGCTGGTCGCTTACTGGGGAGGGGATGAACCCATTCTCTCTCTCTCTCTCTCTCCCTCTCCCTCTCTCTCTCTCTCTCTCTCTCTCTCTCTCGCTCTACACTTTCATCTCTGCGGGGAAACATTTGAGGAAAGACGGAGGAAAAGAGGTGGGCGGAGACGGATGACGATCCGTGTCTGCCCGATTTGGTCCCCCAGGGCTGCGACGACGCACGTGGCGGCTCGGCGAGTGGGACAAACCGGCGACTGTGCCATCCCGCCGCCGGCGGCGACTGGGCCGGGAACACACCCCCCGTCGGTGGACTTTGCCCGGCCGTCCTTCTCTCCGGCGCTCCCGCTGGCATTGCGTGTTGTTGACTTCCGCACCCAAAGTACTTCTCCCCTTTGAACACTCCGGTCGGAAGAATATTCGCCTCCATGGCCGAGCGAGAGAGAGAGAGAGAGAGAGAGAGAGAGATAAGGTGTGGGCTCCGGGCTGGATGATCTATTCCGCTCATATTGATTCACCACCGAATTGGGCAAGAAAAAAAATCGCAACTTCGATGGGATGTGGAATAATTAGATATTCGAAACTTTAATAGATCGACGGTGGGGTGAGTTAATTCCACGTTCCAGAGGAAAAAATTATGAACAGGGGCGACGGCTTCTCCTCCTCCTGCCAACACAGATTTGCTTGCAGGGTGGCAGAAAGTTTCAGGTCGAGCTCATCAGATGGTCATCCGAGAGGAAGATACTGCGAATGGCCTTCACAGATCCAGGGACCTGTCAGTGGCGGAGGTCCCAGGGAGGATCGCCCCCGACCGAGGGGCTCGAGCCCATGACTACAGCTGTCGGGCAGAAGAAGAACTTGGGCTGCTTCGGACGAAGCTGCCCTCCTCGCCGATTCGGATTCCAGCAAGAGACCAGACCAGGAGATTTACCCTAGCGGGCGGGAGGGGGGAACGCCATGGATTTGGATGCAGGAGAGCAGAGGATCTTACCGCTGCGGCCTCGCATCTGCGCAGGGTCCCCCGCCTCCGAAAATGGAGATTCTGCCGCTTGCAGAAACGCGAGCGATCCCGCGGAGATTCCTCTTTTTGTGGAGAAGGAGACGAGAGGGGACGGTGGCAGACATGGCTGATCTCGCCGTTGAGGATGGATCTTCTTGATGCGAGGAGATAAACGACTGAATGATATTTCTATTGCCGGTAAATCGGTGCGCATACGGATCTATGGGTTTTCGCATGGCGGAGCTCGGAGGAAGAAGAGTACAGAGACTGGCTGGTTGGTTGGTTGGTTGCTTGGTGGTGGGAGGAGAGGAGGGGTTGCAGTTCAGTCTGCGGCTAGGGTTATAGGAAACCAGAGGAGAGAGCCATGAGCAGGACGGCGGCCTCTTCTTCTTCACCGAGCCGCCGCCATGGCCATCTCTGCTCCATTTGGAGGAGAGTGGCCGGCTTTAGCCGGGCGTCCTTCCCGAGGCCCAGCAGCCGGAGGATGCCTGCCTTGGTAATGGCCTTCCGCCTCCTCTCCCGCTTCTCCTTCACCCCTCCCTCAGGCCCCTGGAGCTCTCTCCTCTTCTTCCCGTACCTGATCCCGCAGGCATTGCACAGCGACTGCACGCAAGAGAACCGACCTCGGTCAAGATCACGACCACATCCAACTAGCGGAGCACAAAATGATCATCCTGAGAGGAACCATCAAAACACATCCCATCCCAGCACAGGCCGATCGAGGGGGAGAGAGAGAGAGGGAGAGAGAGAAAGAGAGAGAGGATCTCCTAGTCAGTACCTTGGGGCCAGAAGGGCCACCCCTCCACAGAGGCGTCCTCGTGGTGCGGCAGATCGTGCAGCATTTCGGCTCGCGGAACTGGCTCCCCTCGTCCGAGGCCTCCTCCCCAGACTTCCTCTCCGAATCCACAGATCCCGAGCTCTGCAACACCACCAATCATCGCATCACACACCCTCTCCCCCACCACACTCAACAACAGATCGACGAGCAATCCAAGCTTAGCGAGTGGAAATGGCATGCCAGAACCCGCCCCAAGCTCACCTTATCGCCGCTGTGATCCATCTTCCTCCTCCCCTCGCATCCAATCCCCGCCGGAAAGCCCACCCCCGGCACACAGATCACTGCCACTCGCCTCCGCAAGCTGTCGGCGCCCCAACCCGCTCCAACCAAGAATTAGAGAGAGAGAGAGAGAGAGGGAGAGAGAGAGAGAGAGAGAAAGAGATAGATAGATCTCGAGGGGGGAGGGGGGAGGGGGATGAAAGAATGGAGGGAAACGCTGGAAAGAGGGGGCGGGAGGGCGGGAGCGGCGAGGAGCAAAACGACGACGGCGCCATGGTGAATCGGGTCTGTTAATAAATATGACCGGGCTCGAGGCCGGCGGCGGCCCGGTCCACAACCCAGACAGGGAGGGGGGGGGGGAAAAGGAAACCCTAGACACCATGAAGTGACGATAATACCCTTCACGAGCAAGCTTACGTGTGAGGGGAGAAGAAAAATTATCAAAAAATAAAGAGGTATAAGGAAACTAGGATTTTGGATATACTAACAAAGGTCCATAGAGATCGAGCACCTCCCTCTTCGTCAAACTCTTTCAGCTCTGCCCTCTCTGTCCCCCAACAAGACGACTTCCCCCACCCCCCCTCCTCACCCCACCTCCAACAATGGCGGAGCCACCACAGACAGATGCAGATGTTCGTACTGACTCCATACCCCCACCCCACATTCCCCACAGAGACGAGAACCAGTTCACCGCCGGGAAACGAGCAGCTCTGCAGATCCGGCGGAGGAATGAATTCGTCAGAAGAGGAAGAAGATCAGAGCAGAGCAGAGAAAGAGAGGAGATGGGTGGGTTATGGGAGCACACCGTTGGTCAGCCGAATTTGAAACCGCCGGAGGGCACGGGGACCTCGCTGCTGCCGAAGCCGAAGCCGGGCTGGGCGGCGCCGACACCGGCGCCGCCGTCGTTGGTGGGCATGGCGTCGTCCTCGTCCTCCAGCCAGTAGGTCTCGAGGATCTTGACGGCCTTCTCGTAGATCTCGGTGTTGTCGTGGCTCTGGAGGTTCTCGATCTTCTCCAGCCCTTCAGCATCGTCGATCAACTGGGCGTAGACGTTGACTCCCTCCGTCTTGCCTAGGTTCTTCTCCGCCTCGCCGATCTTGAGGATGTTCTCGAGGCCCTCCAGGCAGACGGTGACTATCCGCGGGTCAGGGCAGATGAGGAGGTCGCACAGCGGCTTGATGCAGCCCTGGCTGACCAGGAACCTGCGGTCAACGGGGGTGAGGAAGTAAATAAAATGACGTCATATAGGGGGCCCGGGGGGGGGGGGGGGTTTGCTGGGGCTGGTCAACACGTGGACTGGAGGTACTTTATCTGTTCGTGGGTTCCCCCAGAGGTGGCGTTGGAGATGGCCCAGGCAGCCTCCTTCTTGATCTCGAACTCGGCGATCTGAAGCAGATGGACGAGGGGGCCGACTATTTCCGCGTTGATCACAGCCTGGTTCCAGAACAGAATCAAATCAAGTAATAAAAAAAAGAAAAAAAAACAAGAATGGGCCTCGATGCTCTTCTTTTTAATAAAAAAAAGAGGATTTTCCGAATATGGCAAAGATTCTACAGCACCTGTATCTGCTCCTTGTTTCCCGCGGTGATGTTCGAAATCGTCCAGCAAGCTTCCTTCTTGATGCTTTTCTTGTGGTTGTGAGTCAAGAGATTAAGAAGGCAGGGGAGAGCTTGATTATCGATGATATACTGAAAAAGAAAAAAAGGGTTTATTTTAATTAGCGGCAAGAAGCACCTGCCACAGCAATCTGAAGAAATTTTTCACAAGATATCGGAAAACTGTTGAAAAAATGCTTCCTAAATACTTGGAGGACTTCTATCTTAAGTGGAGGATGCTGAGATGGCAACTCGAAGCACAGGAATCAGACAAGTCGTAAATATACCATAAGACTTTTCAATCATGAAATTAGACAGCATATTGCGAAAAATCTACCTTCTTAAGGTATTATCACAGCAGATTGTAGTTAATCAGAAACCAAGTTGGAAAATATTCATAAAAATATCATCAAATGGGACGAGCAAAGTAATCCGGGTTATGTAGTTAGATATAAAAGCTTCCATCAGTTTGTATGAAAACTCTCATGGGAGTCATGGAGCATTTCAAAACGGTGTTGTTGTTGTTCTTTCTTGTTCACTTCTGGGGGTGAGGATTTTGTCTCATAACGGCGCAACAGTGACGGATGCTCCAGATCCAACCTCACATTTGTTAGAGTGGGTGGTGGAGAAATAAGCAGAGAAAGAAGAGAAAAGGAGACAAATTAGGTAGCGGCTGAGCGCTGGGCGAGTGTCATTCCAGAATGTATCAGAAGGGTGACAACCCTCCATGTTTGAAACTGAACTGGCAACCATTGATTCCAATCCAGATCAGAATAGACCGATTTTAAGACTATGTGACTGGATGATTACTGTGACCCAGTCGATGTCTCTCCCAGCAGGAAATCCTGGACCAAAAGGGTTAAGGGTGGAGGATGGCCTATACCAAGGACAGTCGTTGTGTTATTGCCACTTTCAGATGATTACATCCCACTTAGACGATTGATACCTAACTAACACCACATTATCCACGGAGAACAGAACTAAATCCCAATCCTCACATATCTCATAGATATTGCACAGTATAACCACGGAGATGAAATCAAAGCATTTATTCTACTTTTTTTCAGTAAAAAAATCATGAACTTTAAAAGTCAACGTCAAGGCATCACGTAGGAATAGAAAGACTCCAATATACTGCACATCATTTAACAGAAAAACAAAGGAGAACATGGAGTGAGCAATCCAAGCAGGAAAAAGGATACAGCAGAATTTGTTAACCATAATCAAACCTAACAGGGTGCTTCATACATAATATACAAGTTTCTAATAGTGCCCCCTACAACTCTAGATAATCTGTCAAAACAGCTTAATTAGGCAATTTACGCCTCCAGTGTCAAGCTATGGCATGAAAATTATTTTATTCAATCTAAATGCAATTTATTTTCCTCTCTAGTTCTTCATTCATTCCCAATCTTCACAAATTTTGGAGCATTTATTTTAGTCCTTAACAAACACAGCATCAGAGACATGGAATGAGACCTATAAGTGTAATAACTTCATGATCATCCAGAAACCATCGTCTCCTTCAACCATGCCCTCGTTTGCCAATCAATATCTCTTCATTGCCCAAAAAAGTTACACCGCAATATGCCAGGAGAGAAGGTTACCCTTAAAAGAGGTTTAAATGGCCTCACCGTTATTCTTCACCCTCCTAACTACCCACGATTAATGCAAGCAATAGAGGGTAAACAGCTTTGCTGCCTAATGCCCAGACCAACAAATAGTGTCAGGCTCATGCACCTTGATTGCAGGCAGCTTCTTTGTGTTCAGATCCCAAATTAGCTTGAAATAAACAGCCTATCGACCTCGACCACAGCAATACCAACGATATCACCAATAGAGACCTCCATTTCAATCCTCTGCAGCTCTCTCACAGGATGTTCACATGATAACCCCAGAGAAATCACCCCTTTTCAACGTCAAAGAGTCTTGAACACAATACGCTGAGGTAATTGGTTGAGCGTCAAGCAGGTAAATGAATATTGCTATTTGGCGACACCTCAACCTGTCCTGACTCTAACTTTAACGAACAAGCGTCTGAAACTAAAAAAATGCCATAACCCTTTCAAACATCCTCCGAGTACACTAACCATTAAAGTGTAAGTTAACATGATATAGTGTGCCATGTTTATGATGTAAGAACATCAAACAATGAACCTAATGACCAAAAGCATTCTTTCACGGCAACAAGTGAGCTTCAAAGATAAATCGACTGTATCCATGCAGATGTGGACAGTAGGATACGCTCTTCCATGTAAGTAGAACATATATTCAACATGAAAAATAGAATGAAAATCAATTTCATATAGCAAATCATACCTGTGTCTGTAAATCATTTCCAGTAACAATATTGCCAACTGTTCGAAGGGCAGGAATCAACACCGAAGGTGAAGGATGACTGGAGATAGTAACATCATAAAAAATAAAAAAAAATTAAGTTACTTAAGTATATGCAGTGGGAAGACTGGCACATCAAAATAAAACGATTACGGCCAACGATGATAACAAATTTAGCAGAATAAACACGTGCCAATACATACAGAAGGAGTTCAACGATTCGAGGGCAAACTCCAGCTTCAATAACAGCTTGAATTTTGTCATTCGTTCCATCAGAAAGGTATGAGAGTGCCCAACAAGCATCAGTCAGAACTTCCTCATCATTCGAATGAATGAGCCGAACAAGCACAGGAAGGGCAGGTTTTGTCTGAAAAGCCAATGTAGATTACTGACATGTACAGGGCCAGAAATATAGTACCAAAACCCTACATATTGACAACGAGAAGCCACACCTGGTCAAAAGAAGGCTGTGGCTTGCCTCTGCAGAAGTTAGATAACGTCCATGTTGCATTTCTCAGCATAGAAAGCTTCGCATGCTCATTTAGTTGATTCAGCAGTGGTAGCAATGCGCCCTGACCCAGAACAAGGTCTCGGCATCTGGGGGAATCACCGGCAACATTTCCCAACGCCCACACAGCCTATGAAAAATGAATTTAAAAGGACACGTGGATGAGAACATAAGGTGAATAACAATCGTATTCCCGCGAATGGATGAGAAATAGAGTCCTCACAAGCACTCCACGCTTGTGAGAGACATACCTGCTCGCGGACGTCGTCACTTTGAGAATTAAGAAGACCAACAAATATTGGTACCGCTCCATGATCAATTACGACTTTAGTATTCTCTGAAGTACCGGAAGCAATGTTTGTAAGAGCCCAAGCTGCCTCGAACTGTTCGATAAAATACAAAATTATGGTTATGTGCACCATTGTAAATAATTAGCGTGAAACATATGTTCATTACAAGATCCGAGATGTAGTTTCAGACCTGAAGCTGAGGGAAATCTTCCCTAGTCAGAAATTCAACGAAGCGAGGAACAACGCCAGATTGGATGACCTCCTCGATTGGAGGACTTCTCTCTGAGCATCGGTAACGAAAATTTGTTCAAGTAGAGACCAGAAATGGAATACGCAAGAAAGAACATCGTCGAACTTTACCTATCGAGAGAAGTTTCCTGAATTGGGTTGTGGCCTCGAGCTGTAAACTGGTATCATCCGAATACACTCCGGCTACCATTGCCGGAAGACTCTCAAGCTTGAGATTCAGACAGTGGTCATAATAAATCACAAGGATGACCATGATAAAAAATATGACAATAATCAAATTGATACGGATCGAGGCTCCTATGTGTAAAAAACGACAAAATTTTGAGGGGATTCAAGACCAAGTCCGCTGACTTTAGCCAGTCGCATCCACAAAGGGAGAGATCGAAAACGTAATACGTCAGATTCATACCTTCTTCTCCGTGGCGGATGCGTGGACAGCGGCGGGGAACGACTGGGCCTGCATGCCCTCCCTCCTCTTCTTCTGGAGGCTCTCCTCCCTCTTGCTCTTCCGGATCTCCACCATGTTGTCTTCCCTCCTCCGGCGGCCCTCCTCGGCGTCCACCGCCACCTTGTACCGGTTGCGGCGCACCTCCGTCCTCGCATTTGGCCTGAGCGACATCTTCGATTCTTCCGGAAAGAAACCCTACCGTAGGGGAATCAACCAGGGGCAAGAACACGACGGACTGAAGACGATCCGAGCCCTCGCACACACTCACGGAAAGTGTGTGACTCGTATGTGTGTGTGTGTGTGTGAGAGAGAGAGAGAGAGAGCGCACCAGGAGAAGGGAAGAAGCAGGTCAAAGCAGAGGGAGAGAGAGCCAGGGAAGAAGGAAACCCTAATCAGTGAATAAAAAAAAATATATAACCTGGCGGCTACCGCGTACGCCGGGTGACGTGGACACCCTGAGAGTCTGTTTAGACGCCCCGTCAATTCCTGAGTCCCGCTGTACATAGTATTTTCCACAAAAAACCCTTTATATTATCATTTCTCGCTCCTCGGCGCGATACATTTGAATTATGAACAGATTGCATCATTCTCGCACTTGAGCAGAAGAGTGATGGGGTTTTAAAAAAACAATATCGGATAAAACGACAATTTTTATAAAGTACCGATAGAAAAAGTACTTTCCGACTGAATTTGAAATCTAATATAATATGAGACGCGTACTTTTATGTAAAATATCTTGGGGTGTATCACTAGTTGAGGAAGGTACTTTTTTCGACTTAATAATAATTATAATAATTATTATTGTTACTATTCATGCTCTTAAAATTTGGTGGGTCTTCTTGCTCTACGTTAATTTATGAAAATTGGGATTAACTGAAAAATCCATGTAAGATCCTCTCTCTCTCTCTCTCTCTCTCCCCCTCTCTCAATCACATCATCAAATCATTAAATATTTAGATTGCATGGTAGATAAAATGATGTAAACATTTGTATCAGTTATTTAAAATTTAAAATATAAATAATAATAAAAATGTTGGTCAATTCTGCAAAGCATGGGTGGGAATGGGTTATAATAATAAAATAAATAAATAATTTATATGTAATAATTTTATATCGAACCGAAGTGAAAACCCGATAATTAGATATTCGGGCCGGGCCCTTCACGGGCCGAGCTTAATTTCGATTTTGGATATGATTTCCCCTTGCCGGCCCACAAAGCATTGGTGGTTCTATGGTCCACCCAACCAAAGCCCGGCCCATCGCGGAGAGAGATAGAGAGAGAGAGAGAGAGAGAGAGAGAGAGAGAGAGAGAACGCTCTTCTTTATTCGACGACAAGGACACTGGGTGGAAACTCGGTGATAATCGTCCAAGGTCTGGAAAGTCGGTGGCATAAACGCGGCAGACCGACTCAGGGAGAGAGAGACAACGGCGGGACGAGGCAGGGGGGGAAGAAGGGGGAAGAAACGGAGGCGCCGCCTTATGCTTAGACGTAGGCATCCGGATTGGCGAGGAGATATCCCTCGAGCGCCTTTATCATGGCGTCGGAGCCGAAGATGATCTTCCCCACCTCCTCCTCCGACAGCGGCGTCTCGTCGGCGGTCTCGTAGCTGAGCGTCAGCTTCCCCTTGGAGCCGGCGCCGGAGACGGTGAAGGATAATTCAAAGGAGTAGGAGCTGATCCTCGATCCCAGAAACCCCCCATCAACTACCGTGTACTTGAAGACGAAGTTCTCCCCGTCCAGCACATCGGTACGGTCCTTCACGAACTTCTGGTCCGGCACCGCTGCAACGATTCCACCCGCCGCCGTCAGTCCTCGCTCCGGCGATCGCCGGTGGAAAGATAGATGGAAGGAAGGAGACGATGAATCAAGAGAGAGAGGGAGACGATGAATCAAACCTGGGGTGAAGTTGCACTGCTTGATGGTGCCGACGCCGCCGTCGCCCTCGATGATGTCGATGCTGGCGATGACCTCCGGCAGGAGCTTGGGGAAGAGGACATCGGCGTCGAGGATGCCGGCCTTCCATAGCCTGGCCGGAGCGATGGGAGACTCTATATCCTGCGTGAAGCTTCCGGCCACCATCTTGCTTGCTCGTTGGGAAGGTGGCTCTGGAAGGGTCTTGGGAACGAAGGAGGAGGGAGGAGAGGGAGATCGCCGCCGAGTCTGAGCTTCTCCTCCGCAGTAGGGGTGGCATTTATAGGATGAACCCGACCCCCTCGGCGGCCACCCACCCAGTCAAGTGACGCATACCAAAACCACCCTCTTTTTCTCTCTCTGTCTCTCTGTCTCTCTCTCTCTCTCTCTCTCTCTCTATTATTTAGGAGTGAATGGTTGGTATGATTCCCTGCTTCATTGAGTGGGAACGCGCGCGTCACTGAGTTCGACCAGTTCAATCAAAGGTTGTTCTACGTAATGAATATGGATTACGGGGTCGTTGGGTCTCACCAACCATCGTGTTTATCGTGTAAAAGTCTGCCCTCGCTAATCTTCGTCAGAGAGAGAGAGAGAGAGAGAGAGCTCCTCAGGTCAGCCTCGCAGCCCTCTTCGATCACAGACGACGACAAGGCCGCTATTTGCCGACCTAGGAGTCCTTCCTCCACATGGGATCACCTTTCTTTATTCGAGGCAACAAATCTTAGATTTTCAATCTATTTTTATCGTCCTTTTAATATTAGAAAATCAGGGACATTAGAGTAGGTTGACCGTTCGTCAAAAGAACCGGCGCAGTCTCGCCACGTCGGAAAAATAATACACTCCATAGCGTGGGTGGGCTTGACATGTCTCTCTCCTCTCTCTCTCTCTCTCTCTCTCATATTAGCGTGGGTGGGCTTGACATGCCTCGGTCAACTCTCATGTGGATAAGTTTGTCCAAGAAGTTCAGCAATAGTGAGAGAATGGGGGACACATTTACACACAGGAGAAGAGAGAGAGAGAGAGAGAGAGAGAGAGAGAGAGAGAGAGAATCGTCAAGAGGGTTTCTCTGGGTCAAACTCTAGGCAAAGGATTGTTATTTTTATTTGTTGTGATAAAAAATCTGCGTAAAGGGGAGTATTTTCTATTCCGTTATTACTCATTCAGCCGTTGAACAGCCAGCCAGTCAAGAGCCGCCGCTGACGGCGAGATGGAGGCATTCCCTCCGGCAAAGTAGGAACCTTCCCCACGAATATCTTTACACGTCGTAACGTCTTCTCTCTCCACCTTCCTCCCCCCTTCCTCGTCTGTCTCCCTCTTCGCCTTCCCCGTTCTCATAGGAAAAGCAGCGCCGCCATGGTCGACCTGGCTTTCCTCAAGTCCGGCAAGAAAAAGGTGCATCCTTTAGGCGATGGAGGCGGCGGCGGCGGCCGTGAGGACACGAAGAAGGAGCCACCGCGCGTCACCATCAGATCCGCCGTCGCCGGTTTGATCCATTCCAAGAGGCCTCTGAAGGACGGTGAGGAGAGCCAGCGAGGGGAAGAAGAAGAAGATCACCAGGATGAGTCCTCAGACACAGACATGAGCGAGCTGGGGGAGGAGGAGAGGGCGTTCTTTGAGGACCTGAGAAGGGTGAGGAAGGGAGAGCTGATCTCCGCCGCGAGAGTCGATCTCCGCAGGAGATCCGCCCTCTCGCGCCTGCTCAGCCTCATCGCCAGGAAGATGATGGCTCCTTCCCACTTGCGCCGCGGTGCAGGCTGCGGCATTTCCACCACCAGGCCTTCGCCGGCGGCGAGGAAGGCGACACCGTGCAGAGGAGAGGGAGCGCTTTACGAAAAGACGGTGCTCCTGGGCAGACGTTCCAGGAGAAGGTAAGCTTCTAAAATCTAGGGTTTCCGATCTGGAGGAGTCGAAGATGATGGTGGGTGCCCCTCTACTTTCAAAGAGGCTGCTCTACCTCAGAAGCTCTCTTCTTCCTCTTCTTCTTCTCCTTCTGCTAGACTTTCCGGCATGCTAACCGAGAACTCGGATCTCTGATCATCGTCCAGATGAGATTTCCTACTTACTTAATCAGAACCCCTTAGTATACTTCATTTTGTTCCCTAATACGGCAATCCGAACGCTCAGAGACGAACCCCATCTCTTCTTCGCCTTGCTCAACGTGGGTCATTGCGGAATGATTAAGAGCTTTCTCGAGATCTTGACATCGAATATTATCTATTAGATTAATTAATAGATCATCCTATAAACATTAACGATTAATTAATATTGCTATAAAATGAGGTCGCCTTTGATCTCATTATCATTAGCTTCGGAAGAATTAGACTAGTAGACGAAACTATGATAGAGTAAGTCAAAATGTCAGAAATAGATAAAATAAAATAGTTGATTGTGACCGAATCACATACTTTAATTTATGAATAAAATAAACACGTTTGTTATATAAAACTAAGGAGCTGAGATTAGTAGCTTCCATTAGAAATGCTGAGATGAATGAAAAAAGAACGGGTTCGAATAGCATTCAATAATTACCCTGAAAACTTTGTTCAACTACAATAAGGTTTCATTCAAATCGTCGGTTTCTCGAACATCCTGCAGTCGAATAGATATGTTCATCACAAAAGTCAACCGACCAATTTGTGAACTGTTCATCTCGTAGACGTTGATCTTTATCATTATTATAATTACTAAAAAATATTCAAAAGTTCAGCCGGGTCGGTCCGTGCCAGACCAAAGTTACTGACATATTGGCTCATTTCTTAAACCCATGATCGTCAGTAATGGGCCACCACCCAGGTCAGCTCCCGAGCTAGGTGCTCGGACCCAGTCAACGGGGTACCTTGCCAGCTCGGCTGATCGCAATTCCTCTGCCAAGGGAACACGTGGAACGTGATAATTATGGAAACGCCCCCCAAATGTCGTGGTCTACTTCATCCGGAACCACGGTGCTTGTTCCCACGGGGAACGTGACTGGCTGCCGTCCAACGACATTATTCAATTCCTTGACGGGCCCAATTGAGCCCAATTGCCGAATGGGAGCCGACCGTGGACCATTCGGGGTGGAATTTTAAATAAGCCCCCCTATTTATTACTTAAATGCAGTAGGGCATACTTTTTCGATAAAATATTCCACGATTCGGAAGCGTACTGACTGAGAAATTCCTTGAGAAGATAACCACGTAATTATTAATGTACATATCTATAATATGTATAACTTTAGAGGGAGATACATTTCAGCCATGGGGGTGGATAGATAAATAGCCATCTTCATTAATCTCATCCCCTCCTCTCTACTAGGTACGACAGAGAAAGTCATGAAGGATTTGCACGAAGGTATTCAACAATTAGATAGAATGTGTGCATAATAAATATAAGTATGAAATATGTGGAAATTTACAAAAAAACCCACGACCCATTGGATACCGAGGTTGATATTTTGGGATATGATAAGCCAACGATATTCAACTGACATTGACCTCATTGGCCAACGACAAAATGAATGTTGGTGGGATAAGATAACCATGCGGTGAAGATAAACCAATCCCCAAGAGGTGACTCTCCTGTGATTGGTTGACTGAGTATGCAACCCTTCCTTCTTTTATTATGTGTCTGGTTTATGATTGAATTATTAATATATAATTATGAAATATCGAGTGAAATTAAGTCAAAATTCACATGGATGATTTGATTTATTTTTAATGTAAATATTGCGTTCTACAAAAGTAAATAATTTATAAAATAAGAAGTAAAATTATGTAAGATGAATTATTTATTTCTAAATAAATATAAACATAAAAAAATAAAAATAGAAACTAGGGGTTTAAGATATATCTCCACTATCTCGGGCAAGTTGATGACGTCACAATAACTCACTAACGCTATAAAAATGCACATTTGTGCTATAGAGAGAGAGAGGAGACATGAACCGTGTGACAAGAGAAGAGGGGAGAGATGACCAAACACAGAGAGAGAGAGAGAGAGAGAGAGAGAGAGAGAGAGAGAGAGAGAGAGAGTATATGTATATATTTATATAGAAATATAAAAAAGAAAGTTACGATCGAGAGCGAGAGTTCTCATTCATGAAAGGCAGGTTTCGCCGGCGGGAAAGATTTTTGGCAAAAAGGGAGAAGAAATCAAGAAAAACAATGAAAAAGAGGAAGATAAGGGTGAGGAGAGAAAAATCGTCCGAAAAGGACGGAAAAAGGTCAGAGGAGAGAAAAGCTCGCCGGCGGAAGAGTCTCCGTTAGGGAGAAGGAAATGCTGAAAAACTCGATATTTCTTGTGCGCGAAAGGAGAAATAGAATGAAAACTCGACTAAAACCAAAAGAAAATAATTAAGAAAAAGATTGGACGGATGATGAAGATGGAAAATGATTCAGAAAAGGAGAAAATTCGCCAGAAAATAGAAGAACTCACATCGGAGAGAAGTTTCTAGCCAACGTGAGAAAAATCCTGATTTTTGGTGAATAAAAATGACGAAAAATGATTAAAAAATAAAAAATTAATGTCTAATGAGAAAACAAGAAAAAGAAGGGAAGGAAAGAGGGCAAAGAGAGAAAGACTGAATAGAAAAGGGAAAACTGACAAATGGGAGAGAACATCAGCTCAAGAGAGAAAATAAAAGGTTGATAACGAAGGGATTGGAGAGTGTCAAAGCAATTACATGAGAGGTTAGGAACATGAAAAAACTAATAGACAATAGATAAGCAGGAGGAAAGGAAGGAAATAACACACCGAAAATGAAATAAAAACAAAAAACTCATGTTTCTCACTTGTGAAGAGAGTGAAAGGGAGAACAAGAAATTCACAAAAACTAATCAAAGCCTTAGAAACTAAAGATCTAAAATGTTGAAATAAAGGTGGGGAATGATTTTCTGCCCACCACACTGGAAAATATTGTGTGTGTGAGAGAGAGAGAGAGAGAGGAGATAAGATTCTTTTCGAGCAAAGTGATGCATGAAAAATATTTATCTAAAAATTTTGCTGCAGTGGAGGGGGACATGATGACCTAGGGCTATCTCACAAATATATTAAGACTAAATTCTCTTATGCTCATAGCTAAAATATCATTTGTATATTGAATATAGAAAAACAAATAGTTAATCACCAAAATTTAATAAAAATATAACATTTTGCTATAAATTGATATCATTATAAATGTCTTAATTTTATATTATTTTATTTATGAAATAATATTAAGATTTGACATTTTTATCTTTAAGAATAACATGTTATCAACCATCATGATCAACTCAATTAGTGTTGATCCGTAGATGGTCAGATAAATCAAGAGGGGTAGCAAATTATTTATTAGTTTTCATTATAATTAAGTCTAATAAATGTATTATTTTAAATATTATTTCAAATCTTAATATTTTAGTTATCTTTATAAATTAATATATAAATATGATATAAATAAAAAATAATGTGGAGATAAGATTTTAGAATGATTTGGCCAAACTTCTTTAGCCCACATTTGCTTTTGAAAAATCTACCTTGGTTCTACTAATCTACTAATAGAATACACTTGAAAATATCAACCATTTATATCACTAGACCATTAGCTTGTGATCACTTTACTTATAATCCTAACTCTAGTAGCCTTGGTTCTTCCTATTGCATGTTCTTCATAAGTGCTTCAATAACCACGTGATTGTGTTGTTGACATATTACATGTGTCTCAATTAGTCTACATACAACACATCACAAACAAACAAGTAGTCTATATAAAATGGAGCTATTGTTGAGTTCAACATGTCGTTTGATGCACCTTAAATTATTGAAGGATTTGAGAGGTGTTGGGCTGATAAAAGAGGTGTCATTCTTATTGACTTGCATAAGTTTCTTGAACCAATTTGATTTTGCCCTTGGGTTTTCGAGATTTGAGATGATGTGATGGAGAAGAAAAACACAATATGAGGGAATCAACACCATTTGAAATTTATATAACTTCTACTTATCAAGTATAGTTGTGAAAATTTCCCCCTTTTATAGTGAGGTTGGACTCCCCCTTTTGGTCCTTATCAAGTATAACACTAATGTCACGTGGTCAAGGTTGACCAACCTTAAGTTTCTACCATGACCATTATTGGTCGTCTTCCCCAACACCATGCAGCCTCTTCAAGTCATGGAGAAGACTTCTTCATCTAGGTATAACTTGTATTTTCTCTCATAGAATATACGAGGAGGTGTAAGGGAAAGCGCTCTTTCCCCATTTCACACTCGAATCTCCTCTCCATATATTGAGGAGATCTCTCTTAGGACTTCTCCATTTTTACGTTGATATGCCACGATCTAGGCCACTTGAAAGTCCTTTTATGTCTTCATTATATCTACTTTGTGACAAGATAACCATTGCTTGGTATGTCTACTATTGATAGAGATTCACTCCACCAATCTTAGATCTAAAAAGCTTATGGTGTGACAATTGAACTCTTTTACTTAGTAGGCTACACATAGGTTTTAAAAAATATAGAAAAATAATCACACCACATATAAAAATCATAACTCTTTTACTATTTTAAAATTTAATTCAAAATTTATAAATAAAAATATATTTTATTATCTAATTGTAAACTTATTGATAAGTCTTTATTATCATGAGTTAATAATTAATAAATAATATAGTTTTAGTCTTAACTCATAATAAATAGACTTATATTTATGTTAAATTGTGAAAAATATTTTTTAATTAGTTAATGTGAATTTTGGTTAATTATGTGATTTTATGTAAATTTATGATTTTTATAATCTTATTTTTGATATATTAAAAAAAAGATAAAAAAGTGGGGGCCTCACTGACCAGCTAGGCCTGTAAGTGGGTTGGAAGCATAGTCGGGGCATAGCCATGAGCAGGAGCTCAAGTAGCTATAGAC